CAACACACACACACAACACAACACAACACAACACAACACAACACAACACAACACAACACAACACAACACAACACAACACAACACAACACAACACAACACAACACAACACAACACAACACAACACAACACAACACAACACAACACAACACAACACAACACAACACAACACAACACAACACAACACAACACAACACAACACAACACAACACAACACAACACAACACAACACAACACAACACAACACAACACAACACACAACACACACACACACACACACACACACAGAGACAGAGACAGAGACAGCGACAGAGACACAGACACAGAAACATTACAAGTGCCATTTGCCGGGCTGTGAACTGCGGCCGTGCAGCGTCAAATCCGAGATAATGGTGTCCTCAGTCTGGCCATTTGCACCGTATTCGCCAATGAACCAGGGAAGGTTGCCGAAGTTGTCGTACTTCTGGTAGTGCTGAGACACGAACTCGCTCACAAAGGACCTGAACCAACCCGATGCTCTTGCGGTACGTTTGCAAGCTGGGGGCTTTTCAAGGAGCACACAGATGCAAAGTCGTGATTCAAAGCGGCAGTGCTCAGTCAATCTCAGTGCGCGGCCATGGCGACTGTGTGTTCAAGCCGTGCACCCACCTGCACGACTGTACGAAGCTTTCGCTATCTTCGGGTCTCCAAGCCGATGATCGTGGCGGTTCTTCGGATCGGCTGCCATGTTACGGCCATGTTGTCATAACTTTGGCAGCAAGGTCAGCAAGGCCGAACCTACAGAAACACTAGCGGGTATTTCGTCTGATCTGGAACAAGGCTCTTCATAGTTCTGGCTGTCGAATCCTGCCTCTTCTCGAAGGCAGACTGTAGCCTGGGCAGGGGTGTTCGCGGTGTGTAGTCCACCAGGCTCGGGTCCTTCATGACGGCCACCATGTCCTCGTGACCAGGAAATTGTGGTGTGCCCCCGGGTACCCCGCCACGTGCTGAACAAGCCGAGGCTACCGGAGGGAGCAAAAAATCGCTTCGAAGCGGAGACCGAGAACTGTACTTGTTCCACCCTCGTCCTGAAAGCCGAAAGTGCCAGGACCCTGCACCACGTCATCGATGGAGGTCCGCATGGCGAAAGACCTGCAGTCATGCGCCACTGGCAAGCAAACGGCAAACCTGGCCCTAGGCCTACGAAACCCACGCGGCCCTGGTCGGGTCAAAAGCTTTCGCGGGTACCTGTGTTAGAAAAGCGAAATTTGCAGCAAAAGACCTTTGGAGTTTTGCGACTCATTGTGATGCCAAGTCGCCAGGTCACGGTGAGGTGCACGCGCCCTTACATTCACACCCGCACTCTGCGCCAGGCTCAATTCGTGAAGGTCTTGGAGCCATTGCAAGAGCGAAAAACCCGTATCTACAACCCCCATCTCCTGCTCCGACACCCATAGCCTCTGTGCTGCCCAAGACTGAGAAACCATACAACTGCCACCAAGGCTCCGGGCTCTACCCCTGCCAGCTCCTCGGCGGCCAAAAGGCCATCCAAGGCCGAGACCACAGCCTTCACGCGGCAGACTGCACCTCGAGGAGAGGTTTGGGGATTGTAGGTTTGAGCAACTTGAGCAGGACCTCCAAGTTGCCATTGAACCCTCTGGGGGTGGGTGTAACCGGTGCTTTCTAGTCTGCCGAGGTCCTGCCATGAGAAGTTTTTGAGGCCCGCGGCTTGAGTTAAATGGTTCACCTGGATGACCAAAAAGCCGGTCAGACATGTCCATAAACCCAACTCTACAGACAACCGAAGATGAAAACGCCCGTTGGCAAGGTCACCTCGCCCCTTGCACAGTGGGTCGTGCTCGAAGAAGTCCTCAGAACGACGGATTTATCACCATATGGCTCCAGGGAATTCTCTGATTGCGCCTCACCAGCCCTAACCATCCAAGATCCCTGTAACAAGCATCTCGCAGCCCTGGCACCCCATTACAGAAATTACACACAAACACTTCTGGAGTGACGTCTGGTGGCGGGCTCGTTCATGAGGATCAGGGCTGACACAGCTGGATGCCACTTGCCGTTGGCAGCAAAGCCTCTGGCAGCTCTGCACAGTGGGTTCCAGTATAGGCTCGGGCTGAAATGTAGCAGGACCTCCCCACCGCAAAGGTAGCAAAGGTACGCAATTCTTCGCTCCTGTCGAAGGTGCGAAGTTTCCTCTCATTGTATATGGATTTTGCGACCGGGCACAAGTGGACCCACTGTTGTCACTGATACGATTTTGCTTTGGTTTTTGGGTACCTGTCCCATTTAAGGGACTTGGAGAAACAGCACCAGATGCACTCGCATGATATGCAAAAAAACAAAACGTGCTTCAGTTGACAATGATGTGCGGGCAGGCTCGGCCGCCACAAGATGCTACAAGCACAAACCATTCTGGCGGGATGCCCCACTGGCATCTGTAGGCAGCATTCCATGTCATCCCGCATTGTGAAACCAAACCATTCGCCGCATTCGCCCTTTACTTCACCATGGTTTTCGAAACCTTTCACGACAAACCATGCCCACACCGGATCCCCACAGTTTCCTACTCGCTGTCCAATTGTGTTTCGGCAAGTGTGATGGGCTTCTGATGTTGGCTTGGCTGCGAACTGTCCGGCTGAAGCCCGTGGGTGACTTCAAACCAAAAAAGCCCAGTACCTCAGAATTGCGGATTACACCTTACTAGTTAAGGCTGTAGAATAAGGGTCCTATTCAGAGTCGTTTTGCAAAAGCGCCTTGTTCGAAGCCTTTCAGCGTAGCATCTTTCCAGAACTCGAAGCAGTCGAAGTCGTCGCACAGGCTCGGCTCTGAGCTGTGGAAACCTTCGAGAACAGGGTGGGGTTTGTTGGAGGGCTCTCAGTTCTGGGCTTGTTTAGGGAATTTGAATAAGATAGTGGGTTGAGAGAGGTTGGAGGACGCCGTGGGATTTACTGGGCTCGCCTGGGACTGCTGGGCTGGGGTGTTAAGTGAAACCATCTCAGGCGAAGTCGAAACACTGCACAACATCGATACATGCAGACTTCGAATTCGCTGCGTTTCCGGGAGCGTGGAATGCAACGCAGAATTCATAAAATCGACGCGTGGCACCAAGCACAGAAACGGACGTGACAGCAAGTGCAACCAACGGCGTTGAAGGGATCCTGCAGGGTCACGCTCCGTTTCCGGGAGTGTTCTGCGGTGGCATGCTGCGTTTCGGATACGCGTCCCAACATGTCCCAACATGGCTCTGCGTGAGGCTCGCTTGTGATGAGCCCTTCGCGATCCCGCAGGCCTGCCACTCACAACCCCCGACGTGTATGCCGCAGAGCGGGCTTTCTGTGGGTTTAGGGAATGGGGCGTCAGAGGAAGACTGGCCCATGCGAGAAAGGACTTTGGCGTCGCCTGCATGCTTCCAAAGCCACCCGCCCCATTCTAGAGGAATCGAACATGATATGCAACCTGTTCTTAATGGCGTTTATAAGCATAACTCGGAGCGTATCTTGAGCAGCCAAAAAGGTCCCGGTATTGCTTCTTGGGGAGGGGTTCAACCCTAGTTGGCTTGCTTTGCGGGCCGTGCTGCCCGGCATCACATTGAGCTTCAGCTCGTGCGCGCGATCGAGGAATCCCTTGTGGCTTCCCTGGCGGCTTGAGGCGTTAGAGCCTAAAGGGCTTTCATTGGTTCGGGCTTGAGGGTGCAAGCTCAGTCAGGTTGGCAGTCTGGAAAGCTGGAGCAGCACACCAGCAATGAAGCAGGGTGTTCAGGGCGAACTGTGAAGCCATGCAGGTGCATTGCAGAACCATGACGTGGATTGGGTACTTGTTGGAGACCCAGCCCCAAAAACCCAACATCCAACAACTGCTCCAATGCACCTTCGACTCCAGGCCCAGGGAGTGGTAGAGGCGCACGGCGTTGGCTCCCAGACCCTCATGCAAGAACCACTTAAATTCTCTCTCGGGGGCGGTTCTACACATCTTCCTTTTTGTTGTAGGAAGGATTTACTACGAGACAAAGGTACCTATGTAAAAGGGGATGTTGGCCTAAAACAACCCGACTGAAGGCATTCACGGGGGGCTCAAGGATTTCACCACACAGTCTGGGCACTCGTTCTGGATCGGGAAACCCAGCCCGACGGCCCGACCGAGCTATACCACAGCAGTGGGGATCTGATGATATCAGTGCTGCCTCAGCTTCGAATGCAAGCCCACACCAATAAACCTTGAAAGCTCGAAGGCTTAGACCACAAAACTCATTGGCTTGCCCCGCTCTGTTTAGCCCTGGGTGGATTCTGATTCCAGCACCCCCATGGCCTTCATACGCCCAAGGTCATTGCGGCCCTTTGCTCCCCACTGCATGGCGTAGCCCTCCTGAAGCATATCCTGCCAGGTACAAGATCGGGGGAAGTGAGTCTCGCATGGCATCATGATTCAGGTTGCCTTCAACGGCAGCAATTACAACGCAACAAACAACAACGCGATGGAGCTTTTAACTATCTTTACGCCACGTGATTTTGAGTTAACAAAAGGAGTTAGTTGGACAATCTAAATTTAAACTTGTCGGTTCAATTCGGCTCCCGGAGCCACTCACCACAAAACTTCGGACCACGAGATACAGAGGCAGGAGCGCCAAACATCTATCAATGACGAAGCCCAGCCAAAACCTCATATGGAACTAGGCCCTACCAGGACCTCAGACTGTGCAATTCTCTTCTGGCCTCTGATGGTAGGCCGTAGTAGCTGCAGGATTGCAGGTCCTGCGCCCACTGCTCAGCCTCAGAATGGGTTCGGATCCGAAGACTGAACTTAATTGCAGTACTCCTAGCCGAACCCAACCCCCCCCCCCCCCTCACCCCCCGCGCCCTCAACACAAAAAAGCTGGAAGGCCCAAGAAAACCGCTTGCTGTATGCACATACATACAATTTTTCTTTAAGGTCCATATTTCTGGGAGGGCGAATATCGGGACAGGGAAGTAAGGACCTAGAATCCAAGAAAGATGTCCGATTCGGGCGAAGGACTCAAACCCCTACAGTAACGCCCGGGGCCTGGTTGTTTCACACCCAGACTCCTAAGGCCCTGTTTCTGGTATGATGTATGATGTGGTTGCGCCTGACGACCCGCCTCATGATTTTGATGAGCAGCACTGGGAGAAACACAGGGCAAAGCCCCGTATGCAATTGCGCGCAGAGGGCTGAATGGCGGCATGTCACCTCAGCCAAATGGACATCAGGCCTTTCAGCCGAATCAGCCTGGCCCATGCTAGGGGCTTCTCCTGGCATGCCTTCATTTAGGATTTGGGGGGCTGATCTCTACAACAGATTTCTTACAGCGGGTGTCTGGAGTCCAAGCTTGCCCACGTTTATCCATGTCGCAAGTCACAACATGCATGTAGCAAGAACCTCGGTGTTCTGATGCGCTTGTTCACTTTGGACCTTCTCTGATTGCAGCATTGGTGGCCCATGGTATCTTCAAACCCCATGCAAGACTCTGGTCCTTTGAAAGTGGCCGGGTCGCTTGCCATCCCATCCATCCCATCCATGGGGATCGCAGACACGTTCGTGCCATTGGGCCTGATCTGGTCCGAGCTACAAGCATGTGAACGGTGCGCCTTAACTGGGTGTGCTGCCCACATCCTGGACCATCAAAGACAATCCAAACCATGCCAAACCCTTCGAGGCTTCGAGTTCGGACAGTCAAGAGATTGGTTTCTTACCAGGGCACCCTGGCAAAGTGGCGGTGGCACTGTCTGTGCTGCCTCGGATGGCTTTTGACGAAATTCTTCCGGTCGGGGTGGAAGCAATGAGATTCTCATAGGAATGTAGGACAGCTGGACAGGTTCAGGACGTTGAGGTTTCGGAGGTTCTCGTGCCACTTCTTCACTTCAGGGCTGAAACAGATCCCCAGGCGCCGACGGCTGGTGCACCGCGCAGCGACGAAGGACTGGACCAAGCAACGGAGGCGAAAGCGTTGAAAGCCAGCAGGGAAAGCAATGGGCGGCCTCAGGAGTAGATGTGGACTTGGAGAACAGTCAAAGGATCTGGTGCTCCATGCTCCCTACGCTGACCCGTAGCAGGCACAGATCCTTTTTTGATCTTTTTTGGTCTCAGGCTTCATTGAATTCGATGCTATGGAGTCTAAAGTTGAATAAACCTGCCAATGATCCGACAGCACCAGCAGGTGCAAGATTGGTGGAGAAGAAAAGTTAGCAGGCGTGGCCCTAAGCCTTCACATCCTGTTTCTACAGTTACAGAAGCCGAATGGCGATGCCTGCAACTTCTCCCGTGCTACTTTCTGCTGCCAACTTTGTAGGTTCAGGCTTGCAGGGTCCGGAACTGGCTGCAGAGAGGCAAGGGGCTCAGAAAGTCACCTCTGAGCCGAAACACTATGGCATGCCACCTTTGCTGCCACCTTTGGCTGTGAGAGACCTCCTTAGTCCTTCCTGCATTGTGCAGATCCATCAGCACCAACTCGGATGGCAGGTGCTGGGCAAAAAGCAAGAGAGCGCTTCATTAGCAGCTCGTGGATGCTAGTGGCAGCTAGTCTCTTTAAGACCGCTCTTTTCGGCGAGAAAACGAATTGCAGCAAATGAATAGCAGCAAAGGCAGCGCGTGACCATCGTGACCTACATCTGTGGGCACAGGCAGGCAGGTTTCCCTTCCTCCTCCAATGCCTCCAACACTCTGAGCATAGCCTGAGCGGAGGGGCGCGAAGAAGCATCCGAGTGCCATGCTGCTTGGATGATCGCGCGCAACTTGGGCTGGCTGTCCGCGAGACGTGGCCGGGGCTCGTTGCCTTTGGCATACTCGTTCAAGATTTCTTCGGGATCCCGGCTGATGTGGTGAAAGGGCTGTCGACCGGAGCTCAAGAAGTAGAGGATGAGGCCGAAAGCATAAACATCAACCTTTTCGTTGTACTGCTGATGGCGCGCGACCTCGGGAGCCATGTAGATCAGCGTGCCGACGGCCCCAGTCATGCAGTAGCGCTCGGTGGCGACTTCCATAACCCGGCTAATACCGAGATCGGCCACCTTGACATCCAAGTGCTTGCTCAATAAGAGATTGAGGGGCTTCAGGTCCCTGTGAACCAAAGGCACTGCCCGATCATGAAGAAAGCTCAGGGCACGAGCAACTGCGGAGGCCCACTGAGCCACCCGGCCTACGTTGGGGTGCCAGTCGGGCACCTGGTGTTTCTTCCGCTTGGCCAGGTAGAAATTCTCCAAATCACCACCTGGCATGTACTCCATGATGCATGCCAAAGGCCGGTTGATGTCCAAGCAGGCCCCTAGGAAAAGGACCAGGTCCGGGTGCCGGATACTGGAGAGAGTTTCCACTTCATGCAGGAGCTCATCAGTGAGAGCCACCTGCGTCGCAGACGTCTCCTCTCCATCACGCATGGCTGGACCAGTGGTGAGAAGCGTCTTCATCACCACCCGGGTACCGTTCCAGCGCCCGAGTTGAACACAACTCTTCAAGGTCTGGCTCAGTTGCCTTTCAATCTGGATGTCCTCGTAGTTGAACTTCCAGTGGCTCTCTTCGGCCTTCCGAGAGAGCTGCGAGCATCTCTCAACTGAAGCAACGGAACTCACTCCCCAAGAGCTGGTAACGGAGGCGGAGCCAGCCGAGCTCGTACGACGGACAGCCGGTGTGATGTCGGCGGGCAAGAAGTCCTGCTCCGAAGGATCTACCACCTCGACCGGTGACGGCATGCGAAAATGTTGAACGACGATGGCCGGCACAAAGGCGAAGAATCTGGGCCCCCTCGACTCTTGAACCCTGGACCGCGGCTCTCGCTTTCTCTCTCCCCAGCGATCCCGTCGGAGTGAAACGAACACGCGTTGCACCCAGCTGGACGTTTCCTATCCCCGCGTTAGGAACGCATCAAGTCCCTGTGCTGTGTGTGTGTGTGTATCAGAGTCATCACCGGCTCCCCTTCAACCCCGAGGAAAAATGCCTTATTCGAACCGAAACAAGCCTGGTGAACAACGCACACACACCCTGCCTGTCTCTCTCTCTGTCTCTTTCTTTCTTTCTTTCTTTCTTTTTTCAGGAGCATGCCCTAGCATTCGGTGCTTCAAACGTCGCACTTACTTGACAACATAAGTAACAAACCAACTGACAAGAGCATCAGCCCAGCCAGGAGCACAAACCTGAATGCATGCGCATGCTACGAAGATCTACGAAGCTTGAAGCAGGCGGTGGGAGAGGTCTGTTCTTGTTGGCACTCTCTCGCTTGTCGCCAGGTTGAGGCTCACAAGTTACGCTAGACGAGCATGCAGCACATGTTTGGCAAGAACAGCCTAACCTTCAAGGCGGTCTGCAGCTTTGTTGCTGCCTGGCCTTGAGCCATCATCACGTTTACTGGCGCCATGGCAGAATCTGCTTGTGTTTCCTGTTCCGCTTCTCGAAAAAATACGCGTTCGCGTCTTGCTGGGGCCATGTGAATGCCAAGATCGACTCCAAGCACCTTGAGCCGAGAACTGGCCCGAGACTGGCTGCAAGGCACTGAACGTGTTATGTTCTGTGCGTGTTGCGGAATCAAGATGGCTCCAATTGAAGCTTAAGGTTCTGTATGGCTCTTACTGTCTCTTGGCAACTGGCCCCTCAACCCAATGTCAACAGCGTTCCTGCACCCAGCCGCACGCCAACCCACCCGCGATCCTGAGCCAGTTCTTCCTTGACCCGAGAAGTCCATATTGAGACCCAAGCAGAGGACAACGACTTCCAAAGCCCGGCCTCATGTCGGCGGCGTGCAAGTGCAGCCGCACCTGCATCTTCCTGCTGCTTCTCCTAAGCACCGGGGCTTGAATCGGCTAAGCAAGCGAATCTGGAACGATTGAGGAGGCATGGTTAGCACAGCAAAGCGAGTTGAGACTGAACTCGGAAGTTCACAGAACGAGGCCAGCTACTACGAAACCCCAGCCCCCGCAGGAGCAAAAGCTTCGCCGCGTCGGACCGATTTGCTAGGGCAAGCTCTGCCGCATCTACTTTCGACAAAATCCCCATAACCCCCCCCATGCTCCCCTATTGCATTTGAGTTTGGATCTTCTACGTGGACTTCTTCATCCGAAGCTTTAAGACATTTGAGAACCATGTTGCTCTTTAGCCTGCAGGCCTCACCCCTTTCAGCATCCTTGTGCGATGCATACGCCTTACCCTGGATGGCACAAGCTCTATTGCCTGCCAGCTTTCTCCTGTCACGTCTTGCCATATGTGGCATGGCGAATTCCGTGCACGGGGGATTGGCACCCTGAAAGTCATAGGCTTGAGTGCGTGTACAGATCTCCTAATTTAATTTGGAAAGAAAGAATGCCTAAGCACGGCTTTGGGGTAGTTCAACTTCCCTGCGTCCCTGGCAAGACAGCAAGAAGCTATCAAGCTTCGGAGGCTGTAGGTGTATAGTCGGGAGCAGCATTCGCATGATGCGGTCATGGTTCCGGCACCTGTGTGTAAGACCAGCTGTTGTAATAACCAAATTATGCTGCAATCTGCTGCTCTTGCTTGTCTGCAAACATAGTGTGCCAAGACAGCAGAGTGCCAATCTGGGAGAATCTCGAGAACATGTCTCGAGCAATAAAGTGCCGCTTTGCGGCTTCAGTCGTTTTCGGCATCTCACCCGTGACACCGATCATCATGACCTCACCTTTTCATCAAGAAATAGAAGTAATGGCAATAGTTGACGCACTTCCTGGACAAAGACATATAAGACTTGTGAGATCAAGGCACCTGTAGAGCGGCCTGCTAAGGAACATTAACTGCCGCTGGCTCATGGCGCTTTCATTAACAATGTCCGGCCGGTCGGTCTCAATGAGATCCTGCCGGCAAAACACAAGGCAGGACAGGCCTTTACCTTTGCTTGCAGGGCATGATTTCTCAAGGAACTGTGCTGGCTGCACCCAATGCTTTGTGAGGGACTGCAGTGGCTTGGACGCTTCTGCCGAGCACCGCAGCTCCGCCTACACACCGGCCCAGTCCTGGGCCCCTAGTAAGGTGGATGGCCTGCTGGAGCCTGAGCGCAGTGCCGCGCGAAGACAGCGGAGGCACAAACGAGTCTGTTGGGCTCGAACAACGAGAACCTGCATCTCTCAAAGCCTTACAAACCCACTCCAACAGCCCATGCCCCAAGCCAAAGGCCTCAAATATATAAGGCCTCGCATCAGAATCTCAAGTGGTTTGAAGAGCCGCTGCACATCAGATGAAATGGAGATGAGTTGCCCTGCCGACCTTTCCTGAGTTTGTGATAGTTGGTCTATGTAGAGATGTATTGGCCCGCAGACCCGTGGCATTTTACGAATGTGGTGCAGGCAATGAAGCAGCCACGAGGGTCGTGAGGGCATGACTTCACAAACAACATTTACCACACTTTGCATTGCGGTTCGATCAGAAGAGCCGGAAAAAATCCTCATTTGTGCGCCCTGGCTTCGACGGATTCTGTTGTTTCACACAAGCCGGTCAACATCTCATAACCCCTACCCTGAAGAGAGGCCTCGGGCTGCGCAGGGTCCTTCCAGGTGATGTCCTGGCGCACCAGAAGAGGGCTGCACCCGCGCATGGGTACACGTGTATCAAATGATCAAATGTCGTGCGCACATCCATGTCAGAAACCGAAACACAGACGGCCGTGCAGGGTTCGGCTGGGAGGTCCATGCCCTGAGCCCCTGTTGAAAGACCTAACCTAAACCTGAAAGCTGCACCTTGGTTTGTTTGGAGCACTTTTGGAGCACCTCAGGGCTTGGGTAGGACCGGTAGGAGCTGCTCTAGCAGATTCTAGCACAAAAGCGGAGTTGGGTGGCTCTCTGAAACAGATTCAACTGAACCGTGAACGCACTGGCCAACCTTCTGATTTGGGCCTTATTTCGGAGGATGTACAGTACCCAAGCCCCCATGCGTCGAACAAGCAAAGGGTGAGGCAACCTCCAACGTATTGGTAGAACTGCGGCGGAAGTCATTTTCGAGCTCCTGCAGAAGCCAGTTTAGCTTTAGTCATAGGGCTTTAGGAGTGGGATGGTTCCATGACTGTAGGAGACTTTGAGCTGCGCTTTTTTACGGCAAAGTTTCGGCCAGGACCCGAACCCAGCCGATGAAATAGCTGAATTAGGTGACGTCAACACCGAAGAATCTGTGCTCATAAGACTTCGTTCTGCATCGCCGCTGCTGCTGCTGCTGCTGCTGCTGCTGCTGCTGCTGCCTGATGAGTGCACGCGGGAGGTCTCGGAAGTAGCTTGGTGCGTGAGGCCCGTTAGGCTTTCTGATTCTGATGGCAGCCATTGCTGGGAATTCTGGGTTCAACCTGGAGAACAAGAGACCCTGTAGCGCCAGTCAAACTTCCTTGCAAAAGGGCCAGCAGTGTTGAGCCCGGATTATCCCAAGACAGAACCAGCAGCCAACGGAGTGCCCTTGCCTGATCCGAGGACTCCATGCCGCTGTCAGGCGGCGCAAATCCCTCGTCTACCTCCATTGCATGGAATGTGGCAACAACGCGCTCACTCATCATCGCGAGCCACGAGAATTTAAAGCAACCAACGCCCACCCCCCGCGCCCCCCACTCCCCCCCGTAGCAACACAACATGCGCAGTGACGAAATTGAGGTGATGTGAAAGGTTTCTCTCAGCCTCTCAGCGTGGAGACGCAGGGTGCCCCCCTTCCCCCCTCAAAGTCGTGAAGCCCCACATCCCCACACCCGACAGCGTTTGAATCCGAGTATTTCTGCCTCCAGGCTCTCCGTCTGTAGGGAGTAGCTGTGGCGCAAAGTAGTGGCCTCCAACGTGGGCTGCATGGCGTGATATGCTGTGATTTTTGTTTAGGGCTTTTAGGGCGGCATTTGTACAAGGAATGACAAACCTGAGCCGAATTACGAAGTCCTGGCACCCCTCCACCCCAAACCGCGAACATATGGTTTGGCTGAGACAACTTGGCTTAGGCTTCACTGACTTCACCATGCTGCGGGCTTCTGCCGTATCCGCACCAGACCGCGGGCTGAAAACGAGAGCCTTGTTCTCGGTGCAGTGGCCTTGCTTGGACTTGGCACCATCCTTGCAGCGCGGAAACTGACTTTGCTTTGCAAACATAACAGCTCTGTGTTGGGTCATTTAGGCCCCGATGGCCTCGCTTGGCTTCATTTTGCCGCACTGGCCGGATTCCTCATACTTACTGCGAAGTTGGTGCCTATAGGGAGTAAATATATATGTATATATATATATATATCTCCCCCCACTTCAATTACCAGTACCAGTGTGTATTGGCCTAGTCACTGTCACGAGCTATGCAGGCTTGAGCAGCTGCCCCTTGCAGCATAGATGCTCTTCAGCTTTCGGTCCACTGTTGTCCATCTTCATGACTGTACGTCCTACCCTATTTCGTGCAGCCTCCTCCACAAGAACAGCTCGCTTTGGGACGGAGAAGCCGTGCACCTACGAGGGAACGTCATACGTCAGTCACGGTGCGGTTCAGAGTGCCATACGCGCGCCTTCAATAACAGCATGCATGTCCTGGCAAAGCCTACCCATTGTTGTATATGTACTGCCGAAACCAGGCATCAAGTCAGTTGTTCTGCAACACTGGCCTCGAGACAGATTGTCAGCCATACGGTTTCCCTAACCCTACGACCCTACGAGTTGTGAGCTTCGGGAGCTTGACGATGCACGACAGACCGCAAGAGTACATGAATCATGAATTGGTAATTGTGACAGTGGCCATGCTTGTGACGCGGCACTGAAAAACCATGGAACTGACCGAGCTTGGTGAAAGTGGTGGTGGCAAAACAAGGCATCGGACTCGCCGAGTTCTTCTGCCAAGGGCGTCCGATCATCTGCGATCTACGTTATCTACGTTTTTCAGGTCTTGAAGCAACAAAATTTGCATCTGCATTCGGTGCACTTTAGCACTGTTACATGGGCCTCCAGGTTGTCGAACGAACTGCTCTTTGTGAGGAGCTGGTGTTCCGCCTGCCAGAAGCGAGAGTTGCCTCGTTGCCCCACTGAAAGAATCTGAAAGAGCTCTATCCAGGCTTTACCAGGACTCTACCGTCCTGGTACTGTATCACGGCCCTGAATGCATGCAAGGGCCCTGCGTGGATGAGTTGGGTGAGCGGAGAGGGTCTGCTGGCCAAGCCACTCCGATGCTGTTGTTGAATATGGCGAGAACGATCTGCTTGGTCCTGCGTCTGAACCAGCACACAACCACTCTACCACTTTGTGCAGGACAGCCTCCACTTCTACCAATATCCAAGATGGCTAGCGGTTCCCACATCTTCTCCATACCTAACTTTGAAACCTAAATGTTCAAGGAAAACGTATTCTCAAAAGCTAGGTATTTGCCCTGCTTTTGGCCTCGAATGAACCAGGCACATACCACAGGCCACTTAACCGAAGGTGCGCACGGAGTTCCGAAAAGTGTAGACGGTACTGACACCAATGACTGAGAATGACACAGAACGTCTGCTCGCTCTACTTCCTGTCGTGTTGAGCTTGCAGACGAGCTTGTCTTCGCAAAATGTCGGAGACAGACACCATCATGTTCTGGCCAGGGCAAGGCACTAAGATCACCAGTTCATTGCCCTAGGCTTTGCATTGAGAAGGCATGCACCCAGCGCAATGCGTGAGGCTCCGGCGTGAGGGAACCGCCGAAGCCGCAGAGCTTTCCCAGGTAGTTACAAGTTGAACACCCTTGAATTCTCGCAAGCCCTTCGACGCCACGCTCCTTAAGGATGTCCTTCCCCCTTCGTTGAACCCACCCTGAGCGTTGCAGCCTGCCTTCATGTCGAAATTCGTCGGGACCCCGCGGACTTTCCTTTGTCGAAGAAAGGTGTCAACCATTGAAATTGTCAGGCGTCCTTACTACGCATTTCCTTCCACACAGAGCTGCTTGGAGCAAAATGGGCTGAAAGAGTGGAGAATCGTCATGCTGGAAGGACAATGTAACTTCGTGTTCGTCTAGGCTGTCTTGGGAGCATCTTCATCAGCTGACTTCTAGGAATAGCTTAACACCTGTATTACAACAAATGTCACTGGGACTGAGCCTGGCCAACCCCGTGTTCAGCCGCAAGACTTGACGCTCTCGTGAAACTTGACGAAGTTGATGTGGCCAACACCCTCCTACGGCACTGTTTAATGAGCCCGGGCTTCATCATGCGTTCGAGATGCAGGATTGTGGCTGCGCGTGTTTGGTCTTCGAGACTGCTGAAGGTTGGCGTGACTCTGCTTGTGCTGCTAGTGGCGTTGAGGCACGCACAGTTTGGTTTCGGGGTTGTTGCAGCCAGTGCCTGAGTCAAGCGCAAGGCGCCAAGACAGCTCCTACTACGCAACCTTCGAAGCCGCTTCAGTTCAGCCCTCAGGTCGACAACACCGACAACACCCTAAACTCCACATACCTTTGCAGCTGATTATCCTCTCCGAACACCCATTGAATCCGCATGTCGTCCCACAGCCTCGTCCAGGATGTCGAAAAGCTCCTCGGGTTGCTCTGCGGGAACCTGGCATCGGATTGCACAAGTACCGAACAGTCGAATCCAAGCAAAGGCTCCGAGTTCTGCTTGTGGTTGTGGCTCATCAAAGGGGTGCAGGGGCGGCTAGGCAAGGTTCTTGTCGGCCTGCCTCCATGCGCAGCAGTGCATTCTTCACCTCCTTCTGTTGGCCTTGCAAGTTTCAGGGCGAATTTGGGCGCAGGTTTTGGAGTATAGCGTGGTCAGTTGCTGGATAGACGCTACTGAAGCCAGGCCGCAAATTTCGACGAACTCTTCACGCTCGAGAGTACCACTGCCGTCCGCGTCGGCCGACTGCAACCAAGCACGGACTTGCTTGTTGCAGATACGCAGACTAAGCAGACCGCGCAAGCCTGAGCATCTCCACTCCCAACATTGAGATGCTGGCCGCCAGACTGTGAGCAACTGCATCAGCGTCTACATGCCCTTAGCCTTTATTTGACTCTGGGCGAGCACTTCAAAACTATCTCCAAGACTAAAGACGAGTACTAACAGTTGCAAACATCCTCAAACCATGACGCTGCAGTTCCAGGGCCTCGAAGACTTGCTTGAGGAACTCGAGCTCTTGCAGGAGCTGCCGTTGCATCCGGCGGTCTTGGAGGTCCTGTGTGGCTGTTCAGAGCTGGGGGCACTAGGTCACCAGGAGAAGAGAGTCATAAGGTTGAGCATTGGCTGGCAGCCCATCCTATAGCGTTTAAGGTTGAGTAGCTTGAAGGAGGGACTGGATTTCAGGGCTCCGGCTGGGGGTGGAGGTGGCGGCTGCTGTGGCTTGAGCGCAGGAGGACAATATAGGACAATTTTCAGCAGCTACTACTGCACTTCCCCAAAAGGCTAGGCCACTTGCGAGTACAGACCTGCACAACCCCAAAACAGCATCCAAACAACTATCATGGCATTCATTGACCACATCCTGATCGGAGGATGCAATGTTCAAAGTGTTCTCCACAATCACGCCTGCGAGCCCGCTCTCATGAAAGCAGTTGACACTGAAGCCATTGCAGCACACGAGAAACACAACTGGCTCAAGTCTGCTGTAAGGACCTCGAACCAACGCTTTAGAATTTACAGCGGTGGTTGGTTGTGGTTGACCTCACGCGCTACGCAGGCCACTGGCCCTGCCAGCTAGCTGCGTTGCTGGTAGGCGTGCAGACACGGACGCGGACACGCAACACACCCGGAGACACTAACATGCAGAGACACACACGCACGCACGCACGCACGCACGCACGCACGCACGCACGCACGCACGCACGCACGCACGCACGCACGCACCCACGCACCCACACACACACACACACACACAACACACACACACACACACACAACACACACACACACACACACACGCACACGCACACGCACACGCACACGCACACGCACACGCACACGCACACGCACACGCACACGCACACGCACACACACACACACACACAGGGAATTTTGCGTCGAAACCATTTTGAATGCCATTCTGACGCGTAAACCGCAGTCTAGTTCTCCGTCGAAGACCGTATTGAGGGGCAAGATCTATTGACCTAAGCGTACCTGAAACATGTCATACATATGATTCGGCGACAACCTGTAAATCGATGTCTCGCAAACTGTCATGCACTGTGCTCCAGAAACTGTACCAAACGGCAGTCCTGTCGAGAATCTGGTATCTTTCCAGGCCAAGTATGAAACCACAGCTTTTGGGTACTTTGGGCGGCCCAGACAGCGGCAGGCAGAGACACAGACAGAGACACAGACACATGGAGACAGCGAAGTGTTGGCCACAATGTGGCCTACGATGATGTTCAGCAGGCCAAACGTGGTCAGAAAAATGTACCTTAACTCGAGGCCATCTTAAGGCCTAGGTGCCGAAGGGCCGGCTTACGAACTTCTACGACTTAGATTGCTTTCTTGGGTCTCCAGCAGTTGGGCTGTGGTGGGGTGGCGTTGAGGGTTTATCAGTCGGCATGCCAATGAGGCGTGACGGAGTAGGTAGGTTCTTATGTGAAAGTCCCGCGCCATCCCCCTCCCCCCCCGCCCCAACGCTAGTCAACGCCAGATGCAGCAGGGTGCAGCAGCAGGACCGGAAACAGGAGCGGCTGACGGTCGACCAGAGGGCGCCCCACCGTCATGTTCCAAGACTCCTATTCCGGTCATAGTTCGTGGAGAGTCAGGGAGTTTTATAGTTGTGTACGTACCATGTATAACCCTCCGTCATAAGAAGCAGGAGGGGGTTGGTGGTCTGCACTCGGCACGCTGAGCTGCCAGATAAAACAGCGGTTAACGGTTAATGCCACAACATGCTGGAGGGCTTGGCGCGACTTGCGACTAGCAACTCAAACCAGCATCAAACAAACCTAACAGCCCATCTCCTGCATAGCGAGTCAAACGAGAGTAAGATGTCTACTGACACAAGACCCGTGCATACCTGCGCAAGACACAGAGCGAATGTCGCCTCTAAAAAAGTCTAAGGGGGAAAGCACAAGGGTCTTCAGTACAAGCACCTCGTGTTGTGTATTTCTTGGGGGACTGGGACTGGAGGTGGCTCGGGACGGGCGGTCCAGCGTGACGACCTGAACGAGAGTGTACATAGTCCTCGGGATGGTACCTTCATGGGGCCGATCGCTGTTCCAGCTTTGGGTTTTGGATTTAACGTTTCGTTGTGGGGGCCGTTTGGACAATCCAGGCGAGGCACATGTCAGGCTCAGTAGCAACAAGGGCACACCCGGCGACCCACCATCCAACAGCATCTGAAATAATTGCAAGTCCTCTGCTGCATTCTACAACCTGCAACTCCAAGCCCAACTTCCTGAATCCTCAGAATGCTCGTGCCCCCGCCCGAAAGCACCCCAAACCTCCTCAACAAGCAATAAACTGCCGATCAGCGCACCAAAAAACGCTTCGCAGTCGCTCCAGTCAGCAAAAACACCTTTGCAGTCGACGGCCAGGCGAAGACCTGGCCACACACGAGGTTTACATCCTCGGCTTTTGGGGGGGGGCTTTGGGAAGAGTTCGGGAAGGAACCGGGGCTCCACGGTTCGGGGGGCTGAGAAATTCTCTGAGGGTTAGGGCACGGTTAGGGCATGTGCGACCCAAACGACTATACTGCGGGGATGCCTACGCCTGCGTTTTCTTGATTGGCACAAAGACAAGTTGGGGACTGGCTGGTCTCCTGTTGAAGAGGTGAAGAGGGTTGCAGGGTCGATTGAAGGGAGCAGGGAGGGCCCGGCGTGGAGCCATTGCAGTGCGGTCAAGATACAGACGGCGAAGGTGTACATGATGAGGCACAACCTTACAATACATGGTCTAGCCATGGGAGCGATTGGTCCAGACCGCTTACGCATACGCAGAATAAAAAACCTGCCCTAACATGGAGAGAGGCCACTGTGGCATCTGCAACTGCCAACAGGTCACCACAGGCATTCTGACTGATGCGCCTCCCACATTGACTCTAAAGTTGATGTCCCCAACTGCCTAGTGTTGGACATGTTGGAACCAAAGCCGGGCAGCATCAGGAAGACCCAGTTCAGCGTGGTGACGGACTCTGCGAAGCCCTGCACCAGCAGCCACAGGTTCCTGGCAATCAGAGCCATAAGAAGCTATACAAGGGTACTAGTACTTAGTAGGGAATACAAAAAGATGGAAACAACCCCACCGACTGTTTACAAACGCAGTGGTTCCTTCTCAAAGGGGGGAGCAGGGGCCTTGAGAAGGGTGATACCCACGGCCTGAAGCGACGGAGGACTTGCACCAGCTTCACCAGCCGCAGGAGTCGCATCAGCCGCAGCATTCGAAAGACCACCAGGTTGCTCTCCACGTCCTCAGCAAGTTGTTCGGCTGCGGGGATTGAACAACACATCCACTGTGAGGGTGTCTGCCGTGTGTTCTTCCGAAGTCGGCCCCCGGAAGCCTTGAAGTCTCCATCCTTGCCCTTGCCAACTTTGTTTTTGTTTTTTCATGTTTGTTATTGTGGTTTCTACCTCTCTGTCTCTCCCTCTGTAGGTGCATACGCACGTGTAGCAACTATTTCCCAAATCCCAATCCCGCAACTCCCAAGCGCTGAATCCCAATTCTTTGGGGGGCCTCAGGAAGCTCGAGATGGGCTGAAGGGCTCAACACGACCACTTAGGCCTCAAGCTGCGTCAGAAGGAGAAGATTCCCAAGAGACTTGTATACATGTACGTGCGTGCGTGTTTGTTCGCATACACACGTACGTATATATATATATATATACATACAATATTAATAGAGAGAGAGAGAGATAACGCGACTCAGAGTCACGGACTTCTGTAGGGATAGAGCCACCTGTTTTCACCCTAGCAGCAGACGCGGCTGGGCTCTTTTTGGAAACCTGTCCTCCTCAACGTGTTGTTGCCACTTCAGATATTCTCACTGGAGACAAGATTCGGTCACATAAGGAAGTATCCAGACGTCAGCAACCTCAAGGTCAAGAGCGTTTGTGCAAGGGTTTGCGCAGAACAAGCGTTTTGGAACTGTGTGAAAGCGCTGAACCACTCACCAATGCTGCCACTGAGGTGACTTGTTTCCAGCATGCACTCCCAGGGAATCGGTAGATGAGACTCTTGCTATCATGGGGGCAGGGGGACACTGCTGCCGAGTGGCTGTCAGCACCTGGGCAAGAAGCATGCAACGTCTGGAATTCGGCAGGGTTTCGCTGCATCTGCAGATCGTGCCCCCCCCCCCCCCAATGTTGCAACGACATGCAGTTGACAAAGCACGACAACCAAGGAGTGAGAAACTGCGAGGCCACGCTCATTCTTTGAGCATCAACCACGAAAATAGCACAGCCGCGCCAGCCTAGCATTCTCCAGTGCTGCCCGGCAGCAACCAAAATCATGTCTATATAGTTCAAGCAATCCTGGCTGTTTGGGTCCAGGTAACTTGCCAACGAGCTCTGCAACAAACCGCCAAAAGCCAAATGCCAAGGTCACGCGATGGGTACCACCAGGTGCTTTGTTGGATGTTTCCATGTGTTGTCTTGTTTGGATGCCATTCGGCCCACATTGCACTGTTTACAGCGCTCTGCATCCCCAGCTCTCAGTGCTGGACCCCCCTACCCCCCTTCACCCCTCCTGTCCTTGAAGTATCGCCGCCGCATCTCCCAGATTTTGACGAATGCTTCCTTCGATAGATGGGCAATGCGAACAATTAATCCTTCACCATTATGCTCGTAAACTTATTCCGATCTTCGGCAGGGCATCGTCCAGGCACCATCTGACCACACCATACCGAACATACTCTACCTTGCAACCCCGCACTCCGACGTCGACGTCCAGTTGGGCCTATGTGCATCCCAGGATCCACAATCCATGTGACCTTAGTTGCAACACGCTCCGCTTTCGCTCCTTACGGATCATGTTACCATCCCTCGTGTTCCCGAAGCCCTGAAGGTGGCCCAACTGGACCAAGCGAAGATTTTTGTGTGCACATGCAATGCAGCGGGTTTGATTCGCAATCCCCCCCCCCCCCCCCCCCCCCCCCTGCCGTCGACTTGCTAAACTTGGTTCTCAGGACATCGAGCCAGTTCACACAGAATCAGTGTCCTGGATCCCTGCTACAAGGACGCTGGGGCCAGTAGGCAAGAATCAGCAAAAGTCCCTGGATCATGCATCCTGCCGGTAGAATTGAAAAGGGAAAACATCCCAAACGCGGTCAAGCGACGCAGAAGACGTTCCTGAGTGAGCTGTCCAGAGTTCTCCGTTCTGAAGGCTGTTCTGTTGGGTCGTTGCAACATCCTGTGAAGTGAGGCCCATAAGATCGTTCTGAGATCCAGAAGAAGCTGACACGCTGCCAAGGTGATGATCCCCAGACTCACGCTACATGCAAGACATGCTTGTATGCCGGCCAGGCTTTGGTTGTGACAAAAGCATCCCATCAGAAGCAGCGTGGGCCCGCAACAGCCCATTGCTAACTCTCAGGAAATCTGCACTGACTGGCATGGTTTTCATTTTAGACAAGCAGCCCAACCACAACCCACACGACATCTGGCGTTGATTCCTGCAGGAGTGGGCGAACAGACAAAATTTTGTGGCGTCATAGGGTTGCAGGTTCGTCTCGTTTGCTTTGTTTGGCATGTGGGCGACATTGGCACGGGCATCAGAAATCAGATCGCTTCAGATATTTCTGACTTGCACGACTGGGAAACAGTGGGACCTACGGGACTCATGGCCCAAGGACGATGCCGGATCTGGCTTACTGCCGCTGCAAAGTATCGACCACGTGGTGTATTTCGAAGCCGCAGCAGGAAACAGATCGAACCTTCATGTCAATCTCAAGGCCAATGGCAATGACGTTCAGCAATATGATGACAGCGAAGAAACTCTCGAATGCCTCAGTCGCAGGCTTGTCGTCCGAACAATTGTACACCGTTGCCGAAGCGCCTCTGTGTTAGACGTGTCAAAACGCAGCCAAGATTCGTGATGCTCGACCTCAGAGACGGAAACCGGCAGACAGCCAGGTAATGTTTGCGTGGGAACGGTGGCAACGGTCCCAGAAGCGGGCAAATCACAAAAGCAAGACTTCGTGCGGCGAATTGCTGAAGCAAAAGACGTCAAAGCTGAAAGGGACATGAAGGTAGGATTGTGTCGTGCTGGTGCGTGATATTGGGAGTTCTAGGCATCTGCTCGGAACTTCGGGAAATGACCGAAGCCCTCGCATCCTCGCTGACAGGGTGGGCCTGCATGCCTGCAACCTTGTAATTGCAAATCACACGTATTTGACCAGTCGTGCTACAAGTACCCTGAGCGCGGAAGCCAGAGAAGCCCAGGGAGAAGGTCAGGGGAGGCAGGGAAAGGCCAGGGCCCTTGCCCAGTAGACCTTCTCCTCCGATTTAGACTCCAAACCTGCTGTCGCCAGCGCCTCTGCAGGCGATCTATGGATCTATGGCGATGTGCTGGTTTCTGGGGATGTTTTTCGGCTTTGTTGTTGGGGAGTTGTTTCTGCGAGTCCTGTCCCTCAGTGGCGATGTCTTAAGGATGTACGTATTTGGATGGCCTTGGCAGGCTTCCCGTTCTTCAAGCCTTTTGCAGCACAGCTGCCTGTGCTCCAAAGAATGCCCCATTTGCTCCTCTCTTAATCGAGCTAGATGAAGGCTAACTCGCACACGTTCATGCGTCTTCAGGCGGTCAGGCATGAAACCTACAACCTCTACAACCGCACGCTCCAGGTCATTTGTTGAACCCATGCTGTGCCAAGCGTGTGACGGGAGCTTCTTCTTCTTCTTCGAGACATGAGAACCCTCTCAAAACAGGGCTGTGCAACCCTTTTTGATGTCCGGGTCCGTATCTTTTCAACGAGGGTAAGCACTGTCATGCGAGGAGCGCAACCCGTCAAATCTATAGACCCTTTGGACCATGCTGTACTGCAGCCCTGCGCCACAAAAGACAGAGGCGAAACCCGAGGCAAAGCCCGAATATGCAGCTTCAAACGGTTCTCAAAGCCCTCTCAGCAGTCAGGTGTCGACATGGCCGTGCCTCCTTCCACTCTTTCTCGTCAACATGCTTGTCTTCCTGGGGAGTTGGTGTAGTGCTTGCATAAGTCTTCTCTTCTTTCAAGGACTCGAAATTCCGCAGGGTTTCACGGAATAAGGGCAAAGGCCTGCCCCAGGGTTTGCCGGCACGGCTTGGCGTTTTGAACTGAAGGTTGCAAGGAACGGCTGATGTAGATGCAAGCCGCGAAGAGCCGCACGATTCAGGACCCATTCTCTCAGTTCTCTCCCAGTCCAAGCCAGTAACCACAAAGTCGAGCGAGCCCTCTAGGCCAATATGTCCTCGAGCCTAAGCCCAGAATCCTGCCCGTGCCAACCTCTGCACACTTACCATGGGAACATACTTTTACCAGGGTAGAAGTACATATTCATCGAACTAAATGATCCTGGCTTGCGGCCAAGCTTCCGAGTTGCTGAGGTTGCTCCTGCCAGCAAGCATGGTGCTCATTCCATGGGCCACCATCTGACTTGGTTTGTGACGTCACTGTCAGCCTAAGGCTTAAAGCATGTTGGGTTGCCTAAGGGGAGATGTGTAAGCAAGTGACAAACGACTGTGCCTGCACAGCTTCCTCCCAATTCTGCTGTCCTGGCTTTGTGCAGCGTCTTCTCCATACGCTCATCACCATCGCCTGATCGGAGAATGGCGGGCGACGCGCCATGTGTAAATGCTGCCACAAGATATGTGGAACATCGGCAGCACCAGGTGCATCATCACAACATCATGAAATGTGCAGGAAGCAACAAATACAGATGACGATGACGCCGGGCCTCAAGCCCTGAAGAGCGACTTACAGGTACTACTCGGTATGAATGGGATGCAACAAATAGTGAGCAAAGAGACTTCAGCATGCTGCACCTGCAGAGCATGCAGAAAAAGACCACGGGTCAGTTTTGTGTCAGATTTGTGCTATGAAGTTTGGTTTTGTTTGTGCGTTGGCGCGAAGACCAAGCCCTTGCGTCATGCCGAGTCCCCGCCAGGTCCATGGATGGTTTCTGATTCTTGGTCCCATCGTGCTCATGCCACTGACAATCCCAATCATGTTGGAAAAGCGGGGATTTGCTTTCTGTCGCGAGGGGTTTGCAGTGTTCCGTGTTCGTTCGACATCGCGCTGTCGCCTCTATGCTGTGCGTCGGATCGAGAAGCAGACCTGTCATCGCTGTTCGGCCCGGCAGTTTGTTTGCCTGTGCTAAAGTGGAGGGGCTGTGGGGTGGGGAGTGGAGGGGGTTGGGGATGGGGAGGGAGGGGGGGAGGAGAGCGGCGGGTGAGGTTGCTTTCAATTTGTCGGTTTCATCATGAGTTGTTTTTGCTATGGTTTGCTGCCTGATGTTTTCAACATGTAGCTACTTGTGTGCTTCTGGTCGTCGCTCTTCAACCTGTAGATTTACGGTTGTCGCTGTACTGAGTTTTGCATATCTTCGCTCCCCTACTTCGGTTGCTTGTAACGCTAGGTCGTGCTTTGGGGGTCTCAATGTCTTTGGTTGATCTCAAAAGACAAAATAGCCAACATAATCCGGATATCCGGGATGCAAGGCCAACCATGCCAGGGTGGCTTTCGTCATCAGGAGGCTCGGTCGACCTGTCTCGATATCTCGATCGAGTGTGTCTGTGTGGCATCGCACATGGGGACGTGAACCCGACCTCCAGCTTCTTCCTCCAACCATACCGCAAAACCCAAGCCGCAAAACAAATGCAATTGCACAGTGGCCATGGCAACCTGATGAAAGGTAGTCCACAGCATTGATCGACTGCTCTTCACAACAACCAGAATCTCTGCGGAGAACCGCTCCCTCGGTATTTACTATCAAACGCATATTCATGTTTGAAAGACCGTAAATCAGGCAAACAATTATTTTGATGCATCTGCCAAACTGCCAGATCACTGTAATGTCGAGCTGTTGCAGTCAAAATCCCTCTATCGTTCACAAAATAGAGCCGGAAGATTATCGCTTCGACCCCTCCAGCGTTTGAGATCTCGGTTAATTAGCCTTTAGCAAGTACTTGCTTGAGCTCCACGTGGGGGTGGAAGATTAAGGGCCACCGTCACCGGGGTTCGTCAATACAGCAGGACGTCTCCCACGAGTCGGTCTAAGGTACGAAAGCCTTAATCCACATCCTGGTTTGCAAAATCACGCGACCCAGACTTTCCCGTAAAACCTACACCCGTCGTCAACGCCAACAACAGCAGCAGCAAGAAGTCCCACCAGAGCCCGCAACGCATACTCAAGTGGAGCACCTGCGGGAGCACAGGCGACACATTGGCCCAGCAGCCGTCCAGGAGATGAAAGGCTTGCAGCCTGAGGTTGCTGAGCTGAGTCTTCAGTAAGGTGTAGGGATGGGTTTTGGGCTTCATCGCTCACACCTCGAACATGCCAGACGACGCTTCTCCAGCAGAAGGCAGTTTTCTTAACTTACCCACCTGTGCGTGCGGGAGTCTCTGCGCAATCGAACCCAGCTTATCCTACAGCGGGAAATCGTTGTACTGGAAGCCATCCGTGGAATGCTGCGATGAGGCCTATGGCCTTCTCATAATTTAAGTATGGCTTCGAGCCCGGCGAGCTCTGGCATCACAATCTGTCCGAGGAAGTAAATCGTGCCATCGTTGTCGCTCAGTATGAAAAGAAATGGCCGGTCGACTGTCATTCTCATAATCAGCGCTGGAGCCGGAAGGCCGCAAAGCGTCATCACCGCACCAGTAGCTGCAGCTGCAACAGTGCCCTCCTCGTTGACTTCAAGCGTCGCCTTGTGCACCACTTCACTGAGGCATACCCCCGGGTTGTCTGACATCTTCAAGAAGCCACCCTTCGGGACAAAGGTCTCCTTCAAGCCAAGCTCTTGCAGTGCTGCCTTGATCGACCCACCTGCACTGAGGCGAAAGCGAGGTAGACGTAGCTCCACTTCCTCAGGGCGCAACTCTCCCTCCAGGGCTGCCCAGGTCTTGTCTACGGAAGCAGCCACATCGGACAATGCATCTGCACCCTCTTTCTTTGGAAGCACGATGGTTGCCCACGTTTTCTTGTCACTGTAAGGAAGTCGCACGGCTTGGTAGATTCCATTCTCCGTGTATGCCACTTTCTTCTCTTTCTGGTACATCATGTCGCATGGGAGGGATGATGAAAACCCCTTGAACTCGGATTTCTTGGTAAGCGTGACATCAAAGACTTTCGCCCATGAGCCCTTGAAAAAAACGGTGTTCACCAGCACTAGCACCGTGAGGGGGTCCAGCGCACCGTCGAAGAGCGACCCAATACGCCCAAAGGTCTTCTCCTTCACCCACTCGTTGATGGGCGTAGGGTCCGCGCTCTCCCCCAACTCACGGGCCTCAGCACCAAACCGCGCCTGCACGGCCTCCACATAGTCTGGGCGGATCAACATGCGAACCCATGCAGAGTTAGCCATCTTCACGGTGCTGTCTGCCGGCAATCCGGGCACCAAGCTGTTTAACAAGGACATCAGCTCTTTCTCTGTTCCGGATCCCTCGGTGGAGCCAGCTGCGACCATAGACAGGCACCCAGAAATTGACAGCGGGGATATGAGCACGTTCTCCCCAGGCCGTGATGTCATCAGCCGAAAGAGGGAAAAGCCCAGTGGGTTGACCGTGGCAGCAAGCGACATCACGTGTTGTGAACAAGACAGGCGGGTGTCCCGTCAAGACTGGCGGTAGCATCTTGAGCTGAAGGCAATTGTGTGCCGCAACAGCTATGGGTCCCTTGCCAAGGCTGCTAGAACAGAGGTGTCTTGCAACCACGGACTACAAGATCTGCCACAACTCACACAAGCTAACCACCAATCCCGAATCGGTTAAACCCGAAGTCTGTTTCATGAAGCTTCATCAAGCCCTACACGCCACACTAAACTCGAAGACCTTTTGTCCTAAAGCCATGGTAACTTTGTGTGGCCCCGGTGTCGACTCCGAAATGATCTGGGCATTTGGTGCATCAGATTTTGGGTTTAGGGATGGGGCATGTTGGGGGCCCTCCTGCCCTGGATTGTGCAGACGATGGATGAGAGGAGGTTGAGAGACACATGGAGGCACAACTCCCTGCGCTGTGATGATGTATGGTGCACTGTTAGAATGCCCTTGCAATAGCATGTGCATGGAAAGCGAGTTCTTTGGTCAAGCTCAAAACCCAAGCCCTGGCCGGCATCCGCCTAATTAAAAAGCCCCCCCCCCCCCCCCCCCCAGAAAAAAAGAAAACAAGACACTGATGTAAAACACACCCCGCTTGCATGCTGAGGCGTCGGCGGCAGAACGCTTTCGGGCACAGGCATTAACCAAACGCGCGACAGGGGAAGGAACACTAAACCATACACCAAGGTTGGCTGCCCCGGCTTTATGGTTGCAGGGTTTTCCGGGTGAGGGGGAGTCGGGAGGTGCAGATATGTGTAGATGACACAGAGTAGGTGAGATCCAGGAAGTGTTAAAGGCCTTTACACCTCCGACATTGGCCACCATGTTCCCTGCATGCTGCGCTTGAACCGAGATGTTCGCGGGCGACAGATGCCTCATACATCTCCTTTCTGCACCCGAGCCAAGCTCTCTGGGAATCTAAGCTCCCTCCCCCCCTGGAGCCAAGCCCCCAGCCATGCCGTGACCATCCTATCCCGGCACCCCAGGTGATTTCAGTTTCTTTCCTATCCCGGTGGGATCTTCAACTCAATGCTTGAATGTGAGACATGCCAATTCAAAGTTTCGCTCCCTGTTCAACCCGTCTGCCTTCTCAATTCGCCTAGATTGCTCCGACCTTCAGGCGAGGCTGGGGAGTTGAAAGATGTAAAGAGGTTTGGGCTGTATTCAGTTCTGGCAACACCCAAGGCCACACCTGTACCCTCTCTCCCAGCATCCTCACTCGCCGCCACCTGACAAATGCCATAAGCCCTGCAACTCCTAAAGACCCTACGCGGGTAGGAGGTTTCACAGAAAGGTCCACATTACTGCCGAGAGCTGCACGTAAAGCCGGAGCGCCTTAGGCTGGGAGCCAACATGCTTCAACTAGCGCCCTTAAACATCTTGCATAGAGCAATCCGACGGGCTGCGAAGTCCGTCGGAGCACCGCACCCAGGAGGAATCCGGATGGCACTTGGTGTACCGAAGACGAAACCCGAAGACCGCTCGAACTGCAGTGTCGGCTCATGGCCTGGGAGAATTTCGAAACGCTTCGAGGGCCCAGCGGTGCGCATGGCCATGGACTCCGCCCGAAGCATGCTCTCGACCTCGAGGGCTCCAACAGACTCACAAGTCTGCCACTTAAAGACGCACAGGTCTTCAAGATGCACGACAAAGCTTAAGGTTCATAGAGCTTGGTGGTCTTCTTTGTGAACCCTTGCACCCTTGCTCCTTTTGCAACCGCACCTTTATCTATATCCTTTCATTAGCCATGAACTCCGCGACAGGTGCCCCCTCAATCAAGATCCCCACCAGGCTTGTATATGTTTTTGAGAGAAGTCGGCCACCGACCGATGCTAAAGCTGTGAGGGGCCTGACACTGCTGAGAGACTGACAGGGTTTGAGGCGCTTAGAGGGGTTTTTCCAGCGACTGCAAGCAAGGAACTGTAGTGCACTTAACTCGAAACTGGGTCTTTCCGTTCGAACCGAGAAGTTCCTAAATACAGGAGCGGTTGCAACAGAGATGCGTACCTTCCGGGTTGCTGGGTTTAGGCGCCCTGCTTTATCCGCTGAGGCATGCCAGCAAGGAGAGATCTGCAGAATAACTAGGGGGATTGATGTTCGACCTTGTTTAGGTGCCCGCTTCGTTCTAAACACCATCACTCGAATCGCCCTTTTGAAGGGGGTCACTCAAAAGGGGTGAAGAACCGTGCCAAGCATATGCGTTTCCAAAACTCCACCAGACTTCACACGTGCCCAAGGCTCTGGCCGCCTCTGCGCCGACGGCATCCGCACCGCGGACAAGGTCCAACGAGTCTGGCAGGGGAGGCTTGCGGAGTCCCGGGTCCAGCATTTGAAGGCACAAGAGCTTATCAGGGGGAGTTTAACTTGCTTATGTCCGGCTACAGATTATTATGGTCTATGGTCCCAACGTTAGGATGGTTTATTCTCCTAGGCCTCTTGTGTTCTCCTGCTAAGACGCTGCTTACTGTCCAAGCTCCGCAAATCCGCAAGTCCATAATCCTTCAACCCTGGGGGCCCCGAACAGGGATGTACCTGAAGAGAACCATTGAGCGATTCAGGCCGGCCTGGCCGACTGAGCCCTTCACCACTGCGAGAAGCCACCTTCGTCGTTGCTGGCATGCCATGCTGCACTCTCCCATGCTCTCGACCATCTTAGCTTCCCGTGATTCTGTGACACTGGAGGAAGCGTCAGGGTTTTCATGTGCGCAGCCACTGCAATCAAGCTTGTGCAAACTCGATTTCCGACAAATTTGGGCGGGCTCAATTTATCAGCAGAGTCGGTCAACCCCACGACCCTATTTAAAACGGAAAAATCCCAACAAATCCACACAACACTCTGCCTCGACCTCGGCCCAAGCTGTTCGGAGCTGCCTCTCTAAAGCGTCGCACTGGCGCAGGGCCTCGGCGAACAATGGTTTCATGCCGCGCTTGCTCAGGAAGCCCTAGGGTTGGATGTCAGGGACATGGAATGGAAGGTTAACCCCCCCCGCGGCTTCAGGCTCTTGTTCGCTTTTCGTACTGAAAATAGGGGCCCAAAAAATCACATAAGCATAAGGATCCTGCTACGGGGGTAAAAGGGCCCCTATAAGGGGGATTCTGGAAAACCAGATTTGTAGAATCCTTATGCTTATGTGTTTTTTTGGTCCCCAGAAAGGTGCTGAGAAACCGCCAGGCTGAGATGCCGATAGTTTAGCCATACGTGCATGCAGCAACTCCCTCTGCCCGTGGTTCAGGAAAACCTCGCTTTGGTAAACTGAGCCTTCCCTTGAGGGCGGCGGATGGGGGCCCGGGGTCAAAGATCATGCCCCAGGAGCTTCCTACGCAGATTGGAGACTCTCCATTGCGAAGGAAGCTTGGCATGTTATGGGATGATGCGCTCAACATGCTCCCTGCCCTGCTGACCCATGCTTTGCCGACGCTCTTCACAACTTGAACACGAGTGCTACGGTCTCGGCAGCGGCCTCAGATGTTCAAGTTGTCGAACTTTCCTAGGCGCTTGTAGCGCTCAAACTCCTCCATCTCCTTCTGGACCCACTCGTCCTTCAGAACATGCAACATGATGCAACATGCAGAATCGAGGTTTTGGCCTCAGGGACGCTCACTGCACTGGCTTATCGAAGGTCATGCTCGCGCATGGCATCTTGAACAGTACGGTTTGCGAATACCGTTTCGGGTTCACACACTTGCATGGCGTTTGGGCTGAGGGCTTCGGGTTAACCGCCAAGATATCCTTCTCGACGAGGCAGACTGGAGTGCTAACCAACTGCATCATGGCAACTCACTCTGCCGGGACCTCTGTATTTTCGTAGCACCCTTCGCTGGTGTTTTTTTGTTCTTCTTGCTGATATTGTTCCTTTTTCTCAGTGGGCGTCCACGGTTCACCTGCTGTTTCCACCCATTTGCAAGTATACTGAGGTGCACCACGCAGCAGGAAATCGGCTTTGGAGCGGCACTCCTCGATACAACGAAACTTGCCAAACCCCGAGCGCAAAAGCTCGAGCTTCAGCAACCCGTCTGGTGTCTTCTTCGGCTGCTGTAGCTGGACCCCTCGCCCTTAACTCAGTGACTACTTCAACACCCCAGCGCCACAAACCAGTCGACAGTCTCTTCCTTCGACTAGGCTTTCTTTCGAAGGACTACATCTCGCTCTCTGTCTCCCTCTCTCTGGGACACGTAATGCGGTAAGTCATGTCTTGCCTTATTCCCGGTCCCTTACCTGGACCCAAGCACATTTTGGAACTGTATTGGCACCCTTTCGGAACCCTTTGCGCCCGCATCCTGCATCTTCTTCTCGTAGTCCTTCTCCAGGGCCCGGAGCCGTCGGATCCGCCGCTGGGCCTCTTGGCACTCAAGGCCTCCTCGCCCTCTAGCAGTCATCAGCTTTGCTTGTGGGGGGTTGGGGGGGGGATGTTGGGGCATTCCGGGTCTACAGCTCTTTCGCATCAATTTTAAAGGTTCGTACGGGATGGAGTATGCGCACGCAGGCCTCCTGGTGCACCCAAGCCGAGCGTTCCGCAAAGTCCCACTCTTGGCTTCGGGTCTCTCCTGCGACCACATAGGATGTGGCTAGGGGCTGTCGGGATTCTTCTGAGTTTAGAAATGAACGATTTGGAACTGCGCTTGCGGAATCTGACCGAAACAGAACCGGAACCGCAACGCGAAGTAATCAGTTCGTGGACTTGCTGAGAGATAAACTTCTGACACACCTCTCAGGGTCACAAAAACCCCTTGAGTGTAGACAGGGCGCGGTGCACGAAGCGCAGAAGCTGTGCCGGGAGCTCCTCGAAGGAAGCATTGCCACACAGGAGAACCCTCCAACATTCCCTGAAGCATCAGGCTGGCAAGCATAACCTCGACTTTTGAAACTCACAAGGTCTCATGGGCACTTGTTTGTTTGCATAAGCAAAAAGCAGCACCAAACACCGTGCACACACAAACACACCAGGCACACAGACACAGACACGGACACAGACTTACACTTCTGCTTACGCTTTCGATTCACTTGACCAGCTTGTACTCCAGTGGAATCAACTTTGTCATGAAAATCAGCCTTCCTATGCGGTTCAGGAGTTGAGGGCTTCAAAAAGCTGATTGAGTGTTTGGGAGTTGTTCAAGAACCAAGGCACAAACAGCACAGTGATGGTGCTAGGCAATTCAGACAAATTATGCAACGTTATAGAAAAAGTATTTCTGTTTCTAGAGAAGTAGTGGTTGTCCCAAGCCTAGGCAAATAGTGTGCTTGTCTAGAAACATATGCCTGTACTGGGCATCATGTTGACTAATACTATACGAAAGAGGCTAGTGAGTTATCCGAGCTTTTATTTATATATTCACTGCATAAAATCATGATTGTGCTCCTTCTAGTTTCGTGGAAAAATCAATTCATACTGAATGCATCATTATTGTATGTGATTTCCGTCTCTAGAACACTAATATAGCTTAACATCAGTGAGATGAGTACTACATAAAACAGACAAATTGAGTACGACTAACATGTGCACTAAATATTTGATTGTAATACAAGCAGTTGTCATCACATAATCGTGAAATACTGCTGACGTACTAATGAAACACCACTTGTTTGTAGATTACGTCTGAAGCGCATGTTTGCGCAGACAAGCATAAAATCACAGACTTCTCTTAGAGACGTAGAATTCTTAATCAAAGACGGCTTGAGCACGTCTAACATGTGCTAAATTTTGATTTGAATACAAGCAGTTTTCCCTACATAATAGTGACACACTTCTGGTGTACGAATTAAATACCGTACATGTTATGTGGAAAACACACAATTCGAGTAGACAAGCTTCAAAGTACATGATTCTCCCAGAAAGGTATTCTATCATTTGGCTCTGGTGCCCGGAAACTCACAAACCTAAAGAATCTGAAGCCTCGGGTGTTTTCAGGTGTTTCGATACAAATAATACAGTTTTGCTAAGCAATTCGTTCCGTACTGCCTTTCCGTGCAAGTTACATGCTGATACATGCTGATGAAACACCTGTTACATTTCAAGCACACCAATGCAACATTCATGGCATAGAAATTGGAAACTCGGTACATACTGGTTTTGTTGATATTGCATTAATTCATATCTTCAGTGAGCAAGAAGGACAGCTATTGGGACAAACGCCGCAAGCAAGACTTGGATTCTGCATAAACCCCCACAACGCAGCGGACTGATTTTTCTGCGGAACCAATTAGCTTCAGAAGTGACACCAATACTACTGTTATGGTTAGTAGTAGTAGTAGGAATGGTAGCGGGAGGTAGGAGTCATTGCATGAGAGAAAGAGAGCCATGCGCACAAAAGTTGGGATCCTGTTTTCATGACACCATGTTTTTGGTCTACTAGACCAACAGTCAAAACACAAGAACGAGAGGTTTGTAAGGTGCCGACGGTAAAACTGCCACGTCTTCCAGGTATTCTAGCTTTCGGAATATACATAATCAGTTCATGTTTTTGTTAACCGAAATGCGGTTGCATGTACATATTTGATGTATGACGTGTTCTATAACTATAACACAGTCGCACAATCACTAAACGAGTACGATTTTCTCGGCATTTGCAGTGTTTTCGTACATGAAAGTACGCAGAATTGTAGCGTCGACATGGAGGGGAGAGGGTGACTACATATCTACATCTTTATGCGCTTGTCGTACAATGGTCAGTACGAGCATACTCAACTGCATATGATGAAGGGTGAGTGCTGGAAAGAGAAGAAGAAAGCGATAGAGAGAGCGAGAGCGAGAGAGAGACTGAGAGAGAGAGAGAGAGAGAGCGCGAGAGAGAGAGCGAGCGCGAGAGAGAGAGAAAGAGAGAGAGCGGGAGAGCGAGAGGGAGAGGGAGAGCGAGGGCAGCAAGAGCAGGAGTCTCCGTGTGTGTGTGTGTGGAATGATACAGAATGCTGCCCCTGTGAGTGACCAGCCTATTTCTTGCAAGCGCCAGCTGGGACTCTAAGGTCCTAAGCAGCCCCGGAAGAATCCACAATTGCCAAAGTCTGTAAATGAAACATCACTTATGCATCTCAAAGCCCAAACCGCAGGCGTGACCTAACAAACTCGCTTGCTTTGAGCCCAGGGTAGACCTCGGGTCGTCCCAGCTTCGTGGCCAGGCGCCTTCGAAATTGTGATTCCACAATGCCCACATTCTAGGCCTACGATGTCATACGAGTATCATGGAGCTGTTGCAGGCCCATTTGGGTGGCGGTGTCAGGGCTTGGTGCCACAACTGCCTCGGCCGTCGGTGCTTCTCGGGAGCGGCAGTAACGAAGAAGAAGGTTGAGGCCTTCTCTTTGTCCTCCAGCTGGAGCCAAGGGTTGCAGGCTTTAGTTTGACATTCCATGCGCTCGGATTTCTCTTCCAGTAGTACAGTAGGAGGTGGTTGGTTGCACCCAGAGCGGTCGGCAAAGATCCACTACCAAGCTTACCGACAAGCTTCCATCGGAAGTTGAACTCCCGTTTGCTCGCATGACTTTGTGGTTCTCATCTGCAGCTGGAAGAGAACAGCCAAGGTGCAACCCCGCCCCCCCCCCCCCCCCCAAGCCAGCCCAAATCGATTCCCAGCCACTGCGCCTTGAGTCCAAACTCTGGAAGCACGTAGTTGTTGGCAGTGTCCATGCGGGCCACCTACCATGGGTGAAGCATCGGACGTCTTGTCAGTGGAACTTGTAGAACTTGCGGAGTCGGGAAATATCGGGAACAAGCTTCCTGAGCCTATAAAGATGCATGCAAAGGTTCCCAGAACGGCCTTCTCAGCAACTCTTGGAACTCCTGACAGCAACCACCAGAGGCCTATTTCAAGCCAGTGTCGTACGGTACCTATTGACGTTTATGCCCTTATCATGGTCTAACGAGTCACCTTGGAAAATGGGTTGCTGTAAATACTGTGGGACGAGATCAGAAGGGAACCTGTCACCGAGACGATTCCTCACGTCTACGACCTCTACATATACACATCGCGAACCCATGTCTAAGCAGCTCTTGGGCCTTGAGCGTGGTCAAGTTTGCCAAGGCTTCAGCCACGAGCTCTAGGACCTTCAACATCAGGGAAACACAGGACCCACAACTTAAGATTCGAACGAGTACCAAAACCGCTTTCAGGCGTTGGACCTTTTGGCTTCGACCCATGATTGAAGTGTCGAGGAGTGCTAAACGATGGTATGTGCTGATAACTGTTCTAAAGGATACTCATAAGGGTCTATGAGCAGGTGAGAGTCGAAGCCCAAGAGCTTGTCAATGCCACGAGTCGGGTGCAGATAGGCGAGAGATGGCGAGAGCACGTGGAGCTTACACGTTGCGCAATCCGGCCAAAGATGGGGGGCGGGGCACAAGGGCCTCCGTGGAAGGATTGGGGCTTACTGACTTCACAAAATAAAAAATGAAGCCAAGTTGCCATCAGGTGAGTCCGATGTTGTGGCCGATAAGGCGAATAGAGCTCCAGGAGAACATCATTCTGCGTGCGATAGACGGACTCTCGGAAAGTCTTCCACACAACCTGCACACGAAAGTTTCGTCACCTCCTCTTGGACACAACTGCAGACAGCGTTGTGAAACTCAGCGCGCAAGGCCGTTTTATATCACCCTCGGTCACGTTCGAGGCGATCAATCGAGAACGAGCCTGCTTGAATCGAGGTGCGCATTTTTTTGCCCTGCAAAAGCTGCCAACACCCCAAAACTCAAGCCGGCACCGGAGATGGTGAGCTGCATGACAACTCAATCACAACACCACTAGTTTGACCCACGTCTCGTCCGAACAGAAACAAAGGAGGGAGATGTCTTCGAAGAGATGTTGTGGTGGGGCAGGGACCTGAGGAGAGCAACTCCAGCATCCTAAACCCAACAGAAGACTGTCTGAGAATGTGGGAACTGTGTTGCCTTGGGCTTTTGAATTTGTGCTTCTTACAACTGAAAAATGCACGTGCTGTTTCGTTTTCGCAGGGGGAACACGCCTTTTGCAAACAACATGTTGCAAACATCCAAAAGCACCAAACTAAATGTTAAACCACTAAGCATCGGGAAGTGTGCGCTGTTTTGTAACAAGAAACCACGGGGTGGGTCCAGATGAAAATGCCATTACCCCAACAACTTGGTGTTGTCTTGCTGGGCTCATTGAGGTTTTTGGTTTTGTGAGGGTTTCCCGTGTCTTGCCGATATCTTGCCTACAAATGCATGCCGTGGGTCCGCCCTTCTACTTATGAAGCAGGAGTGAGCTTGCACATGTTGCTCTTGGTTTTTGCTGCAAGACACCACAAGCCACGCACATTTTCTATGGTGTCGGACTTCTAGTTTTGCACTCGAGCTTGTTCGGGATTTGGTGTTGTTCATCACTTCCCCAAAGCCGGAATCCGTGATTCAGGGGGGCCTCGTGCACGACCCCAGGCCCCGTCCAGCTGTAGCTCGGCGGCAGCTCCGCAGACTCGTGGGAGGCTTCGAGGGTGCCCTGGGAGATTTTCGTCTTTTGCTACCTGATTCTGTTCTTTGTCGGGGAGTCGGGGAGCTTCAGCAACCTGTGAAGGACTCATCTGATACTTCATGAGGTGGGTATGACAAGGCTCGCCCTGCAACCCACTCCCACAAAATCGTTTCGCAAAGTTAGCATGTTTGAGGGTTTTGCTTTTTAAGCTTCGACTTGCGAAGCTCCCTGCCTCCAGGAACGAAGTGCAAAATCGCTCCTGGCCGATGCTGGTTGTCAATGCTTGTCTTTCGGCACTTCTTTGTGCTCGGCCATGCAAGCTTCGAAACAAAAAGTTGGACTCATTCTACAATGTTGAGAGTCTGGGCTTGAACTGACCTGACGGTTTCGTGCTTCTCCAAGGCTCCAAGCGTCAAACAATACATCCGTTGCAGAGGACCAAGTTCATAACGTCACTGGCATCCGTTGAGCAGAGCATCCATGCCCGGCCCGAACGATGATAACGCCCGAGGTAGATGTGCATCTGTTCCGCAGAACATCCATGCTCGAAGGGTGATTACTAGGGCTTTCTGGCTTTCAGGCCTTTTCGGGCTTTAGAGTTTTTAGGCCTGTCTGGTTGTCAAGGGCGTTTAGGCTTTACAGGGCTTCCAGCCTCCAATATGGGGAAATACACGCGGCAGCCGCCGCCGCAGCAGCAGCAGCAGTAGCAGCAGCAGCAGCAGTAGCAGGAAGTAGCAGTAGTAGCAGTAGTAGCAGTAGTAGCAGTAGTAGTAGCAGTAGTAGTAGTAGTAGTAGTAGTAGTAGTAGTAGGAGGAGGAGGAGGAGGAGGAGTAGCAGCAGCAGTAGCAGTAGTCGTGGTCATCGTCGTCTTAGTCGTGGTCGTGGCCGTGGTCGTCGTGGCTGAGTATAATAACACTTCGCACTTCGCTTCCCGTTTCTAACCTGCTTTGAAACATGGCATGTCGCTGCTGTTGGCAGCCCTGCACGCAGCTTGCGCGTGACAAAACATTGAATTTGGCAATAGTAGGAACGCGGGAGTGGACAACCGCTAGCCGCTAGCAAGGCACGAGGTCACGAGGTACGTCATCGCAAGAGTGCAATCCAAGAGTCGATGCGATCAAACGCCCGGCCAGTGTCTCGCCAGAAACCAGTCAGCTCATCCCAGCTCTTGAACCTTCGGTCTTGGAGTTGTTAGTCGGTTTTTTCTGGTGCTGCCGGTTCTCGCCAGCAAACCTGGGGACCTGGGTCGCGTTTAAGTTGGTCGAGGTTGAAGGAGTCTCTTGATGGGACGGGCCCTTTGGAGTCATCGTGAAGCCAAACCTGTCACGATACGAAGAAACAACTCAGCCGTAGATTTTCGAACTTTTTCAAGCAAGCAAGCAAGCAAGATAGGCAGGCAGTTTCTTTCTTCAGAAAGGGTCATGTGGCGCACTAGCTGTTGAGCTGGCGATGCAGGCTTGCATATTAAACATGAAAGCATGATAGATGCCATGTAGGCTCGGCGCACAAGTTCGTCACCACTGATGCCCAGGATGCCCTAACGGATCTTCGGAGTGAAAAGCACCCTTGACTGGCCCTAAACCCCGGGTATCTGCACTCATTCCGAGCGTCGCTTCATCCAGCGCGAACCGTGCTGCATCTGGTTCCTCGCTCCAAGGCGAAGGGATGGACAGTGATGGACACACCTGCCCTTCACGGCAATCCCATTCCTGGTTGTCCCTTTGCGTCCAGTTTGCGTCTTTCTGGCACTAGCCACTGCTGTAGTCCTTGCATACATCTAGACAACTGCCTCCAGCCCTTAACTGCAGGGTATCCACGCTTTCACTCTCTGAGCATTGCAGCATCGCTGATACTCGGTCGACGTAGAGGTTTAGGAATTCTCGTGCTCTATGATGTGTTCATGTAGTATGTGTTTGTTTGTGCGTCTGGTCTCATGCTTGTCGCCGCAGCCCGGCGACTTTAATCGACGCGACCCAGGCAGCCCCTTTTGAATGCCTACATCAACAGACCTGAGTACAAACACGCGTCAACTGCTAGCTATAAGTTGACAACGAGCTCAGCAACTTGTGCTGGGCAAGCCCTCCGGTCGCTAGACAACAAACCCAGCCCTTCGAAAGGTAAGCTGTCCGACGTCCCTTCAGCTTGACTGCAAATCATCTCAGCTCTGCATGTGACCGTCCAGAAATGTTGTTGGGGTATTTTTTGCGAATGGGGGTTTATCAGCTATAGGGGTTACCAGCTATAGGGCCTTAGGGCCTTAAACATCTTGGGCCTAAACCGCAGAAGCTTGCCCCGTTTATATCCGGCCTCGGCTGCAGCTATGCCAAAGGCAGGCACCCGCCGGGGGTCAAGGCCAAAAGGTCGCATCAGGAACCTGAGAGAGCAGATTTTGGAATAGGTTTGTCTGTTGGGATATGTGACCATCTGCTGAACCCCTGCTTCTTCTTCTTCTTCTTCATGCCCACGATCTCTCTCTCTCTCTCTATATCTCCCTCCCTCCCTCCCTCTCCCTCTCCACTGTATACCTATATATGTCAGCATACAAAATGTAGACACCCATGTGCGCACCATACCTGATTGTCATGGTTTATAGACATCTATGGCGGTGTTCTTCTTATTTGTATGACTTTGTCTGTATGTGTTTCTGTTCTTGTACTTTATAGGTGGAGAGGCGGGGTCATGTATGTTCGAACCACAAGAACCGCAACATCCTGCCAAAGGCAGTGTCACAACAAAGCCCTAAGCCAACAAAACCAATAAACTCAAAATGTGATATCGGGCCCCCTAAAGCATGAAATGGCCAGCCAAGACATGGAAATGTTTCTCAACACGGCCTCATGTCTCGACAACCCTAAACACCGCAACTTCGAGCTGACAAGAGACCCATCGCGTGTGTTGTTCAGCGTTACGAAGACCAGATGGCCCGAGAAACGCAGCGCCAGGCGTCTTAGAACCTGCAAAGGGTTCTTCTTCTTCTGCCCTTCAAGCCTGTTACGTGCTTTGGTAGCCAGATTTCGTGTTATAGCTGGTGCGGAACGCCCTAAACCCCATTAGTCCTCCCTCACCACAAGGCCTCCTCGGCTGCTTGGTTGGTCGGTTCACCCTCACCCTCGCCATCCAGCCACAGCATGCCCAGCGGAACCTATCTGCATCTCAAGGATGTTCAAAGTTTAGGGCGTTTAGGGTTCGTTTGGAACTGCTTTCGCCCGCACATCTACTTTGCCACACTAGCACATGCACTGCAAGCCAACATGCAAAGCGGAAGTTCCTTCCCGGCAAAAGGATGTCTTGCGGCACTCTACGGCTTCTAATCGAAGGGCTTTTCGGGCTTTCGGGAGTCTACGAGCTGATTTTCAGGGCTTAGCCATGAACTTCAAGGGATGAGAAGGGGCGCAGCGTGATGCAGCGTGCCCAGGTGCCTTGAGTTCCTGGTACTTCTGACGGCCCTCGGGTGTGTACTGTGACACCAGTGGGAGGCTCAGCACCTTGGAGAAGTGGGCCAGCTTCTCCTTGCATGAGAATTTGGGCTTACGGGACTGAATCCTCTAGAAACAGCAGAACAAAAACAAGCAAGCTTTTCATACAGAAATAGAACAGACAACTGCTTGAGAATGGTCCAGTGTCCAAGGTCAGTTCGCCAGTGAACTCCACGTGCCTTTGCTCCTTCAGTGGGCTTTACCTCGACATAATAATGTTTCTTAGCTGGTTAATTTGTGGGCCATGCGGAACAATTCGACCCCCTGGACTCCTCACGAATCAGCAGGGCCGCAATCCCGTCAACCTAGCTGCCTGATGACCCTAGCCCTTTTAAGCCCTGGAAGCCTTAGCTGCTTTTCAAACCGACTCCTTTGGCTTGAAGAGCAGCACCAACGGCCTCGCTGGTTGGGCGTCCCCACCAGCCTCTTGCAGCGGCACGGACTCAGGGTCCCAGTCGATACCCATGTCCTGCACAAAAACAACACCACCGACGACGTGGCCGAAGGTTGAGGGATGTTGAGGGTAGCTGTGGCGTAAGTAAGGAATTTTGGGGTGCATGGGTACCCCTTCAGAAGTCCCACTGCCTGCGGAACGAGTCCGTTGAAGGCGGCCCCAAAGAGCGCATGGCCACGAAGCTGCCGGGCCACCGCCCGAAAGCGAGGATACCAAGGGTCCTCGCCCTTCGTCAAGTGGAAAAACCCCACAATGGCAGTGTCGAATGCAGTGGTCACCCGATCAAAATGTGTCTTGTTGGCCACTTCACTGACCACTGGCAACAGGTGCTTGTAGCAATCAATCTGCACCTCTTCAGCGAAGCGACGTCCTGGCACCATGTATGGCTCGTCCCTCTCGTCCTGCTTGAAGAGGAGAAGGTCGCAGCTGTCTGTGCAGGACACATTATGATCTCTTGCAAAATGCTTCTCCTCCCTGGCATCCAGGACAGCGAAGGACACCATGTCCAAGTGATCCTTGTCTCTGCTAATGCGAGCGGCCTTTGTGAACTCACGGTCCTTCTCCTTGCACTTGTCACACCAAGGGAAACGCGCAGCCAGCACCACCAGGCTATGATGCTGAAGCAGCCGGTCTAAATTGGCAACTGTGACCTTCTTCACGTTCTGTCCAGAGGGTAGGTCCACCTCTTCCTGCTCTTCTTCAAGTTCTCCATCGTCCTGCGCTTCATTGTGCTTACAGCAACATCCCTGGCAAGGCATGGAAGAAGATTTCCTAGACAACACACGACCACCAGCTTCTGGTATATGGTTCATGGCAGTCTGAAGCATCGGGTCCTGGACCCAATCCTTCTTGAGGAAGCTTTTCACGGCCGTGTGGTTTTGCGCCAGGCGGTCCCAGCGGTGGGGAGTTTGCTTTTGCAGTGTGAGGAGAACTCCATCTGGTTGGGGGTCGGCCTCCTGCGGCAACATGATTGACGACAGGCAAACTTGGGAAAGACCTGGTCCCGTAAATCCTCCACACGCACGCCCTGGCCTCCGAGTAGCGAACCGCCCACGAGGAGTTTGCAGGGACAACAAATTCTCGGAGCTCGAAGCTTAAGATGTAGGGCCGCCGCTGCCAGTCGTGACCTCGGACGTCCACCTGGTTCAGTTGGGACTTGTGGAATGCAGTAGCTTCAGAAGGGTAGGGGCTTAGCGGGAGCTTGAAGTTGGGCTTGTGATTCTGGGCGTTCAACAAGGCATGAAGCCCCCGTTCACAAGCGTCGTGGCGTGCCCAAAAGCGCAAGACATGAGCTACAGCCAGCTTGGGGTACCAATTTCTGGGCGCCCTGGCTCGCCTGGTCTATGCCCAAGCTCACATTGACCGTGTCCAAATGCATCTTCGGGATAGCTACCGAGATGCGGATCTGATCCTTGGACTGGCCCCAAGTGAACCTGAGCTGTGCAAATCGCGTTCTCTCTCGCTCTTTCTTGTGTTTTCATGGGGATGCGCGTGCGACTTGAAACCTTCTTCCGTTGGGCTGCTTCACTTTTCCACGACGGGAAGTAAGCTACGACGGTTCTCATTCGGCTGGCGCACTTTCGGATTCCCCGGTCTCCCTTTCGCCAAATACTCCGCACAGACAAGAGCTTCAGGGCTGAAGTCCTTTGCTCGGCTTTGCCGAGGGGCAGGGGCGTGGCAGGTTGTCGCAGCCTCTCGGCTTCCTTCTTGCGACGCTTCTCCTCACGGAGCTTCGGGCGTAGGGGATTGTGTAATGAGTCTGAAGGCTCGGTGTCTAGACTGCTTTTGACGATGGCCTGAAAGTATGAGGTGTTTTGCTTTGCCTGGAAACCCTAGGACCACGTGGACCTCAATGAGACCACGCACGGGGCTCTTCGGAACCTTGCCTGGCTCTTCGAGAATCTTCTATACTGGGCTGTGAACTGATTTCGACCCGCAGCCGAAATCAAGCGTCTTGACATCCAAGCTCCATAAAGAATGGGAACGTGCACAAATTCTCTCTCCGCCTTCTGCAGGTACCATCGCGGAGGCCCCCAAATCTAACAAACCATAAAGTAAGCTCGCAAAGATCAAACGCAAAGCCTCAGCTTGCCGCCGCCTCGGCCTCCTTGGCCGCTTTTTCGCGCCGCTGCTGCTCCTCGAGCTTCTTCTTCTCCTTAAGTTGAAAAGCTCGAGCGAGCCCCATGTCGTGTTGTGCTACACGGCATGGGGCTCGTGGGATGCCTAACCCAGAAGCACCAACCACCCTACTTCTCGGCCACCGCTCACGCGAAAAACCGTTTTAAACCTTTGCCCCTAAAGTTCAAAGTTGAGAGCACAGCCTGGCGTTGCTTCTCCATCTCCAGCCGTCGCTTCCTCTTCTCCCGGTCTTTCTTGGCGATCTCCTTTTGCCTCCGACCCAATCGTTTAGTCTTTGCTTCATCTCTTGGGTGCTGAGGTTTGGTTTCTCAAGCTTCTTCGGGTGAGGTTTTAATCGGTAGGGTTTAAGGGTGGTCACCTGGGTGGTCACCTGGGTGGTCACCTGGGTGGTCACCTGACATCTGCTAGTGTGAGGCGGGTGCTTTCGGGGGCTCTAAGAATTCACATCCCTCCTGCTTTTCAATTGTCCTTCGCACAGGAGCTTGTTCTCTCTGAGCTTGGGGTCAAGAGCTTGACCCTTTATTTTGACAGTGCGCATCCACCATCCACTCCCCCGCCCCCCTCCTTCCGACCCTGTGCCGATGCAGCCTCTGCTCTTCCTTCTGAAGCTTGGCTCTTCTGGCTGCTCGCTTCTGCTCTTCATCTTCTGCGAAGTGGCTGAGAGGCGAGCTCGGGTGTGGGCTACATCCCTTTCTACGTTTGACTTAGACTGCGCGCAGCTCAACACAACTTTTCCTGCCTGGCCTCTCTGAGGCAGCTCTTGGTACTCAACCATTCTGAACTGACCCCGCAAGGAACATTTGAGGCATGGGCTTGGGGTATGTGTTGACTGAGCACGCGGAAACCCCTGATGATGAGTTCTCGCTTCGACGCTAAGTCGTTTTCCTGCTCTTCGCTTCCCTGTTCTCTTTGGGCCGGGCCATCGGTTCACTGAAACCCTGGCAAGCCCCGGGACCTTCGGCAGGTACACCAGTGGTTTTCCTTAGATGAGGTGCTAAGGACCTGGAACCTTCACCTTCAAGAACGGAGCCCTAAACTGAACCTAAGCAAATATAAGCCAGAACTCGAATAGCTGCGAGAACCCTGAGGCTTACATGAACATGACCCAAGCTTGATGGGACACCGTCCCTCGAGTCCTACCTACACACCCAATGCGGTTCGGCATCTTTGCCAACACAAAGTTTTTAGCTGAAGGCATGGAACGTTGAACTTTTCGAAACCATGGCTTAGATGAGACTTCGGCCGTCGCACTCCACACAGCCCCACGTCCAGTCTCCCTGTATGGCAGTTGATCCAATGATGTGGCCTTGTTGTGCACCTAAACATAGGCCATAAGACACACACGCTGATATTGGATGGCCCAACTTCATCAGCCCGTTGCAAAACTGGGCTTACTCGCACTGGCAACATACCTTGCGACCACTACAAAAAACTACCCTAAACCCTAAACCCACTTGCCCTAAACTGGACCGGGCCGCTTCTTGGCCTCGCCCTTGCCGCTCTTGCGGGGAGTCTCCTCTCCCAGGGCGTCGGCTGCCTTCCTTTGCTTCCATGGCTATAAGGTGTTATAAGTTCCACGTTATGAATGTAGAACTTTGGGATCGCTTGAGATCGCTTGAGCAACTTTAAATCTTCGGGGGCTGAGGAGGGAAGGCCTCATACCATTTCGCCGACACTGCTCCTATTTTGAGGAGATCTCGATGTCAGGGTGCCCGTTTTGAAGGCGTGAAAGGCCCGCAGCACAGATGACTTTGACCGCCAGCACACGAGTTCCGCACTGCAGAGTTCAGGTAAAGCCTTCATATGGGCATATCGTCCCAGCCAGGCTTCTTCAGGCCCATCATCTCCCCGACGTCCACCATGCCTTTCTCCTCAGGGGGGGCTTGGTCGTTCCTCTTTTTGACGCGCGGGACCAGATACTGCACATTTCTGCACCTGTGCAGCCTCCACTGTGGCGCAGATGCTCCATGTTGCTACAGTAGGTGTACCGCAGGCTCGGAGGACTCTTACATACTCAATGTCAAGCACCCATCGCATTCTATTCTCCCGGCACACCCGCGGACAGCCTTGAATGGGCACCCACCCAGCCGAACAGGCACCCCTGAGCGGATGATGTGCCAGAGAAGCACTCGGGGACGGACATCCACTAAGTGGGCCTGAAGAGGCAACTTTGGGTCTCTGCAGCCCACTCCCCTCAGACCTCCACCTGCGGGGGTTCCTGCCGCCGCTTATGGACCCGCATGAACTGCCCATGAACCTCCAATAGGTCATGAATTCTTTGAGAATCTTCCTGGGAGCGCCTCAGCTCATCGCCTGCTTACTCTTATCTCTCTTCTGGGCCCTTCGGACATCCTTGGACCTTGTATTCGAATCCTAAAGGCCGTCCTTCTTCAGCGTCGTCATCATCTTCTTAATCATCTGCTGCTTGTCCTCCTCCGCGCGGTCGTCCGCTTGTTGCTGGAGCTTTGCGTAGCCCATGACCTGCTTTCAGGGTCTTTTGTTGTGGCTTCTTGAATTTCCAGGGCGGTGTTAGCAGCCCGAGCCAGAGCGACAGGGTGCTGGCTTGGAAAACTCAGGGGACCTCCTCAGAGATGTCCGAGGAAGCTTCCAGGGCCTCCTTCAGCGACCAACGTGACATAGTGTGCTTTTTGAACCTTGGGTGCTCTCTCCAGGGCCCCCCACTTAAATTCGCATCCCTTGATACCAACATGCCAACAACCTTAAACATCGACCCTAAACCCTAAGCAGCCCTTCGCACCCTGTAAGCCCTATATAAGCCTGGGCGCCACTTCAGGAGCTTCGCGACCGTCGCCTCTTCAGCCTCGCCGGGGTATTTCACGGGCACGCCAGGCGTCCACTCTCCGCTAGCAATGCTGGGAGGTACCCTTGGCTGAGCTTTCTAAAGGGTTTGGGGCCTTCGGGTGTAGGGAATACGCCACAGTTCTCAATCCTCAAGTTCGAACTAGATCGCCCTGGCCCCGCCTTCTCTTGAATGCATTCTTTAAACCTGCACCTTCGTAACTGTGGCCGGCATGGGCCCTGATTGGTCAACGGAACATTGCATAGTCTGACGCAAACCTATTCCGATGTTCCGTAGGCTTATGCGAGTTCAGTCGAATGTCCAAAAGTACTCCGTCTCTTTGGAGAACTGCTTTCGACCGAACAGGGCGGGCACATAGTTTTGACTGACCTCCATGCGTGCAACCTTGATGTCTGCATAGTCCTTCAGCGTCTTGGCCAGCACATCCATGACTGCAGTGGAGATGTGTTGCCGTTTCCGCTGATCATCGTACAGCTCCAGAAGCACATCGGCCGTGCTTCCATTGATCTCGCGCTGGTAAGTTTTCCAGACGACTTCTAAAACTTGGCCCCGGAGCCACTTGGAGCTGTTCGTCACAAGGCCGGACTCCTTAATTTCTGAGAAAAGACAACCATCAAGAGCGAGAAATGAGACAGAGAGCGAAAGGGAGAGCAAGAGAGGGTGTATTGTTACTGAAATTCATTCAAGACAACAAGAACCTACAGAGATGGCGACATAGAGACACAAAGGGCTACAGGCCAGCTCTCAAGAGGTCAGTAGGGCCCCCTCCATGATGACTCGTTTCTGACTTCTCAGTGGCTGCGGTGAGCAGGCGGCTGCCGGAGAGCAAACGACAAGCGGATTTTAATTGCACGGCCACAAAAAGATCCCAAGATCATACTCAAAACTACTCAATATGAATAAAGGCCCAGATTCATGGGAGGGTGGCACGCGCCCTGCCAATACTCGACCGACCCAGGAGGACATGTCCTTGACGGCGCGCTTCGGGCTGCTGAAGAAGCCGAGCACCGTGTGGTTGACCGGCTCCCTGAAGGGATAGCCAAAACGGTCGCCAGCACCAAATCCGAGTTTTCGGGTCACGCCGAAGAAAGGGAAGGGATAGGGCTCGTGACTGCCGTACTCGCGCTGGTAGTAAGCATAGGAACCGTCCATGACGCAGCAAAGGATGTGGCGCGAGGCATTGGTTCCTCGGCGCTTGCTGCAGAGACTACGGAATGCCGCAAGGGCAGCGTTGGTGGCGTTGGTGTGATTCGTGTCGGAGAAATTCACCCAGAGGACTCCCACTGGCATCCCAATTGCTCCCATTTCATCCTTCAGGTCCCAGGTGTAATTCTGGAGCAGTGGCTGAGCGTGAACGCGGGCGAAGTGTGCCAGGTAGCTTGCGTTCAAGTGTGTAAGGCTCCCATCAAATGGCACGGGCTCTTGCGGACCAGTGCCAATCTCCAAAGTCTCAGACCTCCACAGCTGTATTCTGGGTATGGATGCACTCTGAAGTGGGCTAGGCGCGCTGGACTCCAACGCAAAGGTCGCGGTTCCCCGAACTTCCCGGGCAGCTCGGCGGAAGGCGGTGGCGTTGACCCCGCTTCCGATGACGGCCGTGTCCCAGCGCCGGCGAAACTCTGGAACTTCTTCTGGGCGCAGCTCTGAGACAGCTTTGGGCAGTAGCAAGGCCAAATCCTTCTCAAAACGGTCGAAGTTCGGTTTTATGGTTTGGCCCTTCGGCGTGTGACCTGGCATACCAGCCATAGGATCTCCCATCATGGCTGCCTCATCCATCTCGTAGAGCAGTTGCACTTGAAAGGTGTAAGGCTCGTTCAATGGCTCGTCTGGCTTGAAGACATGGAGGGGGCACTTGCTTTTGGCACACTGGTGCAAGCCATCTTCCCACACCCACCTCGCAATTGCCTTCTCCTCCCGGAGGTCAAGAGAACCGAACACCACGTCACCAAACTCCCCCTTTGCACCTGCTACTTTGCTCACCTGAAGGGTTCCATTGTTCTTGTGGAGTGGCTGGAGGCTGCGGCTTGGGATGGTGCAAAAAGCGGTGCAAGGCTTCATTAGCATTGCTCAATAAGGTGAAATGTGTCGGGGGGGTTAAAACAAGATCATGCAGGACGCAAACGTTGCGCCTTGACAAAGGCCTTGTCCTTTTCCTCACACGCCGTGCACCAGGGATAGCGCATGGCGACGACAAGGACTGAAGCTCTTGCCACCTCCTCGAGGCTTCTGCTGCTGAGTCGTCGGATGTTCAATGCACGGGGCAATTCAACCTCGTCCTCATCTGGCAGATTCCTCATTCCATCAGCATGTGCAGCAAGTTCGTGTCATGTGTGTATACGTATATGTATACATATATATATACATATATATGTGGACCATAGATGCTACATGTTCTGATGCGTTCCTTGTATTATAGCCAAGATCATTTACATAACGTATAATCTAATACAAGGGTGACCTCTCAAATTATGTGCTAAGCCTAGGCAAACAAAAGTAAACCTTTAACCACCACAAAAGAACAAATCTAGCAGATTGCCCAATTTTGTGCTTCTCTATGCCTTTCCTATGCAGATATAACTGCACAACTCCAAAGTCCTGATAGCAGCAGCAAGACTCCGATCTTCCCGCTTCCAGTCCCTGGGCAGCCCAAAGGAAGCTTCGTCCATAAAGGGTCGGTCCCATCGGTGCTGAATCCTCAGCTGTGACCCCTATGCAGCGAAGCGCTGCGGGCACTTTCACGCAACAATCTTGCTGCCTGGGAAATATTTAATTTCGGCGAAAAACAATTTGAGGGTCTTGGTCTTAGTCTTGCTTTATGAGGCGAGTACCACACATGCTAATGTTAACCTAGTATTACTAAAGCCCCTATAAGTACGCCAGGTGTCCCGGCCGCAATAATAAAGCCCTGGAAATAAAGTACGCCAGTCGGGGCTTGTTTTTTTGGGGGGGTCTGTTTTTCTTTGTTTGTTTATGGAGAGAAAATAGAGGGAGACAAAGCAAGAAAAACCGCCAACAAACGATCCTCTCTAATTCTCTCTAAGGAAAGGAATCCTGAGTGATTCTCTCTGATCCTTTCTAATTCTCTCTAAGGAAAGGAATCCTTATTCAAAGGGGCCTCACTCTATTTGGGGGGGTTTGATTGAAGGGGGGGGGGGGTTTATTATTACTAGGTCAACATTAGGGCCTGCACTGCTAGGGATACAGTATATAAGTATATACCGCAGGCAGATCGCAGCCCGAGAGCCGCTTGCGCAGTAGGAGCACCAGGCCAGAGGTGCTGCCGCCCACACTTGGACCAGTCATCCGCTCCGAACGCGAAGCCTCTGGCAGAATGTCCTCCAATAAACTAGTCTAAACCCTTTTCATATCCCTTCATACCTCTCATTCAAAATCACTAGAAAGCCGGCGAGAGCTATCTGACAACCGTCGGCAAGGGCGTCTACGCCCCCGGGCTGAAAAAGCTGCTGCGGGGAACATCCTGGTCCGGTGCCGTCTTTTCTCAGCCCCCTTATGAGCCCAAAAAAACTCGAAGTGGTCTTCTCCAAGGCTTTTAAAAGGCTTTCTTTGTGTGGATCCCGCAGCTTAGCTTCGAGACACTGCCGGCTTTTTTTCAGGACCTTCTAGGCCTAAGCCCCCCTGGACCCAAGCTCCTAACCCTAAAGCGCATGAATCGCTCGACATGCCCATCTCCTCCCGCAACTCCATCTCCCATTGCAGCACTTCTGCCGGCGCCGTCTCAGCGCAGCTGGCGGTCACAGAAATGCGGTCGTACCTCAAGCAGAGGTGAGCACGGCCAACACTCAGCTCCCAACACCCCAAGCACGTTCTAAGCATGTTGTTGAAGTGTTAAAAGACGCGAAAGAAAAGGTGGTTGCATTGCTGACAAACTTTCAAGCCCAAGCCCCGAATAGTCTGCACCTACATTTTGGCTTCAGAACTCAAAGTAACGCCTTCTTTCGTTCTGGAAATTGCAGTAGACTACCATAATAGCACCCCTTGCAAGAACCGTAGGCCCGGTAAGTTCTGGCTTGCAAAGGCGGTGCCGAAACTCGGCTTGCACTGCAGGCGTCTCCTCCCGTGCACATCCAGGCCTTGGGGTCCGCCGACTTTGGCTGCATGGTGCTGCATGGTGCTGCATGGTTGAATCAACATACTCCGATATGGCCATGTCATGGCTATGTCCTGCACAGCGCAATACGTACATGACGTTATGTTTTGGGAATGCGACTTGGGAGCGGGAATTGCAACAGCGACAGGTGAAACCAAGGGGTGCGCGCGAGAGCTGAGTGCGGTCTTGCCAGAAGACTACCCGAACCTGGGATTTGAAGCTCTCCTTGAATGCTGGCGGGCACCCCGACAATCGGCCCCGAAAAGCAATCCCTGCCTGAATCTGCAAACGGAGCTTCAGAGTTTTCAATGACAACAGCCCGCGGTGACCAGCAAAACGTCAATGGCCTCAAAAGCCCGTCAGGACTCTAAGGACCTTCTTGGCAACCAGGCTGAAGAGCCTTGTAGTGGTTCCGGAGTTTGGGCTTCTGCGCTGAACCAGCTGCGACTGGGTGGCAGTTCCTTCAGCCCCCTCGGCGGACCAAGCTCGAGGGAGAGCCTCGGAAGGATTCCTAGCTCTGCCTTTTGCGGGTTCTGCCGGCGTAGGGGCTTAGGGTTTGCGACACAACCCCACCCCTCACCCTGTCAAGTTTTTGCTGGCAATGGTCATGTAAAAGCCCATTCTGCAAACCCAGAGAAGGCTTGTGAGTTCTTACTAGTTCATAAGCAAGGCCTACAAAGGCAACGGGATTGGAGATGATTGGAGGACAAGTGCCTGACCAGTCGATCCTCAACCCCGCTGGTTCTCCATGGAAAAGAATTCAACTCAGGACTCCTCTTAGCGAACTTGGTTCCGCTTGGCTAAATAGCACTGAATGGCACTGTCACCAGGCTGGTCGCGGACAGTACTCAGCCGCTTGGTCTGTGGAGATTGGGGGTCTCCCGAGTTGGAACACTGACAAGACCGCTCGCTAGGAAGCTAGAGAAAAAGACGCGGCATGAGCCTGACCCGCTTTCCCTTTGCCAGAGGGCGTTGTGTTGCTCTGGGCCCACCGGATGTGCGGACGAACCTCTGCTGAACTTGCCAGGAGACAGCTGCACACCTCGGCTGAAGTTTCAGTTCTCGATCAGGTTCCCTGTTGCATTCGCGCTTCGAAGACGCATCCTGCCAACGTGTTCCCATCGGCCACGGGTCGGGATTTTCCTGGTTTCTTTAAGCATGGGGTTTGGGATTCGCAGCCTTGAAGGCGTCGGCCTACCAAAAACCTGTAAGGCTTCCAGCCTAGGCTGCCAGGATCTGAGGAATACTGCAACTCAGCGGCCAAAAGCCACGTTTGCGGCCTTCTCGATTGCCGACCGCGCCAGTCTGTCCACATGCGTGCGCTGGTCTCCGCTGGTCTCCACCCAGGCCAAGCACCGAAGCTCCCATGCAGGACAACTGGGAAATGAACTCGGCCAAAGCGTCAACGCCTAAACTACCTAAACCATTGGTCTGGGCTTGTCACCGAGCCGGACTTTACGAAGCCAGAGGCCGCCCTTGAGCTTCCCATTCTCTACTCCAACCTGGCCGGCATCCTTGAGTTGTGACCCTCAAAACTAGCCACTTCTTCGCACCAGTTGCCGAGTTGAACGCTCTTTTGCAGCTACATATCTGAGCATGGGACGTATCAAGTCAAGCTATTGTGTATAGTATAGCATATACAGTGTATCGGTGATGCCTCTCATGCTGGCAGTGTGAACCTCTGGCTGGCCGGACGTAGCGAAGAAAGCTTTGGCAGAGGGGGTTCCTGATGTGTTGGGTCCGAGCTGCTTGTAGGGGCTTACGCCGGGCTTCCTGTTCACTTTCGGCTCAGCGACATGGGGTCTTCGGTCGGCAGCTCTCACTCTTACTTTGATGGCAGGGTGCTCCAGTACAGTGTATTGGAGAAGTTTGATGTCATGACGATACCGGTCGTTTGTGCAAAGATCTGGGCTTGTCATCAGTCGGCATGGCTGTCGGTATCTGCATGAATCAACAAGGAACGTGCCGGAAACTTTCCGAACAGTGGGGCCTCCCGACGGCCGAAACAATACAACTTAGAACTCATGGTCTCCAGCCTTCGTTAAGTTTTGGGAGTCGCAACCTCCCGATGATGGCTGCCTGGTTGAAAACACGATTTTCGCCTCGACGCACCACCGGTGACAGTGTCATCAGTCGGGGCCACGCCCAACCACATCACGTGAATTCGTCTCTTTGGGATCCTCCGTCGGATGCACGACCTGGAAGGCCAGGAAAGTCCTGTGTGTATGATCTTATCACATCTGTCACGAAATGCCAAAGCCTGATTACTCGACATTGCCCATGGGCATTGCGACAACACAATCAACTTCGACTGTGGGCATCACTGTATCACCATGCTCCAGGTCTCCAGTTTTGAGGACCCTACTCCTCCAGGAGCATGGGTGCCACGAATTCAGCAAGCTCCAGGGCTCTGCTGTCTATCCGATGGCAGAAAAGGCGCTGGCAGGCCTAGGAGACCCTAGACTTGGCGAACAGAGGCAAGGGCAATCGAGCTTCGCGGGCCAGTCAAATGGTGAGGTATACTCATTACATACTCAGTGTACGCTCTGCAGGTTTAGTCGCTTGAGGGTCGGGGGTGGTCATGGTGCTGGGCCACCAAATTGCCGTTCGCCAAGGCGCAGGCAAACTTGCAAGCTCCGCTAGCACATGGACTAGCAGAGCACGCGAATCGCTTCCAAAAGCTAATAGGTAGATCTGCATAGATTACGACCTTTGGCCGGGAAAAGTGTGGCATCTTGTACAAGCCAAAACAAAGGCTCGGCTTGCACGGCTGTGCTTGGACTGCATCTGCCTGAAAGCCTCCACGAAGAAGCCTATGATTCTTCAATTAAAGAAAACACGACATATGAACCCTATAAGCCCTAGGCAAAATCCAAAATGACTCAACTCTTGATTCATCAAATCACTCAAGCCACGAAGCTACTTCAGAGGCGTCGGGCACTCCGGGCTCGTCTCCCAAAGCTTCCTCCGCTTCTCAGGCTGTTAAATTGTTGGTTAGTTTTACGGGGTTAGGGTTTAGGGTTTCGGTTTTCGAGGCTTCTTGGCCGATGGGTTGCCCAGAACCCTGGGGGCATCTATGATGGGACAGGCTTCACTATTGGGGCTCTACTTGCTGGATCCTCCCAGGGGTTTGACGCATGAATGTTGATGTTAGAGCTGAAATGTTCTTGCGGTTCGATGTTGTCGGCAGTGCTCAGAACAAGCAGAAAGAGTCCACAATTTCAACGGGAAAGCCAAAAAACCAGCCGGGGGCCATTCTACCTCTTGCCTTGAGGTGGCCTGTGGGTGTGGTGGGGTACAAAACCACCGCAGGCTGAAAACAGGGATCTTCAGAACAGCACGACCCAGGCATGATTCGGCCATCCGTACAACCCAGCACTGTCAAGATCTTTGACGGCACGAAATCACATGTTCTAGCCTGTATTTCACTTTGCTGCTGTCCGCCACTAGATTCACTAGATTTGCTTTTTTGCTCTGTTCCATCGCTGCTGCGCGCATCGCCGGTCTTTTATGGAGACGTCCTGTACCTTGGCACTGTGCAACTTATAAGGTACTGTCCGAAGCCGAAGAACTCGGAGGCCAAGAGTCACTTGGCGCACCTCACAGTCAAAAGCTCCAGGCCGCAACTCGGCCACGGTGTGCCTCGGCTCACTTTTGTTTGGTTTTGTTCTCCGATCTTTATGTGCTCAGATACGCCAGACGCTCGATGTGCTTCATGGTTGGAATTTGCGGTTGCGTGTCAGTACAATGAGTCAGCGGAGGGTTGGCTGAAGGTGCAGGGCAACCAAGATGCATGTCCATCTCCAGGAAAGGGATCTCCTTTGCCAGTGATGCAACTATTAACGCCCGCGGCTCGAAGACTTGCCAAGATGATGCGTTCGTTGCATCAGGGCTCCCTAGCTCCGACAGCAGGGAGATAAGGGGGCCGTAAAACTATTAAGCAGGGGCCACATGCACAGCTCCAACGGGACCGGAAGAAGAAGAGTCTAGAGAACTGATCATGCAGCATTGTGGTTTACCAACCTCTGCAGTGTTGCATGTGAGTCATGCACGCTTTAAGCTCTGTAGTCTCTGCCGCAGGATTTTGCAGAGCGCCCAAAAACCACTAAACTGCCAAACCCAACGCATCCCGCAATTTGAAACTCTATGGCTTGGGCCTCCATGGGTGTTCCGGTGAAGTAGGCATACAAACACCGCTGCACGGCCAAGTGTGAGATGACCTCGGCTCTTAGAGCTGCAGTTTTACTGTCGCTCATCCTTGCTTAACGAGGGTACCCTACATTCTAGTCATTCTAGTCGAGGCATCGGCACAGAGTCTACAATCCGGCACGCTAATCCGAAGCAGGACACGCCAGCCTGAACAGCTCACAACGGCCGGAAGCCCTTTTTGCGCCCCTTGGTTTTGTTGAGGCGGTCAGCTCTGCCCACAACTGAACCCCAGCTCCGCCTGCAGCTGAGACAACAAAATCCAAGAATGCAGCTAAGTGACTAGTGTTCTTGTTGCTTCCAATGTTCTGTAGTCTACTGTAGAGCCCCTCAAGCCTTCAATCCTCGCCAACAACCCATCACAGTGCGGCTCCGGACACCAGGATGGAGCGACGCTGCCGCTCCAGCTCAATAATGATCGGGCGCAGGCGTCCGATCACGTCCTTCGGCAAGCCGAAGGGGCGTGGGGCTTCGTTTGTGTCTCACAGTTTCCCCAACTTAGGCGAGCCGCTCTGCACGGAGACGCAGCAATCCGAGGCATTTAAGATTTAGGGTGTGGGGAGGGCCGGCGATTGCTGAGATGACTACTTGTAGAAAGATACCAGCCAGACACATCAGTTCTGTAGACCCGTGCTCCTTGTAGGACTCACCGTTCGGATAGCGGAAGTTGAGCTTGTCTCGATCGCGGGCAGCCCAGAGATCGGGGTAGTCGTTCTGGATTCTAGGCACACTGAAGCATTCTAGCTCTGCAAGGCATGGGCTTCTGGGACTGCTATTGGGGCTACGGTTACCAAAAGCTACGGGACGACTTTCTGGTAGCACCTATAAGCCAGAAGCGCACCAAACCCGTCAAAACTCCCTCGCGCAGCTTGCCACTTGAGCCAGGTGACTCGGCATAGCTCAAGCCGTTGCAAACACCGCCATCCAGCTCGTTGAGAAGGGATGTGCTCATTGCCTACGGATGTGAGCAACCAACCGAGACACAGCTAGCTGCCCGTGACTAGACTGTGCTTTTTGGGCATAGAATGTTGAGAGTAGGTTTGCTCGTGCTGCCGGGTGCACAGACTGACTCAATAACCCCATAACAGAATCATGACAGACATCTACATATTCTGCTAAGCTTGACGTCAAGAAGAACAACTATTTCCCGACAGCCGAAGGGTTTGGTTTCTATCTCTACAGGAAGAGGGGCATTAGCGGCTAATGCTTAGCCACCCCCGGAGGCCGGAACGGAACGGAACGCCGGAACGGAACGAAACGGGCCTTGATCATTTTTTCTTGCTCGCCGTTGGGTTGCCACATTGACTCATTGACGCTCGCGGGAAGTGCATGCTTGCGGGAGGATTCGGCATCATGTCCAAAGATCCGACCCGGTGCATGTCACACCACATTAACCGGTATACTTATTCGTGTCTCTCTCTCTCTCGCTGTCTCGTTTTGAACCTTAAAGCCGGTATGCTTGCGCGACTCCCCGACACCTGCCTGGAAGCCCTTGCAGTGCACGGCGCCTCCTTTTCATTGGCTGAGGAGTGGACTCCATGAGCAGGCATTCAGGGTGAGCCAATCCCCACACATCTGCCGACTTCCCAGTGAGCCTCTGAGGCCTATGTTGCCTGTGGTTCCGATGGATGTGTTCATGCAACTCATAGACGAGGGTTTCTGGCTAGTTTTGGTTCTGCGGAACAATAACTTGTACAAATATTTTCGCAGTTTCTGGAGCACAGACTCCCAGAAACCCCGAACTTCGCGCAATCCCCTCCTTTGCGCCGCAGGCTTGTGATTAGGTATCTAGAGCTGCCGGCAGCTAGCTTCTCAAACCGCCAGTCCCAAGCACATAAATGCTACTACCACACAATAACATGCAACTCCGTACGCCATACCAATGGTCAATGGTATTCTTAGGGCTTTGTTTCAAGGTATGAAATAAACACTCATCATCATCATCATCATCATCATCATCATTCTCATCATTCTCATCATTCTCATCATCATCATCATCATCATGTTCTTCTTCTGCTTCTTTTCATTCTTCTCAGCAGTTGGCGCTTCTGCGCCGCTGAAGCTGGCGCATCGCTGCTCGCAATGCTGCGAGTGTGCAAGCAGCGCTGCTGTTTCATATTCCAGAAGCGTTGACCTTGAATCCCTTCACAAAACAAAGTACAACAACAAGATTCTTTGTTCCTCTGCCCACCAAGCCACCATTACCCACCAGCGTTGTGGTGCGACGTGACGAAAGTCTCAGCACTGACACACTAGGCGGCCACAAAGCTTCGCGAATGCTGCGGTGGTAACGTGAATGGGCAGAGGTCGCATAAGGAACTTCGCGATTTGCATGATGGAAGCGTGGTTTCTTCCTTGAATGGAAACCGTCCAACAGCCTCCGGTTGGGAATGCAGCTTGACAGGACTGGAGCTCGGCGCGGAGGTTGGCGAATCTGACGATCACCAACGGTTCCGCCGAGCTCCACAAGCACGACCGAGGCCCAAGCATGCTCTGGCAAGCATTGCCCAACACGTCTGCGAGCCTCTTGCAGCCCATCATGTGTTGCCCCTGCAGCACATCTGCGTGGCGACTTCCGACTTCCCAAGATCCGTGGACAGCAAGGACCGCCAATGTCTTCATGATCATGGTCTTCATCCGCGTGATGCGTCGGATTCTGATGTGGCTGCCAAAACATCGATCCGGGGGCGGGGAGGGGCGACATGTGCTGGGATGGGGGTATGTTTCGGGTTGTGGTTCGAGGCATCATGAGCTACTGCAGATGCAACTTCGGGGATTCGGGGATATGCACTGTAGACCCCTCCCTCACCACTGGGATCACCATCAGCACATCCGCATCTCTGTTTGCTGCGAACCCGACCTGGACTTCATGGCAATACTTCCTGACTTGCTTGCTCAGTCTGATGGGAAATATTCCACGACCAGAAATCAAATCATCGAACCCAACAGTGCTGACTGCTTGGGATTGCTCAGCTCTTTGGCCCCCGCCCCCCTGTCCTGGCGTCATCTCGCCGTTCATGTCCGATGACAAGCTCGGGCTCGAGCCCTTGATCATCATCGACTGCCTCAAGCAAAGGCGGAGCTTCCAAATTCACAGCATCTTTCCCGTACAACAAACTAACGTATCAAAGGGAAAGCGGCTGTTCAGCTGGCTGCACTTAGACTTGGAGCCTTCAAGATTTTGGCAGTGCTCATGGTCCGCAGAGTTGATGCAGTAGGGCTGGAAACTGGGAAAAACGGTACAAGATGGTTCAAGGTTTCAGCTTGTAGCTACTCTACTAAGCGCTTAGAATTTCTTTTGCTCCGAAGGACTTTACAGCGCCGCCGGTAAAGGTACGAAGTGTCTGCCACATGTGTAATTTTGTGAATTGTAGAGGAGAAGCTTCTCAAACAAATTGGGCCAAAAGTGTGTTAAAGTATGTAGTCGGTTTTTTCCTTAACGCGATGTAAGACCCACAGCCTGAACGAGGGCAACTTGCAGTTGACCCTAGATCCAGCGTACAAACCCTACACTGCCAGTCCCTCTACTGCAAGCGGGAAGCCCGAAGCCTAAATCTCTTAACAGCAGGAAAGCCCAAACTTGGCCGTGCAACAGCGTGGAGTAGTGCACGGGAGCAGTGCCCATCAGCACCAAAATGTCACCACTGGTTTCGACCTGTCCAGCCTGCACTAAATTGCCCTGGGATCTGTGGCTTGCTGTATCTTACTATATAGTACTATAATTCTAGACTGTATTTTGTAGATGTGTCCGGGCTATTTGGGCAAATTGGCCACCCAGCTGGCTTCCTTGTGCCGTACTTCCCTACGAGTGCAGTGCATCGCCCGCAGAGCCTGGCCAGTAAAAGCTTGGGACTGTGGTTGTAGGGCTTGGTGGGTTCAAGTGGCTGTGGATTTTGCCACCTACCGAGTAGCTGACTTCGCATCGCACAGCTGGAAAGCTGCGGGGCTTCGACTCTCACATTCCAGCTGCGGGGTTTAAGGCTCAGGGATTGGGGTACTTCTCTCCACTCGCCAGGCTTCATCTGCGTAGCCTCCTCCATCTCCCGCCGGCACTTGCGCAGGAATGCTGACAACTCTCCTCAGAAATGGCGGTGTCAGGTTGGCTGCGGGGTTTTGCGCCGTGGTTTCGAGAAAGGCCGAAACACAAACTCCCAAACTCCAGCCTGGCATGCCATGCCTGCACCAAAACTACCAAACTGATTGGAACCTCGTACACCAAGTCTTCCGGCAATCGCCTTGGCATGCCCTGACGTTTAGCAGAGACTTTGACACGCTGGCATGCCCTACGTGGCTTGTGGCCGTGAGCATCTCCAAACCCAGGGCGTGCGGCGGCAGTAGTTGCGCCCATTTTTTGTCAGCTCGCCACGGTGGCTGCCGAGTATGCCTGCAAACGGAGGGGTTTGGGGGGAGGGGGGGTACGTCAAGCATGTTGTGCCATGAACAGGGCTGTTGGAACACCGACCTGCCATTACGAACAAGAGCTCCGCCTGGATACACTCCTTGAGTAATAATCCCGGTTCTGCCTGACAGCTGGTCCTCACTTTCTGCATGGCGTGTCAGCCAGATGCAGCGTGGGCTGATGTGGATGTTCGACAGGAAGAAGCCAATCCTCGGGTCTGTATCTTGACATCCAACAACTCATATTAAATATCATGGTCGCATCGGGAGAAGGCGGGAAAGGCGTTTTTTCAACAACAAAGCTCAGCCAGCAAAGTTAAGCGCTTGAACCAACACTGCCCCAGAATCCAAAGACCGGCCTATATTAGAACCCCCAAGCCCTACATGGCCGAAAGTTTTTGCCAGCCCGATATCTGGCTCATCAGATATCCAGAGCAATGGTGCATCTCCACCTGGTACAATGGTGTCTTCACAGTTTAACTTCGGGCGACCAATGGAAGAAACAAGAAGCATCAAACTGGAAGTATGAGTCTCCTAGCTTTGCGGCCACATGAGCCCTGACTCTCGGCCACATACGGATGCACCTTTTCAACCACACCTCGGTTAGCCCTGGATCGCACGTGCTTTGGACAGGTTCTGCATGCCTTCTGGCCGACGTTGAACAGCTTCACGTAGCAGATCTCCCCAGCATCTTCCTGATCTGAGACCGTCTGGTACCTGGTTTCATACTCCTGCCGGCAGCTTCTGAATGAAAAGCGTGAGCGCGGGAACCCAGAACTCTAGCAGGCGTGCGCGATGCATCTTGTAATCTGAAACTCATCACCTAAACAAGGGGCATAAAGACTTCAACCTTCCAGTTCTGCGTGTCACCCCGCAGCGTCAGCCGTGGTCCTTCACTCGTTGAAGGAAGTCTGCCCGTGCCTTCTGAGGATCCATATTCCTGACAGAAGCAGCCCACAAAGCCCACAAAGCCAGCCGAGATCTAGATTTAGGAGTTGGCAGGGACCCCGTACAAGAGACCATGAATTCATCGTGAGCATGGGCGCATAGAGTCATGGCAGGTTTGTCAAGAGATTTTTAGGGCCGCATCTTTCGAACTGTATATTATGCGTAGAGCGAGTACAGCTTTCCACAGTTTTTGTGAAACTGCCAGGGCCCGGGGCCTGCTCTTGCATGGCCCTTGTTTCACGTATGGTTCCTGACCCAACTCAGGCCAACTCAGCCAACCTGCAAGCGGCGAGTGTGGCAGCCCCCGCCTGTAGTCGTCATTGGCCAACTTGAGCGCGTAGTTTCGTTCTAGGATTTCCTGCGCAGAATGGGCTCAAGCCATTGTCAAACCAACAGAACTGGTCTCCACCCACAGCAGCGAGGGCCCATGGCTGGCAAGAAGCTTCGGCTGCTTGCAAGTCTCATGACCCTCCTTGTTGTCACAGATGCTTTCGACAAAGACCTCAGCCATGGGATCAGGGCTCCATAGGCTCCCCCAGATTTCTAGTGTTCTGGCGCAAGGTTTCGCCGTCAGGGCTTGTAGGCCTTTTGAACCTCATCAAAGGAGTCAGCGAATCGTGTCGGTTGGTCAGAAAAAGCAATTTCTCTGGGAACTTGGCATACTCTAAGGTTCTGCACGCCCTGAAACCTACAAGTTTCTGGTACACGCAAGCTCGCGTCTGGTCAATACGAAACCACGTAGCCGAATGTAGCCGACGCGCCAGCCCGGAAGTTCTCAACTTGTCAACCCAACGACCCGTGTGGAGCAATATGGAGCTGCTCTGCAGGCCCGCTGCTGGGGTGATACCCGTGACTTGCCGACATCGGTCAATGATGCGCTGGCGGCGTCTGACAGAGTTCATCAAGGGTTGCAGGTTGTATAGGGGCATGGGGGCGGCATTGAGGCTGAGGACTTCCGGTGTTGTTCAGGCAAGGGCTCGCTCGTACGCAAAAGGTTGCTTGGATGGCTCGGGCGCTACTTCGGTTGGTAGCATCTGGAAAGATCTTGAGACTCTGAATCTGGAATTGATGACAGGCTTCATGGCTGCAGAATAATCTATGTGTAGAGCTGACCAGGTCAGGGCAAAAAAACCATAGGCCAGTACACATATACCAGGATAAGACAAGCACGCCAGGCAAAAGCCTTCCTCCCCCCGTCGGTCATGCCTTTTGGTGGTGTTTGTCGCATCGAACACGGCGACACATACCTGCCAAACTTCTAGAACGTGGGCAACCTCCTTCATGCGGATCTGTCGGCTTCATTTTACTTCACTGGCCGGCGCCTCTCCTCATGTGAGGACACTACACCTACAAGCCCCGCAGTCTCTTGGTGCTACTGAAGGCAGTGGCACGGCCTCGACAATGGTTGCCTCCTCTGAACATGTTAGAAGTGATGCAGTCTGTCTGTACGTGACCCTGCAAGTCCTCGGAACACGCTGGCCCAAATGTGCAGAAAAGCCGCGCTCTTATGCATACGCAACCACTCGATCGCCTGGTACACACGGGAGGCCGGCAAAGGGAAGTTGCAAATTCCCTCAACATCTGGAGCTTGAGGCTTTTGCACTGGCAAGAATGTTCGCTGAAGAGCCTCGTTGTGCTCGCTACCAGGTCGCAGATGGGGCTGTCTCAAGAAGTGCTGGATAGGGGCTGGCATTGTGCAATGTACCCGTTACATTACATATCATATGCAGCTATATTGTGTATACATGCATGCTACATGCCCGCCCCCCCTCCCCACTCCCCCCATCCTGCCATCTGCCGCTGGCAGTTTGGTGATAGACGCTTGCTGAAGAAGCTCTTGCTTTTTCCACAGTCTCGGTAAGATTTAAATAACATCCTCAGTATTCTTCCGGACGTGTGCTGTGCGTATGCATTTTGGCTATTGGCAAAAGGCACGACAAAAACAATCAAACGTATCCGTTAAAACGCCACAACACGATCAATCGAAATGACCAAAGGCCTCAAACTGGTTCCCCAGCCGCTTCGAGCAAATAAACGGGCCGTCGTTTGATACAATTGATACAGTTAACCTGGTCTGAACTAACTAGAGTCACTATAGTCCCTGCGGGCCCTGCACTCTGTCAACCAACACGGCTCACGCCAACTCACACGGGCGCAAGTCATATCTAGAAACCAAGATGCGCCCCAACACTTTCCAGGAGGAATGCCAACCCGGTTAATTGTATGAACGACCTCCGAAGGGCAGTTAGGAGCGAAATGGAGCGAACAGCGTGAAGGACAGCTACTCGGACACCACGAGGGAAAACAGAGACTGCTGGGCTCGATGTGCCGAATGGCGCTTAGAGACACAAGTAAGGAAGGGCAGCTGCCGAAGTGGTTTGGAAGACTGGAAACACTGTGCTCATGCCCTTGAACAGGTGGAGTACCACCAAATTCCTGCAAACGGACATGAAGGCTTAATCAACCCTCAAGAATTCAAGAGCTCATCCGGCTGAAGTTCAAGGAGGCCGCTAAGTTCGCGAATGCAGAAACAAAGGCCACATGTCGCTCGCAAAACAGTTGTACAAGACTTTCACATCTATACACGTCATAGGGCTGGACTCGAGATTTTCAAAAAACTGCAACCTGAATACGGTGTTTATCATGATCGGAATGCAGCATGGGGGGGGCATCCCTGTTTTTTCTCCGCTGTCCCTTCTGAGTATAAATACAATGACAACGTGACTAAGTGGAGACTGGCAGAAGAACAGTAAAGCAGTGGAGATTAGCATGCATAGGATTGGTTCCCCACAAAAAAAGATATGTATGTGTATACCTATCATATAGACACGTATATGTGCAGGTGATCTGAGTTAATTAACCCTCATACCCCACCTCCGTCATGCAGGCGTCCGCAATGGCCTGGCCATGACAACATGGAGTGCTGAAGGTCAAGGCTTGGAACAATTAGATGATGCAGATTTGGCGCTCAAGCGGCTGGATTGGGGCTTCTAGACACGGGCTTCAGATCTTACAACCTTCGCTGTTTTGGGCAATCTGCTGGCCAAGAAGGTTCAGCTGCACAGAACGACTGCAAGCTGCAATGGCCAATGCAACCACTGCTAGTCTCACAGGCTGAGTCACCATTTCGAGTCGACACAGTAGGCGCACTACAATCATAAGGGATTAGAGCTGTAGACACAACACAACAAGATCGCTGTCTCAAACACCAGCACCTGATCAAGAGCCGGCAACTTGGGGCACTTGTGTTGCAGGCGATGGTAGCACAAAATGTAATGTATAAACAGCTTCGGGTAGCGCATTGGAGTCGTTGAGCTGCGGGTACGTGCAACTCGTGCAAAGCTGAGCTGCGGAGTTGAACTAAAATTGATAGTTTCGTTTCCCTGGCGTGGGCGCCTCTCGCCGCTTTGTGGCCTCCTGCGAGGAGCTGAAGAACTTGGCCGAAGCGCCGGCCATGCCTTCTGGAGTAAACTGTGCAGGAGTTCTGGCTTGGGGCAGGATTTGGGACTTTTACCGAGCCAGCCGATTTGACTTCACAGCGCGTCGCATTTCTGGTCTCCGGCATGTTCGGAGCTGCACCTCCTTGTCGACGCAAGTTGCCGGCATTGAAGGACTTGACGGGAAAGCCGCTCCACCTACCAGGCGCTGTCGACATTTCGAATCCTAAATCGAATGCCGCATGCATCTGCTGCCCGTGCTTCGGCCGTAAGGCAGCCCTCTTCAACTTGCCTGAAGATCCCGATTTGCCCGGACTCAACCCAGGAAGGTTCCAGTGAGAGCCCGGCGTCAGATATCTCATGAGCATCTTGGTGATGTAGGACTTTCCGCGGGCTGGCAGGCCCACCATGCAAAGGAGCACGCGGCTAGATTGGCTGTACCTGAGAGCGATTGGGCATGCACCTCCCTGAAGCCTCGGAAGCCCAGCCGCCCCTGCCACCCTACGCACGCTTAGCCTGAAGACTTCTTCGGCTTGAGTCTAACATAGTCTAACCTCTTTGATGTCTAACTTGGGAAGCTCCCCTGTCTTCTGAAGCCTTGCATGGGGCTCTAGCCGTAGGTGGTGGGTTTACCCTGCCCGGCCAATTTCAAGCCAAAGCTCCCGCCCTGAAGCCCAAACATCAATAGGCAGATAGTGCTTTCTTTGTGCAAAGTGGCCCTCCGAGTCCATACACCGTGCCCAGGTCGCCATCAGACGAGTAAGAGGAGACACTCACGTTGTCCTTGGCCACGCAGGTGAGTTTTTCCCCGCCTTACCCTCTGTCATGATACCTACTTTAAGCCCATTTTAAGCCCTATGCAATCTCTACAGGGCTTTGAGACTTCGCCCTGAGACTCACACAGGTCACTTTAACAAGGTTCGTGCAAGACGGTCGTTGGTTGAAGGCATGGGGGCGTGCTCCCCTGGGTCTATTTTGGGTCTGGCCTGTTGGTTTTTGATGTTGGACATTGAATTCGGGCTTGTCCTTCAGGGCAAGTCAGGCTCCACCACGCTAGACAACTAGCAGGATGGCTATTGGTGAGAGAAGGATCCCCGTCGCGCAGCCGGCCGTTGCCACGGAACTCAGTTGTCCAGCTTACTGATTGCAATGCATGTTTGGATGCATGACTTTCGCTTGTGCAAGAATACGTTCTCTGCGAATTCATTGCTGTAGCCTTGCTACTGAAGCACCCCTTGGCCATGAAACCCTTCAAGCCAGACACGCTGCCGTGCATCACATTGGCACATGCCGCATATGCCTGTACATTTGCATTAAAACCTTCATGATGTTAGCATCATATTAATCTCCCCGAATAAGGCGGGTGCTGTGGGCGACCTCGGCGGCGAGCCTCCACAATTCGGGCCGCAACCGTGGTTCGACACTTTCCAGACCCATATAACAACATGAATTGCCTGTTGCAATGAATTTATTAATCCAGTGCTTGTCACCATTTTTTGACTGACCCGTCTCTTTGCCCGATTCTAGAAAGCCAAACCGATCGAGTTGTTTGAATGGATGTCAGAAGTTCTTATAGGTGTGCTTCTTTTACGCTTATAATCATAGACATCGTGAATCAAAGGATCCGAAGAACTGATCCAATGTTCATAAGGGGTTGTATCATTTGGAGACAGCAACATGCAAGTCTGCTGAGGGTTTGTTGGTTCTCTGTACGTAGAGCAGAATCTGAGTGGCATCTCTTCTTCTTCTTCTTCACAACGGCCATCTCTCTCTCTCTCTCTCTCCCTGCGACTTCTGGATTTCTGGAAATAACTCATCCTGGTGAGTTTCTGCGGGTTGTTGCGTTTCTGTGCGCCTCTTGCGCTGCGCGCCAACCTCTTTGAAACACTCTCAGAAATCCCCAGGCATGCCCAAACCCCAACGCACCTCCGGTAACTTGCCGGGCAAAGTGGATTCCCTCCTTCTCGGCGCTCTGACCAAGCAAGATTTGGTAGGGGTTTGTAAGTGTGTTGGGCCGATGTCATTCCGAGCTGTAAACCTCTGTGTGCTAAAGGGGAAGCATCTCATGCAATCATGGGTTGCCCTTCCTCCCCCCTCTATACTACCCCCCCCATAACGAAGGCCAGTTAGGCACAATTATGCAAGTGGCCTACAATGGCCTCTTGCTGTTGTTCTCAAACATTCGAAAGAAGTCAGTCCTGCGTCATCCGCCTCTCCTTGGCTGTGCCGAGCGCTCCCATGCTCTGCCCCTTCTGAAGCCCTACCCCTACTAGCCTACAAGGCTCCCCGGGCTCCTGTAGTGCGGCGTTTTTTGGAGAAAACCATGCCAGTATGTGATGAAGATACACCATGCTGGGCAATTTCGAACCTAAGCAAGCAGCATTTCTGCACTGAACCGCCGTCAGAACCGATCTCCCCAGCGACGGGATCTAGGGACTTGCGGTCGTTGCGGTTTCGGGTTCAGGGCTTAGAGCTTAGGGTTTTCTGGAGCTTCATGGCCCTCACCCGGCCCCACAGGACTCCTGGCTGCATCATGATGCGCATCTCGCGAATCCCGAAACCGAGCTGCACTCCGAGAAGAGAGAACGAGAGGCCCGAGTTCGACGGAGTTATCCCCACCAATGTCTGCAAAAGCAAGTTAACAATCAATCACACGCAACCTCCATCCAATTTCCGGAACTTCCAGCCACTTGACCCCCAAGCTCCAACCTTAGTGCAGACACGGCCGCAAGCTCAAGAATCGCATCGCGGTCCTCCCAGCAGCTCGAACCCAAAAAAGCAACTACAAAAAGATGGCTCGAAGATCAGGATTTACGCTCTAGTGCTTCTTCTCTTAAATCTCAGACCTGCCACACCTCGGAAACATAAACAAATTGAGCACTCATCTTGGACTTCTCCTACGCAAACGATGAGCCCATCAATGAAGGCCACTATGTTCTTAACTTTCGGCTTGGGGCATCCGTTAACAGTTAACACAAAGTCGTTGGGCAGGATGCTGGGCAGCTTGAGAAGACTCTGGCAGCACAGGGTGGAGAACAAACATCAATGGAAACCACCCGCCCCTGCTGAGCCCCTGTCCGACGCACACGAGTCATTTCGACGCCGCTTGCCCTTGCAGGGTGCACCGCACTCACTTGCCCGACAAGCTATGACAATGTTAACATCATAGTGGCTGCCGCCTTCCTTCCTCTCTCTCTCTGTACCTTTCTTTCTCTCGCTCTCTCTTTCTCTCTCTCCGTCTGGAACGTCAAGTCGCCGCTTTGCCCTCAAACCTGAAACTGTCTCTTTGTGTCTCTGGGCCCTGGCCTTCTCTCTGTCCTCGTCATTCCGCGAGGAGTAGCGGCCGAAAAGGAATCCAAAAATCATGCCAAACGCCAGGCCGATTGCCAAACTCACAAAGGCCTCCTGAGCTTGTTGTTCAAGCTTCGGGATTTGGAAGCCGTGATCTGGGGAGGCCTTGCATCTCAACCTTTGGAGCATCGGGTTCTAGGCATAGAAACCATCAGGCCCAGGGAAGTCCTGGGATGTCATCCTGTAGTTACCTAGCTCAGGCCCAATGCCTCCTTGAAGCCTAATTCACCTCTAGGGGTGCAACCATGCCTTTGGCAGCAACATGAACAAGCAAAAGGCAGCGAAGCAGGCATGCACAGCAATCTGCAGACTGGCGACAATCGACCCCGCTTCTCGTGGCCTTTCCTTGCGAGGAGGGCTTCTGCTTTCTCGCAGAACATCCAGCTAAAGCAACAATGCTGGAGCAAGATCCATTCGCCGAGCTGCCATCTCAAAGAAAGCTTGGCGGCTGCCGCACCAGCAGCGCACTCTATCCAACCATGACGGGCGTAGCCCGGAAAAATTGCAAAACTTACTTAAAGGGGCTCCGACTTCTCTTGTCGGTGGGGGGTTTGCGCGTGTTGGATGTGGTGTTGTAGGGTTGAGGGGGTTGGCTCGAATGACCTAGGACCTAGCATCTCAGAACGCAAGCAAGAAGACTTCTAAGGAAGAGATGAGATGGTCTGGGTGGCTGTCTTCTGGCGTTGGCGTGACACTTGACAAACAGCTGCATGTAGGCGCATCATACGACCGCGCATCATTGACAATCTCTGGAAGGCAGCTGCGCAGCTGACCCGCTACTCAAGTGCCTGTGCCCTGACATTTTCCAGACTGTGCCAGTCTGCCCTTCATGAAGCACTACAACTTGAGCATGCTTCTGGTTTCCACAACTATCCTGATGCATGTTCAGTTGTCCGAGGCACCCGAAACCCTGATCGCCAACACAATTCTTTCCGTCCATTTCCCTCCCATCACTACCACCGTCACCCACAGACACCCTAAGCTTTGATATCCCCCGCCTCTCCAGAGTGCCAACTTCCTCCCTGGGCGCTCTTAGGCCAATGCCGCCTCTTTCTCTGTGGTGGCCTGCATCGGGTGTCACTGCATCGGGTGTCACTGCATCGGGTGTCACTGGGTGTCTGGGCTCTCGGTCCAGGTCTTCCGTGGTGCTGGGGTTGGTTTGCCTGCTTGTCTGTCTTACGGGAGCCAAACGGCTATCCCTCAGACGATATGTATTCTTCTACAATTTACAGTCTGGAAACCCATAGCTGTTCATATACTGTTATTGGGGCCATTTCTCATTATGGACAGACAGTTACTGCAGGACATTACAGAGCTATGCTTTACAGTGCTTTGGAATCATGTTGGTACATCACGGATGATGGCTCTCGGGCCAAACGGGCCAAACTTGCTGATATGCAACACCTTTACAGAAATGCATATGTGATTTGGCTGAGAGCTGGGGTCTGATACAGTTTACGGCTCATCGGCAAGCTCGGGAGTGCAGTTCTCGCTGGACGCAGGAGGATGCACTTGCTGACGGGGTTGTGGCTTGCCACTCCTACGGGCGCCCGTGCTCTCTGCCGCATGTCGTGCCGGACGCGGTGCGCATGCCGAGTGTCGGAGCTGTTAGGGTAGGGCTTTAGGATGACTGTAACAACAAGCTCAGTCTTCCTGCGTGTAGGGGCAGTACACTCAGAGAGTAGTTTTCGTACAGTTGTTTTCTCGCACGTGGTTTCGGACAGAAGTCGTGAAACTTATGTGCTCGCTTAGTGCTACGGCACGGGGCGCATTCTTGCGCTTGCTTGGTGCTCCGGCACGAAGCGCAAAGCTGCAGCCACAGAGCTGCCGTGTGGACACACGTAGGCTTACGCTAGGCGACCTTCGGACTTCGGACGCTGCGCAGTCAAAAAGTCTACAATGCGGAACGGGCACGTGCGAAAAGCGAGCCGAAGAAGCGAAGCTTGCAAGAGGGCCACAACGACCTAGGACCGACGAACATGCATCTCCGGACTTGGGAATCCTGTTGAGAACTTCGAATAAAGTCAAGTGCTCCGAAGTGGCAGCCGCTGGGCCCAACAGGACCTTACACGACAAACTTGACTTCGCCCTCTTGGTCGAGTCCCTGACTTGAGCGCATTGAAGGATCAAGCCCGAGTGTCTGGCTGCCAGAAGAACCCACATGAGAATCAGAAGATATCAGAAGCTCCTTATACGTGCTGGGAACCCGACACCGGACCAGCTTCAAGAAAGCACTAGCAGCTGCCCGTGCTACCAGAATCCAGTAGATTTCGGTCATGGCAAAGCATATTGAGCGCATTGAGTGTATTGAACTAGGGCGAGGCCAAGCTAAAATCGGGATTTCTTTCTGTATAGGAAGCTGCATTCAAAGCTGGGGGTGAAGTCTCGCAACTCGAAACCTCGAAAATTAACATTCCCTGGCTGCAAGGTTCCACAATGCTTCGACCCTCGCACTCGTACATGGGGGTTTAAACGCTCGCACTCCAAGCCGGGCGAGGCACCATCCAGTCTCAAGTTTGCTCATGTCTCGGAGAGTTTGGGGTTCCGAAATATACAGCTCTAAACCCTCCTAAGATTCCGGAGTTCAACGCTCACGGTGACATCACGCCTCTCGAGCTTCAAGCATCAACTTCAAGTTCGCCTGCGTAGGGAGGTCCAGGAAGGTGGTGGATGGTATCAGCTGCGTCTTCCACATACTGTTTAACTTGGAGAAACCAGTGTGGCCTGGCCTTTCATGATTACGGGGATTTGTGCGGGTGGCATGTTTGTGCAGGAGTACGCCGTTCAGGAATGGAAGGAGGTTGACAGCACTGAGGATGCAGCAATGCAAGATCTTGGGAGCTAAATCAAGGACCGTGCCAGCTAAACTTCGACAAGTTGTGGACACCCTTTCGTGAGTTCATGGCTGAACTTTTTGGGATTGAAAAGCGCTTTCCTTGGAGCTATAGGAGGCCCCACAGACTTACTGCAATTGAAAGTTAGAACATAACAGCAACCGGAATCAAGCAGCAACCCTGACGTTTTCAACGCTTTACGCGTCTTTTGCGGCATGTCTTTGACGGGGACGGTGCCGGTTCGTAGTACTACAAGTCCAAACATGGGCATTGGGCTTGGGCGGTGTGCAAACATTCATACTCGATATTTAGCAGTCAATGCAGGAGGGAGGAGAGTGGTGGACATGTTAGGCCCATATCATACTCGCCGCACAGAGCTCGTGGGCTTGCACAGGTCTGCTTAAAGTGCTCGCCATTCTGGCTCCATCTTACTACCTGTGGTACCTATCGTGTGAGCTGTGTCAGCTATGTAGAGGTCGGCAACATATGGAAATCTTATGTGCCCAGCTCTTAGCGCAGCGTCTGCTCGGACTCGAGCGGGCGTGGAGTGAAGAAGGTTCCTGGAAAGGCTTTATAAGCTTCTGAGTCTGGAAGCGGATCCCTGCCAACAATGAACCTGTGACGTGCATCCTGTGCATTGAACACTAAGAAGCATTCCGTACTCCTAATTAAAGGCTATGCCTGCATTGTACCAAGGCACCTTCTACCGGAATCTACCGTGGTTCGGCAGCCCTGGCAGGGCCCGCTGAAACTGCCCTTGTTTCTGCACTAGTTTGGCTTTTAACGTGGACAGATTCCTAAACTTCGCGAAGCTCTAAAACAGTCTCGGTCTTCCAGGGTATTGAACTCTGTGCAGGTGCCGTCAGCTTGCCTGGCAGACTGTGCCTATAGGCCTAAGCAAGAAGCGGGGCTCGCGGTGGTAGGCTTGAAAGTCAGCGGAGTGCGGGTTTGTTGGGCACGGTACGTTGGGTTGGGCAGCGTGGAAAAGCCACGTAAGAGCAGCAGGTGACCCGGTGCTGCGGCTTTTAAAGAGTTGCACAAATAAAACGGAAAAGAACATAACGGAGGCTTTGAACCTGAATTTCATCAGGGTTCAAGGCTCCTAGGCATGGCTACCAGTCTCACTTTGTGAGTTTTTACGGGCCAAGAGACATGCATACGATTTGCAGGCGGCATGCGCGCCTTCTAAATTCATACGAATTTGGTCAGAAGGTCTCCTTCTACACTTGCATGCTCACCAGCTACTCTTCGCAGGTCCGCGTTGCAGTTCACAATTACTTGTCATGGAAGGGCTCAACGCGGCTATACCTCACCAGAATGCAGCACAAAGCCTTGAAACCATGCCACCTTCAGAGCATACGTGCCGGCAAGTCACCACACGATGTACTCAGGATACACCTGCCGTGGCATGCTGCGGTTGTATTCTGGGCTCACAGAGGGGAGGGGGATGCGTTGTGCATTGCAAGCCCTCCCCAGACTGAATATCTGTCCGGGACATCTCTCTAGGCTTACCGGAAATAAGGTATGACAGCAAAGCTGCTGCGGAAATTGAGGGGTTACGCGCTCGGAATTCTTGATGCTCCTGCTCCTGATTGCAGGCCGCAATGTCCTCAGTCCTCATTCTTGGCGGAATTGGGAAAGCTACACCGCAGCCAACCAGCTATGTTAAAATGGTGGGCAAACAAAGATGCAACGCGTTCTACCCTTGATTGCTGAGCCCATTTCCTGATTGCTGCTCCAACCCCTCATTTGCGAGGCAAAGCTTCTAGGTTAGCTGCCTCGCCTCAGGACGTAGGTCACAAGGCTCATCGGCAATTTTGCAAGAACAACTTGGGATACTAATCCACTGCCTTCCCTCCCATCTCCGCAAGCCCGTGTGCAGCTTCCGAGCCCTGTGGCCTGGTCATTGTCAAAGACAATGAACTCCCGGTACGTGCCTCGAACCTGCTCTGCTTTCCTATGTGGGATTACGGTGAAAATGCCGGGACCTTCCGCGATCAGCAAAGCTTGGAGCTTTAGACATCGGATTAAGTAGCCTCAGACTTGCTCGTTCTGGCCCTTCTTTGCATTCAAACTCCCCAAAGCAAACCCTTTCTTATTTAATAAGGAAGGCACACGCCAAACAACAAAACACTGCCCGCTGGGCCGTCCTTTTCGCGATCACCCAGAACGCAGTGGTAGTCACCACTTCGACACTTCTCCTGGTTGAGTGACTTCTCTCCAGGCTGGAGCAAGGATTCAGGGCTTCAGTGATATTATGGCTATGTCGGGAGACAGGACCCGTCAAAAGGCTGTGTGGACACCGGGGTTCAGGTTCGGCAGTAAAAGGATCGCGCCAGTTTACGCGTGGAGCACCTGCGACCGCACAAGGGGAGGCAACTGAAACTCGACTCCGTGAAGAAACACAGAGTGCAAGTTCGTAGGTGATAAAAAAGGCCATCCATAAAGCAATCGCCCAGGGCTCCTCCAGCTGTTCCTTGTGATCCGAAGGCCTTTTCCAGTCACCTCAGGCAACTAGATATGAATACATAATGCATACATACACGTTCAGTCTCTATGAACGAAATGGCCCGCCAAACAGCAGCACGTCAACTTGACACAGTGCCTGGATGCAACTCTGACTCGGGAGCTGTGCTGTCTGTAACTTCACTCTGTTGACAGGTAAGTCTCCCGTTCGGCCAAGCTGCAATGAAACAAGCGTCCACACGTGACTCTGCAAAGGATGAGGGGGCTCCAACTCCTGCTCGAAGTGCTCGCACTCACAGCATTCAAAAGGCTTTGGGAGAGGGTTCGGAAGAATTCAGATGATAGATTGAGTGGGCTCATGCTGGAGGGAGAGTACTTTGTGATAATGCACACCCTGCTTTCAGAACTTGCCAGTCTTCCGACACGGCTTGTCCGGTGATGTCCGGTGTGTTCTTGACTGCCTGTAGAAGCACGTCCAGATGAGGGGCAAGAAACGACGATCTGCCTTACATGTCAGTCATGTAGTGTCCATTGCCGGTTTCCGCGTCGCCGCTGCGCCGGACTCGCATGTCACGATAGCCATCATTCCAGATCAAGTTGCCAGAGCATGCAAGATAGACTGCCGGCAGGTTTGAATACCCTGCGGCCTATGGCCGGGCGAAGTCGCCAGGAAACACCGTGTTTACGGCTGCTCGGGTGACTTGTGTGCTGCTTTGGGCGACTCCCGGTGGGATGAGCCCTTGCAGAGGGTAAACTGAAGTGTATAGATGGGGACAACTGATGATTGCTAAAAAATTAAAAATCAAATAGTGCAAAACTCGTAGTACGGAATAGTAGAGTAGGTACAGTAAGAAAAATATATAGAATAGAATAGTATCGAAAAGTGAAGAGTGCTGCTAAGGTGAGCGGATGTGGAAGACCAAGGTCCTTGGTCGAGCTTGCCCGCTTTTCAGAATGCCACTAAGCCGCCAACGCATGGTCTTACACCTTAAAGAATACTAGGAGAAGGACTTGCCAATGTCTGTGCCCTAAACGATACAAAAATGGCATCAGGGCTTGAAAAACTCTTGCGACATCTTACGACCAACTTCTAGCTTTAACCGGCACATGCTCTTAGCAAGTACTACCCCGTCCATGCTTGGAAGTGCCGAAGCTCTTGTGGCCAAGGCATGGGGAACTGGACTACTTCCATAGTTTGAAACCAGAAAACCACCCTCTCATGGCACCCAATCTCGAGGTCTACTCCTCCAAGATGACGAGCTTGGGTTCCTCTAAGTGCGTGTGACCCTCGAAATATTCACCGCCAAAGAACGGATCATGCAGGGCTTTCCACCTCTTCTTTCCTTCCGCCATCTCAGAATCTGTGAGCAACGCAGTCTCAAGCTGTTCTTGAATGCCCACATTGTCCAACTTTACGCCAATGAACACTACCATGCTCCCACGGTCGCCATGCGTAGCATTCCATGAATCCGCTTCCAGTAGCTGTGAGTGGTACTCATGAAAAGCATCTTCCCATTCCTCCTTTGGAACAGCTGCAAGGAATGGCATTTCCGAAGCTCCCAGCTGTATGTGTCGGCCTGCGACATGGAGATCTATCGGCCGGGCATCGGCCGTGGCCAACCACAGGTGGCCTTTCGCACGCACCACACCTGAGAACACTCCATGTGGCACGGATGCTTTCTTCGAAGGCATGCTGGCATAATTTCCAAAACTTGCAAGCACGTCTGCAAGTCTGTCAGGGTGGAAAGGTCGATCGTGGCAGCGGAAGACCATGCTGGAGATGTCGTACTCTTCGGTTTCGGGCGTATGCCCACCCTCCGCTGCCTTGGCCAACTCCTGCATCCACCCTGCAGAAGACTCTGCCTTGTCCATGTCAAAGAGATTGGTGTTGATCAAATCGCTTAGCGGAACATCCGCAAAGTTCGGCTGAGAAGGCACAATAACTTTGGCAGAAGGATTCAGCTTCTGCAGCAGGGCACGGATTTCTTGCACAGCCTTTGGATCCTTCATCAGGTGCACTTTGCTGAGCAAGATCACATTGGCGAACTCGATCTGGTCCAGCATCAGCTGTGCAATGCTGCGGTCGTCCGTTTCTTCGTCATTGCCGGCCATGCCAGCGATATTCTTCTCTGCCAGGGTCTCCAGGCTGCTCAAGACATCGTAGATGTTCAGTGCGTCCACCACTGTCACCATCGTGTCCAGCCGTGCGAAGTGGGACAGCGACTTTAGCTCTCCCAAGCCCTCCTCCTCCTCCTCCTCCTCCGCAAAATCTTGCTCCATGATGTTCTCCATTTCGCCCTCCTCAATTTCGTCCTCTATCTCACCCTCCTCCCACTCGCCTTCCTCCCACTCGCCCTCCTCCAACTCGCCTTCCTCCAAGTCATCCACGTCCATGGTGAAGGTTTGCGCCACTGGCAGTGGCTCCGAGATACCTGTGGACTCGATGACCAGGTAGTCGAATGCCTTCTCCTCGCTCAAAGCCTTTACAGTCTTCAACAAGTCACCGCGAAGTGTGCAGCAAATGCAGCCATTGTGCATCTCCACCATGGTGGCTTCTTCCTGGATCAGCTTGGAATTCTTGATCTCAGATGCATCCAAGTTCACTTCGCCCATGTCATTCACGATCACGGCCACCTTTGCAGGTTCATCTTTGTCATGGATCTCAGTGGAAGAACGTAGGATCCGTTTCAGCAGCGTGGTCTTGCCTGACCCCAAAAATCCTGACAGCACCGTTACCGGGAGAAGCTCCGCAGCTTCCGGGCCGTGCCAAGGGTTGTCGTGACAGCAACCTGGATCTCCGGAAGCCCTGACAACTGGGAGGGGTCGCCGCCTGGCCCTTGAGATGGCCGGGAGGAAAGCCAAGGCCATGGCCTTCACAGCACCTTGGCGGCCTTGGCGTAGCACACTTGGCCGCCGCGGACCCGGTTTTTGCCATGCTCGCCGAGGTGGGGCATACCTCCCCAAGGACTTCAGGGGTGTCCAGGCGCGGGGATCCATCGCGACAACCCTTGAGCAAACAAACACCATGGTTGTTTGTGCTCCCTTCATCTCAAACGAGACGGCATAGAACTGCAATCACCGGCACTGCAGGTCTACAAAGAGCATCAACCGATTGCAAAACTATAAACATCGGCCCCATGTCGCATGATTATCACGGACACCGCTTCCATCCACTTCCCCGACCGAGGCCATAACAATTTACAGTGCAAAGACAGGAAAGCCTCCTCTTTGCTTCGGGGCCGTCTGCCTTTTTTTGACCCACCGAAACGGCGTCCAAAACTTGAAGCCTTTTGAACCCCAAGGGCGCCTGTCATCAGCCTTGGTGTACTCGTCGGATTTCATACAGCTCCTGTGCTATGCTGTGGGCTCCTCTTTTGGGCTAGGGCCAGCGAGGGATATCGGAAGGCTGGAGGCTATAGGAATTCTTGCAACGCACTGCGCCCCATCCAAACCACTGCAAGCTAGTCGGTATCGGTCAACTCCATCTTGACAAGCAAACAGAAACCGTCGGGCATAGAAATCCGCGCTTCCCAAGCCCTGTCACCAAGATTCTCTGCAAAGTAGAGACCGCGGCCGAACATGGTACCTGCAGCCTCGTTTGTCAATAACTGCAAGGCAGCGTCCAGTTAGCTGGGTTCACCTCAAGAGCCTTCAAGCCCAAAGGTCAGCTTTTCTTGACACCTTTTGTGCGCCCCAACCTCTCTTCCTCACAACCGGCTCAGGCAGAAGCTTTCGCCTTCGTCGTGAGGTGGGGGGCTTGCAAAACCCCCAAATCCAAAACATTCCCAAACGGTCCATTCGACATGGAAAAGCCGAAAGAAGTCGGACCAAGAAGCTGAGCCAGCACGGCCCATGTCGAAGTCTGTTTCGGTGATTCCGTGGGCACCCTCTTTGCCTGTCCTCACAAACACACCAATGACTCTGCCTTGAAGAGGGTAAGATGCCCTGGCTCACAAGGTTGATGCAGGCATGCAAATGTGGTGGGGATGAACCTTCAATCCGACCGCTGCCTCTTATTGTAACTCCTGAATCCTTGCGATACCGATTCAAGATATTCAGGCGCCGAGAGGTCCAAGGTGCCCATGCCAAAGCCAAACTTCATTGATGCCGGCGTCCACGGGCTCTTCTGGATGGAAGCTGACGCCCTGTGCAAGTGCCGGCTGAAGTTCAGGGAGTCATGCAAATATCATTCATGTGACGATATCTTTATCTTTCTGTTCCCTCCCTCCCCCCACAAGGCTTGGGGAGTGTCTGGGGACCCCTCGCGCGGATGCGCGCCTGAGCATGAGACTTCCCCCAACAAGCCCAACACGAAACAGCCTTACCCTCTCTCTCTCTCTCTCTCTTCGTCTTCTTCTTCTTCTTCTTCTTCTTCTTCTTCTTCTGTCTCTCTCTCTCTCTTTCTCTCTCCTCCCTCCATCTCAGGCTGTCTCCCTCTCTCTGATTCCGAGGGTTTGTGGATGAAGACACGCCGTTCGCAGCAAGCTTCGGGCGGTCGTGCGCGTCTGGATCATGCAACTGTATGAAGATGGGAGTAGGATGCAGATCGGAAAACTGCAAGCGATACATGAGACACCACACCAAACTCATCATCGTGACGTGCACCCCTTGTGTCGTCCTCCAGGATGACAAATACATAATGCAAAAAGACCCGAGGCCGGTCGTCGTCGTTCCGTTATCATGTGCCTTCAGGGACACCGCCTGCGACTTTATGTTGAAGTCTTCGGCCTAGGCCGGGTCACGGGCTTGGCTGGACTCGATTTCTTTTGGCGGCTTCCTCTCTATTTACGAAAGGCTGCCAAAGTTCAACTCGCAATTAGCGCATGCGCCGGCAACGCTCCAGATGTCTCAGGCTTGGTGAAGACCGTGGGACACATTGGCCATGCTGCCAGCACAGAGGATTTATGGAAAACAAGTGCAAGACCTCCTGCCAAACAGTCAAGCCTCAGACTCGAAAACCGTAACTAACCTCTAACTCTAACGCGTGCGGAGTGGCTCGCTCCGCAGGATCCAGCGCAGCAAAGGCTGCCCGGATCTCTTCGCGCCTAGGTGACTGGGGTCAGGTACCCGAGTTCGTCTATAGGAGTCCAAGAATGTCGATAATCACGCCCCGCACCGACTCTCAAAGCATCTGCAAACAATTTTGGGGAGCGACTGCTGATTCGCCGCGAGGCGTTCTTCATACTTTTTGGCAGGGCTCAGGGATTGCATTCCTGGCTTGTAAGCACTTGCATGGGCTTCCGTGGTTTCGGGCAGAATCGGCACACCGAGGGTCCCCGTAACCCAATTCATAGAAAGGCCCAACAAGATGCCTTCGTGCATAGCCGAGGTAGTTCTCAGCATTGGCCACGTGCCAGACCTCTTCCACCTAGCGAGGCTGGCATTGGGGATCATTTAAGTCAGGCCTCAAGGGGTTTTTGCCCCGCTCGGCTTGCCGGCGGGTTGGCATCGGCCCCGCAAAGGCGATGCCCAGGACAAACTCTAAAGTTCCTGCTTGTCCAGTACATGTTCACCATTAACCTTTGGGCCCTTTATGGCTTGTGAGTTGTGAATTTTGGGACATTCTTCCACCCCTCTCAAAGAAGTTGTCGGGGACTGGCCCCTCGACTATCATGAGTTTATCCAAACTTCACCTGCGGCTCCTCGCTAGACGCCCTCAGCATCCCACGTCTCCCTCCGCCCTGGACCCTGACTCCCGAAGCGGCAAGTCAGACCTTTTTTTGCTCGCGACTGAGTCGAAACGGCCCTGCCACAAGAGCACGCGCTGGATAAGACAGGAAACGACGGCCACGTTGATGGAGTTCCCAATCAGTCGCCACTGCGTCCGCAACGGAAGTTCCTGGGGTAGCTTCCAACTGGGAGGAAAGCCCATAAGGCCCGCCATTTCCGTGGGTAAGAAGTAGCGGACAGACCTGAGACTCATAAGATGTTTTGGACGATCCCGTTTCTTGAGGGTACCATCTTGCAGATACAGAGGGCAAATCAGGATTGAGGGGTGGTCGCTGAAACATGCACAGCTTGAAATTTCGACATGACTATGCTTTGCGCCAAGCAGTAGAGCTCTTACACACCCTAAAGTTTTTTTAACTCGGGCCGAAGCACTTCCCCCGCGACGGGTGCAGAACCTGGAAGCGGAGGCGCGACTCCTTAGAAGGTGCTCTGGGTCTAGCTATAGCAAAGTACAGTAGATGCAGGGTTAGCTCCTGCTCTTGGGCAGAACTCTTCGCTTGCTCCGGGCCCATCAGGGCCTGGTGCGTTTCCTGGTTCAGGCAGAGGTATGGCTGTGCCTTGTGTGCAAACGTGGTTGAAATCTTGCCACCCAAGCTATAAGCAAACATGCCGCCCCTCCGTGAGTGTTCTTGTCCTTGGGGGGTTGTTTATCTCCGGCAGTTCTGCAACTGTCAGAACATGTGACACGTGACGACAAAGTCCAGGCTCGAAACGAACTCCAGTGGCGAGGAAGGCGACTCCAACAACTCCGATCCCTGTAGGCCCTGTAGTTGTCAGCATTTTCGGACATGCGAAGACAAGTTCAGGCTCTGAGCATGTTTGAGGGGACTTTCGGGGGTGAATTGGGGGCGGGGGCGGAGCCTCTGCATTTGCAAGCCTCTGCACTTGCGAACCACGGATGAAAGGGAACATGTGTGACAGTTTTGACAGATTGTTGGTTTGAAGCTATCGTGCGTTGAATCCAAGCTTGTGACTCATTTGGCACTGAATCGAATGAAATATCACACTTACCACTTGTGCAATGAGTTTAGACTGCATGCCCAGATATGCGTGCAAATGATTGAAACCAGATTGAAACTGATAAATGGAACCACAATCAATCACCCTCCAATTCCCCTTTGCAAGTGTCAGTACAGGCCTTTGACTTTGCGCACTGCGCTACTGGACTCCTGTTAGAAGTCTTGCTTGTGAAGTGAAGGGGAGATGGTGAAAAACATGGTTTGATTGGCTTGGCTTTAGTCGGACTGCTGCAACCGGGCCAGACGTCAACATATTCGCTTAGCTGTAGGGCGGAGGGGCGCCCTGCTCCCTGCCTTGTGAAGCGACGAGGAAATCTCACAACACGGTTCGTTTGGATTTGGCTGGGCCGGTGCAAAAACATGGTGGCGGCGCACGTAAGAGGCCGTGTGAGTGAACACATTTTTTGTTTACATGTTTCGCGTCGGGGGCTAAAAACCCAAGCGAAACACACATTTTCGTCATGACCGCAGCATTTGCAGGGCTCGAAAACACTGAAGGGTTAGGTCTTTTTTTCGGAAAATGCATTTTCGCTCGAAGCCTGATCGTTTTTTTGTTGCTTTTTTCCAGCGGGCCTTTTTTTTTTTGAAGTTTTGGACGCGTTTTTTGCTCGAAATTGCGCTCTCGCCTAGGCGCGGGCACGTTTTCCTCATTCCCCATGTTGAACTTTCAAAATGGCTGAGACTGTTCAGGCTCGAAATAGTGCTCCCGCCACAGCGAAGACGCGATTTTCTGGAATTCTGCTAGTGCTCCTGCACGTGCGGATATTCGGGAGGACTGCAGAAATGAAACTATAAGGGCAGCCAAGTCTTCTTTACGAGCGATGAGGCGTGACCAGGGTAGTGAGCCACGCCGCGAATCTGACAGCATGCCGTAGAGAGCTGTCATTTCAGCACTACCTTCCTCATGGGGCAAAAGCATGACGTGCAAGTGATCCAGGAGCTCCTGCACGGAGAAAGTCCGGAACCCCCGAGGTCTGGAAACGGCATGCAGGCAGACTCTCGCAGCACCAGAACGAGGAGCAGGAGGAGCGAGAGCCATCGCAGCATGGCAGTAAAAGTGAGCAGGGAAAAAGGTGTGCAGTCCCAAGTCACGCAATTACCCCCCCCCACCCCCCCCCCACCCCCCCCCCCACTCCCCCCCACCCCCCCCCCCCCCCCCACCCCCCCCCACCCCCCCCCCCCCACCCCCCCCCACCCCCCCCCCCCCACCCCCCCGCCCCACCCCCCCCACCCCCCCCCCCCCCCCCCACCCCCCCCCCACCCCCCCCCACCCCCCCCCCCCCCCCACCCCCCCCCCCCCCCCCCCCCCCCCCCCCCCCAAACCCCCCCCCCCCACCCCCCCACCCCCCCCCCCCCCCCCACCCCCCCCCCCACCCCCCCCCCCACCCCCCCCCCCCCCCCCCCCCCCCCCCCCCCCCCACCCCCCCCCCCCCCACCCCCCCCCCACCCCCCCCCCCCCACCGTTACTCGCACGGCCTTTTTAGAGGCGCCGTCTCCAAAAACATGCACAGCCTAATCGCCATGGCTTGGCTTCGTTACAGCGGTGCCCGGAGCGCACCCTCCCCCGTAGTTGCCGTGTCGGTAGTATGTCCTTCCACCTTGCCGAGCATTTTGTTGGATTCAACGGTCTTGCTTGGGAAGCGGAAGACGGGTTTAAAACCCAGAAACACGGTTTGCTTGGCTCAACTGTGTCCCATTTGCAACAGTGTCGGTACAGGCGTGATCCAAAGATCTCCGAGTGAAGCTATGCTGCCGAACTGTTTAAAAGCACATGGCTTGTTTGTTGTTGTTCGGCTTGGCTTGGGCGAGCCCACCGACCGTCGGACCATGGCGGACTGACCGTCTCTTGAGCAGTGGAAAGACACCAACTGTGATTGTAGGAATCCTTTCGGTCTAGGTCTAGGCAGAAAAGAATCACATCAGAAGCAGCCAAGCTTCGTCGGCGACATCCATCACCAATGGCCCCGCGAAGCTGAGGCCCTTTCCTCCGTATTCAGACTTCCCATAACCAGCGGTGAAGGTTTTGGTGATCATCGTGCCCTGGCAGGGGGTTGGGTTTCTTCGGACTGAGGCCCCCTTATTGCCTAAGGGTGTTACCGGTGCTACCCCTTTGCAAACCTTCTTGGCGAGATCCAAGGAATAGTTTCCACGGTACGCGTCCTTCAGCAACTTTTCCTAGGCTCCGGGGATTCCTGGCATATGAACTGTCGACAATAGCTTCTTCTTGCAACGCACCTTAGGATAAAGCAAAGGCTTCCTCATGCGATCCAGTGTCTGGCACTCGCAACGCTTCGTTGGATTCTGCCTGGTCACAAAGGAAGGCCTCGACCTCGGCAGATGGCGTCCCTGCCGGATTTACATTTCATCTGTTTAAGACTTTGCACGCCCACAAAAAAAGTGGGTATTGATGTACCAAATCTGCCGTTCTAACAGCCCAGCCACGGGCCTGCTTGGCATGCTAGGGGCTGATTCGCCGGGAACCCCAGGCAGGTCTGCCAAAACCTCCGTCGCTGCCGCAGCCACCTCTTCGTGGCCAACAAGCAAAGCAATCAAGTAGAACCGTGTGCGGGAGTTCGGGAAGCCAAAGTCGACTGGATTCAACATGTGCTCTTCAAAGGCGTAGCCAGATTTGTAGAGTGTCGATCGCAGGCGCTCGTAGGCGCGCGATCCGCGAAACTCCGGGACATTCTCAAGCAGCAGAGCTTTGGGAGGCTGCTCGAGTGCCGGGAGGGCCTCAAGCAATCGAAGCAAAGCCTTGCAGCGAGTGTCGTCGATATCCAACTTCCTGGCTCAGGTGCAAATGGCATTGGTCTTCTGTAATAAATCTGTGAAAAGCGAGTGGGCCCACAACATACCTAGTAGGCTAAACGATGGTGTAACTTAAGTCTCCTTCCGGTGCGAGTGAAGGGTTGGCAGGGTGGGCTCATCAGCCACAGGTCTCCACCTTCGAAGGCCTCGTCAGGAAGTCTGTCAATGGAGCATCGCCACAGCTCGTCGGAATCCCTGCGCCCTTTCCAAGACTCATTTCGCTTCACTCCGGTGATGTACTTCGAACCGTAAAGGTCGCAGTACGCCTTGCAACATGTTTCGTCTACCTCGAAGGAGCGCCACAGGGGCAACGGCCCCTTTGACAGCATGGCTTCTTGGAAAGCTAGCCGCATCCCACCCACACCACTGAAAAACTCGTAGACCCTCCGTACGGCATGCCTTAGCGTGTTCCGGATTCTACGACTTCCATGGCTTTTCCTTCCACTGTGTCCCGAGTTGCACAGATGTCGTGTAGCCAACGCAGCTCCAGCAAGCAGCGCCTGGTGAAGCTGAAGTGACGGAAGCGATCGGCCACTCTGGGGAGGCGGCCTATGAGGCCGCCTGATGTCTGCGAGAGGTTGGAACAGGGGCTTGCGGACCGACCCAGTGCTTGAGAGGCTTGCGAGCATTCCGCTGGCTTTAGGGCACCATGGCCTCCGCTGTGCACCGCAGACGCAGTGGGACAAGCTAGAGTGGACCTCCTACTTTGGGCGCCTACAGTTGCTGCTCAGGCCGACATGGCTTGTCACGGCCATGCCACTGTGCAACTGAGTCTCCTGTACCAACCTGAACGTTGTTCGCGCATGCTTCGGCTAGTTTGATGAGTGCTTGAGCCATGTCTGGACGAAGTCGCCTACTAGTCTTACCACCTTCGCAGCTGGGATGCCAAGACAAATGCCTCTACCCTGGCCTGGCCACCTAACGCTATAGGATAGTCGTGGGCTACATCTGTCTCGTGCACGGGCACCTTGAGCGACGTGGCCAGGGGATTTCTGCGATCCCTCGTTCTGCGACATCCTGGGCTCACGGACAGCAATTCTGCCCTTCGCACCTTATAAAAATGTTGCGCATCGTATCCATGCCATGACTTCTTGCTTGATCCAGCTTCGTGGGGGAGAGGGCCCTCCCCAGCAGTTGAAGGTCTGGTTGACCATATCTTGGAGGCGGGCTTTGAGGATCGGGTCCTCAATCTTGTCCTTCAACGATGACTTCTGAAAGCCCTGTGGCACAATCAGGCGAATACTCCGGGCAAGACACACACACACACACCCGCGCTCACGCACGGAACTCAACTGCCGGTCCTTTCGCACCGCAAGGCTTTTGCCCCTGCAGGATTCAACGGCTAACGAGGCGAGGCTACATTCAGCTTCGGGTTCTTGGGAGGCTACCGTATGTTCAGCACAAGCCGCAAGCCGACACAAGCGACACAAAGACAGTGAAGGAATCGGAAGAAGTTGAACAACATGTGTTTCGTGTAGAGCTTCGCTCATAGACTGCTTCTGAGGGGTTTGGCATTTTATGCAGAGGAATGTCGTGCGACACATGGTGCATCCTGCGGGAATTCTTCCCTTGTCGCTCCTACAGTCAAGGAAAGGCACGAGCTTCTTGAGGGTCAAACCCTACCATTGCATTCTTCCAAAAAGCAAAAAGCCCAAGTGGACATGTTTTGCAGGCCGGGGCACTTCTCCATAGCCCATTCCTGAGAGTCACTGTGATGTGAATTTGGAACTGGCGCAGAGCCCTTGGGCCATTGGGGCTCTTACTTGTGGATGCAAGAGTGGGACGGATGTGGGGCTCGAAGCTTTGAATTCTGGCGAACGTCGTGTCCCCCGTCCTTCGAGCCTTTTTCTGCTTCCTGGTTACCACGCTCCTGGCCTCCCAAACCTCGGAAGCCCTGAATGCCCTTTCAAAATCCCCCAATCCGGGGCTCCGCTGGCATGGCCGCACCCAGCCTTGGCAAGATTGCATGGGCGGTTATTATGTCGATGCTTGATACTGGTTCGCAGTTGGTAAGGTTATGCCTTCGTGGTGGGACGAAGCCGAAACTTGGGGGAGCCTTGTTGTAGCAACGAGCTGACATTGAGAAACATAGACCCATCGGTTGAGTACCCCCGAGTCGGCCTCAAGCCTTACGAAAATGGGGTTGCTCTGAGGGATGCGCCGCTGAATAATCTCAAAATGGAAAAACCCAGAGGTGTGAAGCAGAAGCTTTATGGACTTGTTCGCTGGTTTGTCTTGCAGCTATAGGGTAACCAGCAACATGCAAGCTTTTCTCGTTGGAGGGTTTTGGCTCTGAGCCGGCGAGTCTTAAGCCGGATAACCGTATAACAGAAGCTGCATATGGCACAACTCTAAGGGGGCATTTCGACTCTCACACTGGCTTTGGCAAAGAGCCTTGCATGCTTTTGCACCGGAAAAGTCCCAGTTGCCGTTCCACAAGGTCGGCAGCGAAGTCGTCGAGTCCCGCGCTGAGCGCGGCCTTTTCGAATGGAAAGGCTCGCTCTGGGACATCCCCTCAAGACTTATAGCACCATCTTGAGCCTAATCCCTTATTGCCTATTGCTTTATACGAAACTATATCAACGAACAGAACAAGGTAGTTGACAGTCAAGACGGTACAATTGTAGCGCGGGCTGGAATGGATGTAACGGTAACGGAAGTCTCATCGCCGGGGCCTTGTGTAGGCGCAGAAGCTCGGTCCTGAGGCATCGCTTGGGGGTGGGTTTGGTGACATTTTGGGGAAAGGGAGAGGGGGTCGACTCTCACATTCGCGAAAGGCAGGCAAGGCCAAGGCAACCTTCCGACGATCCCATGGAGGATTCCTGCCTAACAGCATACACCGATACGACACAAGCAGCCCGGACCATAAGGCGCCACAGGCATCCGCAAAAGCAACTTCTCCAGGCTCTGATGGTGCCGTCAGGATGCATACAAAAGACATCAAAAAACCATAGGAAGAAGTTGGATCTAGAAAAAACACAGCCCGAAATTGAAGCCGCTCAGCCCCAAGAGTGCGCAACATGCTGAAGCCATTGGAATGCAACTGCTTCTCATGCAGCATCTGCTTCTCAGCATCTTTTCGTGCGGTTTACGGACAGCGCAATGTAATATACTAACTGAAGACGCTGGCCATGCCGAGCGTCTCCGCGACAATGACTCCCGTGCTACTGACCTGGCTGGGCGCAAGGACTGCAGACTGCTTAAGGTCAGTCGGAGGAATTCTGCTGCCTTGCCTCGTCCACGTGGCCACGTAAATGGTTCCTCGCCTTGGACAGCAGAAACACCACAGCCTTTCTTTTCCAGCCCCCCGATAGCTGGACAAACCGCGCTGCAGGCAAAAGAAGCTTGCCGATATGACAATTCACAGTCAGTTTTGGAGGGCCACCTCCTTGGCCAAACCGCTGCAGCCGCTCTTCTGGGCAGCAGATGCCAGCTCGCAAATGCCTGGAGTCTCGCCATTTAAAGGCTGACAAATTTCACGTCTTACTTGTCCGATTGCCTACATTTATTATAAGGGGGCCCATTTGTGTAGAGATTTTGGTACTGCCTACGGCCCACGACTGAGACTTACTCGATTGCTCCGCTCAAGAGCCATCAGAATTTCAAAGAACAACTCTGCCGGACTCGTAACCACCGACCTTCGACTGGAGATCAATTGCCAGGCCTTCCCAGTTCCGATTGTCCAGGAGCGTAGAAAGCTTCTCCCTCAGTTGCCATGAAATCTTTGTCTGCAGGTGAATACATATATATTTTTTTTATTTTTGTTTTTGAACTTTTGGTTTTTTTCTTCGAGGTGCGGACTCCACTTCACTTCGTTGCGCCGCGTTGCAAACAGGGTTTTCAGGTTGCAAAGGGTGCCGGGCTTGGGGTCTACAAGGAAGGGTCTATAGGGCCTCAACACCCCAAAACATCTGTAGACTACACATGCCCCCCTCAGCCCACCCCACTGCACTTGTGCATGGTGGACGTCAAGAGCTAAGTACCAGGGCGAAGGGGCATGTACGCATGCGTGTAGAAACGAAGAGTGCGGAGCGCCAACTCCTCAATGCAAGGCGCCATGTAGAACCGACACACGAGCGTGCGCAAGCCTGCCAGCATTCAAGCCCGCTTTGAAGCCTTCTTTCAAGCCTTCCCAAACATCCAAGTATGCAGCCCCAAGAAACAATGGAAACCCTGAATCTGGGGCTGACACACAAGGGCCAATACATCCTTGGCGTCTTTCTTCACCTTGGCGAGGGCAGCACATTGGGGACCGGGATGTTTTGGGCTGATGGGGCCACAGGGTTGGGGGGCTTACGTTTTGTGCTCTGCTCAACGACTGATGTTCTTCTGCTCGTGGGGCGTATCATCAACTCTCAATACCGGAAAATAGATGCTTACGTGTTCGAGGCCACGCCCACTGTTGAATCGCATGCTTCGGCCCAGAGCACACTCACGAGGTGTCAGCATATTCTGGGCGGGTAACCTACACTCCCGTTTATGAAGCTAAAGCCTGTAGGATGTCAGCAGTAGCCGGGGCTCTGGTACGCAATTCATCTGGAGGGTTGCGGCAAAGCTTGTCACACTAACGTAACGTTGGGCCATTCAGCCTCAATCAGGTCACCACAAGGACAGGGCAAGCTTAGGAGGTGCTTTACAGCCAAACAAGTACTCCATGCACATGAATGGACGACCGCTTTGTTACATAACATTCATGACGGTCCCTCAAACGAACCCCCGAAGCGACAGTGTCTGCGGTTGTCTGACCCATGCAGAGAGATCACACTTGAATTCCTGAAGCGATCCTGAATGTCTTCAGACCACCCCTGCACTGTGGCGCCTTTGCAGGCGCGGACCCTTTCAGGGCGGTGAGCACCGCCACGTCCTTTGTGAAGGCAAGGTCTGAGGGTATTCGGGTTTTTGTTGTTGGTTCGTGGCATTCTTTCCTGGACAAAATGGCACATCCAGGAAAGCCAAGCCCTGCGGAGGTTCCTTAGAACCGAGATCCAAGTCGGGAATGGTTGAGTAATGAGCCACTGCTGAACCAAACTACTTCTTGACTCAATGCCCCGGAATAAGGACTAGAGGAGTAACTCATATCTTCAGGGTGACTGCAGAAGCTTTCCAGCTTCACCGGGTCGGTACCCAAGTGTTCAGCCCAGCATCGCCCGACTGCTTCGCTTCGTCCAGTACCTTCTGTTGCACTTAGTAAACACCCGGTGGAGCTGATGAACGCATGTTCGGGCCGGGTCTGGGAATTCATATTTGAGAAGATTTCCGAAACGCCAAAAGCCCACAAAGAGAAAGAACCTGAGATTCAAGCATCCAACGTGAAGAGGGTCTGAGCTAGCAGCTTCTGTGCATGCTTCCCCCCCCCCCCCCCGTCCCCTCTCTGCATCACGGCTAAGGCCCAGCATCTCAATCTATGCAGTCCAGCAGCACGCTGTGTCATTTTCTCCACCTGGGTTTCAGAGCTCTTCACAGTCGCCCTTCATCCACGCGTTGGGCATCCAGTTGCTTATCTAGCATTTGTGCTCAGACGGGTCTATACGAGGCACATCAGCTGATCAGATGATGAGCTCCCTGCATATCGTCATGGAACCCTTTCAAATTTCTTGCCCCAGCATCATCTACTGGCCGGAAAGTTTCAATGCCTGAAATCTGAAAAACCACAAAAAAAGGCTGTACTTGCATCCTTACACATACTAAGAGGGCCTCGTCTTCAACATGAGACATGATCTTGACGCGCTGTTGGACAGTTGCTGTAGCAGGTCAGGAAGCTGCCAGAAGAGTAAATGAGCTCCGCTCTCAACGCCTTCGGCCCTAAATTCACATCAAGGCTTCCGAATCCGTCAACACTGACTTCAGATCGCTATCCAAAGAAGCTTCGCTCCAATAGCCCAGCCAGACCCCAGACTCCTGCCTGCTTCTTCATCCACTCTGCACTTTCGCCCTTCTCGATCAGTTCGTAGACCGAGATAACCTACAGTGGGACTACTGAGACCGGCCCTTCAGAAAAGAGCGTGGACACTCTGATGCAGATCTTTCCCGCAGCCCCCGAATCTCCTCGTGGGCCTGTAGGGGCATCTATCAGCACGCAAGCTTATGACCAACGAAGCAAGGACTGTCGAGCCACCACAGCCGCTCGGGACATCCAGGACAGTCAGGATGATGCTAACAAGCAAAGACAGCCAAGCGCCTTCGTGACGTCAGATGGGCTGTCTTTGGCCGCTTGCAACGCCGAGTCCAGGCTGTGCAGTCGCAAGATTTTGGTCTCCAATGCCTGAGTCTGCAGAAGTTTCTGAACAGGGCTGGGTGACTCCTGTATCCCTAAGAAGCAACTGCGAAGATCACCTATGGAGCTTAGGGAGCTTCTTATGGGAGGACTCCCGGCTTGCTTGCGACAACTGTTCGCGGACTCAAGATGTGACAGCCGCAAGATACTGCTAATGTGGCAAGTGACACAAACTGCGACCTCAAAGCACGAAACTGCCAAACGCTAATCTCCGCCCACGCTTGGACTTCTTGGGTTCACAGATCCAGGACAAGCTCAGGCGGGCTGCACTTTTCCCAGATTTCTTGGCCCGCTCCGCCATCTTTACAGGCTCCTGGGGGATCGCGGTGCTTCTTCAAGCACTTCTGATGGGGCATGGCTGGCGCTTTGGGATGCTGTGGACGTGGCTACGAACTCGCATCATTTGTGAGGACCTAACCTTGAACCCCAAGCACCTGTGAACCTTGCATTTTAACGGCTCTCCCAAGCTGTAACAAACATGCACAAACTCGAAACCCTCAAGCAAGCAACGAGGTGACCCGGCCTTGGGGGCTGCTTCGTCGCCTCGCTCTTGCCAAGCTGTCATGATTGCATCGACCTTCTTCTCGATGAATTCCTGCATCAGAAGGGTTCACGTGATTTTACACGCCGACGCGTAGTCTTTAGGGTCTGTTATACTCAGAACCTGTTTGTACTTCTCTGCCTCCTGCAGAGATCTAGTCAGACCAGGGTTTTGACGAGTTAAAGTCTTCCAACACTGTAATCGCACCGCTGGCCCCATTCCATCATCATATTCAGCCTGACCTCGGCAACCAGAAGGCCGGACAATGACCAGAAGCCGGCCGGCCGGCTGGGGGGGGCGGGGGGGCGGGGATCTTCATTGATACTCAGCTCACATGCCCACAGCCAACCAGGCCCGTCTGCCCAAGCTCCTGAAAGCTCGGGTTGTCGGCAGTCCAGTCCTGAAGCAGCAAGTTGAGGGGTCAGGCCTAACGATCGCATTCAGGAATCGTCGCCCAAAAGCTCGGAGGGTGCCAGGCTGATGATATCTCGGGTTACATGGGTACCAGCACTACGAGGCCTTTGGGGGTCTTGGATCTTTGACAAGCTACTGAGTTGGCATATACTCTTTCAAGGGTTTTTTGCTTGTGCAGTGCCAAGCCGTAAGTGCGGGCCGAAGGACATACTGATCCAGCAAGCGGACGCCATCCCTCTCTGAGCTGGCATCATTGATCAACTGCTCCAGCGAGGACCGCAAGGGCTGTTTCTGCGGGCTATTCCTGGGAGCTCTGTCAAGACTAGGACCCTGGCTGTTCAGACAATGTACCCACATGGACCATGCACTGCCGTGCAGGTGTCTGTCTCCAGCCCCAAGACCAACAGTTCAAGTTCAGCGTGCGGTAAAGCGAGGACATAGGGTTGGGGGGTGAAACCCAGCCAGATGTCTCAAAGCCCCAAGCCCTGAATCGGACATAGCTTCGGGCAACCAGGCAAAAGGCCTAAACCAAACAGCCGCCAAGGGCCCAGGCAACACACCCCAACACTCCCAACAGACCGCTGGACCTGACCCCTCCCAAACCCCGCTTCCAGAACAAAGGAAAAACATACAGAAACAAAACCCCTGAAGCTCCTCAGCCGAGTGTCAGCTCCTGAGCCTTCGCCAGCGCCAACAGCAAGTCCCTGTAGCCAAGAAGCGCCTTGTCATGCTGTGGGGGAGTCGGAGTAGGAGGGTTTCGACCCTTGCGCTTACGCACTGAGTTCTTCAACTCTGCATTACTAAAAGTAGACTGCAGATGCACATCTCGTGGAGGGAGTTCATCAAGGGCTACGACGATAAGATGAAATGCAAAAAGACGGAGCCACCCGGTTGAGGGTTTCGGGTTGCTCTTTGTGGGGTGGGGCTTGAGGGTTACTGGGTTTCTTGGCTGTCCAGCGACAAGTTGCGCAAAACTCCCGACATCCTGAGTTACCAGATCGAGGTTGGTTTGCGCGGCTCTGGCTTCAGTACTGGAACAGCTGGCCTCGTCTGGATCAGGCTGTGCTGCTGCCTTGGTGCACTCCTCCAGCCTTGCACGGTTCACCCCTGAGCGCTGAAGGCAAGCAACTTTCAAGCAACTTGTGCCCACCATCACCCCAACTCGTTCTCTTTAGACGCCTTGGCCTAGAGTGCGATGCAACCTCACTCGGAAGAACATCGCAGCATCCCCCATCCAACCAGGTGGAGGCCCGTGCAATTCATGCTTGAAGGGCCTTGCATTGTAGATGTCGTCCGCTCGTTTCTCCAACTCCTGCTTATTGAAGGTGCTCTAAACCTGAAGACCTCCTATTATGAACCTCAAGCCTGACGGGCGTGTGCTTCACGGTTCTATTGGGTTATCGAACTCAGCTATGGGGTCGGTGCAGGCGGGATATCTCCAGGTCATGGAAAGCCACCGCAAGGGAGGACTTGCATGATGGGAATGAGGAAGCTTTTAGGATAATGGGTTTTGGTGCTGGCTGGTGTTCTGCGCAGATAACATCAGCAACCTCTCCCCCATTCCCCGTGTCAATCCCAGGATACCTGTTGCTTTTTCAAACCTTGGACCCCTATTAGTACCCCGCGTTAGAAGCTCCGGCCTTCCAACCTCGCTGGACAGCCTTGACCGAGACTTCGACGCACGTAGCTGGGACGGAGTCTCCTGCAGGAGGGTGCAAAACTTCAGGTCAGTTGAAAAATTGTCCCGACCTGGCCAGGCAAGCCAATGCACAGCAAAGGCTGAGGCCCACCTCTGCACAACTCTGTGTACCAAGAAAACAACCCCCCCCCCCGAGAAAACATGTGTACATATATATATATATATATATACACATGTGCACACGTACATATGTATATGTATATGTATATGTATATGTATATGTATGTGTATATATATATATATATATATATATCATCCACATTTTTGAGGTACTTCAAATTTCTGCATGTATATACATACATCTACCTTTAAAGCGCCTGGTCAGCAGTCAGAAGATAGAGCCGACTTGACTTGTGCAAATTTCCGAAGCCCGCCCTTACTTAATCTGCACAGCGCTCCAATATACTGCTCGGCTGCCGCTGCCAGCTTGGCTTCTTCATTCTCGCGTTCCTTGCGCTCACCTGAGATTGCTTAGGGGTTGGGGGTCTTCTTGAAGCTTTGGAACTTGTCTGGGCTGTTTAGGCGCTTTTCGGACTTTGGCATACGTTGGAAGTGTCTAAGAGGCGGCCCCGAATATTGGGCGACCGGCGCAATCTGACACCAGGCACGGTGCTTGAGCGGCTGTTGCTGAAATTAATAAATCAAGAGGCTCCCCACTGGCTTTCCCCCATAACTGTCGTTCGGCCGATTTCCGACTATCTGAGTCTACACCTCTCGCGCTGGATTCCGGCAGTTTGGAACCACCTTCGCGGTTGAATTGACGATGCTGCGGCGCTGCCGAAAGAAACCAAGCTCCAAGGATTTCAACTCCCCGTCCCAGTCTAGCCGAAGAACAAACTTCTCTCGACCCTCCCTACCCTCCCACGCCCCCCCACCTCCCCAAAAACAAGCCCTGAGAGCCTTCTCTGACTCAATGCTGGGCCAAGGGGCGCTCCTCCACGGCGGCCAAGCCGTCGGAAGCCAAGGCCACGGCTTCCGAGTCGCCCGCGGACTCGGCAGCCGCCTGGAAGAACGCGCGCGCCCCAAAACATGTGGCAATCATGTGAGGATGCTGCACAAGGGTTGTTGATCTGCTATGGGCATGCTGTAATAACCGCTTTTTGATGGGGGGACCGGGATCTGTGTTAGGCTTTTAGGTTGAGCTCGACCTTGCTTTGCAGGTCGCTGTGGAGGTGAGTGGAGGTTTGAGTACATACAAGTGATACTGCAACAGGAACTATCTCAAACCTAATCGCATGTCCACATGTTGCCAAGTGCCAAACGTGTGTGCAGCCTGCGTGGTGCGGAAGTGTTGCATTTACTTCGCTCGCTCGCTACGGCACAAGAAAGGTAAGATCTTCTCACGGTCGGGTATTCGAATTCTTTTCTTGAACCTGTAAGTGCGCCACCCTCTGTTTCGGGACTCTGTAATCCCTCCCGCAAAACCAAGCCTTGAACTGGGCAATGATGTCAGTTGAGGACTTCTCCTGTAGATCTTCCAGGATCTTTCGCATCTCCTTGGCGGTTGTGTGCGTGCAGCGCAGCGGCTCCTACGGTCTTGTCGAGGTTGCGGAATCCAAGCTGCATGCAGGTTCCGAGCAAGAACCGCAGAAAGATCACCAAACAGAGTTCGCCAAAACATTAAACCATGCTTGCAGCGTCACCGTGCAAGAGCTAAACAAGGACCAAGTGCGGGTTTCCGAAATAGGGGTACCCTTTTGGGGGTCCCCTCAAAGGAGATTCTGATCAATTTCGGGAAAACCCCTTTTTTCGTGAACCCCTATAAGCAGGTGGGTGGTAACACCCGAATTGCACGTACTGCCGTACTGCCGGATCGGTCCGCCAGGTCGCTGCGCGGGCCTCCGCTGCGGGGGCGGCGAGGCCGACGCGGGCGGCCGAGATGGCAAAGGTCAGGAGCCTTGATTGAAAACAACAACTTCGGAACTGTCATTTGTGGCAACTTAGGCAACTGCTATAGTGGCTTCTGTTTTAGTCCTGCTTCACTCGACAGTGACAGCCAGGCCAGTGGCGGAAAAAAAAATGAGAACGCACCGGCTGAGAACAGACTGCCGTAAGCGGCCTTGTCGGGTCCTGCGAGGCAATCTCCGTCTGGACGAGGGTGTTCAGGGCCTGACGTCTGGGCTGAGGGTTCATGTAAGTAGGCTAAGTAGGCTTCGGCTGTGACTTGACTCCTCTCGTTCTCGGAAGGGCGTCTGTGGCAAACTCCCCAGGCCTTGTTGATCTGATCCCGGATTGCTGGCTGGTCCTGGCAGCGCGTTAGCAGTGGGGCTTGGGGCCGAGAGGGGTTGAGCTTGTCAGTGTCTTGGTGTTTCTCGGATTTTGTTGGCACAGAGCCTGGGACATTCTTGCTGGATGCCCCGAATAATTAAGGGGGTTTTCATGAGAACAGCAACAGAAAAACTTAACTCAAAGACTTGGCCGTTACCCCTGTGAAGAGGGGAAAAAACCGGCTCCTTCTTGACTCGGGACTTTGAAGGCATAGTCACTTGCTCCACCTTGCGAGGCCGGATTCTCTGCAGGTTCTCAGGCTTATGCAGGTGATGGGAGGGGGGTTCACGAGATTCGTGAGGTAGCCATCGCTGTTCGGGACAGCAGGATGCTGGACAGGTTGCTACATGTTGCCAGGTGAAGAAGGCTACACAAGGATCGAGATATCTTCGAAGGAAGCAAGTAGTGGAAGCATTCCGAAGCAATGGACAACAACCGCGCTCTAATCTTTTCACCCCCCCTCCCTCTTCTTCTTCTTCTTCTGCATGCTTTCTTGCTTTCTTTCGTTCTTTCTTTCTGCACACCTAACCCTCCCCATTGGGGAGAGCCGCCCTTCTGCATGCTCGCTCGCTCTCTCCCGCTCTCTCAGTCGATTTTCCGATGATTATGATTTAGACCATCAAGACTGTTTTTTCTATTGCCCTACATATTTCTATCTCTCTCTCTCTCTCTGACTGAAACTCCCTCATAACTTTTAAGGCGGTCGAAGCCCCAGCCTGGCACTCCTGGGCCTTCTGCTGCATCTTGGCCAGTGTTGCAACGCCCTGCTCCACACCTGCCCTTTGGGCATTCTCCACCTGAGGAGGGTCCCCTGTGCTGGCACTTATATACTGTGTCACGCGACGGTTTGCCCAACATGATTCTGCGACCCCCCTCCCCCCCAATTGATTATGTGGGGGCCAAAAGACCCCCGAGCTCGGAGGGCCTCCTGATTCCTGCGGAGTCCTGCTCAGAAGCTTCAAGGCCCGAAGGCCGTAAACCTGAGTTTTTGACGCCCAAACAAAGCTGCAACCCACATCCCTGTACTGGGTTTTTGCCAGGGGTCAGCTAGGGTAAAGCATGACTTGGCCTCAAGAACCCCCAAACATTTGCGCGGCACGCGGGTTGCCGGGTTCATCAGTTCATCAGATTGCTTGACACCTTCGGCATGGGGCCTCGCATAATTTGGATCGCCCGCCTGCGTGGAAAACATCGCCATGGCTTTGGACTGAACGCGCACGAAGTCCCAGCGGACAGTCGTCTGAATGCACTGCAAGACCTCAGTGCGTTTACTCGCAGGTTCGCGATGCCGAAATGCCATCTACTATTCTGCCAACCTCCAAGTGAAGATGGCGAAAACTGGATCAACAAGGATGCGATGCAATTCACATCCCGCCCCATGAAGCCCCGAGCCCGCATGCTTAGCATGCAGGAGCTTGGGGTTCCTCTCTACCTCTCTTGAATTGGCCGGTCTGTATCAGTTGGGCAACGCGACTGACCAGAACATAGTTTCTTGTGACAACTACATCCAACTACTATTGCAAGCTCGCGGCTGCCTCCGGGTCCTTAGCATGTTGTCAGTGGGGATAAAAGTATCTCCAGTACGTCAGGGGGCTTCAGCAGCACTGCTGATCGGGTGCACATTGCAGCGAGACTGGCCACAAACTGCCAAACTAAGCGATGCCACTAGCCTTTCGAAATAGCTAGCTAAGCATGCACACAAGACATAGAAGCAGTAGCGATGTAAATCTCTTCCAAAGGAACTCGCTTTAGCTCCACGTCGCCAACTGCGCAATGCAATCCGAGAAACATTCTCGGAGGCGAACAGGACCGTCAGTACCTCTCCCCCACCCCTAGGTCTTCGCTTAGGAGGCATGTTGCGGGCTGAAGTCTTTAAGAACCCCCCTTTAGACAATCAAAAGAAGGCAATGGGGAAGCCCTGCCATTTTCCGTAAATATATATATATATATCTAATATCACGTAACATATCATGTCATTCCTCAAAGATCAGGGGTTCAACAGCTCCAAGGTTCAACTTCCAAGGGCCGCGTTTCTGTAGGCAGCGTGACTTCTCAAATTTGCTTGGGATTTGGGGATCAGGGTCTGCACGGAGCTTCCAGAGCCATCCTCAAATTTAAAGATACTGAAGGCCTGAACAAAAGTTTCTGTTCATGGCATCGTCCTGCTCACTGGATTCTAGGCACTCGGAGGCAGTCTGAGGCGCGGGCTTCAGCCTTGCCCATCTGCTCGCGCTCTTTCCAACGCTGCGTGGCTACTTTGATGGCAGCCTGGAGCAAGGAAGCAAGAAGGCTCTCCCTACAGGAAGGGTTCGTTTGTTAAAGATCGGGAGATGGAACCTCAACCGGCTTTATGGGCGGTGACAGTCGACCAGGCCACGCTCGTTGCCGCCACCGTGTGAGACAGGTGAAAAGTGTGCAGCAGGATACTAGGTCACAACAGGTTTCATACGAAGTTGATGTGTATGTAGGTGTTAGTTACCAAGAAGTCTTGATACTGGTGACTAAAGCATCTCCAGTAGCACTGAGATGCTCTCACTCACAGCACAAGCACTTAACCCTGTGAACCCAAGGTCTCGGCTTTGACTTGATGATCGTCCGCGCCGATGCTGCTGAAGTCCTGTCCCGCGAAGTGCCGATATCATGGTGATAGGGCTCAGGCTGAGGGAAGTGAGGCACGAGGTGGGGTTGCCCTAAACATTCACTGCTCTGAAACCTGGCAGTCGCAGCGCCCTGAACACAGCTGGCCTTTGTCAGCAGCTCGAGGGGCTTCTGGTACGCCTTCTTGCCTGCTTTGTTCCAGGCTTCTTCAATCCTCAGTTTTTGAGTATGAGGTCAAACGGTCACAAGGCTGGAGAGGTGGGACACGCAGCCGCTCTGGCCGCTGGCTCCAAGCCACCTAGCTGCTTAGCTGCAGACGCATCATCCAATCTACCGAGGGCCGAGGTCGGCACAGTGGGCCCCCTAATCAGCCTTCGAATTTAGGAGAGCCTGGGAGAGACTTCTCGTGGCTGAGGCATCGGCTCTTTGAGACGCGCATCGAGGGCTTCCAGGGCCTGAGTCGACTTGTTGCCTATACCGCACAGGCGCCATGTGGTTTGACAAACCATGCAACTTCAGTTGAGGAACCTCTTTGCACAGCGGATCGCATCCTTCGACGGCTGCAGCCCTGCAACGCGCTTCGGGAATCTGTGGGTTTCGAGGAGGGGTTGGCCATAGAAACTCCTGGACATCTTGTGTAACTATCCGGACAATGTCCTCACATAAAAAAGAGCCTCTAAACTCTAAACTCTCAAGCCTACATGTCTTGAAACTTGGAGCTTGGGATTAGAGATTCTGTGGCTTGGAAAGTTCATAGGGCCATAGGAAAGGGGCCAACTGCCAAGAAGAATAGGTTTACAGCTTTCAAGTTTCTAGAGTACTCTCGAAACCCCCAGGAGCACGAATAGCTGAACCTCCGCCCTTCCTAAGGACTTGCGGAGCACCGGGCTAAATTAAAGGATGGGAAGGGAAATGGAACAAAAAATAACATCTGCACACGTGTATATGTGCATAAACAAATACTACACATCTCAGTATGAATGTCTATGTATATATATATCTCTCTCTCTGTCTTTATTCTAGCAAATGCCTTGGATAGGCCACGCCTGAAAGTGCGACCCCTGCCCTCCGTCAGAGGGCCTGTAGAGGTTGGCCAAGAGGGTGGCGCTGTCGCTTCGCCGGGCGGTTGCCACCTGGTCCTCAGATTGTATAATTGCGCATTCAATGCAAAAGAGAATCTTCAATTTAGGGGGATTCTTTCTTTCATTGGGAAGGGGAGCTGAGGTGCGTTCGGACCAGGCGCAATTATCAAGCTTCACAGCCTGTGCAGCTATGACCATGAAATGCTCGCGGATAAGCAGGTCATCGAGCAAGAGCAGTGTTTGAATGTTTGGCCGCTGTCTACGGGCTTGGTGGCAGGGCCTGGGAACAATAGCATCAGACTCTGTCCACAGCCAGCTTTCACGATTCAGTTGGGCATAGTGCAAGAACCTGCCCCGAACCAAAAACCGTAACATCTCCCCATGACAAAGAAGCGTGTACATCACCCGACAACTGACAATCTTTCTAACTCCTGCGACGGTCATCATCAGCATCGGTGAAAGGTCATATCTTCCCAAGCGTATAAGCCCCAACGCACCGAACCTGTTAACACACTCATCGCCCGGAAGCCCTGCAGTCCTCTTGATGACCGCAATAGCCCCAACACCCCAGATTATCTACACCCACGATGCCCCCCCCACCCCCAGCCCCAAAGAAATCCTGGCCTCCCAAGCCGCAGCTGCGTGCGCCGCGATGACGCCTATAGAGCCCACACTTCCGGAGTTCGGCTTGGGCGAACTAATATTGATCGGGGTAGTGGGTAGTGCATACAGGGTTTGGTGATGCTGGCAAGTTGTAGTGCCCCATAACGCAAGCACATCGGTATGGATTCGTACCACTCGGGGGACACGGTGAGATTCAAGTGGCCCCCATCCCCAGAGAGTGGGGCAATGGAGCGTCTACGTATGCGGTCTTCAGGCTCGAGCGCATAGGTTTCAGGCTGAAAGCCGTCTCAAGGGTACTTTTGGGGCGATTCGACCTTTCTGGTTGCTGCTGGTTGCACCCCGGCAAACCCAACAAAAAGCCCGAAAGACTAGCCCTAACCTTCTCCTGCATCCCTTTAGACTTCCACGAGCAGTGCTGTCAAGGAGCGAAGCCCTTCTTTGTCTGCGAGGCGCCAGATTTTGGCCACCTTCATAAAGTCACCTCTCAGGTTAAGTGTCTTGTCTTTGTTGCCAGCCGTCTAGCTCATGCTCCACCACGCAGACATTGGGAGGCTTAAACATATAAATATGCCTTTGCTCGGACATACAGACTCGACTTGCAGTCATGCCAACGTACCACCTACTTTTGGTCACACCGCGCCGTGGGAATGCACGAGTGTTCCTCAAGATATACCAGATATGCCAAGAACACTCGGAAATCACCGGAGAACTGCAGCATGTACTCACAAGGGCTCCTGTTTCAAATGCTGGCCATGAACCCGGAGCTTACCTGCCTGATGCTTTTGCATCATCGATCATGGCCTTTGCCAGCGTGCGGCCTTTTCAGGGGTGGACATCTCCAAGCCTGCTTTGCTCCAGTTGCAAGCTCAACCCCTGTAGCTGTAAAATCTGAACCTCGACAAAAATGGAACAACCTATATACACTGACCGCGCCAAGTGTATACTCAACAATGCAGGCGCCGAGCTGCAAGTTTGGGATGGCTTGAAATGGGCCTGCGTTACTTGCAAGCCTTGGGCTCCCATACCCCTGAACCTTCTCGAATAGAGGGAAGGATGTTGCCATGTCCCTTGGCTTCCTTTAAGGGGTATGCCCAAGGGGTATGTTGAATGTTTCTTAGACATTCGGGTTTCTCTCGAGTCCTTCATTCAGCACTTCTTCCCAATCTCGTCGTAGCGCCACACCTGAGGGCGTGACGGAGAAGCACACAGCCAGGAGTTGGCATCTTAGACCGACCGTTAAGCCTCTTGATCTCGGTTCATGCGTGTCAAGGCGTCAAAGCACGGACCCTGGTCTAATCTTCCCTTCCACCGAGCCACTGATCACTGCCACCATGGATTCTAAGTCCTTGACACAAGGGTACAATGTTTTTTGGGAGAAAGTACAGCAGGGCTTATAGGGCTAGTTGTTTTTGTCGTTGCCTTTTTGCCTTCCTCAAAGGTGCACGCAATGTCAAGGGAACTGGGTGGAAGGAGGGGTCCACTCCTCTTAAAGCCTCTGGTGGTTCAGCAGGAGTTGCCTCACAGAACTGAGCCCAGCAGCTGGCAGGAAGAAACGGCAACACAACTTACAAAACCGACTGTCTGTTGTGTGAAAGGTTTACGGTTTGCGGTGGCATCGCTACTCTTGGCCTACGCAGGGCTTTCAGGTATAGGTTGGTTCCGCGATTCGGTTTAGGCGCTCTGTCATCAGTCCGAGCCCCATGAGAAATTAAAGCCGTATTCCTACCAGAACCCCAACCTTTGCTCTGAATTTCAAGGTGGGGTCTAGGCCAGCCACTTGCTTCGGGTTGTTGGTGCTTATTCCACCCCAACTATCAAATTCAAGCTCCTGCAGCACTATACATGGTCAATGCTAAGTGTTTTTATTGTCCCGTGTTTGTACAGGGACCCCGAAAGTGACCATAACTCACAAAGGCGAACAGGCTTGAAAGACCACATGCGTGCTCGTAAACGAACTTGCGGCTCCTTGGCGCCACTGCGCAAGACGTCTAGAGATTGTTCCTGCAGACGCCGTACCTCAATGCAAGGGATTTGGCGGTAGAATTTACACCGGGATTTGGCATGCTAAGGCCCCTCAAGGTGGACGTCAACGAATACAGGCCGAGGAAGAGGAACACGTAGTCAAAGGCTTGGACGTCAAGTGCTTCATGTGTAGGCTGGGCAGCAAGAGCCTTGCAAGAGCCTTGTGGCGCACTAAGCGCGGGAACAATCCACAGAATTCAAAGAATCCCAGACATGACTGCTCAACTTGAGGCGAGGGCTCAAGAAGCCTGGCAGCCTAACCTATTTCCTCTAGGCATGCGATTAAGAGCTGATGAAGAGTGCATCAAGGCCCTGCTGCCTACAGTTCTGCCTGCAACACCGACCTAAACTCAAACCCATCAGTCCTACACTCCCTTCAGCCGAAGGCCAAGAACCCCGTGTAACGCATATCTGAGTTCACACTTACATCTGCCCGAGCCGCGCGAAGTTGCCCGAGCATCCTGTTGGTTCAAGGAGGTTTCAAGGGCTCTGGAGCCTGTTCTTGTGCCCTGTCATAAGCCCCATGGAGACCTTCAACATGTCGCCATCCCAAGCCCGACACACCTTCAACACACCCATGTAAAAGGTACCCAAGCCCCAGAAGAAGTCCTCTTGGCTGAAGCATATTGGCTCATCTCCTCAGTGCCCAAGCTCTCGGCCTGCAAGACTCGATTGGACTGGGGTTTTGGGGCTTACGGGGTCACAATAGCTGTGGGCTGATGTCAGGAGATCAGGGCTGGTAGGCTGAAGTAGGTGTGTGGAAGGTCGCGAAAGATGGTTCTCGTAGAACAAGGGAAGGGGCTATACGGACGGGGGGGAGGGGGGGAGGGTCACACAATGAACAACGCTTTTCAAAACTACCCTTGACGAGGCGTCAAGATGCCTGATCATGACGAGCAACGGCAATGGAGTTGACTAGGCCCAGGTACGGGAAAGCCACATCAACACAGCAAGCTCCACCAACCCGAGCCCGTGAATACTTTCCAAAACCAAATGGGCTTGCAGCATGATATGGGGCCTCACGCAGAACCATGGTCAACTCCGCTATGTCCTTGTTTTCGACGCAGCGCTGCAGCCTTGAACAGGGTGTTCGAAGTGGTTCTCTTTGGGCAACGGTTTCTTAGTTGTCCAGTTTGTTAGGGGAAATAAGGGCTATGACCCTTGGGTCAAGATACTACGAGTAATTATGCGCGCATTGTGCTCCCGCAACAGGTCCAACGCAATCTGCTAGGTTTACTTGTCTTTCCTCGCAAACGTCGAGGGGAAGCCCGCCGAGCTCGGCACGTCCGGCATCACAGGTGCAAACCACCCACTCACGCATCATTTGTTGGGGATTTGCATATGTGCTGGTCGGGAAGCTGCAGGTCACAAAGCTGTCGCCTGGCTGCCATGACCTGCAACTTTGGGCTTCAAGGAGTTGGGGTCAGTTGGGGTCTGCTGTTGAGGGTCTCAGGTCCTGGAGTCTCGATCAAATTCGGAGAAGCAAACCTCGCAACCTCGCCATTCCACGTCAGGTTCAGAAAACCTGTAGATCTACGCAATGCAACCACCAGCTGCCCTGTGGAAGAGCCTCGGGCAGGGAGACATCCTGCAATCGGCCGAGGGCATCCTTGCAAAGGCCATGAGACGGTTCAGGCCGCGCTTGCCAGGACACGGATGAGCATCCGTACTGTAGTGCGCTTGCAGATCAAAAGTCGCCAGGGGTCTGTGAGGCTTGTAAGTTGTAAGGGGCCCGAGCTCGGAAATCCCGGTGTTTTCTCGTGGAGAGGAAGCTTGCGCTGAGCCTTCTGCGTTTTCCGATGCGCACAGCGCAGTGGATCGCAGAGTCAAGCTCCAGTTCCGTATACATTGCTTGGCAACTGGTGCCCAAAAAGCGGTTAATGTGGCAGGGATGCACCCGCACACACAAGCACACACCGGTGCTGCTTTTCCAGAGTTGCTGGAGCTGTGCTTCTTTATCGCTTGCTTTGGCTTCCCTTTCTCACTGAGGATGTGTTTACTCGCACGTGTATGCTGGACTTCTTTTCGAAAACATAGCACACATGACTTGTCAAAGCTTGTAAACAATGAGCCGATTGAAATAAACATGACTCTTGAAAAGGCAGCAGACACGAAGTCCGAGCTCAGATCTCAAGCCGCCTTCAAATTCCAAGCTGGTCCGAGGCTGAACTTATATAAATTATGCTTATATTCATTAAAAAATAAGGGCTGCTAGATCCCGTCTGCGCCCTGCTGTGCCTTGAGGCTTTGCTCCGTGCTCTCCTGGAAGGAGGGGCGCTTTACATGTATTTGGGCTTGGCACGAAGAAGGGGGGAGGCTTGGTCGTAGAAGTTAGTACAGTCTGACCCACGCTTGCTAGGAGACTCCCAGGGATGTGAGGCTGAGGAGTTCTACCATGCTTGGCTCCGATACCTACTTGAAAGTAGCACCTGTATCCAGCAAGCCTGGTTGTCGCATGTTGTCTCTGATCAAGCATTAGCTCATGTCAGCCCCGGTCCCCAAACCCCAAAAATTTCCTGAACACCCTCACGAGTCCGGATCACTGCATTACAAGCAAGCAACAAACGGTCCAAACGGGATCAATCCCGTGACCCTTCCTCATGCAAGGCAAGACCAGTGTCAACCCTGTCCCCATGCCTCAGGTCAGATATCACCTCAACCTCGATGGCTACCCCCGATATACTCTAGATCCCTAAACAACCTTGGCCATAGCCTTGGCCCCACATGGCCCAACATGGCCCGACACACCGAGCCCTGTCGGACCTTCATGGCATTGGCAAGGTCGGCGCGCAAAGCCGTGGCCAAGGCACAGGTGGCACGGTCCTAGGCACTTAAGTGTGAGCAAAAGTATGTTTAGGACATCCCCCAGTTCTCTTTGTTCCCCAAACAATCCATTGTTGGGGTTCTAAATTCATTTAAGGATAGCCAACATTCTGTTGCCGGGTTCCTGGGCTCCTGGTCTCCCTTTGTCTTCCTTTGTCTCCCTTTGTCTCCCTTCATGTGGGTGGCTTTGCCGGGTTGCTGTGCTTCTCGCCTCCCCTTGTCTGCCTTTGTCTCCCGCTGTCTCTTTTGTTTCTTTGGCGTGCCTTTGATTGTTTGGGGTCTTCGGTGATGTAATTTCTTGAAATGGGTTTGCTTTGGGGTCGGGATATACCACGCCCAGACGACCCTTAACAACCTTAAAGCCTCAAGTCATGTAAGCCCTATCTATAGGCCTAAACCCCGAACCCTGGGGTTGGCGTCTTGCACAGCTCGGATTCTCGTGGAGGAAGGGCTATTGGAGTGTAAAGGGAAATGGGAAGGCTTCAACTATTTTACGGACAAAGGGTTTAGGGCTTAGCGTATTCGAGTCAAAGGGTTGTATGTTGTTGGGCTTAAGCCCTTAACTGAAACCCTCTAAAACTAGCTGAGTAATTTCAAGTCTGGCCTTCTCAGGTGAGGCCTAGAGAAGGTTGTGAGGCAGCTGCTTGGGACCATGCAGGAATCAGCTGCATCCACGCGCAACCTGACCCTCTGAACAAAACCAAGCCAGGCTTAGCTGAACACGCATGTAGACACAAGGCAACTTTGTAAAGAGAAGCGATTTTTGTTCACTTCCAAGGATTCCAAGGCTCCAGGCGCTCGCCTACAGCTGGGCCGTTGTCGCGTCCCAGGGCCGCGGCCAGGGCTTGGCTGTGGATCAGGTCGTCCACCTTTCCAATCCCCAATCCCCCACGATTTCTACAATGACACAAAGATGAGTATAGAGGGTGAGTTTTGGGTTTGGGTTGGCTGGTAGGTTGACACAGATGTGTCTGTCCTTGGCAGGGCAAGATCCCCATTGTTTCGGCCTGAGGGTTAGGCTCAGGGTCTAGGGCCTACAAAGCCTAGCGCGAAACCTGAAAACCGCCATGAAGCACATTGGGGGGAGGGGCGAAATAGTAACTCTAAACCCACCACGCGCCACGAGGGGGCGAGCTTCTGGAGAGATGGTGGAATGATGTCAAGCTTCAAGAGGGAGCCAGACGTCAAACGCAACAAAAAGCATCAGCCGACGGCCTCAGCGAAAAGCTGTTGGATCTCGCGGTCCGTGGGAGTGGCATCCTTGGACGAACGACTATTGCTGCTGCTATAACCTCGGTGACATGCTCGTCGTGACTGGCCAGTAGCCCTTGGCTTCTTTCAGCGTCAATGTGCTACGTGGGCCCCGGTAGATGCAAGTTTGGAAGAGCTCGGAGTCACCCGCACAACATCCCAATATTCGAGGATGCCGGCTCTCATGATGCATGCGCACTCCACAGAAGCCGTTGAAGTCCAGAGCATGATTTTTTTTTTACGAAGCTTCGTCGATGTCATCCGGCAAGTCCACAGGGATGATAAAATCGTCATGATACCTCTCCTGCCAAACAGGGTCTCGAATAATCAGCATAATCTCGGAGAGTGTGGGCCTCGAGTGAAGGCCTTTTTCGGGCGGTCTGTGATTTGCTTCTCGACAGCCAGGGAACAACATTGCTTCCTGTAGAAGACGGAAACCAACTAAGTCTAATGTTTCGCAGTTTCGCTGGTGGCTAAGTAACAGCTCAAGCAGTTTCAACGTTCAGGCTGCCATCCTCGGGTGGTTGGGGCGGCCAGCCAAGCCCAACTCTCCGCTCGTTCATTCATGGAATCCTCCTTATGAGCCCTGACAAAACAGTTTCACAACTCGTTAGCCTGCTGCCGCACGGCGAATTTGAAACTGCCACGAACCATCGCAGCACCTCGGTCAGACACCGTAAAGCATAACATGGGTGTCTGTACAAGCCATAGCTGCTACGCTTCGAGAGGCCTGCGCATGCAAAACTGCAGGAAGTATAGAAGCTCCATCTCCATTGCGGAGCAAGCTATCGGGCGAAAGAAATGCAGTGCATCTGCTGTCACCCTGAGTTCCTGAACTCTGAGTGTTCGGCCAGAATCAGGGTCCACGTCTGCCTCGGCCCGAATGGGCTCCAGGATGCTGATGTGGCTCTCATCCACATCCTGTGCGGCTCTCATTAACTCATATTGACTCTGATGTAAAAGGAGATATACATATGTATGTATAAACGAATACAGAAAAGGACAATGCATACAGTCGTATACCGTATACAGCACTTTAGAATGCAGTCGTACAGAAATCTGCAACTCGTCCCAGTTGACGCCCAGCATCGAGGCCGACGTCAAGCATGTTCGCTGCAAACTGCTGCGGGAAGGCTCTGGCATCCAGCCGAGATAAACCTGAGTACAATCTTGGCTGCAAGCGAGCCCTGAACACTTTGACATTCCGGCCTGACACAGCTTGCATGAGTACTGCATTTGCAGGGTGTACTCCATGCTATTACCAGGTGCATGTCTGGTGCGCGTGCGTGCATGCATGCATGCGTGCGTGTGTGCGTGCGTGGGTGTGTGTGTGGGGTGTGTTGTGTATAAATAAATAAATATATATATCTATATATATACATGTGTATATATATATATAGATATATATATATATATACATGTGTATATATATATATAGATATATGTGTGTGTTTTGCATGTGTGAATGCATGTGTGTGTGTGTGTGTGTGTGTGTGTGTGTGTGTGTGTGTGTGTGTGTGTGTGTGTGTGTGTGTGGGTGCGTGTGTGTGTGTGTGTGTGTGTGTGTGTGTGTGTGTGTGTGTGTGTGTGTGTGTGTGTGTGTGTGTGTGTGTGTGTGTGTGTGTGTGTGTGTGTGTGTGTGTGTGTGTGTGTGTGTGTGTGTGTGTGTGTGTGTGCGCGTCTGTTCGTGCGTGCGTTGTGCGTGGGTGCATGATGGTGCATGCATGGCCGCCATGATCGCAAACACATTCTGGACTGAAAGTGAGATGGCAAGGAAATAATCAAGGAGGCCCGGCGACCAGCCACACAACCTCAAAACCACGAACCCTCCGGCCTGCGGCGTGACCTAAACCCCAAAGCTCAACCTCACGGGAAGGCACGTTGGTGGAGCTCGTCGGGGGCATCCCCCAGCGCGGGCAACACAAAGGAACAGGCGACTTCCCCGTGGGGGTGCTCCTGGTGGACCAAACTCGAATATTTCGATTCTGTCTTGGAAGACAAAGCTTCTAGGTCCTAATAGAGTCTCCTATATCACCCGTATTACTTGCATTACATGAACATATGCTCCTGGCGAAAAACCCTGCTAGGTACTAGCCTAATAGGCAGTGCCTGAGCTTTAGAGCTAAAAATGGATTCAGGCCCATGCCTTGTGTCGCCGAATCTCCCCATAGCTCCCTAGATGGCCGTACAGTATACTCGGCGCTGCGGACGCCTGAAAACTTCTGTCTTGTTGTCCTAAACCGTGAAAAGCGACTCGCTTTGGCCCTACTCTGGACTGCATCAATGGAGTCAAAAGAACGGAACTAAACGGGATACCCGACTGTTTGGCGAGGCTTACTCCACATGTTGGGGTCCAGAAGGGAACATACCCGAAAGCCGGCGCTGAATGGGAAGCCGCGCTGCAATAAATCGTTCCAGCTTCTTTCATGTCTTGAATGCGTACAGTGCAGCATGTATCCGCTTGTGCCGACCTCCTGCCGTTGCATAGCTTGATGCCTTACCTGGTTCTTGCCTCTTGCACGAAGGGTAGAAAGCCTTGCCCTTGCCAAGAAACTACTCAGAAAATCGGTTTGTAGTGGTCTTGGGTTTCTCACTTTGAGAATAATATTTTCGGAGAGCTTCCCCCCATAAGTAAGTAGTCCTCCTGAACCCAAAAGCAAGCAACATCAAGCAACTGACATGGTAGATTCCACAGGTCCGGCTGCGTCACGGCGACAGAACCCGCTGCAAAAAGCTCCTGTGCGCAGGCTTCCGAGTTCAGCCGATGAGCGACTGAGGATTTGAGGGTATTGTATGTGCAGACTTGCGGTGCGCAGGGCAAGCAATAGCCTCTCGCATGTCGGCGTTGGTGCAATGTCTGCTCTCCACAAGCATTGGTCTGACTATGTCTCCCTGTAGGCTCAAACTGTATTTGACTGTTGACATTCTCTGCTGGGGCTTCGTGGATTATAGCCTATAGCCGTTCACCAGCTCGGTCCGTAATGACGGATACTTGACGGGCGGCTCACATCGTCACATCGTGTGGTAGGGTGCGAGTCTTATCTTGAGTATGTGAGGTAACTTTCTCAAAGATGATGACCTCAGATTCCAGACGTCTATGGCTATGGCCTATGGCACCCTTGGAATCTCGACAAGTACCACGAAGCCCCGGGCCCCGAGCCCTCGACCCAAACCAGCCCTTGGCCAAGGAGCCACGTGGATGTCTTCCACCTTGATACCGCCAGCCAACTTTGCGAGCGCACCCTTTAAGGCTCTCAGGCCTTGAGTGGGTGTGTGAACCTCACGAGGACACAGCGGATAGTGCAAAAGCACGCCGCCAGGAAAGCAGGGGAGCCCGAAGAAACTCAACTCGAAGAAACAAACTTCGGCCGGACCTCCTCCCCGTTTCTTGCTCCCTCTCCCCCCAAATTTTTGCGATTGCGGGATCTGAGCACCTCATGAGTTCGGTTGGCAGGAGGTCAGTCCCAGCCTCTTTCGCTATTTCGATCAGAGGTCTCTCGACTCGAGTAGGGCAAAAAAACTTGGAAGGCAAAAACAAACTGGAAGAAGGGCGGCGGAGTTGCTGAACACACTCCTCTACGCGCACACACAGCCCTACTATAACCCCCCCCCCCAAGAGGGTCTTGCTCTCAGGACTCCCGTACCTCTGAGCACCAACGACCACTGTAATCTCTGAGAATCGAGCTCGCAAGGTCCACTCCGGAAGAACTTTGGTGGCCTGCGATGCGCGAGGGCTGAAGCGGATCCTCTTTCCAAAGCCACCCTCGACTCGTCCACTGGAGCGTCAACTTCCTCTTAAAAAGACAACAACAATTGAAGAGTGCAAATGAGCTTACAAGGTTTCCTTAAACAGGTCGTTTAATCGCAATCAAAGACAGGCTTGAACAACTCGAAAATCCCGCCTCGGCCGAGCTGGCAGCCGCGAGCCAACGGCCACCGGTCACTGGCTCGGCACCGCCCCCTGCTGGGGATGGAGGGTATAAGCTTTACAGGTTTACAATAGGGCTTCTGGAGGGCTTCAGTGAAGGCTTAACAAGGGCCAGCTGGAGGAGCAGCTTCTCCGTTTGAGGTTTCGACATGAAGCGCTAGCCGCTACAACTTCAAAGGCCTTCTGCGATTAAAGCTCTCTGTTGGTTAAAGAACATGCATGTGCTGCATTGGGTTTCAACACCAGAGATAGGAAATCACGATCTTCCACTTTGCATGTTCGACAATGGCAAGACAGCCCAACCAACATGCGGCTCTGCACAGCTACTGCTGGCTTGCTTGCCGGGCAAAACAAGCATCACGCTAAGCATTGGCCAAGTTCTTACGTTGCAATACTCCACACGCGAACCAACCTCAAACGTACATGCGTTAGCATAAGCCTTGGCATGTCGCAGTGGCAAAACGCAAGAAGCCCATGACCCTCTCCAAACTGCTACACGCGACTGGACCAAGTGCATGCGACTGTAGGCAAGCGGCCCATCCAAGCCAGCTTTCCAAGGGACTCAGTGTCTCTACTAAGGAAAAGCCCGCATTAGCTTGGTTTGGGCGGTTTGGGGAGTTTGGGTGTGGGGGTCTGTTGGCTCATCGTCTCCTAGCCGGAAGTGTACAGTAGCATCACGTTGTTCCCACTTTTAAAACTCAGGCCAGAAGAGTCTGGGCCAATCTGGGTCTTGCAATGTCTTGCTCCTGATCTGACAGCTGGAGTCCACACATCCGAAAGGGAGTCTATATGTGGGCCGGCACTACTTGCCAACCAGCGTTGTCCCATCAACCCATCGTCAGAAGCCCAACTCTGGGATCTTGAGCCCGAAAGGCGACTGGGGACCGCACGAACTGGCTCTTGTCATCCTTTCTGCTCCAAACGCAAAGAAGACATGAGCTGCTTGACCAGGGAAACCCCATACACAAGAAAGGCTCGACCAAGCCCCCCCCGCCCCCCCCCCCCCTCCACTAAATTCCCAAATAAATCTTCTGTTACTGTTTGCTCAGCAAGCATCCGGCACTTTGCCCGCTTTTGCTTGGAGGGGCTGGTTGGGGCCCAACCAAAGCTCCACCACGGCCTGATTGCCAGCTCGCTTTCTGTGGTGTGCATTGAAATCCGTTGAAAGCTAGGGGTATTTAGCTGACACTTTTCCTGCCCCCTTTGCATGTGGTGAACGTGACGCTTAGTGCGGTTTTCACTCCAAAACTACGGTGCAGGAAACACTTACAACAACAGTTCCTTCAACCTTCGTCCTTGGTTCTGGGCAGCTTGGCTCAGGGATGATAAAGCTTCCCGGGTGGAGGTCCTAGACAGAAGCCGCTCTCCAGAACCGATGGTCCGAAGCCATAGGATGTGTCTCATCACATGGAACCTTAAGGTGCGAACCTCAGGCCGTAAGCGTAAACCCTTCACCCCACACACCCACGCATCTTCAGAGAAGAAAATTATGCAACTGACTCCTTTGGCCCTGCCATGCCCTGCCACTGCGCAAGGAACTGAAGGAGACTGATGTCAATTCTGAATTAGTGCAAGTTCGCGCTTGATTCGGTCGGCGACAACGTCCATCTGTCCGGAAAGAACCTTAAACCCGAATCCCTCAAAGCATGAGCCGGCCGTCAGCCCGAACTCCACCGGCTGGCGATCCGCAAAAATCTCCAGAGTCGACACGGACAAGGCCATGTCCTCGACTTTTCAGAGCTTTCAGGACCAGATTCATCAAATAGGCCAATGGGACCACCAACCCGTCCTAAGCCTCACACTCCAAGAGCCCCGCTTTCAAACTTGTTTCTGGATATCTCAGCACAACTCAACCTCTGTGGATCCAAGTTACCAAGCTTTAAGGGCGCCTGGGTGTCTTAGGGGCTTATGAGAAGAGCCTTGATTGACATACTTTCAGCCTTCAACCCCTTTGGTTTCTGAGAAGATTTGGGAAGCTCACTCTGAACCCTGTTAAAGACCAACTCCTCAACTTGAGTTAATTCGAGTTGTCGGGCCGCCACCAGCTGCTCCACACGGCGCTGAAGCGACCCGGCACCAAGGCCAGCGGACCGGCTGGCAGCCGCCGTGCGGGGGTCCAGGAGCCTTCAGCTCGCAGGCCACAGCCGCTGCGAAAAACATGACGACGAGATGGATTCAGCGAGTCATCTGCCATGATTTGTTGCGACCTATGCTTCCATAGACAAGGATTTAACAAGAAGAACACAAACACCAAGCGAGGAGAAGCTGAATGAAATCCCAACACGTGTTCACTGGTCGCGCAGAGCTAGAGTAAGACCTTTCGCAACAGAAGCCCAGTACTCTAATCGCGAACTAACAAATTGCACATCTCCGCAGTTCTCCGAGCACCGTACATGTCCCATTGCAAGCGCAAAAGCACAACAAAAAAGGTTTAAGTGCTGAGGCGTAGAACCGTGTATGCAAGTGCTCCGTGGACGAACGATGTCTTGTGTTTCAAATACGTCATGCACGATGTTTATCAACGCGTAAAAACGCACTCTCGAATTTCTCAAGCCCGATGTGTAGGAACCATTAGGAACCCTTTGTCAGGGCTTGCCACTCCACACTCTTCCTTCTGAAACCGGCCTAGCTGACCTGAGACGCTCTGCAGGGAAACGCCTCTGGCAGTAGCGTCTGTCCTTTGAACAACGTAACAGCTACATTTCAATTGACGTCTACCGTATTTCATTGTTAGTGCTCCAGGCACCTGCGCTGCCGCCGCACCATCTGCAGCTTTGGTGCAGGGGCAACTTTCCTGCAGAACGATCAGGGTTTAGGATATCGGGCAGTACAACGTATACAGGCTGCAGGCTAGAAGAAAACCACCTTGATTGTTGAAACTCTGAGTCCCAAGCCTTTGCGGTCTGGGTTGGGAACTGAAGAATCTGCGGGTGTACGTGCACTCCCTCAAACAACCTGAATGCCAAGCCCACCTCTTGCTCGAGACCGGCTCCTTTGCCTTGGCACCTGGGCTTGGATCTCAGAATGGGGATATGCCGTGATGATCTGTTTTCATCAATTACAGCAAGAACAACTACTTTCATCATCCTCGATGTCTTCACAAGATCTGTCGCCACTCTCCTGTCGAGTAGCAGCGAAACAACTACCCCCTCTGGGTTTATCTCACCTCACCCGGTGAGAACACGCCTCACCCCAAGCAGACGCTCCATCACAGAGGACATACATCATGTGCGGAGTTATGCATGAGGGAACACGAATCCCCAAGCAGACCCTGCGTGGGAAACAGACAGATCATGCAGAAACCTAACAGATGTGGCAAACGCCACGGTGCTAACGTTTTCCCGAATCAGGTTGGACCAGGACACGCTGCATTTTTCGAGCAGCCATGAAGTGGCGACGCTGCAATCCGCCCTCCGACGAGATGTCCCAAAGGGCCCCAAAGTGGCTAACTGACCCGTGGGTATATGAGTCAGCTATTGACCAACTGTGCGACCGTAACGGGTTTTTGACAGGGAAAAACAATGACTCACAACAATGTGATGTTCTGGAGATGCGCAATGTAGACACCGGAAATAGCAAACTGCTAGCATGATACTGAACAGATAAACTCTACTGTTTCCAGAGCTGCGCAATAGCTTCGATGAGAGCCAGGACGCTGGTCAAGAGAGCCCGGACTTCTGTGGAGTCTGTGCCATCAGCAGCCCCAGTGTCTTCTGCGGCATCGTCCTGCAAGGGACGTGTGCTTGCGCATCGAACGTGAAAAAGGGCTTACTCTTTGCACTTAGAGGTTTTAGTTTCAGGGGTGCCTTCACTTTCGGCTTGGGAACGTCCACAAGACGTACTAAGAGACTCGGAAGCCGAGCCGCGAAGCGAGCTTCACCCTCAAACGTCCGAAAATCGCTTGCCCAACATGGCACCACTCTCTTTTTGCCTCTTCTGCCACCATAGCCAGAAGGGCTTGAACTATGAAAGATTGGAAAGCACCAGACAACCTCCACCGCAGGGCCTTCCAGACGTGCGGGCGAAATGCTTCAAACAAGTCGTCAAGTGCAACCCAAGCTTCAACGGCTTCAACCCGTGAAGCAGCGAAGAGCGCCTTCTGAATCTGGAGTAGACACCATGAAGCTCATTCTTACTGCGGGTCTTGTACGGCCTTTAGCTGCAGCCCCTCGGTGTTTCAAAGCAGAGTGATGGATTGGCTATGTTTCTCTTGGAACTTCAGCGCTGCAGGTTGCACGGCACTGAGGCTTCGGAGGTTTCGGTGCTGAGACTTAGAATTGAGACTCGGGGCTCGAAGCCCGAACATGCAGTGATCTCTCACGGATGGCAGTCGGAAGCGGCCTCTCTCTGCCAACCTCGTCCCTGTGGATCTGCAGCTGCCGTGCTCAAGAAACCCTGGAGTACGGAAACGATATGCCTGCCGTTGGTGCTTTTTAAGCAGCTTATTAGGAGGTTGCATGCTGAATCGAAACTCACACCGCAGTCACACGAGGTTAGACAGCGTCGCGGCCTGGCAAGGACGCAGCCCTGCAAAATAGGACGTTTCCAACTCGCCATCGCGAACCAATGGTGGCTCAATTAATTTGGGGCCCATTTCCAGGCATACTCAGTACACGCCTTAGTTAGGCTAAAATACGCCGGTCTAGTTCTGAATAATGGATCCTACAGCCTTGGAAAGCTACTGAGACTGCGATAGGGGCCGATATCACAAGACTTACGGAAGCTTCATATATGGTCTACTTACCATTGGGATCTCAGGGGGTACTCGGAAATAGCCAGCCGCATCAGGCTTGCACGCGCATGATCAGATCGGGAAACGGCTTTGAAATCTGGCGCTGAGACCGCCGGCTGTACAATGGTCTCGCGTGAAGCTTGACCTGACCACACGCGGCTGCGGCAAGGATCGTGATGCCGAGCGCAAGGCCTCAACTCTCCACATTATGATTGCATGTCGCTCGTCCACAGAGCGAGGTTATCTCGTAGAACAGACATGATGAGGACCACATCCTTGTAGTGCTCTTCAGTGACATTGTCGAGGTCGGTAAGTGCATCATCAAATGCCTTCTTGGCCATTTGCACCGCCAAAGAAGGTTGCCCCAGAATGTCGTAGTGGAAAGCCGCCTGGCTAAGTGCCATTCCCAAGCGAATGGGATGTGTTGGAAGAAGGCCCTCCTCAAGGAGGGAGCAAAATCACGACACAGTCACACGGTCACACCTGTTTATACCCGTTATACTCCACAAGCACCAAAGTAGCCATCTCGATAAATTAAATGCACTCCGAGCCCTCTTACCCTATACATTGGAGACATATGCATGAAAAATGAGCTTTGAAACTTTTGGCTCTTCAGAACCGGCCTGGCATGCTGCAAAAGCTTCCTGGGAGGCCCAATTCGCCTTCTCTCTGCACTCCTGGTTTTCCGGGTGAAACTCTGCGATGTAGCGATAGTAGTCTGCCCTCATCCTCGGGTCTGAAGGGAGTGGAGGCTTGGTGCACTTCTTGATTCGTGTCATCTACTTGCGCGGGGGCAGTGAGTGCTGGGCATGTGTGGGTTTGGGGTCTTGCCTCATGCTGCTCCTCGGGATGCGAGGGTCAGGGAGGCATATACATATATATATATATATGCATACATACATACATACATACATATATATATATACACATGAGTATGAGCATATTTATACGTGCTTTACGTATATTCTAATATGCTTAGGTTTTACTTTATATGTATATGTAATTACTACGTATACAGACTCGCGAAGAGGGCATGGGCGTTAAACAACTGGAGAGCCCAGCATCTTCAGGTAAAACACTCGGGTCTCCGGGTGCGTCGCATGGGGCAGGAGGTCCATCTCAAGCATGTGAAGAACTTCCTCCTGAGATGGGTAAGCGCCAGGGCCTACTTACAAACAAACGACACGACGAAACCACAGAAACGCTCCGGTCCAAGCAGGTTGGAATCAAGGATGGATTGAACAATAATGGAAAGAGTCCAGGACTTTTGGGTGACTTACACCAAGGATCTGTTAAAATCAGACTACGGAACGCTTATTCAGAAACAGCCACCTCTTCGGCCTGGATCGCTTGTGCGCGCGCTAAGTATTACGATCGCTTGTGAACACCACGCTGATGGTTTCCTACCACTAGTCGCAAGAGTCTGGCAAACCATCATTTGGACCGGCCGTGTCGAAACCCCGGGGAACGCAACACCAGCGGAACCCCTGCCTGCTGAATCGTTCCAAGGCGCACAAGTACGCACTCCAGTAAACATCGCCTGTGTACATTTGGAGATTCAGACCCTGTCATGACCACCCGGCCTGATTTGGGGACTCATGGCATGCAGAGTTCTCAGCTTAGCACTTGTATGTACATTCTATAGTGAAGTTGCATAAGACAAGCCTAGCAACGCATAAATTGCCCAGGAAATAGAAGCCATACTAGGAAAACCCACAACCCCCAAATAGGAAAAACAAATGTCGGTCGAGTCTTTGGGGAAGTTGTGATCGTTAGATTTTGAATTTTGTGGGTCTCCCCAAGCAAATACTGCTTTTTTCCTTAGGCAAAGTGCCTTGTCTAGACATAATGCCGTTTCTGTGACCAAAAACTACGAAACAAATACTGCTGTACTTTGGCATCCCAGCAAAATATTCATTGAGTACTAATTCAAAACTCATTATCTCTGCATATAACCGCTCGAATACGAAGTAGATAGCCCAATATTCATTGAATACTGATGCACGACTTCTTCAATACAAGCAAAGCGGGAACTGAACACCAGTTTAATCTGGCTAATTAAATAACAAACGCATCGATATTCATTCATTACTACTTACATACTAATTCACAATCATGTGCCACGCCTAGTGACTAGCACAAGTTGCATAGACAAGCACCATTTTCCTAGAAACGAATAACTTGCTTCACAAAGGCCATCACGTACTGCATGGTATAAGCACTATATCAGAAAGGCACAATTTGCCGAGTGTGGTACAGGTTTCTGCTTTGTATTTCATGTAAAAAACCAGAAAGCAAAAAACACATGCAAAACCAAACAACAATCCGCGACTTTTCCAGAACACTTGGCGCAGTTAACGCATTCCCAAAATTTGTTTGTTCTTCTGGTTTCTTTGGTGTTTGTGACTGTTTTGGTTTTGCTTCTTGGCGTTTGTTTTTCTGATATTTCAGTATTCAGTGTTAGCCCCTGAGGCCTTAAAAGTATTGCGCTGTCAAGGAAAAAAGCCACATCCAAGACACAAATCTAGCTGAGCCGATTACCTGAGAGGGTTGTTGTTTCGCGGTTCTGGGGCGGGGGGGGGGGGGGGGGGTGTGGGCGGTGTGGTTACCATATAGTTGCATTGTGTATCTGTTTATATACATGGAACAGGAAAAAAGCCACACAGTGCAGAGGGCGCATGTGAATACAGTATGAAGAACATGCATACGCAACCAAGGACTTCGGTGGCCTGCTTCTTGTACTCGGCGGCATAGGAGGCTTCCTCCACGTGGCCCACTTCTCTCTCCTCAGCTTGCTCCCCTTGTGGTAATTGGGCAGCTGTGGGCATTTTGCGAGCCACACAGTGCGGGAGCAGAGCATGTGATATCAATCAGGGGACAACTGTTGCCATGGCCAAGGCTCTTTCTGCATGACCGAGTCAATCACTCTCCATGCTGCGCGCTGCATTCCAACCTCATTTTGCAGGGTTTAGGGCTTCAGGCTGGGGCGTCACTTCGCTTCCGCAGGGCATCGTATCCGTTCCTGAATCTTTCTTGGCTCATGGCTCGACAGGGATCTGGTGATATGCTCGCTTGGAACTTATCCCGCCTTGTTCTTGTAAGCGACGGAGAGCATCTGCCCTTCTTCTGGTGTAAGTTCGTGTCCAGCTTCAACCACATGGCGCATGTGGTCCGTCATTTCCTTCTTACACCATGCTTGCAAGGGATGTCGAGTTAAGGCAGCGCACTTAAGTTCCATACTGAAAAGGAGGGAGAATGACTAGTACAGTTTGGGTTGACGGCCTGACCTACTAGCAATCACCAATCCCTTTTCATGAATTATCAGCACGCTGTGAGTCTTCATAGCGCTCCGCTTGCTCCGCGAGTTTCGCCAGAAAGATATCCTTTTCCTCGGCCCAAGCATGACCCTTGATGACCTCTCATTCTCTCATTGTGATTGCTCACCAGCTCTAGGTTGCAGATGCGGGTGAGCCTGTCAGACATGATAAATATCGTGCCTGTGGATCTACTTCTACCTGCTGACGAAGCTGCGCGCTGCGCGACCATCCGCGGATTCACGGGAAGACGGCTCAGCTTTAAATTGGTCTGATCCGAAGCTTGGCAGCACGGGAAGTCTTTTGTCATGTTCCGAGCTTTGAACGACTTAGACTTTGGGGAGAATGCTGGGGAGAGTCGTAGACTTGTCCACAAGAAATCTTTGGGACAGCAACATTACATACGGTACCTCCGCCCTGCGCACAGCATCCAAGAAGCTTATGCTCTGCCCAAGATGTTGACCAATTGACCCTGCTCATGAACGGTAGCATGTGCGGTGTGCCCGTGCGTGCCCGAGCGCATGTTTGGACGTCCAGTTTTCGCTGGTGGATTCGCTGTACTCCCGACGGTGCCCAACCGCTTATGTGAGGGCACGCTTGCACTATTTAAGCTAAGCTGCTGAACGCAGGCCGGGGTTGCTGGAGACCCGTGTGTACGGTGACATCACCAATGAAAGATATCCGTTTAAGTTTTCATGTTGAACCAAGCTGTCTCGTGTCTCCGACCCCAAAAACTCACTCCGCATGTATTACTACACGTATTGCACTCCCAGCTGTGGAGAACTCATCAAAAGCTGCTGGATTGAGTCGGGACTTGACGGACATCGCTGTGGCCAAGAGTTGGCGTATTGCGGCCAAGCACCGCGCATAATGGACTAAGCTAAACAAAATAATGAACTCAAAACTATGAAACTATGATAAGTCAACAGTCCGCGTTCTCACAGTGCTGGAAGATCGAAGCACGACATCCGGTTGAAGCCAAAAGTGTTTCCTGCAAAGATGGCCCGCACAGCCCGACTTGAAGGATCTAACGAAGAGGTTGCAAGGTCCCCTCGTTTCGACACATGCATTGGGGTTCATGTTTTTACTGTTAGGCGGGCAGCTTGAGTTCTCAAGTCTTAGGAACCCCAGCGCTAGAGATGCCCTTCGGTCAGCTCTGCTCGGGGATCTCGGCTGGCACCGGCCCCACGTCGTAGATGACCTCCCGATGTGAAGACCAGCCTCGACTCGGCAATCTCCTTCCTTCGCCCTTATAACCCTACGCCCCCTACTGCCATACAACAGCCGCCACACCATGCCATACTTTAGACATTTAAGCCCTGTGAACAAGTGCACGGGAATTTCTGGGCCCAAAAGCCCTTAACTCTCCGGGCCAGGTGAGGACAAGTTGGGCAGGTGGTTCAAACAGCTTGGTGACACACGCACACAGAGAGATTTACTCCCAAGCTTTGAGGTTTGGTACGTTCGGAGGGTGGGCCGGTGATATAGGTCAGGTTAGGTTGCAGTAGGTTCCGTCAGGCTAGGAGGAAGGAGGTACCTGACCACAACCCATGTGGCGCCCTGAGCCGACCCATCCGCAGCCCCCTCTGCCCCCATCTATCCCTACCCCGCCTGCAACCCCTTTCTTGCCTATCCATTTTGGTAGATATAAAGCGTTGGAGAAAAACAGACGGTGAAATGGTCAGTGCACATCCCTTACGACGCGTGCCCCCACATGTGGAACATCTCGGGGGTGTGAGCGTGCTAGAACTCCAACAGAACTCCAGCATGCTTCCATTAATGAAGTGCACCTTGAAAGCATGTCCGACTCTGACATCAAATCCTTGCTGACAAGTTGCAAAGCTGAATCGCATGCTTGGTGTGGATACCTTTTCAGGGGCATGTGTGACTCCGCCCTGCACTCATGGGGCTTCTCACGCTCTGGCCTTAGGGTTTCTTCGGGCCATTAGTTCTTAATGAGAAGCTCGGAACGGGCCTTCTCAATTAGCGCAAGATCCTTTCCCTACTGCTGGAGGTGCTTCAGCCAAGTCGAGCACACGAACTCAGCACGCAACTCTAAAGCAGGATCCCAGCCTTCCCATCCAGAACAACTTCCCGACACACGCCGACATTTCAGGTCAGTTGAGTGCTTCATGTCGCGCAGTGGGGATCCCAAGATGGCATGAAACCTTTGACCAACAAGCACCTGCACCCGACTGCACCCGCTGTGCCAATTACGATGCCGAACTGTGTCCATGGGATTCCACGGGCCTGATGTGTCCTAGTTCTAGGCGAACCGGGGAGGGCACCTTCAATGGATGTCGTGGCGTTTCTATTCGAGAATTACTCAGCTGCTTCTTGTAGGGGAGGTTCCTGGCAGCTCTGCCGTCAAAAAGCCTTACGAGTCTTGCGAGTATGGGTCATCTATTGGCTTTGTTTCTTCTACCACCCCTCATTGCAAACTCCCAACATCTCCCAAACGATGGATGAATGAAGGAGAAACCCAGAACTCCCGAACTATATATGAAGAACAAGAAAGATAACACATACACACACACACACACAAAAGCACATGTCCATAAATAATTAATTACCATTCCATTAAACTGTTAACAACTTTCATGCCTCCGGATCGGACGTCGCCGGAAGGCCCAAACCAGTGCTGCACCGGAGCACCCGTCGTTCGCGCCCGCGCCTCGTTGGAGTGCCCAAGCTATATCAGGGGTCTTAGCACGGTGTTAGTACGGTGTTCGCATTGTCGGGCATATATACATAATTATACATATGTACCTGCATGCGTGGATGTGTATGTGTGATTATGTATGTGAATCGCCGCAGATGTTGGACAGCAACCAAAGCATCGCAAACAGCATGCTCTTGGGCGTGCTTGCGTGCGCCTGAGGTTCAAACTGTGCTCCCGCTTGGGTCGAGTGCACTTTGTGGTGCTTGCGTCGCTGCGTGTCGTGAAAACGCACCTTCCTGCATCTTGGGGTCTTGGATGCTTTGGCTATCGTTCCACTCTGCTTGTGGGCTGGAAGGACTGTGCATTGTAATATAAGGATCGCATCCGCCTCTTGTAAGGCTTCTCCGGATTGCAACTCTAAGGCTTTCGTTCATCTCATGCTCCTCACAGTATTCCATCCCTCCGAACATAGTGGCGACGTCATATGCTAAAATCAGAAGCGTCTCGGAGGCTGCACATCAAGTTGCACAGCAGTGCCTTGCTGCAGCCATGATTCCCCAGCATAGGTTGTGCCGGTGATGGAGTTGGCCAGTACCTGCCCAGGTTGAAAGTTTTAGAGCATCAAAAGGGCTATGGCTTTGAGTGTTGCCGGCTGGAGGTTTGAGGGTGCAAGGATCGGCATATGTGAAGGTGGTGATTGTGTCGAGACCGCACTCATGGCACATGTTCTGCACCGGATGGTTCATTGAGGAAACGTGTCTGGCTGCCATCTGCCAGCCTTATGCTGCCACAGGAGGGCTGAGAATCGAATCTCATATGAAAGAAATGGTTCGGGCTCCGCAACCTCATCACTCGCGGCTGTTCCAGCATTAGCACTCGCCAAACACCTTATTGCTCAGGTTGCCTCAGGCCGCTCAGCCCGGAGCGGAAACCAGGACTCAAATCAACAAATCAAGTTGGGCTAGGGGAATGCGAGTAGACGGTTAAATATGGAACCCAAACAAGTACGATTTCTAGGCTCGACGCCGTGCCAACCCAACAAATCCTCAGATCGTTCGCCATGGCCTCGTTGATGAAGCGGGGGTTGTTGGACACAATTCCGGCAGTCAGGTGGTTGGGCATTCGGTTGATGGCCTCGATGACCTGTGCGTTGGAAGGGTGTGGGGGGGGGGGTTCTCAGGAGTCAGTTTGCAGAGTTGACGTGGGGTCTGCTAGTGCGGGCCTTTGACTCTCTCTCCCTTATAGGGGTCCTGTTGGCATACCCTGGATCGGGTGCAGAGCGTGCCTTCAGGGTGAGGCCCTTCCTTCTGAAGCCTTGTCTATATACATATATATATATATCTATCTATATGTATACATACCATATATATATATATATATATATATGTACATACAGCCCCGCCTTGGACTGCTGGCCCTCCTTGTAGTCCACTAACACCTTGCAGGGAACCCACGAGCAGGATTTTCGGATTCGAGTATGATCTTGGGTTGGATTCGGGTTTCTTCGCTTGCCCCAAGCAGGTTTCGAGGCAGACCTACTTTAACTGATGAATGTGTCTCCTCAAAGCGCCATGTCCACGAAATTTGGAGGCATGCTCCGACAGACAGCGAGGGGGGTCACCATCACAAGGACTGGTCCCTCAGCAAGGCTAAAGGTTGAAACTTAAGTCTGGCAGGCCTTTCACTGACAGGGCCTGTCAGGCACGCGCAAGGCACAGAGCGCAGTGATGGCGTTGCACAAAAAGGTCCTCTCTAAGATCTCCTCTCTGAGCCTTTTTTTCACCCTTAGGTTTCAACCCCAAAGACCCCGGCCTGGAAAGGGCCGAATAGCTCGACGGTGGCCACTTCGAAGCTTGGAGGATCCTCCAAAGCCTCCCAACCCAACATCTTACAAGGCTTTCAGAAGGCCCAAATTTGCACATGGGCTCAGCTACTCAGTTGGGGAGAGATACAAAGCACTCTGATTGTTCAGCGGCTCTCTTTTGCTTTCCCCGGCGACGGGTCTTGCCTCACAGCGCCTTTAAGAAAGGGACCTAACGAGCCGAGATTGTCAGGTGGCACTTCAAGAGCACATCGCAAACTTCTCGCTTCGCGCTCTGAAGTAACCCGTTCTGGTGCCGCCGGAGCAAGGGCATCGGTCCTTCTAAAAGAGCTTCGTGCTCGATGACACGCCCCCACTTTGCACCGCGCAGAAGGAGCTCCCAAGCAACCCAGGGATGCTAGCCTAACAATTCATGACAAGAAAAAGGGAGAAAAGGGGCACCAACAGCAGTCCTCGCCTACGAAACCAAAGCTGCAAAGCTATGGAGATGCTGCCTCGATGGGAATGCGCACAGCAGTCGGCTCCACGGCTCCATACCTTTGAACCGGGTGTGAGTTCTGTATCGATTTTGGTTTGGCTGCTGCAGTCTTTGGAGTCCTTGTGCTCTTTCGGGCTGAACTGGCTGAACTATTGAAGGGGCTTGGCCCTCGGCGAAGAGCATCAGTCATGCTAAACTTCCGGCCATGACATTGAGCTGGGCCGCTGTGGCGGCACTGTATGATCGGCCAGCTCCTGGGCCCCAGAGAGGCAGGTTCAAGGGGCAGGGGACAGGAAGGTTTCGTTTCGACTTTTGGGGGGTGTTGGTGTTTTGGAACAGAGGACAGGGGGCAAGATGTCCGATCTCGCTACTATCCCGCTACGCGAAGCCGTTGAAAAAAAGGACCCCAAAAAGGCATAATAAATGTGGAACAGCCCCCACTTGCTTGAGCACACTGACACTCCTCGAGCTTTCAGGTTTTGACAGTTTGTTCGCCCTCAAGCCGGCGAAAACGGAAACCCTTTTGCACATGGAGCGGAAGCGGAAGGCCAAAGACACGAAGTAAAATCCCCAAAAGCCCTGGTTTGATTTAAACCAAGGGGCCCTGAACGCCATTATCTTTTTGACCACAGACCACAGACTGAACACTGCTTCTGTGCAGAACCCCAACGCGCCTACGTCCTGCCCCCATTCCGGACCGAAATCCACCAATTACGTAAGCTACGGAGCTTCGACAGCCTCACCCAAAATCCTCACCCCCTGAGATAGGGCAATGCGCCTTGCCCCCGAAGGCCAAGGATGCGCCCGGGATTGCCAAAACCCGGTTCATGTGGGCCAAGAATTTGTCCTTGCAAAAAGACGCTGTGTCACTAGGGTTTGACTCTTGACTTTCGAACTCTGGGCGCCGACACAACAAGGGCTGCAAAGCTCATTGTTCTCCATTCCGAGGTGCTGTGGGCCAAGTCAGCACGGGGCAGTTGGTGAGCTCCTGGAGATTGGGATTCTTGGACTATGTTTCTCTGTCTCCACGTGAGGGAGGGTTTGAAGATGTCTGAAGGTTTGGGCCCTTGGGCTTCCATGGGCAAATGTGGAGCGATATAGGAGGCATGAGACACGTCTGGTTTCAAGCTCTAACAACTCGGAAACCCTAAAGTCGCACATCCTAAGCAATGTCTTGGGCCTCTTGCGGGGGGCCTTCGGTTGAGAGGTTCAGGCGATTCTGCTTAGAATGCAACAGAGCAGGGCATGAATGGGCTTGAGGGATTACACTGATTACACAGTTCAACCTGATATGCCAGACAAACTCGGAACAGCATGCAAGCCCCACAAATCCTGGATTGTGGGTGGCCATGCTGTGTTGAACCATGGTTTGCTCAGGGCTCCTTCAAGCTCCGCTGCCCAGCTAGCCGACCCAGGCGGCCAACGATGTCCACCTTGACCAGGGTCCGCGCTCAAAGGAATTCCAGGGGCAGAAAGGGATCGGGCTCAGGAGTTACATGTTTTTGAAACAGACTTTTTGTCATACTTGTTTGGGGAGCAGGCTTGCTTCTGTTACAATTGCAAAATGGGGAAACGGATTAAACAAGTCTGGCCCTAGCAATAATTATGTGTGTGCGTGCGTGTGTGTGTGTGTGTGTGTGTGTGTGTGTGTGTCTCTGTGTGTGTCTCTGTGTGTGTCTGTCTGTCTCTGTCTGTCGGTCTGTCGGTCTGTCGGTCTGTCGGTCTGTCGGTCTGTCGGTCTGTCGGTCTGTCGGTCAGTCGGTCAGTCGGTCTGTCGGTCAGTCGGTCTGTCTGTCTGTCTGTCTCTCTCTCTCTCTCTCTGTTTGTGTCTCTCTCTCTCTCTCTCTGTGTCTGTGTGTCTGTGTGTATGTGTGTCTGTGTCTCTGTGTCTCTTTGTCTCTGTGTCTCTGTGTCTCTATGTCTCTGTGTGTGTGTGTGCTATTTATTTTTGAAAACCCACTTGTTTTACCCCCCCTCGCGTTGAAAGTCTCGCAGGGATTAGGAGCCGCAAAAGGATGGGTTTAGGGTTTGGGGTTTAGGGTTTCGGGTTAGGTTTTAGAGTTCAGGGTTTAGGGTTTAGAGCGGAGTCGGTGGAGTTTATGTAAGCGGAGCCTGGGAGGTCCGGGCCTCTGCGTGTCTGCGTGTCTGCGTGTCTGCGTGTCTGTGTGTCTGTGTCTCTGTGTGTCTGCGTGTGTGTCTCCGTGTCTCTCTGTGTCTCTCTGTGTCTCTCTGTGTCTCTCTGTGTCTCTCTGTGTCTCTCTGTGTCTCTCTGTGTCTCTCTGTGTCTCTCTGTGTCTCTCTGTGTCTCTCTGTGTCTCTCTGTGTCTCTCTGTGTCTCTCTGTGTCTCTCTGTGTCTCTGTGTCTCTCTGTGTCTCTCTGTGTCTCTCTGTGTCTCTCTGTGTCTCTCTGTGTCTCTCTGTGTCTCTCTGTGTCTCTCTGTGTCTCTCTGTGTCTCTCTGTGTCTCTCTGTGTCTCTCTGTGTCTCTCTGTGTCTCTCTGTGTCTCTCTGTGTCTCTCTGTGTCTCTCTGTGTCTCTCTGTGTCTCTCTGTGTCTCTCTGTGTCTCTCTGTGTCTCTCTGTGTCTCTCTGTGTCTCTCTGTGTCTCTCTGTGTCTCTCTGTGTCTCTCTGTGTCTCTCTGTGTCTCTCTGTGTCTCTCTGTGTCTCTCTGTGTCTCTCTGTGTCTCTCTGTGTCTCTCTGTGTCTCTCTGTGTCTCTCTGTGTCTCTCTCTCTCTGTGTCTCTCTGTGTCTCTCTGTGTCTCTCTGTGTCTCTCTGTGTCTCTCTGTGTCTCTCTGTGTCTCTCTGTGTCTCTCTGTGTCTCTCTGTGTCTCTCTGTGTCTCTCTGTGTCTCTCTGTGTCTCTCTGTGTCTCTCTGTGTCTCTCTGTGTCTCTCTGTGTCTCTCTGTGTCTCTCTGTGTCTCTCTGTGTCTCTCTGTGTCTCTCTGTGTCTCTCTGTGTCTCTCTGTGTCTCTCTGTGTCTCTCTGTGTCTCTCTGTGTCTCTCTGTGTCTCTCTGTGTCTCTCTGTGTCTCTCTGTGTCTCTCTGTGTCTCTCTGTGTCTCTCTGTGTCTCTCTGTGTCTCTCTGTGTCTCTGTGTGTGTCTCTCTCTGCACATCTCTCAATCTCTCCTTGCGTTTCTTTTATGCGTGCGCGGGGCAGGGGGTGCGTGCTTGCGTGCGTGGGCGCTACAAAAGCAAGCGAGCATCGATCGCATCTATCCTCGACTTGTTCTGTCGACTCTGCTGCCCCAGATTGCAAGTTGGCCAATTGAGCTGTGGCACGTCCGGCTTCGTCCAGTTCCTGAGCATACATGAACGAGTCGAAGGGATGCATTCCATTCCACTATAATTAGGTCTTTTTGTCGAATGCTCGACTGGCCCGTCACCCGTCCATGAAGTGGCGGCGCGGTCTAGTCTTCTAACGGTGTGTTTTTGGGACTCTGCGGACTCTGCTCCTGCAATGCTGCCTCGGAACTCATGCATGAAGAGCATGGACTGGGCCGAGCACTTCTGACCGGCAAAGCCGTAAGCGTCATGATCGGATTGCCACGCCTAGGGAGGATTCACTTCACTGCACATGTGTGCGAAGATGTGAACAGTTGAGATGCAGTGTATTGAGATTGAGAATGATTGAGATCCTTGACACGAAGCAGATGACATCAGATAACACACGTTGGACCAGAAATGGAGGACTGCCCGACAAAAACAACATTTTGCAAGCGTAGGCCCAGGCATTTGCACCGCAAAATGCAGATTTTCTGGCACGCAGATGTTCGCAAGCCACCTATAGACTAGAGCCATGTGCTCGGGCGGCTCGCCGAGACCTCAATCGTACCCTCCTTACCAACGCTTAGAACCCACAGTGAGGCTGCACTGTTTGGGACCAAGGTACCACGTAGTCCACATCCATTACATCCTCGGCTGGCGGAAACTGGCAGAACTATCACAGCCAGCCACAAGCCACAACCCGCACCCCAACATGCTGAAATGGCCTCGGAACATCCGGGAACTCTCAGCGCCGGGCGGGGGGGAGGGGGTGGAAACCCCTCAAGTGTCAAGCGCAAAACCCAGTATCGCCAAATCTGAAGTGCGCGCCCGAGCAACGGGGCCCAGAATCTTCCAGTCGAAGCCGGCATCCTCAAGCTTCACCTGCCAGATGCTGAATGCAGCTGAACGGCAACCTTTGGCCTTCGGCTACCTTTCAATTTGTTTAAAAGCCGCCCGTCTTTTGAGGGCCCTGTAGCCTCAAACCCTGGCAGTTTGAAATTTGATGAGGTGCGCAGTCGCCAAGAACACCCCCCCTTAAAGCAGGGAGCCTAAATTCCACACGTGCCCACCTTGCCCTTGAGGTCCACAGCCAGCTTGTCGGCAATTCTCTGGGATCCGGTGAAGAGCGTCATCTTTGCATCCCCACCTCAACTTCGAGGCCGGTAGGAGAGTGCTGTGATCTGCTTGGCATGGATAGCCTCTCTCTCCCTCTCTTTCTTTCTTTTTTCTTTCATGGGGCCTGAGGGGCGGTGCCCCCCCCTCTCTCTCTCTCTCTCTCTCTCTCTCTCTCTTCCGCACTTTCATCTTTGTTCACGTCACTGGAAGCAATGCGACTACTCCTGACACGGAACATGCTCCCCAAGGTGCGAAGAAGGACTTCGTTGAAAACCGGACCGTCGCAGTAGATGAAATCGATCTGAGCCACACGCAGTGCTGCCACAAGGCCACTGCATGATATCTGCAGGCATGGGCCGCATTTTTGAGTACCGGAGTATTGCGCGTGCCCGCCATATCTAAAACAGATCCATGCAAGGGTAATCTGCGAAGCCATCCTGGTGTGTGAGCGATGGGTTTCCTATGCAGGTGCCCGCATGGGATTTTCCTTCCGTTACTGCTTTGGAGAAGAGAACCATGTTGCGCCGTCTCCAGCCCGAAATCTGAAGTGTCGTGTCTGAGCTTCAGCTTGGGAGCATCAGTCTTGGGAAGCCCGACATGATGTAGCATTCTGAGAAACTGCTCCATCACAATGGCAACCTTCCAGTCGACTTTCCTTTCTCAGCACTGGTGCAGCATGGAAAGCAAGCACGTCTTCTGAACAAAAGGTGCTTGCTGTTTCTTGTCGATTGAACCCTCATAACAGGGTAACCTAATCAAGAACAACCCCTGTCGGCTGGACCTGAGATACATGAAAAGGGCATCACAGTGACTGTAGACCGAGTCATCGTGCACTTTTCTGAACACCCATCGCCGATTAGTCCGCCCCACATTTATGCCAAGAAAACAAGAAGGCATCAGTAAGAACTTACTCTCTGTCTTGCCCTGACAAGACAGCAATCGGAACCTTTTGCATTGTCATCCTTACCTCCCCTCTCACTCCATGCTTGTCTCGTTGAGGCAAAGGGCGTCGTGCACTGGTTGCCCATAAAAACCTTGGCTTGGCCGATGGTTTAGGATTGAGGGTGAGTCTCTGTTTAAGTCAATTTCAATAGATGTGGAATCGGAGTTACGGCTTTGACATTTGAGCCTCATTGGCAGGCAAAGTTTGCGGCTCTTGCAGCCTACTTCAAGCCCGTTCTCCTGGATACCTGCTGCAGCCTCGGCGCAGCGGAAAGCGATTGGATGCCACATATCTCCAGAGGGAAATTGAAAGGAGTGATGACCTGGGCAGACCACCGTGCCCATTCACAGAAGACATGAGTTTGAAGTTAAGCACTGGGCAGAATGTAGGGAGCGCTTCTTTCCATTCGTTGGTGCACAAAGCCTTGGAAGAATCTTGCTCCGAGGCCCTGGCACTGACACCACCAAACCTGAGCCCACCAAACCAGGAGTTGAGCTCTCTCAATTGCAGAATCGGAAAAACTTCAGCTGTCCGACGATATGCAAGCCTCCAACTAGAAGCGCCGATCCCTAAACTCGTGTTTGAACCCTGAACCCGTTCAATGTTGGAGTGGCCAAGGGACGGCATGCGGTAGCCCACAGTGGACTGTCCAACATGATCTCCAGGCAAGCCCTGTGACTCGGCGAGCATGCCTTGGATCACATCTCAGCCGCAAACAATCAGCAAACTGAACATCGGGAGGCTTCAAATGAGTGGCAGGTGATATTGCCTCGGGGTGGCTCACATATGGGCGTGTTTGGAGCGTTGAGGTTGTTTCCTGGGACAGCCCAAGACCGAAACTCAGGCTAACTACCATGCCAAGGGTGCGGACATTGTTGCCGCTGAAGTCTTGAAGCCACGTCCTAACCGCCTGTGATCAGATCAGTGGCTGAAAAGGTCCCGCTTTCTTGTTGCAAGGGCTTTTGGGGTTTCGTTTCGAAGGTTTAGCACCATATAAATAGTAGCTAGGATTCAAAGGCTTTTGTTGGTTTAGGTTGGGGGCAAGCACTGGGTTGTGCACAGCATCTCTTTTTTAATTTGGGAGCCTCGGGCTGACCCTCCGGCCTCGACAATCTTGGGCACCAGAAAAGCAACAAGTAAGTCAGCTTCAGCCGCAAGACCGAGACCAAGAGGGGGGGGGGGGGGCTCGAGGACGCCTTTATCTCACCGCCCGCTTGGGCGTAGCTCTTGGGGGCCACGCGCTGGATCAGGCGGATGAAGTAGTCGGTGACCTGCTGCTTCAGAACCCTCAATGTCGCACGTGAACATACACGCACCACCTAAACTTTACGCTGACTGGAAACCGTAGCATCATGGGTCTTTCCACGTGACAGGAACTCTCTTGACAAGGAACCCGCCCTCGGGACTCCAACCGCCTGTCTAACCTTCCGGAATCGCCATCGCAGACTCAAAGCCATGTCCACCTTCTAGTGGATGCACCAGTTAAAAAGAATCATATGGAATTCTGAGTCATGATTCAAAAGCCGGGCCGTGTACACTATTTTCCTTGATTTTCAAGTGAATTTATCGGGAACCGCGTGCCGCATGAAATTCAATTGGAAAATCAAGAGCGTGTTCGTACACACAATAATAATATCATTACAGGCGCGAGCTTCCCATGACAGTATATTGTGTTCTTTTCACACTATAATATTATAAGGGAGTGAGTGAGTGAATAAGATTATAAAATAAGTGTGAAAAGAATAGTACTTTGTGGTGAACGAAACCCCGTACACTCATCACAGGCGTCTGTCGAGGGGGCGGTCTGGGGCAAGGAACAGCATCCCCAAGTGCTACTAAAAAGGGCTTACATAAGCTGTTAAGTAAGGTTTACAATAAGCTTTATAAGGTCCACTGCTGCTGCGTCCGTGGTGGACCCTGCACCTCCGGCTTGAACATCTCGCGCGCCGCGGCTCCGCAGACCTCCCCGAGCATCACGTACCTGGACAGGGGATCTCCCGACGAGTGTTTATGGGTGGTTGTCAAAATTATGATCCCTCTTGGGGTACCCTAAATAATATTGGGCGCCGTATTATCACAGGGATCCAAAAAGGGACTATAACCTTGAGAACCACCCATATGTCGGAAGCGTACTGTGCTGGACCCATTAGCCAGATTAACCTTACAGCCCCATGGCCCACGGAGCGCCTCTCAGGGTGCTTGAAGGGGTTGTGCAGGCCAGAGCGCGGAACAGCCGCCATTCGCTGGATGAAGGGCTCGATCTCATCCATGCCTGTGTTCGGAACCTGGGGTTGTCGATGAGGGCGCAAAGGCTCACATCAACAAACATCAGCGACGCGATCTTTGAACGACAATTTTGTCTACGTGCTAGGAGATTTGTCTGATGTCTTTTGGTGCCTTCAAGAAGACCTCGCCGTTCAATGGGTCCACTATGTCCTGCACACGTTTTGACTTCGTCCAGCTGCCACCACCTTGGTGGCTTGGATGTTTAGGCTCGACAGGGCCGACGCAGGGCATCACTCCTGTCAGCTTGCCTGTCTAGACTGTGCCCGCTGTATAGACCTTCTCAACCAAACAAGTCATTTCTCCGAAAGGAGAGACCCGCAGGAGGAGCAAGTGCAATAGAGCCCACACAGCCATTCCGCGATATTGTTGGCGTTCAGGAATAGCAAAGGCAAGACAACTGCGAACAAAGTAGCAACATCGGATTTTGCACATGCAAATCCCATGCAGGCATACCCCCCGCCCACCCGACCCGCAATGCCCCCATGAGCCAAAGCAACATGCAACTATGGTTCCCAGAAATGCTTGCGGCTCCTCCCCTTTGTTGGCAAAAAAGCATCCGCGGCTTCTTGAGTCGTTGAGCGTCCACTTTCCACGACCCCGAACTCAGCAGAAGAAGCCCTTGTACATACTCTATCTTTTTCAGCCGGTTCTTTTCAGAATGCCATCCCTGTAGGCCATGAACCCAAAGCATTCCGCATTGTCATCATGCTTGAAGGTCTCATGAGCCCATGTTTTTGAACAGGAGGTTCACATCACCAGCACGAACATGACGGAAAATCGTGCGTAAGGCTGGCACAAAGGTTCATGCCCTCTGCCGGCGCAGCCCCAGATAGCTTTGCAGGATCCACCTCGCAGGGCGTGGAGCTGCTATGAGCTGCTGGGCTTCAGGTTAGAAAGCACCACACAGCTTGATCCGGGCCGGGAGTAGTTTCATAGTGGGAATGGCAGATCTTCTGTGGGACGTGGTGCTTCGGCCAGGCATGTTATGGCTTGTTCAAAGCCAACTCTCTGGCATGAAAGGCCAGTTGCTGAACCCGAAGGGCGGGATCGAAAGCTAAGCGATGGAACAGAACGACCTGACTGCGGCTGGCTTAAAAGGGGGTGAGTCGAGTTGCAGCTCATGTTCGACTGGTGCAGCTGGGGTTTTACTGCAGGGTCTACAGGTCACACGCGATTCAGGTTTCAACTTAGACTAAACGGCAACTGCGTCACGCCAGAACCCCAAAACACAGCCTGTTTGCTCTACCCCCCGCCGTGGCCCATGCTGGCACGGCGAAACCGCGGCAGGCACGCCAGATAGGTCGCAAGACCTTGGGATTCAGTGGCTGCTGCAATCTAGTGAGAAAGTGCTCCGCTTAAATTCGGAGTCTCACCCTCCCCCTAACAAGATTCGTTCTAAGGTTGGCCTCCGACGCCTCGATGTGCTCTTACAACATGGACCTTGGGATCTCAAGCGGTGCTGAGGCGGCCACATACCCTCGGCTGGCGAGCATGGCGGCAGTGTGGCTTCGAGCCAATAGCTACCAAGAACGCGGCTGGGAACTGCCCTGAAAACCGGAGCTGATGCATGATGCCGCATCATTCAGGCTCAAGCCTGATATCGCTTATGATTCGGCCATTCCGTTATCAGTCCTCACTGAGGTTTTGATGCAGCTTACTCTGAAACAAGCCATCCAGAAAGATGGCATTCCAGCAGTGCCCTTCCACACTCCTGGTCTTCATCGCGCTCTCCCAGTGTGGACGCATCGATGGCGTATGGCGTGAGGCCTTCGAATCATCAAAAAACAACAGCATGACATTCCCTCAAAACCTTCCTAGTCGCCCGCCTGTCCCCCAATCTCCAAAACCTTCCTGAAATTTAGGGTCCCCGGAACCCTTTCAATATATGGGAATGGCAAGACTAAATGAGTTCACATGCAGGGTCAGATTTATGTTGACACGGCTGTCTTCGAAGCCAGTCAAATAAGTCTATTCATTGGGTCAAGGACGGGTGTGTCCTAGCCTCCTCGGCAGAAGCAATAGGCCAGCAACCGTTCCTTTGTTGGTGGGCATGTCGGACATGTATCGAAAGTAGAGCTTGATGGTTGCACCGGCCGATCGAAAGTGGCCGGCACGACGATCAGCAACAACAACATGATCTCAAACAACACATGTCAGCAGAGTGGCGGGTCGCCAAGCAGCATATGCAAAAAAATGTATACTACATACTTCGCTTTGGTCATGAGTAAGTACCAAGGGCGGTTTTTCAGAGATACTAAGGGATTAGGCTCCGGGTTAACACAGCGTATTTCAGAACCGAAACACAATGCAACAGTAAGAACCAAGCAGCATTAGTAAGAAGTCAAGTGCTTGCACGGGACATAAATATACACAAGAAACATTGACGTAGTACGAATTACACCCGTGTCGGCTGAGCGGCCATCAGCGGCCAACCTCTTCGATCAAAGTCAGGTGTGCGCCAGGCCAGGATTTCTGTGCAAGCTGAAATTACAAGCCTCGGATGCTGCCGGCACTGTGGCGGTGAGCTCCCTTGATGCGCAACCCTATCCCGCCCTAGCTCCCGTGTTGTGAAGCCCGTCTGACCTACAAGGTCTTGCTCTTGCGCATTGCTGGGATTACCTCGCCCCCCCCCCCCGCCCTCCCCCCTTAAAAAAAAAAAAGAACACCCTGCAGGATCAGTAGCGGCAGCGCTGCCAGGGCTGTCGTTGCCTGCTGGACAGGCCAAGTCAAAGGCATAGGGTTCCACGTAAGCACTATCGTGGAAACACGCTGAATATGTATATATGTTGACTATGGCTTCCCTTTGCACAAATATGGGCATACATGTGTCTATCTGTGTGCGCGTGCAAACGGACCATGTGTATGTCAGAGCCAGCTAAATCTTTGCAGTATTTCACGGGTTGTTTCTTGTTGTCTCCACAGCTGGGCTCAATGTTGGATCTGAAGGCTGCTTCGTGTGCCATGGCAGGCTCCTGAGCCCTACAACTCCCGAACCCTAGCCTTTTGACCTAAACCGTTCTCAGCCCAAACTATCGGTCTTGGGGTAGTGAAAGAACTGCAAAGATCTGCAAGGGTTGTTGCAAAGATCTGCAAGGGTTGTTGCTGCTTATGCAGAAGACACCGGCAGCGCCTCTTCTGAAGACCTGAAGGACAACTCTCATGGCTTTGACGCACAGCTTGGGGAGACAGGACGGACGAGAACCGCCGATTTTCTTGACGATTCCTCTTGAAAAGTGCTTTCCGGTTCCGAATTGCACTCGACTTCGCACATCTTTGTGCCATGTTGAAGGCCAAGGGCAGGCAGCAGTAGTCTATCCAGAAGTAGAGCTCCACGTCCATGCGCTGTTGAGCTGCACGCTCCTGCGCATTGGCAGGTGCAGGCTACCTCACGATCCCCACTTCCTGTGACAATCCATCGCCCCAAGCAAGGGTGGAAACAGCCAACTTCATCTCCAGCAAAGCTGGACAGCCAACAATGCCACAATTTTGTCAGTATCACCTCCTGTTTTATACAGCTCTCTGCAGTTGCGGTTTCAGATCCCCTATAGGACCAAAGACACGAACTGTTGAACAGCCGCGCCTTGAACCAGCTCGCAAACTCGACCAAGCCACGCAGCTTGGACTTGCCCTTGTTGTCCTCTGGGCTTCGAGCAGGAGTAGGAGTCTACGAAATCGCCGAAGAGGTCAGAGATGAAAGCTGCTTTTCTTGCAAAGCTCCGCATGCTCGAGAACAAGTTTTCATCCAGGATCTTACACCCCCATTTGGCCACAAACCTAGGATCCCAAAGGAAAGCCTTACCTCATCGGCACGAACAGAGCAGCCGGCAAAAGAAGTATCGGACACTTGTACGCAAACCGAAACCGACATTTGATTGACGGGTTCGCGCACGCGTGCGCGCTCGCGCGACTGGCTGTCTCTGGTTCAAGCTCAGGCTTGGAGCATGTGAGAGCCATGAGCTTGAGCACAATGCACCCCAAAAGGTACGAAACTCATCCTTGCACATTAGAATTTGTGAACCCTAGGGACGAAGCTTCGCGGTGAATCCTCTGGCTCTGGAAAGTCGCCCTCTGCTCTCAAGCTTGGAGGCAGGTAAGATTGCAGCTCCGCACAAGGCTTCCGGGCTTTAGACTTAAACTTAGGAAAATGTACCCACAGGAGTCACCCGTAGTGGACATCTGGAAAAACAAAACGTGCGCCTGCAAAACCTGGAGATGCCCGTGCTGAGGACTGAGCCGGATGGGCTCGGCTTGACCAGGTGTGCGACACATAAACCTCAGGTTTAGGGTCTCTATATAGGGTCTGGGGCCTAGAAAGTCGGGAAGGTAGAGGGCCTATAGAAGTAAGCGTGTGATGAAGTGAGAAACAAAAGGGGTCAACGGGCCTGCCCCGGCCCTGTGTGTCAAGCTGGCACATAACCCTAAGCCCATCAACCTCAAACCGAACATGGCCACCACAGTCGAACCGCAGGAGTGGGGGGGTGAAGCGGCCCTACTCCGAAGCCGGAGTTTTTTTGTCTGGAGCCGGCTGCTCCCTGCATCGGATGCGTTGGATGCGCCACCTGATACGAGTACACCGCCACCTGCTGCAGGTGGCCATGGGAAACATGGACTTGCCAGACCGCGCCGCATGCCTGCACAGTCCTCGTTGTTTCTATGCACTCTTGCCTGAATCGTGAGAGGATAACGAATCCGAACAGAACTACATTCTGATGAAATGAGCCGGCCATGGCACAGCCATGCAGTGCAGGCGTGAGGATAGTTCACTTGCTTTGATGTTGCCACTGCTCACTGCAGTGCGGCATGATGAGATGGGCCTGATGGCCTCAGATGGAGCTCGGGCTGCGTCTTGGATCTTGGACAACGAACAAAATGGAACAAAGGTCCTTTCTTGAGGCATCGCCCGGTTGATCTAGTTGGCCTGACTCCGTCACCTCATATTTTGGGAGCAGAGCCAGCAAGAGCACGCCTTAAGCGTGCTGCAGGCCACGGCGTGCGATAACTTTGCACTTCTCAGCGCTAAGAACCGCAAGAAAATCATCCGGAACCCCAAGCGCTGTACAACAAAACATTGGGCGGGACTGAGAAAACTCTGTGTCGATTCTGGCTTCTAGATCAGCACGATAGAAATGAAGCGTACTGAGTATATAGTGAACATCAACAAAAATCTAGAAATGACAAAGCAAGGGTCAGCGTCAGTCTGCTGAGTCGCCTATTGCTTGCATGGCTAGGACGCTGCTGTTGATGCCGATGACCTGCTCTATGTCTGGGCAGCATGTCACGAATTTGGTAGAGGATGATGCTGGGAGGGGATGGAAAGCAGAATGCCCCTGGCATGTTGCCAGGCCTTTGTAGCCCTGCAAGTACAGCCAGCTCAACACAGAATTTCATGCCCTCGCCAGGGCATGCTTGTATCAGGGCATCGTGGCATTGTAGAGGTTGGGGTCTGGGGACCTGAATCCAGTACCGCAAAAATCGCAAAACTGTTCAGTTTGCGGAACTAGGCAGAGACCCTAAACAAGTTTAACCTGCTAGACTCCCAATCGTCTGACGCTGATTTTGGTGGGCCTTAAGGAAGCCGTCTTGAAGCGACTACGGCTCGATGACTTCGAGCTTTGCTTCGCAGGATTCACACTCCTGGGACAAGCGAGTTCCTGGCTGAGTGGCCCCGGCAGGGCTTTATGTTCAACTGGCCACCTCTTGTAAACCTTTGCAGGCCGCAGTGGACAAAGCACCGAGCCAAGTGGCTCTCAACTTCAGCATGTCTCTCACCAGGCTGTTACGCGACTATGCCTGCCACCCGCCTATTAGGCTCCAGCAAGCTTGTAAGCGATGCTTGGGAGAAGCTGATGACCAGCCTGTGCCCTGCTTAGAACCCGCTGAAATCTGCGAACCTGTTTGAGACATACCTTCGTCATGGCAGGACCGAAGTCTCAGAAGCTTCAGGCACGCTCCCGAGAAGCTGTGGCATGTCGTGTCCGGAAATAGCCTCTCAGGTCTGAGGTAGAACAGTGGCTCAGGCTTGGGCTAGATGCTGGGTTGGGGTTCAGGGTTAGCTAGGCGGTTAGCCTTGATAGTATCAGGCAGTCGGCAACTGCTGTGATCATAATTCGGAGTTTGAAAGCTTAGGTGGTTGGGAAGCAGAATCTGAGGATACGGCTTCTACCACAGGTTGCAGGAACCCGCTCGCATCCTACCCCAAGAGTACTCACTGAGCCCAACCGGGTCACGGCAGGAGCTTCTGGAGGTGGCGCAGATGCAGCGAGCTGTCTCAGCTTCTTCTTCTGCTTCCTGAGATTCGCTTTGAAGCTTCACCACCAATACTAGGACCTGTACCATCCTAGCCGAGCTGATCATGGGGGTAGAGGGTCGACACTGTCTCCCTTGTGGGCAAAGCTCTCGACATGGCGGCCTCACGGAACTTTGTAAAGAAGAACAACTCTCCCCGAATCTAAAGTGTAGAGGCCTTTGTTCGAAGAACAGTTTTCATGCTCTTCTGAAGTTCAACCTCGCCCCTGAACCTTGGAGGCCCGAATTGCTTCTGGGGTGCGCCTAGAACCAATGCATCAAGTTGCAAACGGCCAATGCCATAAACTCTTGAACCACCCAAAACCTTCTTTACACCCGGGATCCTGAAACCGAAGCAAACCACATAAATGAATACATCCAGAGCCTCAAATCCTCCCGCGCGCGCAGCCGCGCTTCGCGGAGTATACCGCGGAAGACCTCCAAATCGGGCTGCGAACGGCTGCATGAGCAGTCCTAAAATAAATTTTGGGCGTGAGGGCTTGGACTTTCCGTGGAAGTGTTCTCTGCCTCGCGACATCAGGCGGAAACATGGGCACTTGTGCTCTGAGAATTGAGGTTACCACTCTTTGATTTAACTCCACTGCACGGAGTTGGAGCCCTCAAGGTTGATATGCCCCCGTTCAGCCCCTAAAGCAACAAGAATCCGAGAAGCCCAGCAAAACAAAGCCACACAGCATATACGGTCGCGCCACGAACAATCACGCAAAGCCCTGTCGACCCTCAACATGCAATTGCCCACTGCCAACCTTGCAGCCAAGACCTAAATTGACTGACCTGACGTGTAAAGAGTGTATGAGTATGAGCCCAAGGGACGGCCACGCGCACGCAGTAGCGGCGGACGATCATCCCGAGCTGAGGGCATGTGAGTTTCCTTGCGACTAGAAGACCGATCAGTCTACAAGACATTCAGTGTAGTTGAAAGGGGTTCACGCCTCACTGGCGACTACATAGTACAGGGGCTTACATGCAATGGTCCGCATCTCAACTAGCGAATATACTATCGACATATCCCGACTAACGGCAAGGAGATCTTGTCGCCATGCAAAAAGTTAGTGCTGCCAACCCTTCCACCCGTCTGCCACATCTTGCAGTGATAACAGATTGAGGCTGCATCATGCATGGCATACTTACTGTATATGGCGCATGGGCAGCACTGCAAGATGGTCTTCAATTCGATCTGTGCGGGCACATCAAAATTCACTGGTCGGGAAGAGCTTCCGCCGCTCGATGACGTCCATAAAACGCTCCCGCGTCAGCATCAACACCTCGATGTAGGTCAGCGCGTAGCCTCAATTGCTGTGCTAGAGCAGAAAGCTGCAGAGGAGAGCCTGCAGTGCACATGCTCTCAGCTTCGTCTGCAACTCCTATTAACACACAAAACTTGCAGCTTAGCTCTGGAGTTTCTCAAAACCCTGAACTATGAATCCTACAGACCATAAGCCCGAAATAGCCCAAACACCTGCTAAACCGATATCTGCCCGCTACAAAACGACGCTATGAAAACGAAGCCCTGCGCGCCTAGGTTTCCTTTCAAAATAAGTGTCCGACATTTCAGTCCAAGGAGCCCGCTACAGGCCTGATCAGAGAGGTGTCCGACAGCACAAAGTCTTCGCCCCAAACTGCCCCGCCGCCTTCCACCCTGCCTGGGCAGATTCGGGGCTGAGAGGAGATTGCAGGGAGGTGTGTGGCGGTCGTTGTTTGAGTTTGAAGGAACCGTGAATCATGGGCTGGGCTTCTTGTTGAGTAGAACGGCATATTCAAGTGTTGGTTGGTGAGGGGTGCAACGAACACCTGGCGGGCGAGGATGCACAGTATGCACAGTACAGGGTTTTATCTGGCCTTTGGCTGGCTTTCTAAAGCTGCATCTGGGTTGGCTGTCGATTCAAAGTGCACGAGGCCGACATGCTGTTTGTAGAGCGAAAGCGAGCGAAATCCGCCGATGTAACATTTCTCAGCTAGCGCAGTTGTAAAGGTCCTGTCTGAATCAGCAACCCAGCTGCTGTTCAGGGCCACCAAGCCCTTGGACAGGATAAACAGCTCCTGTCAAGCAGACTACTGGGGAACCCTAAACAATCATTGGCGAGTTGAGGTGCTTTTTTGTTTGGGGTATCCCAGCTGCCGCAGGGTTTTGGCAGAATACAGCCTCGGATAAGATGGTTTGTTTTTGCGGGGCCTAGTTCCCGAGAAGCGAGGTTGTAATTTAAAACTTGCTTGCAGGCTGCTCCGCTCATCCTGAGACGTCGCAATAGGGAAAGGAATGCGCGATTTGGCCATTAAATATTCTTGTAGTTCGCACGCGTGCAAGGCGATCGTTTTCGACCCCGCGTGTTAAACAACAAAGAAGTAACTCGCGCGGTACACCGGTTCCTGCGTCCAGCACCCCTGTCTTTCGATGGCCCATGGCCTGGAGCAACTGGCGCATACGCCCTGAAGACTTGTTCGCCTTGCAACCGATCTTAAGGAGGTATTTCGATTTTCATTAGACAGGATGCGCATAATGAAACAGCCATGCCTTGAGGAACGCCCCACGATCCCCAATATGTCCCATATGTCCACAACACTGCTTGAACCCACTGATGATCACACCCACAACTCTGGAACGCCCTAGACGCCCTAGAATACTGTACACACATTACCTGACTCCCAACAAGAGACCTGAGGGCCACCCGCCCCAAGATCCGTGTCTCCTGCACGTTGTCGAAGCTTTCCTCGCGAGGAGGTGCCGAGCTTACGAGGTCGTATGTACGGCTATTGTGACAAGATTGGCAACTGACCCTGTCCGGAAAGGCTGAGGTCTCGGATTTGTGTGGCACATCTAATAACGACCGTGCACTACGCTCTGGATGCCTGCTGTGCGAAGGCCACAGGCACCAGCTGCCGAGAGATGTCAGCGATACAAGCGCGGTACCGCATGGTGTAGACTCCTTGGCTGCTGGAGGGGTTGAAAGAGTCTGGGTCGATAATAAAGGTTCAGCGGAGGCTAGACTGCCACAACTGCTCCGTCATCTGCACTATACTTCTAAATCGACATTCTTCAGTGGCCCACATGACCACTGGCGGCAGCCTGCTCTACATAACTTGTGCAGCAGACCTGTGTGCAGTAATGTGATCTCACCGTGGAGCGGGCAAAGCAAGATACATGCCCTCATACATACCTTCAGAAACGCAGGGCCAGGTCTTAGCGGAAGGCCTATGTCTGTTTGGCAAGAAGCCTTACGAGTTTTGATCTCCTACAGTACCCAAATTTTCGTTGGCATAATTAATCACTGTGACAGGTGCTTGTACTGTGCCATCAGCTTGGCCAAGAAACTCGCAAGCCGCAAGCTGATCCTTTTCTAGTACCCTGCACACGCACAACCCCAAAACCGTGAACCCCATGATGTTCCACGTATCGAAGCACAGCTTGCATCCCAGACTCCACGTGTCTCCAGGGTTTGGATAAGCCGCATGAATTGCCCGAAGAAGGTCACCTCTGGGCTTCTAACTAGGGAAGATCGCCGGCATTGAGGATGCTTGGTGAATGTCTCTCTGACCGCGTGGTTCGAAGGGGAGCCGCCCCGGAGGGCGGCGAGAGTCCTAGGTCTCAGTCCGTGAGCCTGCCCACGCTTTTCGTGGGTGGCGTGTGAGTCTCAGCCTCTGGTTGCAGCCTGTACTCCAACGAAACTGTGTCGACTCTTCTTCTTCTTCTTCTTCTTCTTCTTCTTCTTCTTCTTCTTCTTCTTCTTCTTCTCTCCTCTTCTTCTTCTTCTTATTCTTCTTCCCCTACGGGGCATGATCAAGGCAACTCGCTCGCTCGCTCGCTCTCTCTCTCTCTCTCTCGCGGACTCGGGGTTCGTACTACTTGGTATGCGGCATGCATTCTGGGTAGGGTTTGGTGTAAGAAGTTGAGGCTAAGCCTTTTGGGGCCATCATGGGCCATCCAAAACTACTACTTGCTTTGAAAACATTATACGTTTTGTGTTGCAGAGGGTGTGTAGGGTTGGACAATATCATCTTGGGATCGTAGTTATAAATTAAAATCTATAAGCCTTTTAAGAGTTTTTGGAGGTTCGGGCCGGTTACGGTTAGATGAGTGAGGGCTTCATTCTGGCCCCACCTTCTCCAACCACGGCATGGTCAAAGCAGTGCAAACCTCCGCCTGCGCCGGGTAGGTTTTGGGTTTATGCCTCGTCGGGATTTCGCGGGCACCGCCACGCAGACACAGACACTGGCAAGCCCATCGCATGTCATCGCATGTGTTACGCAGACTGTGCAGCCCTGAAATTGTCAGCCTTTCGAAAATTCTTTGCAGCTGGACTCCCACGCGCATATCGAAACGCACCCAACCTTCTGGAAACACCTTAAGGAACCCTCCTTCCCTCAACTCAGAAGTCGAAAAGCGCAAGTGTGCCTGCAACTGGGGGCTCATCTTCTCCAGGAGCTGCTGCTGGGTGACGTACATCGCCTGATTCCTGAAAAAAATGTCAGGCTTGCGGCTTACGAGTAACATGGTAGGCTTTGGGGGGCGCGCGGAGTAAAGCATGATCATGTTGTCTTTTGGGCACCTGTGAGAAACCTTCGTGGAGACTTTTCAGCCGTTACAAGCCCAGCTCCTGTTGTGCAGGAAGTAGCTCCGGACTCGGCGCTGCAGCTCCGGTGGAATGGACTGTGTGTGCATCATCTGGTTGAGATGGTGCATCTTCTGCTTGAAGCCCTGGCTCTCGGCATTCATGTCTGCCACAATGGCACAGACCTGTCCCAGAACGTAGGCCCACAGCAAACCTGACACCATCACCATGAAGGTGCACACAACTCGCTCCAGGATATTCTTGGGTCCAAAATCACCATAGCCCACGGATGTCATGGTGTAGCAGCAGAAATAGAAGGAAGCAATGTACCTGAGCTTTACTTGAAGACATCTGAGCCCCCCTGTGAAAAAACAGCAAAAACAATGCGCAATGGAAAGATCGCCCTGGGTTGGGGGGGCTCAGCTCCCCGTGTTTAGGAGGATTTGTCAGCTTCTGCTGTGTGGGCTTCGAGGGGAATGTCCAATGCATCGGGTCACATGCTGAGGGGGGACTCCCGTGTCTGAATGCCGAACTGGAGGTCCTCAGATTCCACTTCATCCTTAGATGGGCATAGGGCTGGATCGACAAAAAGACTAAACAGACAAATGAATACAAATGGAATGCCACTAGATGTACTGGTGCTGAACCACCTGAGCTTCGCTGCTTGGGGGCTCGAGAGTTTGGAGTGGTGTGTCTTGCGCTCTAGTTCTAAATATCTTTATATACATATACATATATATGTGAATATATATATATATATATATATATATACTTTAAAATATATCGCTCTCTGGCTCAGGCGAGCAGCAATCCACTGCGGCAGGTCACTGCTCACCAGCTGCAAAGTCAGTGCCCACACGCATGCCAGCCAATGACATACCAAAAGAAGAATCAGCAAAAACTTGAACAGTGTTACCTGCTGGTACGGGATGGAGTATGGGATCCTTAGTATGCCGAAACAACTACTGCATTTGCCAATGGAAAAAGACTTAAGAAACTCCACGACTCATGTTGCCACAACGTCGTGACGTCTCGCGATATCTGGCTGTGAATCAAAACCCGCCTTTGTCGCAGACCTGCGCCGTCCCTCAAACCTTTGTCGCGCGGCCTTCAGCCTGTATTCTTATAAACCCTTGTTCACCATTGGCTTGCAAACTTCTATGCCGAAACTGTTGCTACAACCTTTCGTTGCCATCGAGGGGCTACCGAGAGAGGCTTTAGGCTTTAGGGGCTTATAGAGCCGAACACAATGTGCAAAACAACGCCTCAACCTCACAAGATGCTGGATAAGTACAAACGCCTTGTCGCGGAGGGCGTGTCGCGGAACCGACCCTTCTGTTGCAAACTTTGTCGCGGGGTGGGCCTGCTACAAGCCAAACTGTTTGATTCACAGCCATCTTTCTCAATAGCCAACTAGCTAAGACTCCTCGCAGCGTGCTTTGTGAAGCATGGGTTACGATGAGTGAGATTGATCATCTGGGAATTGAGCCTTTTTAGGTCCCTTCAAGCATGCGGTTCATGCCAAGCGGCTCGTACCTGTGCGTGAATTTGGAGGTCTTCAGCACCCGAAACAGTTTCACCAGCCTTAGAACTCGGATCGCCTTCACACCATTCAGCTCCTTGACATCGTCGACGCCGGAAGTGAGAGCTGGGGCAGGGGCACGACGTGCATGTTAGGCAGAGAGCAGGGATGGTAGAAAATGGTTCAAAGGCATGACCCTTATATGAACCCCCGAAACCTGAATTCCCAGTCCTGCCTACGAGGTCAAAGGGGATCAAGGTCATGAAATCCAGAATGAACCAAGTTTTCAAGTAGTGTATCGTGATTCGAGGTAGTCGAACTTCCCACTCAACTCCACGATTGGTCCGTCTTGGGTAGGACGTAAAAAATTGTAGCACCATGTCGATCACGTACACCAGGTCGACGATGAGACTGCACACTGTTAGAAATCCGAACTCCACTTCCAGCAATCCAACCTGGTTTAGCGGTTTGGTTTCTGGGTTTGGAGATGGGCAGATCAGAAGTTAAATGCACGCGCCACGTGCGTTGTTGATCAGCTAGGGCGATTTCGTGCTTCTGAAATGCGACAACGCGCGCGCCCTTCAAGGACTCAGGCCCACCTGCACAGGCGTCACCAGCGCAACAAAGCCCAGAGCGCATATGGTCAACATCTGCCAGCTGTTTGCGAAGCCGTTGCTGTCGGGATTGATGATGTACCATGGCTTTAAGGCCTTCGACACATATTTCCCAGCAAACATGATATGACCGTAAGTCGCTTTCTAGTTTACGGTGTCAAGAAAGGCTGATCAAGCTCAGGTTCCACAAAGTTCTTGGTCTTCTGCGCCCGCATTATCATGAACTGCATCCGCTCCTCCTGCGAACTCTGAGACAGGACACAAGTGCCCATACATCTGTCACTTTATCTAGCCCGCCACCGGAAGTTTGTCTGGCATCACCACGAACTCGATCAACTCTGGCACCCTATCTCGCAAGTCTCGGTAAACTTCAGCTCAGGCGCTTTGATTAGCGCCGAAGCACGGGACCCAGTTCCCAAGTCCTTCCGCGAGAGGGTCGCGGGTGCAACGCCGTATTACTTTCATATGATTCCAGGTCTCTTGATCTCAACGGTGCAGGGATGCTTTGCCCAAGCACCCACCTTCCACATCTTGAAACTTCCCGAAACCCACGGCATCTCACTCGAGCCTCTGTCACAGCAGAGAAGGTTGGCAAAGTGGACTCTGCTGCATCGCTCCGCAAACTGCTGGCTGGCTTGAGTGCGTCAACCTCCGTCCACAAGCGAAATATTCAGATCCATCTCAGGGACAATTGTTCGTTCAAACCTAATTGAGCAGTTTTTTTTTCATTGTGTGGGGTGTTGTAATGGCATGGGTATCCTACGCGGGCCTACGCGTCAGCTCATGTTTAGTAGGCGCGCGACCTACGCGCGGAGTATGTTGTTGACGTGTACCTACGCGGACCTACGCGGCAAGCACAGACAACCTACGCGGACCTACGCGCCCATACTGCATAGACTTGCCTACGCGGACCCTACGCAAACCTACGCCCTGCAGGCAAAATGCTACGCGGCCGACTTTCAATGATCGCGTCTCTACGTAGCCTTGCTCCTAGAAAACAAACGCTGCTCATAATTGGATGAGCCCTCTACCCAGCCTTGGTATGAAGACCCAACTGCCGAGGCTGATTGTAACGCAAGCCACCACCAGTCAGTTGCAGGTGGAGGGGGGGGGGGGGAGAGCCACTGTTTAAAATTGATATCAGGCTCTGGTGGGTAGGAACGATCTGCAACTAGGGAAGCTTCCAAAACCCCTTACGGGGGCTTTTTCATGCGTGCAGAAGTTTGCTGGGTCTACCTGAGTGCTTCCGAAGACGTGGCTACCAATAACGTGCAGCATAAGGTGTTGTGTCAAGAACCGCAGCGCAGCACAGCGTAAGCCGTAAGCCTGACATGCCCACCTCATCGCCCATTGATGCGGTAGGGTCTTCAAGGAGGGTGGTGCGACTGGCGGTTTTGATATCCAACGGTAGACCTTGGCTGCAGAAATCGGATGAGTTGTCGAACATCCAAACCGCAAAGCTGATGCACGGGAGTATTCAGTTCCATCGACCCATTTCTGTACAGAACCACAATCGAATTGCGCTCCAACGAAGGACAACGAATTCCTCATCCATGAGCGGCATCAATCACCCAAAAAGAGAAAAGCTAAACGGCGGGACGCCATGCAGCCTATGTGAAGCATTCGTGCTTGCAGACAAGAAGGTAAGGCGGCCGCTGCTTTTCAAAAGATTCTCGCCGCCGCTCCTTGCAGAGGGAACCGACAAGTCACGAGGTCGGGTGTTGAGGCCTTCGCGGAGCCTTCGGGTCAAGGACCATTGAAGGAGGCTACAGAATATCGCCTGACGTGAACAAATTGTGAAAGGCTCTGCCAAAAAAAGGCTCTCTGATCGCATTCCTGTTCCGATGCAGCTTTGGAAATGCCAGGGGCCGGAAGCAATAGGACAGCTGCAAATGCGCTTCTTGCTCGTCATACGATGGTCAGGCAAAAAAGGTCCTGTCCAGACACCGGTATAATTGAGCAGCCCTGAAGAACTCAATCCAAAGTCAAGAACGATCTGCCACCCATGCCCCCTACAACGAAACAAACCTCTGGGGATCCCACCCGGAGCTTGTCGATGACGGCCTTCGCTCAATAAATGTTTGCGGCTGGGTTCGAGAATCCGCTTGGGTTTGGCTTGATGTGCGGCTCTAACTACCGCCTTGCTCCAGAAACCAAACGCTCCCAAAACATTCGACCACTGACCCGCTTATCTGAAACCCTAACTCTTCAAAGACCCTATCGGCTGGCTTAGCAGAGAAAATTCAAGCCGGGCAAGCCAACCCAAATGAACCAAAGATGCCTTCGCGTGGGAAGATCTGGACATCGCTGAGGGTAAGGAGCCCCAGTCCAGGCCTCCGCGGCACACTTCGGGTCCGATGGGCTGTAAGGCTCAAAAAAGAGGCTCAGGAAAGTTTAGGCTGTACAGGGTTGGCGTTTCGACTTCGGGGGAGGATTTTAAGGATTTTAAGGATAATTTGGGGATTTTGAGGGTCTCTCACAAGGCTTCAGGACTCGAGATCTGCTTCTCTCCTTTTCCACACTCAAGTCAAGAAGAATATTTATTGATTTTAGAGGGCCCTTCAAAACATGCGTCTCGGTGAGCCCGAAAAATCTTAAACTCCGCCCATCCCACTTCCATGTCCCTCACTTGTAAAGCTCCTCAACCCCATGGAAAATTCAATTGGACGGGTTACACGCGCCTGGGGTCTACGGTGCTAAATCCAGCTGAGAAAGAAACTGAACCTCATTCACCTTTTTACCGCCTGAAGCTCCAGAACCCCAAGCCCCTTTTTGAGCACCAGAAGCCTTGTCTGGTGCTAGCGGCTCCCTGAGCTTCCTCGGGGTGGGGGTTGGTGCACACGGGGCCAGTCAGGCTTCGCTTCAAGGCCTAGAGCCCCCAAACCTTAGGAATCAGGATGCGGATTGCAAGCTTCACCCGAGGCTTCAGCGTAAACAACTCCAGGATCTTTGTAAGGCATTTCTTCGGCGATTGGCGTTGGGGGGGGGGGGGGAGCACTGTGATTTTTGGCTGGGCCACTAGGGCTCTTTGCATCCAGGCCCGTTCGAACACTGCCGGGCAAGAATCCACACAACTAGCAATAGCTGAGGCAGAGGCTAGCCAAATTGGGCTCTAAATCTTAAAACCCTCCAAATCCGACCCGAAGTTTTCCATCCCGTCTCGGGGGAATTAAGTTTTGACATGCCAATGGCGTGATTTCACAACTTGGCCGGGAAAAAGCGCACAAGACTAAGTAAGACAAACCAATCTCAGCACAGAAAGTTACGACAAGCCTGACTAAACATGTCGAACCCAGCAAAAAAACCCTTGCACGTTGGAAAACACCTGTCCAGCACAGAACATCGAAAGACAACTTACAACACGACCTGGACCTGCCACATGAATGTCACAGCGTTCGAGAGAGCTTTTGTGGAAAGAGCGAAAATTGACATGGTCCACAAATCGGTCTCTAAAAGAGGCCAGAAATGACGTTTCAAATGCAAAATGCCGATTTTTCTCAAGAATAGTCAGCATGACGCTTTCATAAGTTTTCACGTGGTTTTCACAGGTTTTTACAGGTTTTCACGGAGTTTTCACATCAGAGTGACTTGACAGAAACGTTCCTTTTTTTGTTCGCGTTTGATAGAACGGTACAGCCTTCAGGCTCGTGTGGAGTTCGGGGTTTTAAAGGCTTCGGCCAGCTGCACACAGCTGATGCTAGTCAACTTGCAGTGTGCCAGGTAGCACAGTCTGGAGAGCTGTAGAAACCGGCTCTTGTACAAATGAACCTGCAGTTTGGCACATAAACATTCAAGGCACCCAAAACATTCTCCCAAGCCTTGCAAGAAAAGAGGTAGGGTTTTCACCTCGAAGGAAAAGTTGCCAAGCCAATCCTCCTATCATGAAGGTGGTAAACTGGAAGGCGATGTTGCTAATTACGTCTTTCGCCAGACGGGTGCCTTCATAGTGAGGTCCTTTGAGTTTTTAGTCGCTCTTAGGGGGACCCCGTCTTCTGCTATCACGGTTAGGCTAACGGTTAGGCTGGCTCGGGTTCAGTTGTCTGCTGTCGTGTTTGAAGGAATCATAAACCGAAGGGTTCATCAGCAAAAAACAGATGATCCGCCGTTCGAACTACCTGCTGTAGCTGCACTACTGTAAATCTGCTGAGCCTACTCCGCCGAAAAAGGCAAGCTTCTCATTCTCGAGCTCCAAGGACTCCAGTTGTGCAGAAAGTCCTTGGCTATGGCCAGTGTTTGGCTGCCACGGTGTCTTGTGTTTCTCAAGACGCAGAGAAGCACTGGTGGGATAAGCGCATAGTTTTGGTAGCTTGTACACATCAAGCGTCGACCTGACGAGGCATGATGCATGTATAGCTGCCATGACACGAGAGCCGCTAGAGACGCTGAACAACTTCACACGCACACTACCTTGTACTACTTGCAACGACGAGGAACGGCGCAGCTCGTCCGTCAACTCTGTGAGGAGGTCTTGCCAGCGGCACGCCATTCAAGCGGATCCACGAGGCCGAGGTCAGAACCCTATAGCCAGGCAGATTCCTCCTACTGAGCCTAAGAGATCTAAGGGCCGCCCCGTGTGAGTTGTGAGTCGCAGCTTGTCCAGGGCAGCCTGAGGCTCCCGTTGCTTGGATTCACTCTGACTGGCTTTTTCATTCTCGCGGCTCGGCAAATGGCCCAGGCTGCTGTTTTTAAGAATCAACTGGCTTTCGTTGCCGTATGCCATATGTTGCCATGTCCATGGTGTCAGAGCCCATGTGCCCGCCTTTGAGCCCATGCAATGGTACCGAGACTTGCTGGGCTTGCAGTCGGTGCTCGGATATAGTGTCCATGTACGCGGATGGCAAGTTGAGGACGGTTCATGCTGTTGCAGAGTGCAGCTTTAGGATGGCCATTGACATTTGTGACTGTGGCTTTCACTGCTGCCCGCAACCGCAAAACATTAGGCCCTCGGCCAGAAGTCCGCTACTTCAGGCACAGAAAGCAGAAGCCCGAAACCTTAAGTCCTGGATGCCCTGTACTTGCTCTGTGTCTTGAACTCCCCGAGTCAAGAAGCGGAAGCCTGAAGCCTCGAAGTCCCTCACCCTGCCAGCACCCCCACACGATCCCACACGCTAAACATCCCCAAACTGAAGCAGTGAGTGGGCCAGGCAGCCAAGACCAGCTTCTTATGCTGCTTTTCAGCCAGCCGCACTGCGGCTTCGCACTCCTGCATTCTCTGCAGAAACGAGGCTTAGATAGGATGACGCAACATCTCCCAACACTCTTGGACCTAGACCAATGAATCAACAGGTTGAAGCTTTAGTATTACTTCGTGTTACGACGCCCAAAACCCGCAAGCTGACCCTCCGAATCTGATTTAGAAATCAACTCGCAAGCCTTCTTCTGCATCTGTGGGATTCGGCATTTGCCTATTGTTAAGACTGTTTACGCCGGACTCAGCACCTAACTCCTGACGTGCCGGCCTGAACCCTGTAACAACCTATAGATCCTGAACATCCCTGATCTCCCTTAAGAACACTGCAGAGCCCGCCCCGCGGTCCACAGTCTGTGCTGGACACTTTGGCAATGCGGACAAGTTGGGCAGAGATGAGGACGGCAGAAGCCGAAGGGGCGCCTGGCCAAACATTCTCAGAATGGTATTTGTGAGTCTAATCTGGGCTTTGGGGTGAGGGGAGTTCATGGTTTCAGAATCTTCAGGTCCAAGCTTACGAGGGAGATTGTGGAAAACTGACAACACCAATTAAGCATCACTGCAAAGGTGTTCGGCAGAGAGGGTTTTGAGGCATGAAAGATAGGTACTGATAGAGCCGTTCGCCCGAGACAAAATCAGCTGATTTCACAAGTTCAGGTCTCCCTGTGCTGGAGCGTGCACGAACAAAAGCATTGGAACTGTGTTGGAAGTGCCTCTTGAGTTGCGGGATCTGCAACTGCAACTTCAGATGCAGATATACGTATCATTGAAGTACAAGGTCCAGGAGGTCAGCCCATGGTAGCCAATGTTCTCCCCTAGGAATACAGTTCGGATACAGGCGCGAGTATCCAGAATCAGCAAGCGTCCAACCGTTAGACCAATAATCTAAATTGCAATTTCCATGATCGGGGTATAGCCGACCCGAAGCTACAAACTGAGCCGGGAAGGCTCCGGTGGTTGACTGCACTGCCTTGGCCTTGTCCTTGACTGTACACAAGTTTCGACTCTGAGGAATTTGGCGACGTGTGCTTTGGTGCTTTCTCAACCCTGCACAACCGGACATGCAAACAAATGCAAGTTCGCAAGCAAAGCAGTAAGCTGAGGGCCAGGAGCGTCTGTTTCCTGAACTTCTTGTCAGAGAGCAGGGCCTCAGAAATTCTTCGTAAAAAGGGTGGCTGTCCTAGTGCTGCCCAACATGCCACAAAGGGCAAGGACGCAGCAAAACGAAAGACTTAAGAATTTGGGGAGTAAAGGGGAGAGTCGAGCCCTAGAGAAGCCCCTGCCAGCCCTGACTCCGCAAGGCGGCCCATGCGGTGCATCGCAAGGTGGCGCGCTGCAGTGCCGCCTCACAGGGTTGGCTGGGAGCAGTTCCTCTATATAACATATAAGGGAAAGTCTAGGCTTAGGAGTATGTAAGTCATGGGAATTCAAGGACACGTCAAGCCAATCTAGAAGCCAAAGCCCCAGACATGAACCTGCAACAAACTCTTACAGGCTCTTCCGCTGCTCTGGGGACACTCCCGGCAGGAACCTGCAGCTCCGTCCGCAAGGCATCGCAAGCCCCGTGGGCGCTCTCTGGCAGCCTGCTCTTCACCTCCGAAGATGTGATTAAGCTACAGCTGGGTGGCTTGGAGACCTTCCGTGTTTAAGGACATGTGTTTCTTGGCCTGTTCGTTTGCTTGCGTGCTTGCTTGTCTGACCGTCTGCCGGTACGTTTTGTCCACGCTTGTCTTGTTTCTTGGTCGTTTGGCGGTCGGGATTCCACACCTCTCAAAGGACAAAGTATTGTACCTGTTTCTACCTCACGACTCGGACAAGCCAGAAGCCCGATATCCAAAGCGATAAAGGCTCCACCCTCTGCCCTCCTGCAAGGCCATGCCTTGAAGAACCCTTTAGGCCTAGGGCTTATAGGGCTTTTAGGGTCTAGGATCTGGGGCTGGGCGGGGGGGGGTAGGTTCAGGGTTTAAGGTTGCACCTAGCACTTCAGGTTTGGCTTTGGGGTTCGGGTTGACAGGCATACCCCCCCAGCCCGCCCTATTCCAAAAAACGCTTAGGGCCATGCGGAGTTTAGCGTTTAGTGCTGTTCGTACCTGAGTACCCGTCGCAAATCAAGATACCCTGCTGTCAACCCACCGAGAGAATCATGGTCAGAAATCGAGAGAAGAAGCTCCCAACCAACTGGACAAATGACGGTACCGTAAGGCCCCCAGTGGGGCCCCCCGCCCTTTAAGGCTTCGAGGTCCAAGTAGCCAGGGCCAGGTCAGCCCACAAGGCATCTGTGGAACGTCCCAAGGCCGCCTTCTTTTTGTTAGCTTGAAGGGATTTTCTTGGTGTAGGGCTTTGGACATTTGGGATATGGCAGAAGGGCAGCTGCGGAGTGCGACCTAAGGATCATTCCGGGCTTGGTGTCCAAGCATTTTGGTGTGGATGCTAGGATTGGAGCATATTGGAGCAATAAAGGGGGATGGTGCCAAATACTCTCCCTTTCAACCCCAGTGAATTCCGCACACCTGCCCTCGCTAATAACCACCATCAGAACTCATCCTCGACCGGGACGGAAACTTGAGATTCAGCCAAGTGGCCAAGACTTCAGGGCCACGAAGCCCGGCCATAAAGGTACCTTACACGTGACGGCTCTGCTTTTGGATCTTCTTACCCTAAGCTTGAAAAATCGAGACTTGGAAATGGCATTTGGACAATCTGACAGGGGATGTCAGGGACGCATGCTGCCTGGGTGAGATTCGCCTTCACTCAAATCTCAGAATCTTCATGACACCAAAGGCATGGAATTCCTAAACACAAGCATGTCCGCCAAGACTTTCCTAAGCCCCCCTGCAAGACCCAAAGTTCGTGCACAACTCCTACATCAAGGACCTACACAAGTAGATATCATGATGCAACACCGGTACAGTATTAATGCCCGTACTTACATGGCGACAGGGTTCCTCGGGAGAGCATGTACGCCGACTGGTCCACACCTGGGGCAGCCAGTGCTGCAGTGGGGGTCGTGAGATTGGGAATGGAATTTCGTGTGTATTGCTTCACAACCGCAAAGCAACAATTCTGCACCAGCGTGGAAGATGGTCCGGAAACGTATATGAGACATTCAAAAGCCTCAACAGTAGCACACGAGCAGGTGTGTCGACGGTACACGCATGGTATAAATGGGATTGCTACTGGATAGCCTGATTACAAATTTGTATGTAACAGCGACAAAGAAAGAGACACGATGAACAGGGAAATGGTGGTCAGGGGATTTTGGAGAGCACCTGTGTGCCCCACCCATCCAACCCACGAAGCTGGAGCACATCGCACTACAACAATTTGGAAGCCCAGGATTCCTTTCGGAGCAAAGGCCACAAATTCCCCAAGCTTTCTCTAGCAAAGCGAGAACCTCCCCTTAAAACCCTCCTCTCAACACCCTTCGAGGTCCACACGCTCCAGCATCCCTGCCGCAGAGGCGTCGGAACCCTGGGCTTGCCGATGCCTGAGAGAGGCTCCGGATTCAATCCAATGATTTTCAATGGCTGGGCTTTGCCCCCTGGGCCCAATGTCCCTTATGCCCCTACATAGTCGCTGAAGTGTAAGTGTAATGCGGGCTGCCTGCGCTGAAGGGTTTGGGGGGCTTAGCGCTGCAGGGTGCGGAGTCGCGGCGAGCGCTGGAATGTGAGGGCTGTGGCTCTGCTTCAGCTCCTGTGTCGCAGAACCTCCGCCATGCCAGAGCGATCCAGAGCGCATCCGCTTCCCTCGAGTGGGGATGCCTTTCTGCGGTAAACCGTGGCAGAGCAATCGAGGGAGATTTCAGCTGAAAAGCTCCTCAGTGAAGCCGGACATGTCGAGTCGCTCGGCTTCATCGCCTGAGACTCGGGTCCTGTGTTGCATGACGCCTGGCCTTAAGCACCCCAACATCGTCAAGATAGCTGGCAGAAAAGGCTACCCCACCGTCTGTAAAGCCACTTTGAATAACTCCTGTTGTTTCCGGCCCCGAAACCTCGAACCTACTTGCAGAGGAATTCCAAAACAAAACACACTTAGCGCTGCCTGGCCACAAAGAGAGAAGGGCAGGCAGCCAGGCATCCTCGTCAGAGCCTTTTGGTGTTCAGGATTTTAAGGGGTTCAGGGTGAGAGGGCTTCTCATGCACGTGGCAATTTGGAGGAGCAACGTGCTTCAGGTTATTATCCAAGTTTTGCCTGGCCAGGGTCCTCCTTCGTTTGGGCTTTGACATGTGCGGATGTGATGCAGCAAGGGTTTAGGTTCGGTTTCGGGTTATGGGTAAAAAGGTGGACATAGGCACATCTCAAGGTCCTGATGACTGAGCATGTCCGGCTCATGTCCAGGCGCCCCTTTATTCATGCGACTTGAGTCGCAACAGTTCAGCTAAATTTCGGGCTCCTGTTGTGTCTACGGGGCAGCAAACTCAGGTTTGGGTCTTCAGCTTAATCTCCTCACACTTCTCGGCAAGCCTGAGGGTTGGAAAAGCAAGTGTACCATGGACTCTCACTGTGTAAGCCAGTATTTTCGTTTCCGAACTGATGCATGCGCACCTCATCTCGAAACCCGAATCCAACCCGCACATCATCCTGCATGACCACCCTAAACAAAGTAAAGGTAAAGGCAAGCACCCGGAGATTGGAACAACAACGCTCTGTGACCCTGCCTCGAAGGCGTCCAGCATTGGAGTCGCTGCCCGCTCGCGCCTCGAAGGGAACACAGGGCTCCACTTTACAACGCTTCCACTCTCACTCTCGCACGAGGCAAGGATTCGGGATCTCGATTCGACGGGGGCTCTTCAAAACGACTCAAGGTCTTGCCCTCAGGGAGTTGCCAGTCAACTTGCTCAGCCTGCCCTGCCAATCGAGATTCGCAAGCAATCCTTGTGGCTTTGAAGGTCGAAGACGCTCGCTCCCTAAACACCATCCTGTGCAGAATACAAGAGTGCTAAGATATCGGATATCGCCTAGGGTTTGTGGCAGAAGGTCTACGGGCTTTTTTAAACACGCCTGGCGAAGCGCCGCGGCGATCGAACGAATGCCCGCCCGCTTCGCGAGCTAATCACAATGGGAGGCTCGTGTTCATGTGCGGCATGCGGACCTTGGCATCATGCCTTCGAAGCCTCTGGTTCTTTCTCCTAAGGAGGCTCACAGAGGGTGCTGCCTTGCCATCTTGCCCACACGACCCACATGACGTCTTGGAGAACGACATGCTTGCAGGCTCTGTGGACATATCATAGTGCACCTCATACTCGTAGAAGAGCGGGGTGCCCATTATCCAGATGGGCCCATTCAATTGCGTCTCATAATCGTACTCACCGAAGAAAGGCATGCACAAGATGTGGTCTTTGTACCCAGTTGCAACTATGTAGGCGCTTGCTGGCAAACTGAAGGTCTGGGTCGTGCCTTCAACTCCCGCAACGTGCCAGAAGATCGGAGGCATTTCGCGGTCTAAGTCCGCTGCGTCTGTTGTCCAGGAGGCACAGTCTGCTAGCAAGGACTCGAACCGTTCCTTCTTGTCAAGCTGCAACTGCGAGGCTGGATCCAGCTCGAACGGGTTGGTGATGGAAATCTTTGGGATGCCCCACTTCTCAAGCGTGCTCCTGATCCAGTCGCCGATTGTGCTGCCCGTCTCTGGTTCGGGATGCCCATTGGAAGACTTGGTTGCGTTGTCTTGGGCGAATGCCTTGCTGCAGCGTGGCCACATGTCACAAAGCTTGGCATAAAGCCGCAAGAGGTGGCGGCTCGGGGCGAGAATCAATGTGGTTCCAGAGTCGGGAATGAGACCACAGGCTGTCTCTTTGTCCTTCCTTTCGCCATCGCCACACAGGATCACATCCGCCTTCTCGCCGCCAACACTCACGCCACGAAAATCGAGGCCCCAATGAAACTTTCCGAGGTTGCCGAGTCTCGTTGTTTGCGCGGGGGAATTGAGACGAAGCATGCCATCTTCCTGCATGTTGGAGAAGCACATGGAAAAGCGCTCAATCGCTGCCCTGACCAACCAGGACTGCTCATGCGAAGCACTCGCGCTGGGCTGTTTGTATGGCAGGCCAAGGCCAAAGATGCCTTCAAAATCCGAAGTGGAAGTGGCAAGCTCATGGTCATACATGAATACCACGCTGCTGTTCATCATGGCCGATTCTTGGCCGACAGTTACAAGGTCGCTGCCGACAACTCCATAAATAATTCCACTGCCAAAAGCCATCGTGACTGCCATCGGAGATCCAGATGCATCCCGTGGCACACGAAACGTGGAGGACCGGTTTGTGCCTGTGAAGCACTTTCCAGAGGAGCCAAAGCAAGCATGTGCTCTGCACTCGCAATGTGTCACGATGACAGTACTGCTGCCTGTGTCAGCAACAAGATCGAACTCCTGCTTTGGAGTACCAACTCCAACTCGCAATGCGGAATAGGATTGCCTGTTGATCAGGGGCGCACACGATTCAGCATCGGCAGCCCTCGTTTTCAGGCTGCGGCTGAGCAATACTTGGCAAAACGCCAAGAGATCCAAGAGCCTCAGCCTTATTCTCATGGCTCAGATTGGCTCAGGGGCTGATGACAGCCGGGACTACGTTTTGGATCGCGAGCTTCATTAGCTTCGAGTGAAAAGAAGCTGGCGGGAGAAGCTGGTCGCAGCTCACGCTGCTCACCTCTCTGTCATATATCTGTTTTGTATGTATGCGTATGTGTATATTCTATCGATCTGTATATATATATATATATGTGCGTGCACAGTTGTGTTGCCGAGCTTTGCGTATGCCTTCCACCGTCCGGCTTCTCACCTTTGCTCACTATCTGAGGAGAAGCTAGAAGGCTAGAAGAAACGCTTCTGCGGTTCACGTTGTAGATTTGAGGGGTTCATCAAGTTCAGCTGCAAGTCGTCGTCTGCGGACTTTGACTTGGGGCTTCAAGGTGCCCTGTAGCAGAGCAGCCGCAAGCCGCAACACGTCAATCCAAACCCTCCGGGCGAAGACCACCCAGAGGATTTCTCGGCCAAAGCTCCAGGAGACTCTTACCCCCTCTGCTTCGACAGCGACCACGCAAATCAGCAAACCATCAACAGGGCCTCAACATTCCTCACTCCCAGCTGATCCCAGCTCCTGGCCTGGAAGCTGTAGTCCTGCAGTGCCAGCTTGCGGGTCCTGTGGCGCGTGATGCCCAGAAGTCGCCTTCGCAAAGTGCCAAAGATTTGTAAAGGTAGGCTTACTAAGTCTGCGAGGGAAGCTTGCCTGAGATCTGGAGTGTGGTATTTTGGGCTCAGCGATGTGCCAGAAAGGGCATGTCAGCATGGCACGGTTTGGGTTGAGGTTGCCCTCGCATTAGGCACCGGGTTGATGCTCTCTAAAGCGAGTCTACGCGGCCTGTAGAGACAGAGCGCCATCAAGGTGATGACAAAGGCCATACCGAAGGCAGCCAGGGAGGTGTACGCGACTTCCTGCTCTCACTGCTCTTCACATGCTTTGAGAGTTTGGGATGGCACAGGATGGTTTCCGGGCTTGTGTGCTTGGGGGATCTTGGGGGTGTTCGATGGTGTGAATCAGACTTGTCCTTCGAACATTCCGACCCTGCAGTCTGCACCAGGCCAGGGCAGGAAATTGCGAGCTGACTCTGGGATGGGCAGGCCAGGGACACTCTGGGGATTCTCGGGATACTATAGGCTGGGCACTCCAGCGAGTCTAGGCATTCTCTGAAAAGCTTTAAGGCCTCAGGCACTTCAGGGTTTTACTGGGCATACTCTGGGGTGGGCACTCCAGGGACGGGATACTCTTGGGGCTGGACACTCAGGGGGTTCTCTGGGGACACTCTGGGGTTGGGCACTTTGGGTGTGCACTGGGAAGAGGGACTCTCTTGGGATACTTTGGCGGGGGATACGGGTGATGGGTGAGGAATAGACCGGGCGAGAGAAGAGTTTAGTCTGAACTCTAACACCCCCACACGCGGGGAAAATTATGGCAAGTTGCGCATCTTCTGTTTGGAGGCTGCCACTTGTCAAAAGCAATGCTGGCCACCACGCGGGCAGTGCTACGCACGATCCTATGAACCAGCTGGCCCTCCAACGGCCTCAACCACGTGCGGTGGAGGAGGTATGCCGGATATCAAGAAGAACCTTCAGGGCATCGGGTGATGTGCTCGGGGCTGCTTTGCCTCCTAACTAGCCAAAGAACAAAGGGCAGCTTCTACAAAACTACATTTCGTTTTCTTCCACGTCTCGTTCTTCTCCAGAAAGCCTCAATCAATCTTCGTGATCAGCGAAGCACAGCGAGCCCCTCCGGTTTACATGTCTGCAATCAAGCTTACGCGCTTTGGTCCTTGCAGAGCCAACCTTTAGGGGAGGATGCTTTTTGTAAGCTCAACAAAGGATAGTTGAGACCAAGCAGGGGTGCAGTCGTCAGTCAAGAACGATCCTGGGAAGTCCACATACAACATTTGGGATAACAGCTGCAGAGCGAGTTACTAGCCCATGCAAACTTGCTGAAGACATCGAAAAGCACCCCCCCCAACCCTCGATTATCCTTGCAGGCTGCACCTGAACAGGGCAGAAGAATCGTGGTCCCCCGCGGGAGTGCAGCTCCCGAGCCACGGGAAGGCGGAGGCCTTTGAGGCATTGGGGCGGTGATTTGTTTGGAAACCCATTGGCGTCTTTTGGGCATCTAGGGTCTGGAGCCCTTTCTCATACTTCTCTGATCTGCGAGTGGGTGGGCATGTCAGGGTGATTAATTTCACGAAAGACTTTCGCATAGTTGTGATGTTTGGCTGAGCTGTACCCATTGGGCGTGAAGGCCTCGTAACCTCATGTCACTTCACTCCAGCCTGTGTTCATGTCTCATGCTTCCCTTTTTGGCGAGCTCTCAAAGCATTTGGCCGACGATTGTGGTCTCCAATCGAGTGTTGGCAAACAAATGGATCTCGTGTATGCAGTGCAGGACGCCATCCCGCTTCAGCCGATCCACCATGGAACGCTTTCGCTCACGAAATTCGCGTTTGGAGCGGCAGGTGTTCTTGAAGGTGACCACAGCCAGGCATGGGGGTTCGAAAAGACCGCGGCCGTGTACTTGGTATAGTAGCTGGCAGGCATTTTCTAGGCCGTCATTCATGTCACAAACAAACAAGGAGAGCTTCCTCTGCTCCGGCTCGGCCTCAAGCTTTGAAATGGCATCCTCCCCACGCATACGCCAATGCACGATGCTTCCAGAGGCCCTGCCTTGTGTGCCTTGTAATAGCTCCGCCCCAATGGCTGGACTGGTTCCGGCTTTCCGACAGGCTGCAATATACTTCAAATGCTTAGCATCTTCTGTTTGTTCTTCAGGCCTGAAGAGAGGCAGGAAGTCGTCGCGGTGTTCTGCATCGATGAGTTCGCGAACCAGCGGATGCATATAGGCAGCCGGATCACAAGCAATGACCAACTTCGTGCCCAACTCTTTGGCAAGGCAATATGACCTAGGTCAATTCTTCAGCCAAAAAGCCGGCGACCAACACTGAGGGAAACTGCTTCGACAGCCTGCTAGAAAACGATATGTTGCGGAGGGCAAGTGCTGAGGCCGTGAGCATAGATCTAAAGGTCCGATTGGCTTTGCTTTGCGTGCTGGCAGGTTGGGTAGGACAAACCGGAACATGGACGAGCACGGAAGAAACATTCGGCGCCGAGTGGCCAACCTCCAGGGGAAGCGCCAACATCCAATGCCAGGTTTCTGCCAGTGAAGACACGCTGCAGTAACTTAGGCGCGCTGCTTCCATCAGCCCTGAGTCAGTCAACTAAGACACCCTAGCAGGCCCTAGCAGCACATGCAGAGGTTTACGTTGCCCAGGAACCTCGACTAGTGCGATTTTGGAATCCTTTCTTCGACCCACAATTGCAAGCCTAAGGCACGTGGGATTGTGAAGATTGTCAAAATTGTAGCGCTCTTTGATTTCGAGGAGTTTAAAGAAGGCACCAGAGGGCACCGCTTTTTGATCTTTCTCAGGCACCAGGATGCGCGGCACGTCCTTGCTCCACCAGAACAAGCCATCCACGTAGACCATGCTGTCACAACGGCCTCTCTGCAAAATCAGATCCTTTCCATGCGAAGAGTCCGATGCTGGGTCCCCACTCCGTGACCTGAATACAACACCCCAAGGCGAAGCATCCATGGCCAAGTGCAGGGCCACCTCAATCTCCCGCGGAAAGCAAATGAAGTTGCGTGCCCGGCGCACAAACTCCCAGAGAGAGCTTTGCACCTCAGATCAGAAGGTCTTCATTGAGGGCAAAGGGTACACCCTGGGAACACCTTCTGCATCAAAGCCATGCCTGGAGCCGGAAATGCGCTTAACCTCCGATAAACCTCACATCCGGCCTCGGCTACTGCAGACTTGCCCTGGAAGACTTCATTGGCCACCACCTTCGCTGCATTTTTGAACCCAAATTGTCACGCTCAGCCTGTACTTCTTACAGATTCCAGCACCGCAACCGACAAAAGGCAAGCACCCCTGGAGCTCACAAACCCGAGGCATTCTGTAACCCCAAAAGGTATCCCAGCCACCGAGTCGACCATTCCGCGGCGTGGATGCCCGAAAGTAGCCTGGAGGTACTGCGCGCAGCAGTCCTGAAATACCATGAAATACCCGAAGCGTGTTGAGCTGTATGTTTCACGGTATTGGATTCCCATACCGAATCAGCTAAACCGTGGTTCTTGAATTAGACGTATGATACGTGCAACCTGCAAAAGTTGCCAGTCCACTGTGTCAGTGTGAGTTGCAAGTCTGCAACTGTGGACGCATTTAGCCACCGTGCCATCGGGCTGCACCGGCCGCCCCCCCCCCCCCCACCACCGCGTCAAGGTTTAGAGTCTAGAGATTTTGGCTCCTACAACAGGCCAACCCCCAAACACCTTGAAAAAGACCTGCGGCACGGCGGCGGCAAGGCTGGGTGCCTTGCGCTCGGTGCTGGCAAAGTACACGCGCTGGATGATGGAGTGCAAGTGCACCGGAACCCTGACCTGTCGCTGAGGGACTTTTTGTTGGGGGGTGGGGGGGGGGGGGGGTGGTGTCCAACGATCCTGCATGCAACTCAAGGCCTTTCTTGAAGGCTTTGGGCCTGACCTTCTCCGTTCAGCGTTTCATCGCGAAGCTGGAAAATCCAGGCTTGCAGCGAAATGCTCTGCATGAGTTCGGCTGCAAGGAATACAGGGCGGACAAAACATCGCTATAGGTGTGCTAGCACAGCTTGCGAACGTACGAATCCCATGCCGCCCAAACCACCCCCGCCTCGCAGTTGTCCGCCTGATTGGCCGACCCTAGAACCTGACAGCAGGGAGCCGAGTTGAATACGGTATAAGGGCTTCGATTCTCAGATGGGAGAACCGTTTCTGTTGACGAGCTGCACGGCAATGGTTCGGAGTCGACAAGTGCTTTGTAAGAGGGAGCGGAGAATGGTCGAGGTGTGAGACATGACGATCTGGCAACCCAACCACCACGGCAGTAAACCACACCAAGCATCATCTGACATCCGAAATCCCATACATAAAGTACACAAAAGGCTCATGCCCACATGCCTCATTCGAAAAAAACGTTTTGCACAGAGCAGTCCGCTCCAACTTCACATCTAGACAGCTTAATGTCCTCACACACAATGCCGATTCTATGCGCAATGCAACTCAAGCCCCCAACACACAGCTAAATTAAACAAGGCATTGCGCATACAGGACACTGGCACATGCAACTACACACCTTCCAAGCCTCGTCATGACTTTGGTTTGGTTTCCGCGACCACCCGCAGACCACCCTCAAACTGCCGTCCACCTCAAATGACCCCTGGAGCATCATGGCCCGGATGTTGTGAAGCCCAAAATGACCCTCAGATTATCCAACCGCATTGAAACTATTGGAGTGCGCCTCCCATTGGTTCCGGCAGTGCCTCTCCCCAACACACACGCAATTTTACCCGAGGTCACTCTTCTAAGTGCACAATGTGCACAAGAACTCGTGAAGCATCTGCTCGAAGCGAAGCTGTGAAGCTCTTACTTTCTTCTTCGGCCTAATGTTGACTTCACATTAATGATTCCCGCTACAATTGTAAAATCCAGCTGCCGGAACACAATATTGTAACCCGCCACAATTGTAAAATCCAACCCGGAAAATTCGTTTTTTACGGGCGTGGTGCTACTACCTAATACTAAAACTAATAGTACGTCCTACCAGGACTTAGGCGATTTTAATTGAGGAGGCCCTGGCCGGAGAGATTGATCAATCAAGGGGGGGGGGGGTTATTAATGCGAAGTCAACATTACTATGGAGTGGCTTCAAAAACGACTGGGGTATTGTAGATGCCTCGCAAACATTGCACGGGTGGAGATCTTACAGTCCAAGCTGAGATTCACAATCTGCCGCATCTTAAACCGTTCTCCCTTCCGCGTGCCTCGACCTGGCGTTGCTGGTACAGCCTTGAGAGCGTGGCCAGGACCCGTTCACAACAATCCTGCGAGAGGATGCTTAATTCACTGATGCTTCCTTGCCAGGGGCCCCTCAACCTTTACGCCGCTGGAGCTTTGAAAAATCAGCGCTCCGAGTTCGGCTTCGAGGCTGCAAAAAATTTTTTGAGGATGAAGATCGATCGGTGTTCAGTGCTTGAGGACTGGTCCTGGTGCCCTTCCGCGACGTCGACGTCGCCCCAGTAGAGCATCACCAGCCTATCCCGTGTGCAGGTGGACAGCACCTGCCATCGGCCGCACGCTGAAGACTCAAAGCAAGGGCATGGCATTTGACGATGTATGGCGTTTGCCTTGAGATGTGTTGAACCTGTAGCCCTCAACAAAAAACCTAGAACCTTGAACCTACAAGTCTGTCGCCTGGCACCTGCCCGTCTAAGTACGCTGCCAGGCGATCGGCTTGAGGAAAGTGACACTGCAGCAGGGCGCGAGGCTTGCGATGTCTTCGAGACTCCTGCTTCGGGATGCCGAGAGGTGTGTTCTCGGGAGTCTAGTATACACAAAGGCATAGTGCAGCCTCAAGGTGGCTGAACCCGAACGTGCCCCTGCTCAAAGAACGGTCTAGTTATGTGCCCACAACCATTCAGCAGAAGGCGTGTCATGTGTCATTTTACTTGTTCCCTCACACGAAAGTCCGAACACCGCCCTAACGCCATATGTGGAGGAAGAAGGTGCGAAATCCTTTGCCGCTCCCAACATTCTCATGTTGGGTCCTGTTTCATTGCCACAACAGTGCGCAGCAGGCCCTCTTGATCCTCGGCATCCGCCGTATCCCCCGTCTTCTCAGCCTCGATCACGCTTTGCAAGAAGTCCAGCTCTTCGTCGGTGGCCCCAATTTCGATGCGCGGCTCGTCGCCCGGATCTCCTTCATCTCCTTCTTCGGGAAGAGTTGGTGGCTCGGGCTCTGGCAGCGACTTGGCTTTGGCAGCCTTCCTAGCCTCCCGCTTCTGTCGTCGTTTTTCGTCACCTGGCGTCAGATCTGGGAATCCCTGCATGTCCCATTCATTTCACATCCTGAAGATTCCTGAAGACCTTCAGATGCATTAATTGTTGACACCCTCTCTGCCTTTCTGCTCATTAATCCGGTCCAAGTCCTCGAACCAGGACTGGTCAATACCATCATGGAAGACCGGACGGTGGAACCCGTACTTGGAAGCTTGGTGGCTGCAACTCTTTCGGGCCACAGGACTCTTGCAAGCGTCCTCCCTCTGAGCGAGGCCGTCCTGGCCACGCTCTCTGCAGGCTTCAATAAACATGCCCGTCCAAGGCTCAGAGACGCGCATCTTGGAGACCTGGCCGTCATAACTTTTCGACGGCTTATTCAGGTCTTCATAACTGTGACAGACGACAGACACTAAATCATGTTTGCACTTCTGGAAAAAATTGGCCAACCATCACCTTGACCGTGAAGTGGCAAGGCGGCTTAGGCAGCTTCTCATCCATCTGGCCAGACATGAGCTCCACAACGTCGCCGATTCTAATGTCTCGTGGGGACGTCACACAGCCACTGCCACTGCAGGACTCTGAATCGTCACTGAAACGGATGACGAATTCCACGAGAAAGGAACGCTTCGAGTCTGGCTCCACCATCAAAGTATCGTAGAAGTTTAGATGTCCAAAGCTGCGAAAATGATATACACGTGCCCGTGGAGTCCACGAGCTCGTAGTTGCAGATCCGTCCAAGAAGGTCCGCATCTTCGCACGGAAGGCATCCAGGCCTTCATCTCTAATTCCATCGCTCATGTTGCCCTAGCAGCTCCCTAGCCATGGAGATGTCATCTGACGTGGGGGTTCATAATCCTCCGTCCCTCCATATATACTACGACAGAAACCAAACTCTTGATTTGACCAGGCGCCCCTCCTACGCCCTGAAGACCGAATTGTAGGACTTGAGGCGGGGGGCCCAAGTATTCAGGGGAACGGATAAGGCCATCATGAACAAAATAGTTTCTTGAACGATCTGGAAAGAGGAAGCCTGTAAGCACGACATTGTGGCACACGTTCAGAACAAGGCCCCTGTGGGTCAGACTGCGCCGAGTTTCCCTTTCGACACAAGCACCGCCAGCATTTCTTCTAGCTTTTCGGGAAGAAAAACGTCGTGCTCTGATAGATCGATCAGTTGAAAGCCAATTTGTCACCGAGGGGCTGCACGATACAGCGCCACCAGCACCATTAGCCACACCTCGCCCAGACCCACGGCATGTGTCTCTTAGGATCTCAAGCTCTCCAACACGCGATTGGGGCAAGGTCTCCAACAACTTCAAACGTGAGAGCTGGCCGGTAAGGATTCCAGGTGTACATAGCTACCTGAGCTCTTCGTAATGTTCAGGATCTATGTGAGGGTCCAGGGTCACCTAAGTTCGAACAGCATTCATACAGTGTTGCTACTTTGACTTCCACGTGTGGGTGTTGTTGCCAGCCACAAGTAAGACACGAGGGTCTGAAACCCTCAGCCGGAGCCCACACAGTATACCCCCCGTCAACTCACCAACAGAACAAATGAAACATACCCGCCGTTGTACGATCGAAGTCGGACCTCAGCTGTACCCTGACCCCGATGTAGACTATGGAATGCGTAGCGCTCGCGTGCGTTCACCTACCTTCTCCTACGCCGGAAACCTAAATGCCCAGGATCGCACCAGCAGCATGTGAAACGAGAACTCTGTTCTTGCATGGGGGCACCCGAGTCAGAACGCATCTCCATCGAGCACGAAGCCCTGAACCCAAACCCCAACATAACCATGACACATACCATTTTTCCTTGGAACTTTGGCAATATATCCCGCACATCTATAAGCATTCCGTGGTATAACCTTGAATAACCTTGAAGCCTAGAGCCCGCTAACCCCCCCCAAACAGCGCACAGGCTGGCACCCAGCGAAAGAACCAGCTGGACTGCGCGAGGGGGAACTTTGCCTCGCTGGATTGCGTTGACAACACAAGGGCCCATCCCTTTAAAACCACTACTCGTCGAACTGCATCTTCAACTTCAAGCCCTTTTCGAGTTGCGCAGTTTGGCTAGAGCTCGAGAGGTGTACTTAGGGTTTAGGAAAGAGTGGGGCCCCAGGGTTTGCTCTGGGCCTGGAAGCTTTCTCCTGACTATGATGGCCACTAAGTTGCTAATCTTACGACTGCGGCTTCTGGCAAGGCGTTTCACTCAGCAGTCGACCATCACGAGCTCCTAACCCATAACCGCAGCAGCCAGGGAATGCTCTGGTAACTCGCACGTGCCTGTGATTCTACTGGCCTGAGGCGCTACAAGTTGAAGCCATCCAAGATGCCAGCAGCCGGTGCCACAGCCAATCTCGCACTTCCTGGCAGCTAGCGGGCAGATGTAGAATGTAGGGTTTGGGCTTCAGACGCCTGGTCTTCGGTTTTCTTTCAACTTCCCAAAGTGTTACACTGACGCGAAGATCAAGAGGCAAGCTACGCGTACATTTAGGCATGCCGTCCTTGGCTAGCGTGGGAGCCAGATGTGACCGAACCGCCCATTGACAAGCAACTCTGACCCAAGACGTGAGCCCACATAATTAAACCTCCCAAGCTCACCACAGGCAACAGAGATGATGACGAGAGGCTGCAAAAGTCTGTACCGCCAGCGTGAAGGACAGTGACAGAGAGGTGGCTGTTGACAAGCCGATCCAGATCCTCCGTGTCATGTAGATGGTTTCCACTTGCACACTAGCGCCGGGGAGGGTTTTGGTTTACGACACTGAATTGCAGGGCATTGCAGGGCTTTCAATACCATTTTGCGCTCATCAGCACACAGCACAGAGCTTAATAATGTAGCGCGCCCCCAGGCGGAAGGCAGCTTTACGCACAGACGCGAGGCATTGGCAACCAGAGTTTTCGCCAACAGTGCGCACATCTGTAGATCCATCAATTTTGGGCCGGGTTCTAGAGGATTCCAGCGACTTTTCACCACTCGAAACAACTTTCTCATTCTCAGCCTGTCCATGTCAACAAGGTTGGGAACACGTTCACGGCTGCGCAATGCCGTGCCGATGCTGTGCACGCATGATCTTCGTGGCGAAAGCCCTAGCTTGCCAAAGTTTTTGCAGACGTTTGACATGCAACCAGGAGTCTTGTCGGTGAGTGAAGCGCTCTCAAAGAACACCAGGAATATGCCTGCTCATGAAAGAGTCTTGTCCTTCTTATCCTGTAGCCTAACTGACTATAGGCAACTCAATTCCACCATTCAATGTTTTTGTGGACCTTGGAGTGCTCTTGGCCCTGGCTGTCTTGGGTTTATGAGAAGTATGGACTTGGGTGGGAGGTTGACTTCAGAATCACAGTTTCTAGAGAACAACATCCGGGCCTCGCATATCGTAGGGTTGAAGTGTGGTATAGTAGTATAGAACTCTGAGTTTCAGAGGTACAGCGGTTGACTCTCAAGCATGCTGCAGTTGTCCGCGCATGTTCTGCACTGCAGGGGCCACTTCCTCGGAAGTCGCATCACAGCGGCTGAGCTGACACAAAACACTGGAGGTGAATGTGACGGCAGGAGGCCTGCGTGCACCCTTTTTTGCACCACAGAGCTGAATATTCTAACAAGATCAACTGATCGAGCTCCGAAGCAGGCTCCTGCTCTACACCCTACACCATTCCAGCGGCCTTTTAAAATGAGAAAGAACCTGCGGGATCATCACTCATTCATCAAGCCAAGACTACGCAGAATATTCCCAAGCCCCTAGCAACACATTCATCTACTACACTTCCACAAGGATCATCGGGCACCTCGACACATGGTCGACCCCGTTGCTGCTTGTGAATCAGGGATGGCTGCAGGCGATGTGAAGCTCTCAAAATTGAAATATCCCAGGAGCTCCAGGATGAATTCAATCGGTCGCTTGAGATGAGGCACTCGTAATGTCCCCTAACATTTTTTTGCCCAAACGTCCTCCACCCTGGACAACAAGACCTTCACTTCTCTGGCTTGTCAGGCTGGAGGCCTCATCAACTCGGGCAAGCTTTTGAGAAGTTGTTGTAGCTTGGCCCGGAGCCAAACATGTCCAAACATGTCCAAGCATGCGCCACCTGTACCGAACAGCAGTAACAACATATTGCTTTCTGAACAAGATCGCCTACAGAAGCAGGGCATCTCAAACGTGTCACACTTGTGGCATGCATGTGTTGACGCACAGCGTCTAGGCCCAACGAGGCACAGCTTAAAGCATTACTTTCGGTACCTGCGCACCTCTTAGGCGATGCAGGCAACGCTAGGCCAGTTTGAAACGATCACATAGACGCAAACTGTACAGATCAGCGAAACCCCAGCATGCGCCAGATGCCAGCGCGCTGTCTTTGGGTTGCCGATCTTGAACAAAACTCGATTTACAAAGCTCCGTTCAAGGGACATCTGAAACGTCTAGCAGGAACCAGGAAAGACAAATATCCTTCTTGGCTCCGAGATTCCATATATGCACGACTAACTTTTGTGGCGATTGGGGCCCAAAAGCCCCTAAAGCGAGGCACTCACAAAAGCGTAGGTTTTTGAGCTGCCGCTCGCTGTATCAGGAGCTTGCATGACATCCTCAGCTGCGACATGCCCTTGCTAAAAGGCATGAATACGGCTTCGTGGTGCCATTGAATGTGCACCAGCGAACCTAAGAAGCCGCCCAGCCCATATAGTTCAACAACGAATGGCGTAGAAGTATTTGATGCATGCATGGGCAACCCTTAGGGTTCGGATGCCTGGATTAACGAAATCCTTGTGCTTGATCTTACAGAATTGTAGAAGCGCTTCTACAAGCGTCTTGGCACATGCCTTGTTGCAATAAACGGGGCTACACGCCCACGCAGAAATACTAGCATGCGTAGTGTTGCGAATGAGCACGCAGGTGCGTGTGTTGTGGAGGATTTTGGCGTTCAACGATATGATTTGTTTGTCATGCGGGGATGCTCTCGCTGAATGTCAGTCTACATTTGAGGTTTCCGGCGTATGTCTAAGGTATAGCTACCTGAATCACTGTAAAAGCCGGCCCAACAAAAACTCCAGTGAACTTCGGATTTCTGCAAAGAAGCTTCGACTTGCCTTTTGCAGGGCAGGGGGGCTCGGAACAAGTTCGCACCCCCGCCGTGCCCCGCACAGGTCATACAGTCAGGCAGTCATGTAGTACATAAGATATAATGCCAGAATCACCTCTCTGGCTTCGCGTTGTGCACTGCAACAAAACAAGCGCTTCAAGCGTATAAGTTGTTTCAGTGTTCCTGAGTGCATGGAATCATGGAATCTCCGGGTTTGGTGACCCTCGGTTTCATCTGCCTGCAAAGTACAATTCAAACCTCATCCTCACCAAACTGCCACTCATACATGTACGAAACCTGAAACGGAAGTACATCTCCACTGCCAAATCTCATACTCATTGATCACATGAGGAGTCAAGGCTCCTTCAACCCCATACTTAAGATCCCGAAGCTATGGGTCCGCATGCTAGGGTGAGTGCTGTCTCGGCACATACGTCCTCTTCACGGCACCTTGCCGAAATCAATGGGACGTCACCTTCAACAATGAGCGATTATGAATCGGCAAGGTTTCCGATGATTTGAGGATACTTTACATAAGGACTGGCCTAAAGCCTGCGGGCATTGCACTCGCTGTTCTGAATCCCAAAGAGTGGTCAGCACGCCCTGTCCTAACTCCCAATCTCAATGCTTGAGGTGGGCGCCTGTACAAGGCATTGTGCCTCAGAAGCCTCCCCCACCGGCTCACCTAGAATCCCCCAATCCCAAGCCCCTTCTTGCTGCAGCGTTGCATGTTTCCAACTCACCTGGTAAGCTGACCGCTGTAGCGGTCGTGGATGTCGGTGGAAGCCTAGTTCGTGGGGCTTGGGATGAGGCTTGAAAGGTCCAACGAGCCAAGACGCACTTGTTTTACAGTGTTCTGTTCTTTTCAATTTTTCAAACTTTTTTGTTACTCTCTCTCCCTCTCTTTGTTACTCTCTCTCACTCTCTCTCTCTCTCTCTGTCGGCTGAAGGGTTCGCGCTGAAGTGCGCTCCGGTCACCAGTCGTATGTAAGCTTGTGATGAGCCTGTGCATTTCTCCAGGGCCATGCGCTCGGCCAGGGCATCGACGAATCAGTAGTTCGTCAAAAACAATAAACACCACTTGGAACCTCCCCACCGTGTCGTAAAACGCAGTTGCACGCATATACTATTCCGGTACCGTCCCTGACTTGCTTATTCAGGTAACGTTTCGGCACAGTTGACCACCTTCTCAGAAGGTGTTGCCCTATACCTATTGAGGCAACGTTCCACTACAGTCGCTGGCTGGACCATCCTGGTCCCTGGCCAACATACCCGTACAATCGCCTGCCTGAGCCTCCCTGGCCCAGCTTATTCCGGCAACATTCCGGTACAGATGCCTACCTTCGAGCTGCATTCCGCCAAAATTGTCCGGCCAGGGCCTGAGCCTCCTTGCCTTGCTTTTTGAAGGCAACATTCTGGTGGAATTGCCAGCCTGAGGGTCCTTGGTCAGCATGTTAAGGTCTGAGTGGGAGCGCGTGTTGCTGGATATTGCTGCTGGCTGCCAGCATTTTTCCTGGCAGCGTTGGAAGCAGTTTTTTGCATCCATTTGCCCCAGTGGCTAGGAAGAAGTCATTCTAGGGCCAGGAATCATCGTAGCTGCCCCCCCCCCGCCGTGGTGTCATAACAGGTGTTGCAACCCTGGAACCCCCCCTGAACACCCTCCTCGGACCCTGGGGACTCCCTTTGCCCAGCCATCACATGGTACCACACCGAGCGGCGCAGGAACTCCGACGCGCGCGTGGCTTGCGCTGGCCCGGCAGCCGAGGTGGCACGCGCAAGCGTTTACAGTTAAATCAATTGCAACAATGTCTCCAAAACCCCTGAGGCGTGAAGCAAGGACCCTGCGCCGCTCATGCAGCTCACGATCTGCAACTTCGACCCTTCTCTGAAATGCGCAAGCCTTGTCCGATATGAGGGCATCCTCGCCCGTTTCCGGGCTTCCCGAAGTATGCCGCGGTAGACCTGCAGGGGTCCTTCTCTTGTAACGGGTGTTTTGGATTTGGGAATCGGGCATGGACCGTAAACTCCATAGGGTCATCAAGGGATCATACGTAGAGAGTCAGGTGCGATCTCTGCGAACGCGACAGGCGGTCACAATCCACTATGTGCTGTGATCCATGACTGACCAAGTTGGTGTCATGCAGTAAAGCTGTTGACGCTGTGTTGACGGCGGTGTTGAGCCATGGCTACAGCTGCGGCCATCCACAATGAAGGCCCATGCACCCGAAGTTCACTGCCAAGTGGCCGCAATGCGGATGCAGTACCTTTCAACACTCGAGAAAGGTCGTGGATGCGCGATGGCCCTTTGTAAAAATCGACATGGCTCTTTGCTGCCAGCGTGCCGACGAACGATCCTGGCCAACTCAGGACAGGTATTCCTGCGGGCTTCAACGACAGCCAGCAAACCATCGCGCGTCAGGTAGAGCACCTTAGACTTGGATGGTGTTCCATGCACACCCGAAACGAGACTGCGAGATCAGAACTGGAGCGAGCCCCACAGAACGTGGAAGCGTAAACGTCAATAAGAATATTAGACATGCAACCCTCACATCCTCAACGGGAGGCATCTTGCATCAGAGCCCGGTGGACAACATGAAAAGCAAAGTACAGGTAGCCGCCTAAAACACAAAGATACACAAAGCATACAATTGGCCTCGAGCTCAGCTTACACACAGAAAATCACAGAAATCTACAACCCAGCCCGAAAAGGGCCTGCCTCTAAACCCTGCCTTGTCTTGCATGGCCGGCGTTCTTACGGCTTCAACATTCAGGGGGCGCTGCTTCGCACAGCCTATCGATTGGATTCCGGGATTCCGGGCTGCGCAGTGCCTCAGGAACCTTCCAGCATTCTTAGGAAACAGGCCCACTTCAAAACCCATACCAAATCTCCCAGCTTGGAGCTTGTACCCCAGAATGCAGTCTGACAACCACCCGGCTTCTTAAACATGCCAAAAAAAAGCAGCTTTTCTCTTTTGTTGGCAGACCTACAGCTGTCCAGCCCCCCCCAGCAGCAGCATCCCGGGTGCTGTAGAAAAAAAGAGCTCATCCGGTGAATATTGTGAAATAGCTTAATCCATCGCCCGCGACATTCAGTTCGGCCCTGAACTTCGATGACACCACGCTCCAAATCATCCTAAAACCTGTAGCCGCGAAGCCTCAAGCCTTCGAAAATCCTCACAATCGCAAAGGCCCACAAAATCACTAACACCTTCTGCCCGAGCATCTTCGCAGTAGGACATGGCCACACAATTCACCACGTGGATCAAGGACTGGTCCGCAAGGACGAAGTCCTCCCCCCAAACCTCGGCCACGTCGGCCACTCCGCCAAGTTCAGCGTTCATTGTGCAGGGGGCAAGCTGTGAACATTAGAGCCCGCACCACGCAACGCAGACTTTCTCACTCATGAGAACGCATGAACCAGGCGACGCCACGCCGCTGAAGTTCAGAAGGCCTCCAGTAACTCCAGTAACCAACCAGAAATGCTCACAAGGTCCCTGAAAGCACCAGGCTCCTGAAGCCCCAATTATTCTGAGCCCGAACCATGAACCACCAACACCTGCAGCCCCAGACCCGCAAAGCCCCAAAGCAAGCCCTACCAGCAGGCGGAGAACACTGCCCGTCTTTCCGAACTTGTTGCCCAGAGCGACAAGCCCCTTGGTGAGAATGTGGAGCACCTTGCATCTGAAAGGGTTGGAAGGTTTGGCGTCTGGGGTGCTGTATGTTACTTCGTATCTCCGGGTACCTGGAAACATGTTGCTTTTGCTTTGCTGCAGGGAACCTGCACGTTGGTGAAGGAGTCTCCTTGGGCGTAAGCCGTACTTTGGAGCTTCCGCGCGATGTCGGCGACGCAGGCTTCAAACACAGTGGTCTGCATGCCTTTGGCTTGCATCTTCTGGATGAGATTCAGGAATTGCACGAAAAAGGGCACCTTCCTCGCATGGCATCGGCTTCTGAAAATGGACGGTGGGAAGACAAGCAGAGACAATCGGGATTAGGATCATGTTAACCCTCAGGAGTGAACGTAACGCCCCGGATCACCACTGAAGAAAACGCACAAGCCAGGTGAATGAAGCTGCTGGGCATGGGGCTTAAGGGTTGTCCGCACATGCGTTCAACTAGACATTGCCTGAGTACCGTTTCATTGCCACTATTGTAACTGGCCGCCAGCACTACTGTGAATCTTCGGCAGGTCTCCGAATCCAGGTCAGCGTTATCACTCTGCAAACTTCAGCCTGTAGTCGAGGACTCATATGATCCAGGAGCCTGGCATGCAATTGCGGGCTTGCGAGAGAGGGAGTTTAGGCTCTCTTGGGGATCTCACACACCTGGGCATGCACGCGATCTAGACAACCATGCAGGAGCAGGAACTCTAGCGCAGACCCTGTGAAGTTCCGTGGCTGCAGTCTGTGCGTCTGAGGCACTGGAGCTGGGTCTGATACTGGAGCTGATGTTTATTTTGCAGGAAGAAGCTCCTCAAGCGACTGCGTAGCTCGTGTGGCAATCCTGCGCGTGGTTGTTTGGGCAGGCTGCTTTTGAGATGTTTTCGTGATCTGGGCTGCCAAACTGAACCAGGTCCCTGGACCTACAAGAATGTGATCTTGCCCCAGGCTGCCACAGGACAGCTTCGTTCCAGTGTCTGACAGGCTCTTCCTATTGATTTTGCTTGTGCGCATGGGTTTACCTGACCTTTTACAGCGCATCTGACAGTTGCACGGCTCCCAATTAACAGCTGGAGATGAAAATCTCCCAGACTGACCTCGGATACTTCGCCCCGTCAAAGTGCGCCGCTTGACACATCGGGACACATGATACGGGGGCCCTACCTTGCATCACGAGTTGTTGGCGCGAAGTTGATAGGTGTTCGAGGGTGGTGTTCAAGTTCGCGACCGAAACTGAACGGCACTCGCATATCCAAAATGACGCTCTGTCACCTGTCTCACCAGAATCCTATACCTGACCGGCCAAGAAAGATCCAGTTACAGTACTCGCCGACATGAAGCTCAGAAGGTCCTGAGTTAAATGCTTGATGAATGCATCGCCCGGAGGGCAAGAGCCGGAGAGCAAACGACTCAAGCCACAACCTCCGAAATTGCAAGCAACCATTCCGTATGCACCCAGATGTCCCTAGTGAACAAAGACTATATGGACATTGCATGGCGCTTCGGTCCTTGGTCGCGCATCATTGCGTTGAGTTGGTGCATCCTCTTCCTAAACTGCTGGCTGTCGGAATTCATGTCAGCCACGATGGCACAAACCTCTCCGAGGATGTATGCCCAGCAAAGGCCAGAGACCATCACCATGAAGGTACAGAAAACGCGCTCCAGAACGTTCTTTGGTCCAAAATCACCGTAGCCAACTGATGTCATTGTGTAGCTGCAAAAATAATAGGAAGCAACATATATTCGCCAGGTGGATTCCCGCGTTCGAATGCCAAAAGATGCATCCACGGCCTCCACATCATCGATCCACTGGGGATAGTCAAGGTCAACGAGCTGCAGCGTCAGCGCCCAAACACAGGCCAGCCAATGACACATGATCACAAGCACTGAGAGAAATCTCGCCAAGGCAAACTGCTGGTACGGCAGAGCGAAAGGTATCCTTGCAGCAGGCCGCAACAGCACACCCCGGCCCCCGCCCCCCACCACACAAACAATAGTGTCGGTGCACTCTTCGACAGTCATGCCAAGGCTTCAGACGGGTTTATTTACGGTGTGTCACGACTCGGAACCCCACCCCCCCCCCCCCGCCCCCCCCCGGAATGTGTCTGCTGCTGTGTAGACCAGTATGTTTTGACTGCTGTACTTACTTAGCAATCAATGCAGGCCCGCTCTAGTCTCATCAGGCTTGTAAAGTAATATGTGACGACCTGATCATATTCTACTTCCAACCTTCGAACTGTAGGGATATCACCAAAACATCCTCTCAAGGTCCAAAGCCTAGTTGGGCAAACGCTTCGAGGAGAGACCTGTGGTGCCCAATGAGAATACGAATCAGGGCACCTTGCAAGACAACACATGGCTTTGGTAACGTTCATCGTCATGTGTAAAGTTGGAGTGGTTCAGGGTTGAACGATCCATCCGAACAACTTCCTAACCATCCAAAACGGAACGTCTCAGTTGCAGGGTGACGGGAAGGTGAGCAGAACATAATGAAAACATGAAGCAAGGCAACAACGTTTACTTGCGAGTAGCTTCGTCACTTCCTGGTTGTACGTCTTGATTGGTTTGAGAGGACTATAGGGGACTCTTTCTTCCATCTAGAGCACAGCACCAATTGCTGCCCCGACCATTCAGATTCATCTACTGAAAGCCAAGCAGCTCCAGACGGTGCAGCAGGCGGGACGACTTCAGCAGCCGAAACAGCTTCAACAACCTGGGGAGGGAGAAAGCGGCGGAGCTAACAACTGAGCATCTGACGATCAGCGGCATGCCTCAACCGAACATAATTTAATGTTACTTTGTACCTTCTGCATGGCAAACAAGTGCTGGAACCAAACCCTTGGCCCTTGAAGCATGCCACCGTATCTAAAGACTTTCTGCCCCCTCTAGACTTGGGCCCGCCTTAAGTAAAAAATGCCCAGTTCTCAATCGGGCCTGAGTGTGCGAATCACCTTGACAACCTTCATCTCTTTCAGCTCAGGAGAGTTTGCCAGAACACCTGCGCATTGATTCGGGAGGAGGCGGGAAGAGGCTGTTGTCTGTGGGGAGATGACTTTGAGCCTAGCGGCCCTTTATAGTGTAAAGTCAGCAAGGGAGATATTTTGGGTTCTGCGCGACGGCATGCAGGCCGCTCAAGGTCACAGCAGCACCCGTTGATTGTTGACCTCAGATTACCTGTCAGTCCTGTCAGTGGAAAAGCACCTCTCGCTTGGTTGCTTTTATCCGCAGAACAAGACTTGCTAACAAGTCATTGTGACCACAAAGTCATTTGACAGCGTTGCCGGCAAAGTATCATTTTTCATCCTATCTGCCACACTGTTTGCTTTGACTTTGAACTATCAAGCAAAGACATTCCAGCTCGTCTTATACTTCATGGCTGTGTCATGGGAAGGGCGACGCCGATGCTCGGTACGCTACTTTATGTGTGCAAAAAACCGCAACTCCAATGGCCAAAGGCAGGTCGCTTCACAGGTCCCAAGCTCGGGGAAGCTGCGATGCGATTTCGATCGCCCGGCATCAGGGCTCAGGGTGGCTCCACACGAAACGGTTCTCCTCATTGGACGGCCCCACGCATGACAGCGGCACCACAGCCCCGTGGTCATATGACTTCAGAATACTTCAGACATCCGGCCAACGGGCGGGGTCTTGTCAACATGACGGATGCGGCGGCTGTTGGAAGCAACTTGAAACCCACCGCTACACAAACCCCGTCATGCAAGTGAGTTCGTCTCTTGAAGAAGTCATGGGACTTTTTGTGCAATTCGAAGGGGCTGGGGCAGGGGCGACTACTGACGAGCCTGCATGCCTTCATCCTCCGGAAATATGCGGACAGGGTCGCCCAAGGACGGACAGACCAAACGGAGCATGCATGGAAAGATAGATGAGAGCATGCGTTAGTCAGACTGAGAGGCAAAGCCGCGCTGCGTTCTGTTCTCACTCGCGCCTTCTCCGCGATCACAAAAGACTTGACTGACAACTCGAACGAAGCAAGTCAATGTCTCAGACGTTAACAGCTGGCAGTTTTCCGGACTCTACAAACAGGTCAGTTGCACCGGGACCACGCGAGCAACATGAAGTTCGGAAACAATGTCAGCAACAAAAAGGGCTGGACGATGCATGTGGGCGTCAGTTGCACGTGTTGCACCTTGACATTGATCCGGCCAAAGACCCCCCCGACACGCGCTAGTCTTAGCTCACTGCCAGCCTAGGAGGTCGAATGGGAACAAGGTCACCAAGTCGAAGACGAACCACGTCCGCAGATATTGCGACGCTATCTTCCGCAGCCTCACCTTCCATACCGATTGCACTCACGATGCATCTGCTTTCATGCGCCTTTGCCACAAAGCTGAGTGTGCAGTGCTAAAGCCTGAGTGCCTCCCACACCACTCCCGTCGGAGTCGTGCGGGCATAGGTTGTGAAGAACTGCAGGATCATGTCCACAAAAAACACCATATCCATGCCTGGGCAGCATTGATCTCTCTCGGATCGGTAGTCTTTGTGCACTATTGAGGCGAAAGAGCTTGCGAAATTGAACAATGGCAGGATGTCAGTTTGAAGTAGCGACCCAGTCTAAGGATGGCCAAGACACACATGGAAAGCACGAAGAGGCCATCGAAGGAACTGTCAAGCAAACAAACCTGGGAGGTGGAGCAAACAAACCTGGGAGGTGGAGAGAAACCAGTTTTTTACAGGTACTGAGTGGCTCGGGCAGGCCAGCGTTCTTTTGTTATGACGTTTGGACCTTAAGTTTGTAGGGGGTTTATAGGGATTGTCAAACGCGCGCACCTGGAAAGGTACCACCAGCGCGATATAGGCCATGGCGAAAAAACAGATGACCTGCCAGGTGCTGGCCAAGCTGTTGCTGTCAGGGTTGATGATGTACCACCTGGGCATGTCAGTGCCAAGTTCTCGGGTCCAGGGCTAGGTCTGATAAGAGTCATCCGAAAAAATCCCACGGGCCTCCCTAGACGATCTGAGCATGAGAACCGCCCGAACGATTAGGCTAAGCCTGCAGCTCTAAGCACGCCGTAAACGAGGTACCTCTTTGAAACCTGAAGGCCGCAACCTTTTCTCAGTTTTTGTGTGAACCTCTCCAGGTTTAGGGTTTCCAGGCGTGCAGAGCCCTTCCAAACGAAAGTGCAACTCCCGCAGTGCCCGACAACACCGTGACCCAAACCCATCAGGGTTGATGGTTGGGTTCTTCAGATTTCAACCTGCGGAAAGGAACAAGCAGGATTCCTGCCAGTATTAAGACTCGACCTTCCAACGGCACACCCACAAACAAGCCGGAAAACTTCTCTCGACGAACTAAGTCAAACGCTCAACCCTCAGACACTTTTCAGACCTGACGAACCCGAGACGATCATCAAGCCTAAAGCAGCAGTCTGTCACATGCTGCAGCCAAGCAGCGGCTTTAAGGCTACGAAATTCTTGGTCCTGCGGAGGCTCACAAACCTTGTTGCCTTTTGGGACTTGAGTAATCAAGGGTTGTGCGAGGATGTTTAGGGGGTTTGAGAGGGATATCACTGGCTTGCAGCGGGCAATATTGCCTCACCTGCGACTATAAGCTACCGAAGATCCCTTTCAACATATACCTACCCCCATCTCCACACAGTCACAACACAGCGGCGTATACCCACGTCACGTTAAGCCATAGGCTCTCCTCAAACACCTAAAGCCCGCGACTCGAACTTATAACCCCCACCTCCAGGCCATGCCACAAGACAAGTCCACACGAAAGCCACTTAGGCGAGAGGAAAAAGTAGATCCGCTTTGAGAACTCAATAGGCTCGACGCGAACACAAGAAACTTCAGGAGCGACTCCTCCAAATATCCACTTTATTCCCCTACAAAGCCGATTTCACTACAGTGCGGGCTACAGGACTTGTTCTCAACAGCCTCACAGCTTCGCGCTATTATGTCCATCCTGAAAACCATACAGACCTCTGAGGTTCGCCTCGTCATCTGGTTGCACATGTTGTGTCGCCCCAGCCAAACCGAACATCGAACTGCTTGAGCAATCTCATCAAATTACAACCCCGAGCCACTAAATTCACCAGCGGCTGCCTTGACTCTCACGACATTCGGGCTTAGGGTTGGGGTCACCTTTCGGACAAGTTAACCTGGTGCTCCTCGAGGCGTGGACGAGGCTGTAGGTTTGACCATGCAGGAGTGCATTGAGACCGATGGTGGTGATGCCGTATGAGGAATCCTGACGTGCGGGCGCTACTACAGTACCTAATCATCCAGGTTGCATCTTCTTGATCAAAGCTAGGATTGCTCATGGCTTGGTCCCTGATCAGAAGGGAATTACGAATAAATTCTGGATCCGTGTCCTGTATCCTCCCTTATGTCAGGCGAAGATTGCTTGATCTTGGGGAGTGTTATGGGGGGGGCATGTTCGAGTCTTTGAGAGCCTTCTTGGCTTCAGCTTTTGGGCGCTTGCTGTTGTGGCATCTGGGCTCAACAGACTTCTTCATGGAGATAAAGTGACTTAAGATGATATTTGTACGGTAATTTCTGGCCGCGATTGGCCACGATCTTCAGGGTTCTAGGAGTCTCGAAGCGACGCGGTCAACCTTCAGGTTGCCGGTCCCTCATGGACTATCGGCCGAGGGCCCTCAACGAATCAAGCGATGAACCACCAACCACAAGCAAAGGCGGGGCTCCTCCGAATAGTGCGCCTCCGAATAGTGATGCGCCTGTTCCTGGATGCGCTGCATGAGCTTACCTTCGTTGCTCTTTGATTCTTGCGCTCCGCTCAGAAAATGGGGCAATTGAGCTGCAAGAACGCACAAAATTCACAAAAAAAACGCAGAACAGAGAGCTGCTGTGCCAAGCGTCTGCCTTGCTCCGGAATCTTCGGGCTCCAAAGAGGAGCTGGAGGCTCAGACCAAGCCTTGGTTTACGCACAAGTTCTCTTAGGCCGGAACAACGTACGGGCCTCGGGGCTTGCAGATCCCAAAGCCAAAGCCCCAAAATCGGTCAGTATAGGTCCTATTTTGACCCTGCTAGGGTGATAGGAATATGCGCTGATCGGGTATGACTGTATGGGGTTGTTTTGCCACCCGCCCACACCACTCCGCAGGGTTGCAAACCGAGGTCTGAAGAATCAGCGAAGACCTCACCTTGCAAGTTCAGACTGTCCCGAATATGCTGGCCCTGCGTGTGGGGTGAAGTGTGGAGTGTGGAGTGGGGTGCGTTGGTGTGGCGAGTGTTGGTGGTGGGGTGTGTGGTGCTAAGCTATAAACCCTTCTTCGCACAAAGTTCAAGGCAGCCTGGACACAGGGGGCGCCACTTTCGTTTCACGCGCAGCTGTCCGCAGAGCACCAGAAACCGATGTCGGGCGCCCGAATGCTGAACCTCGGTGTCGCGGCGCTTGTATTGGAGGGGGGTTAGGACTGTTGGGTCGGTCTTAACGTTTGCTCCCGCATAGAGAGAAGAACACGTAACAATCAACACCGCATGTGGAGGTTTTAGGGTCTAACTTAAGTTTAGCTACCCCAGGATGTCGGAGCCCAAATGGATCTTTCAAAAAAGGAAGCAATGCGGCTGGAAGTGCGAGTTTAGGATGTTGGGGCTTCTATAAACCCCAATTTTGCTTTCCCACTGGGCCCTCGTTCCCAAGGGGGGGGTGTGGGTTTGGAACTCCCAGCTTCGCATCGTTTAAACCATTAAAGCCCATATCTGGCCTGAGCCCTGAAATCCAGTCAAGGTGCGCTCAGTGCCCTCTTCCGGAATGTTCGGAGGGGTGTGACGCAACGGACGGGTCACCTGGGAGGCTCTTCAGGCGAAAGCTGGGTGACTGGCTGCACAAGGAGCTTCTCCCCTGGTGTGCTTGTGCAACTTCTTTCTTTGAATTGTCTCATCTGCAGACAAGAACTTGTAGGTCTTGCCAAAAGAAGAGCCAAGGCTCCTCTATACCCCTTGATATCCCCTGTCCTGACATGCAGGCCAAGCTACGATTGTGGGGATGACAACTCGCTTTTTGGCCTCAGGCGTATCGGCTTGAGACTTGGGAGTTGGCATATGTTGGCGTGAGCTTTGGGTTCTTGACCTTGGGTTCTCCTTCAGGTCAAGGATGGCTGGTCTAAGGGGTTGTCAAGAACTTGCCTCCAGGTCTTTGATCTTCACGAACTGCTCTTCCAGCTCCTCGGTATCACAGTTCATGCTCAGGGAACTAACGGGATTCGTTTTGCGCTTGTTCTGCAAAATGCAATACTAGAATTTTATGTTGCCCGGGAAGGCGATCACAAAGATGGAGGTCATGGCGCACCCAAGTGCCATGCCAATCAAATCTGGGTGCGTGGAAGCTTCGCCAGAATACTGCAGGTATATCATCGGGATCTTTGGGGGGAGGGAGGGGCCGTGGGTGTGTGCTGGTTCCTTCGTCAAGACAGGTCGAGACTCTTGCACTTCTTTGTGGGGCCTGAAAGGGGGGTCAACTGTAAACAATAAAGGAATTCACACGTTCTCTGAGTGGACCAAGAAGTACACCAAATTCCTGCAGCCCTTTGATTTTGCCACCCGCCCATCTCTGATCTGGATCGCACTGCAGGGGTAATGAAAATGGTGGCAAGCTCAAGGATCCTACAAACCTCCACCACACGGCCAGTGCCAGATCAGGTTTCATCCGAGTTCTTCGAAACCAGCTCGCCGGCTTGGTGAACAGGGCTCAGGGTTTACAGTGCGGCTCAGCATGTAGGCCTTGTGCGCAGAGTCTAGCAGCGGTCTGCGTGTTGGCCATGTCGGCGGGCAAAGACTCCGGAATACTTCACTCGTGCAGTTTTGCATTCTCTGTAGCCAAGATTTTGCAGCAGGTTTCGGATCTTCCAGTTTTGTACTTGGTCAGATACCGTCAGCTCATGTAATTCAATCATGAACACTTCCACAGTCACTTCGGTAAAATTTATGGTGAGAAGGACTTCTAGCTCCGCGCCTTCAACATCCAAGGATAGGAAGTCCACATGCTTCCCCGGAAGAGAGCGAAGGTACCAAGACATGGGCTTGCAAGGCACCGCCACACGGTGGCGATGAATGTTTTTGTTGACAACCGTTTCGGACAGGTGCCTCGCATCCCCATCGACTGCGTTATCGTTCTGGCCTTTGAGGAACGTTGCATTCGTCAGGGGAGGTGCGCAGACTGCCCCAAAGTGGGTGACCACATTTTTCGGGCGCTTGGACGCCAAGTTCCTGCGCAAAGCCTCGTAATTGCGTGGGCTACCTTCAATGAGCATGCCAGTCCACCCTAAACAACTTTGCAGCACGAGCGTGTTCGAATATCGGAAGCCATCAAGCGCACCTATCTCAACGTAAACCCCATCTCTCTTCGTCTGCCACCCGAAGAACTCAATCACTACGAGTTCCTCGCCGAACTGGGACTGGCTGGGAATGCACGTCGCGGCGAATGCACCCGATCCCAGGCAGCACCTCTCAAAGAAGAACTGACTGTACCAGCAGCCCAGGCCCCAACCCGAGCCAGGATCTGCACAGCAGGCCTTCCTTGTCTCAGCGGAGATCCCAGTCCAACATTGAGGATCGCCGGCAGAGACTCCGGCGGCATCGACCAAGCCCATGGCCAAGCCCACGGCCAAAAGTATTTCAACTCCCATGGCTCATAGCGCTCCAGAAACAGAAACTTCCATTTTCCTACCGGCCTAAGGAGGAGCATGGCTCTAATGTGAAGGCTCTTCTTCCGTCCTCTTCAAGCTTCACACAGGCTCTTGAGGACATGCTTCTGGCTGCCAATTCAAGCCCTGAGCTTCTAGAGGGTGGGTTACTAGACTACAGACGCCTAGGCGACAACCCATTTGCTTGGCAGGCACGCCAGTATGCTCACAGCAGATGCGTCATTGGTTTGGGAATTTATCGTGCGCATGCGAACTGAGAAGATGCCTTTGTGTTTGTTTTGCTCAAGTCTGTGTGCATGGCTACGGAGTGTTTTCGAACGGCCGATGTATCTATCGATCAACTCGAAACGCTTCAGAGACTTCGGTTGGATCCGAGGTCATCATGAACCCGGGACTCAATGTGCATAAGCCTCACCTAAGCACTGAAAACCCTCTAGCCCTTCTCGGCAACATCAACTCCTGAAGGCTCCACACTATTCGATAAGGCCGAGCGAGCGCAAGCTGCAAAGAAGTCTCTGAAGTGAGTTCCAGCAGGAGCTCCCGCCAGCGTTCCGGCATGGCTCTCAAACTACAACAAAGTTCGTCCCTTAGGGAATCGGTCAGCCTTGCAGTGCATGGCTTTTGGCACATTGGGCGGTCAGAAAGAAGCCTTCATGTGCTGCTTTTGACTGTTTTGGAGATCATGCAGTTTCATGAGCCGCAAAGGAAACTACGAATGCAGCACGTCATGACTGTCTGCCTATGCCGCAGATTCAAGGGTAAGGGCCTACAACCAATCAGCAAGGCAACATGTGCCATGAACTTGCCTGCTCGCAACCTGAGTTGTGAAGGTTGTAAGCCTAAGCATAAGGATGGCCCTATGAACACACACCACAGAGGCAAATTGCCGAGCCTTGGAGGGCACATTGCTCGGCATCCTCGAAGATGAAGCGGCTGAAGGCCACCCGTGCCTCTACCGTCTTCATCTTCCAGCCTGGGCTTTCTGGGCTTTCTGGGCTTTGGGTTTAAGGGATCAGCTTTCCGACGTCGGGGAACGCAGGCCTCCGAACTGCAATCCGGCTGCCGTGAAGTTTCTCTCAGGGTGCTATCGGCATGCCAGAAGCCAAAGAGCATGGTTTGCTGTGTGTTGCGTCGGCGGCCAAGGTCTACGATTGTTGTCCGAATGCTGAAGTTGACTCGGGTGCTTCTGGTGATCTTGGTTTTTGAAATGCATCAGGGTTCGCACCAGGCCCAAGAAGACAGGTAAGACCAAGTACACCTCAAACTAATACAATGCTCGACCCACACCTCCTGGCATCCATGTGGCAGCTTGCCCCACCAAGGCGTTCCTCCACCGCGGGCCTCTCGTGGAAACTCCATGAGTTGGCTGCGGACAATTTAAGGGTTTCAGCAAGACCTGTTAAAGGTAGGGTAAGTTGAGCACATGGCTAGAGCCCGAAGCCCTTTTAGCTTGACAAGGACCCCCTCATCTGTTGGATTCTAAAGGAGTTCACGAGCCTGCACGCATTACACTATCCTGCAGTGACGGCCGGGGGATAGCCGTTTCCAAACCTCTCGCCGCTGCTGCTTCTGCTCAATTCTGTCTCTGCTCATTGTGCACGACGTCTTGACGCTCAGCACGCTATGTCAGGATGTCACATGTCTGGTAAGCTGGCCAAGGAATCGACATATGGACAGATGACATGGGACAATGTAGAACTGCATGAACCGAACAATGGCAAGTGATTCTACCTTTGTGGAAGTTCCTGAATACACTCCGAAGCTGCCATGTAAGCCCCCGTTACGACTAGTCTTCTCAAGACTGGAAGGTTTGGTTGCGGAGTGCATGCCTGCAGGCGTAGACCAGCAGGTGGTTGTCCTGCAAACTTCAGGGGGCTCTCGGGTTATGACCCCTGAGCCCTGAGGCAAGGAGTTGAGGATGGCTCAAGATTTGTGAGGCTTCGAAATGAGCCCCATATCGGAATCAAACCTAGTCGGGAGAACGAACAGGCTTCTGCGAAGTTAGCCCGTGCTCTCTCCATCATTTGTTTTTCTTGTTTCTCTTGTTTCGAGGAGTTCTCTTCTTCTTCTGCACGCTTCTGAGGGCCCCCGGAGTTCTCTCATTTCTCTCTTCCTCTCTCTTGGGCGCGTGTGCGCGTTCTTTCCCATTGAAAGTCTATAGTCCAATATAGTCTGGGGTCTACGGAGTCTATGGTCTCTCTCATGCTATTGCGCTTTCAGTTTCGGATGTCCAGCTGTTGTCGGTGATGAGTGGCAACGACTCGCGGTGTGCTTCCCTTTACCTCGAACTGCAGCAGCTTCCCAACTCCCAAGGCTGCTGCGCGGGGCCACTGCATGGAAACAAGCTCCACAAACGTCTATGTAGACTAATTACCCTCAACCGTGTTCGTCGGCGGTCCATGGCTCGCAGAGCGAGGAAGATCCCTTCCACATGGTGGCGTTCACGCTCCTGCTGGTTTTGCGAGTAGAGGGTTTCAGGTGATGGCTTTGGGGCGGTTTGGGGGGCGTCATGCAGACATCCGGGCTTCCTCAAGCCCTGCGCAGTGAACCCTAAGACACAACCGCGAATTGCAAAGCCACCCCGAATTGCACCACCAGCACTCCTCAACCCCAAGTGTCGCATACCAGAACTCCCGACGACTACTCGGTCACTGCTCGCAGTCCTCTGGTGTCCGGGCATTCCTGTAGGCCCTGGCAAGTACGACAATCATGGGGTTGGAGTTCAAGATGGGTTTTAATTCGCCCAAACCCAGACCCTCACGAATATTTACGTTGCTGCGCACACATGTGCGTGATATCTCTGCCTGTCGCTTTTTGCCCCTTGTCCCATTGGATTGATTCTGAAGGACGAACTGAAAATTATCGTGTTCAAGAGAACATGCTAGAAGTTGGCCATGTGAACAAGGAAACAAGAATGGGACAAAGAAGAATGCCGGTCCTGAGCCCTCCAGAGGTCAACCCGCACCACCCTCAAAGACCTATAACCCGGCTCAACTTCACACTCTGAAGTTCATCTCTAGCAGCGGACCCATAGGCCTCCAGCACGATAGCACCAGTAGCAGCTGTACCAAGATCTGCATGACTCCGACCTCTTTCTCGAGACTCTCTCGGGCGACAGATGCTTTGTCCTATGATCATCCGATTCTCGTCCGCATTTCCGACTTACCCACACAAATCGCACAAGCAACTTCGCAAACCCGGACCAGGCCACAAAACCTCAACACCCTCAAACTAGCGACAGGCATCCACCGACGACATATGCGCCTTGAAGCCCCGACTGCTGACCGCAACAAAGAAAGAACTCCATCTGGTCAGCTTTCTGAACTAAGGGGTTCTCTGTTCCGGGCCCCGGCTACAAAACAGGCCCATGACTCTTGCGAAAACCCAAGAAGGGAAAAATCACTTAGGTGAACTGCCCCAGTTGGCAAAGTCCCTAACAGGAGTAGGAGACCGGAGAAACTGTCCCCAGCCAGGCCCCTGACGCCCAGAAAGACGAGCCAGGCAGAAACGAACCAAAGGTCGAAACCACACCTGTGGGGGAGTATTTTGGCGGACTTGGGAGGGGTTTATGGAGGGGTATGGGAGCGATTTCAAGAGTGTTTTGCCACCTGAGGTTTTGTGCAGACGGAGTGATCCTATCCGAAACCTGGAAGCCAGTTAAAGCACGTCACAGTGTGCCGCGTTACAGCGCGGCGAAGTCTAGAAGTCTAGCAATAGCGCCCCTATCTTCCCAGTCTAGCAATAGCGCCCCTATCTTCCCTGCCTCAAATCCCTTCAGCAAAAAGCCACTGCACGGTTGTTCTTTCCAAACTCATGGCTCATGCAAGAAGTTGCAAGGTTTCTATATGATCGTTTCCATGTTTCTGGCTCGAGGAAATGGAGGCGATGCGAGGGCTGAGGGGGCAGGGAGTTAATACCTTAGCCGTCGAAAGCAAGCTATGGGCCCGGACGTTCCCGCGATCACCGGGAAAGTTGTGTCCTCCACAGTGGCAAACCCTCACCCACCCCAGGTATCACTTGTGAGACATTTAGGAAGTCCTGGTCTCAGTCTTAGGCTAAACACTATGCAAGAAGCAGCGTGCGGGCACCAGAGCATGTCACAATCCATGTTGCCAGCAAGTTCTACCGAACCCCATGCTGCCCAAGGCAGAAGCAAAGGATGCAGAGGTGGCCATCTGTAGAAGTGATACACATACATACACATATCCGTAACGAAACAGCGAATGTACAGATGTAAACGTATATATATATATATATACAGTATGAATATGTACGTATGTATCTGTCACTTAACCACTAACTTAATCATTATAGCAGCGTAGACCCTCGAAAATTGAGAGACCACAAGCGACGACACTGCAACTATCTCGAACTTTGGGTAAATCCAAAAACCGGGACGCCCACGTGTGCTCGGAACAATCGGCAACCAGAACGCCTGAATCGGAAACCAAAGCCGAATCGGAAACCTGAAATGCCAACCAGGAGGCTGATCAACGGGAGCTGGTTTCTGATGCTCGGGCTTTAAGACGCCATTACCCTCTCCCCAACCCCCGCCCACCTCCCCCCACCCGAGTTTCTCATGCACAGTTTCTGATTCGCCCTGGTTTCTGCGGGCCAGCTTCTTATTTGCTGTTTATAGTCGTGCTGGTTTCTGAGTCACAGTTTCTGATTTGCAGGCTTGTTTCTGATTTGTTCAACTTGTGGGGGATGGCAGGAACGAAAGCTTGCGCAGTTGCTCGAGAAGCCACAGGATAGCAGCGTTGAGCGAACAGGCAAGTGTGAGACTTGCAGCCTCGCCCATAACTCGTACCCCAACCCACATCCTCGGAGAATGCCTGGCCAACCAGTGTACCCCCAAAAAATCCGTCGAGTGCCAACCCCAGACAATCCCTGGACCCAGAGTATCCCCACAGAATCCTGGAGTTCCCAGCCCCGAGTGCTTTTTTTCAGAAAATTTCTGGAGTGCCCAACCCCAGTTTCCCCAGCCCACCTGCAATAACCCCAGAGCATCACCAGCCAGAAAAGCCCTGCAGCGCCCTCGGCTAGCTCCCACGGGCCAGCTTTCGTGATGATCCCCGCGCCCAGGCGACAGCGCTTTCTTACCCAAAAGGCGAGCAAGCTACAAAAACAAATGTCGGCGCCCGCCGCGGTCACCGCGTGGCCACATCGACCTAGCCCTTCTTACTGTACTTAGATAAGCTGTGCATCTCTGCGATCCCCTGCGTGGCCTGCCTGGTACAGGTCCGTGATGCTGATAAAGGTGAAGCCAAATCGCAGCAGAAGGGGCAGACGAAATCGCAACAAGAAGTCCTTCAGCAAGCCCAAGGCCGATCTGCCAAATCAGTCAATGGACATCTTTAGGAGCGTGCTCAAAGCAGCGAACCGACTGATTTTCTGGTTGGCACGCAAATTCTAAACAATTCTGACATCCAATCCATGCAGCTCTAAGTTCCCTTTCTCAACGCGAGCACCCCCCCCCCCCTCGATCATCGTCCTTGACGTCTCGTGAATATTGCCGCACCTGCATGGTATACGTGCCGCAAGAAGGCTACCTAAAAGACACGGCTGCGTCCGCGCACAGCATTGGTTTCTGCTTTCTGCGCATGCTGAAGCAGTTCTTTCTGGATCATGGCGCCCACCCGAACCCAAAACTATACAGCAAAGGAGCTAAATCCGCTTGACCCGAAACTCACGTCACATCGCAACAGAGCGTATCAGGCGCCGCGCACCCGGAAATCGAATGCTGAATATTGGTCTAGAACGGCACGATGCGCCACATCACAGAACCTCTAGATTAGAGCTGCCAAACTTGCTCGGATTGTTATCCTAGATGACCATTTGCCTATTTGCCTTCCTCTGATGGCTCCAGGAGCCGCTCAACATAACCCCGTAAAATGACAAGTCCAAGGAGCTTGCAGGAAAATAAGCATATCACCTTAGCGCGACAGACATTAGAGGACGTCGATGCCGAAGGCTCCCGAATTAAGCGCTGTGCAGTGGAGGCCACGACGTCAAGAGTGTACGGCCTTCCCTGCCGTACGTACAAGTATGGGTGCTTTCTCGAGATGCAAGCTGCGGCATGAATGCAAGGGTACTCTGGGGGTCCATCTGCAACAGAACACAGCAGGGCTTTCTGACAAACGCATGTGGTGCTTGCAGCGTCTTCCCATCTCTTTACTGAGAATTAGGACACTTAAGTGCGATTAATAGAAAATCGGTACTGGCACGGGGCTACACGCACTAAAGATCACTGAAAGGATAAGAACCAGCAGACTCAGAGCCAAGTGGCATAAGAAGTTGCTGCCCAGACATGCGCCAACCCAAGCGCCGTGAATCTTGGTCCACGATTGCCCAGCGATGACTCGTGGGGGTTGTTCGAAACTAGTAAACTCTAGTGACTCTAGTGTGGGGTAAACTTTCGTGGGCACCCTTTATGCAAACATGTGACTGCAAGAAAGACGCACTAGCTTCAAAACCATGGTGCCAGATACGCAAGAACCGTTCAGCCCAGGCACCTGGGTGGGATAACCAGTTGAGCATGTCATCATCCACCAGGCTGCGTATGGCAGCCCGATGACTGTCCCCAGGGTGAACAAAGCCTCCGAAGCTCAGAAGAGGATAGACGGATCGACACTGAGCCCGATGTGGCGGGTTTTGAACTTTCGTTCGCAAGCCCCCTAGTAGCTAGCACGCACATACATTGCAACACCACCGAGCGTCCGCATGAAAACGCCTCACAATGTATATTTCACCAGCGCGCCACAGCGTACTACAGTCACTTGCCAGGCCAACATGCAGCAACCTCAAACCTGACAAGGCCCAAGGCCCCGAGCTTCATCCAAGTACATGAGCTGTGGAGCATTTCTCGTGGAAATGTTACCTTCTACGCCGACTCCAACAACCTCAACACATCTCAGCATCTGCTGGGAAAGAAATCAGATAGGCCTGGAATGCAAGGACGAAGGCCGCCCTCCTGGTGCGCCAGGGTAAGCAGAAACCGAGGCGTTTGGGGGCGGAGAGGCAAGTGCTTGCGCGTTGGATTTTGCCTTGCAAGGATCTTGGCTTGCAGGGGCGTGTTTTCTCTCACTTGAGCTCCTGTTTGGGGGCTCTTGCTAAAAGCGGTTCTATTCTGATCTTCCCAGAAGCCCTGATTGTGGAATCCCAACCCGCAGAAGTAAGCCCTTTGCAACCTTGCCGAGTCAACCTCAACAGATCCCAAGCTGCCTGGTCATCAGCGCCCGGAGGGTGGCTCGCGCCACGCGCAGGCGGAGGTTGTTGGCCTCCGAGCCGGCACGGCTTCTTGTACGCCGTAGTATTATGGCATTTAATTGATGTAAATACATATACTACGGCACAAGCAGGAGACTGGCCCCTCACCTCTGCTTGCCACACAGTGGTCACTGGTCATCGACGTAAACATGCCCCGCCTCCTCATCAGGCAGAACGCTGACGCCTCTGGTTCTGTCAACTGGTGCTGCACTCAAGTTGTTTGCGGATGTTCAGGCACACCAATCTCCTTTGTTCACGGAGTGCCACAACCAACACGGCTTGATGCTGTTCCCAACTGTTTTCAAGCCTGTGGCCCCTCAATGACTGGCTTCAAAGCCAAACCTCGAAGCCTATACTAGGCTTGCAATGTATGGGTGCAAGTATATACCAGGATATACCAGGATCTACCATGAAAGTCCCCTTGCCATGGACCTGTGGTATTTCAGGGCTCGTGCAGATCCGGTGATTGCTGTAAAATGGGCTGCACTTGGTGGGGCTAAGCTTTTGACGGTTTAGGGAGGGGCAAGGTGGTATACTCTAAAAAAAGGGGGTCGACAACGCATGCAAGCCTGATACTCCCGATGTAGGCACTGAGCCCTACCTGAACATGTTCTCCCTTTGCCATGTGGCGGCCGCAGCAGGCACAGCAGCAAGCCAAGGCTTGATAGGCGCAGGCTTCCAAACTGTCCTTCGTTTTCAATATTTAGAAGATGGTCCAGGAGAATCAGGCTTCTTGCTGAATGTGGCTACATCAGCACTGGGTCTCCCAGGGTCGGTCCTATGCCTGCGAAACTCCAGCTCAAATACGCCCCAATTCCCTAGTGCCTTTGAGCTCTAGCTCCTTTAGCCCTCTGGGTGTCTGGGCACAAGATTTGAAGCTCCAAGCTTTAGTAATCCCTGGTGACTCTGGCGTGGCCACAGCGCCGAGAGGCGACAAAGTCCGCCCCCGGAAGCCGCCCCACCTGCAAACACACTCGCCCACGGCAGGCTTTAGGGATGTTCAGATTCTACACTAAGTTCACAACAGTAGCCCATATGCTCTAAAGGTCTATAGTTGGGGATGCTTGGGGTTCAGGAATGGAGTCCTCGGGAGGCTGAACGAAAAGGTTGTGACTTTTCTAGTTGGCGCCGCATGCGCGATGTCTACATGTAGTGGCTTCTACTTCAGAAGCCTCCACAAAGTGCCATAAAGCCTCAACCTTTGTTAGGGGGTCCTCGGGCACGTCAGGCTAGATCCCGGCAAAGGCTCGCAGCCTCGACATGCCTGGAGTCTAGTCTTAAGGATGCCCATGAGCCTAAAATGTAAAATCGCCCACGGGTTGGTGATCGGTTTTTTTCCTTTCAATGTTGCGGGCCAATCTCTGGTCAGGCTGCAACTGCCTTTGTCCCAGGGCTGTCAGTTTCTTGAGAAAGAAGGGGCGACCTCTTTGCTCTTCGAAAGTAGCAGCAACCCTAGCTCTAGCCGATTCTAGCCTCTCCCCGTTTTGCCTGTTTCGCAGCACAAAACAATTGGGGAGATGTGTAAGCTCGGTTCATCTAACCCCAAAGAGCAACAATACCTCAAAACGCTACATGGGTAGTTCTCAACTTACGGTCGCTTTTTGGGTCCCCTACAGTATATAGTACGGCACCTGATAAAACAGGGACCCTCCGAAAGAGACCCTGATTTAGCGAACCACCCACATGTCCTGCTTGAGGGGGATCAAGGCTCCTCCGGGTAAAGCCTAAAGCTGCTGAACCTCAGACAACATCCCCACAGCAGCTGGACTGTAATGGACTGCCAGGACAAGAACACCGCATGACAACCCCTAAAGCCCTAAACCATTTTCAATCCCTCCACTGCCTCCTTCACCACAGCCGGGGGCTGGGAGACTACTTCGAGGTCCGACTTCTCCCAGTTCCCCGTGGCCTCCAGATGGGTTGAGGTTTCTATGAAGGGCCCAACGCCAGCCCTCCAGCCGCCCTATCAGAAACACAGAAGCCAGCGCAAGATTGACACAATACCTGTGTTCTGAACGACGCAAGATCTGTTTTGAGCGAGCATCCGCAGACAATCTCGCAGATTTGGCTCGATAGAAATCAGCTGTATGTCGTGCCTTCCAGTCCATCGACTTGAGTTTTTTGGAGAGTTCCTGGCAACACCGCGATGCGAGCTTGCACGGACCGCAGCGGCACATCCAAGGATATGTTATGTGACGCACCGTCCAATCGCCCGCAACTCCGAGTAGCAGTAGCCGTGACACTTAGGAGGCTTGGTCTTGCAGAAGCTCAAACATTGCCACGTACTGAGGGCACAGTACGCTACTAAACTTTACTAAACATGCTCCATGCCTTCACATGCTCATCGGTGTAGTTGGCAAACCTGACATCAACATGCAGGAGATGGGATCCCGCCCATGTCACCAGAATCTTGTCTGCATCCCGGAAGCAGGAAGTTTGTGTTTGCAGTCCATCGCTTTCTGACAGTCTCATCTGCCCCAGCAATGGCCTCGGACAAAGCGAGCGCAGTGAAAGGTCGCATACCCATGGCGTGTACGCACAGTGCAAGCAAGCCCTCTGCAAATCGCTCAATCCGCGTAAGGCCTCCGGCGCAATGCTTGCATCAGCAAATGCAACCCATTGCAACCCTCTTCTTCTTTCTTCCCAGGTCTCGTGGGTGTGAGGGCTGACTTGGGGGCCCTGTGCAGTAGCGCACCCCTGTGCACTGTTCGGAACTGTGAAACTGCTGCTCTCTCCATCCCTTCTTCTCTTGCTTTCTTTCTCGCGCGCTATTTCTGTCTGTCTTTGTCTGCCTCTCCCTGTCTGCACTGGGCTAGCATAGCTGTCCCATCCAAACACCCTATGCAGACTCCGTCAAGTCGCCGAGATCTGGCATTCCAGCTGCAGCTGGGAGGGCCCCGAACCGTCCTGCGGAACGAGATAATCACTAGCCAAGCTCCGGACGAACACTCTAGTACGTCACTATACCCAAAGAGTATACACCACCTAAACCCTTCATGACTTCGTACGTCATTCATTCACCCGGGCCAAGCTGCTGAAGCATCCTTCCCTCCCGAAAAAACTCATACAGCCCCATAATTAACCAATCAAAGAAGCCCCAAACCGGTCTTCAGCCCCTTGGCTTTGCCAGGCACGCAAACGTGTAGCGGGAAGCTCGGAACTGCTGACCTGAGCACTCCCCAGTAAGCCCTAGACCTACCTAGAAAACAACGACGATATGGCAGGTATAATCTCTCATGGGGTACTCATAGGGCCAAGTGTTTGCCTGCAACGCTGCAAGGATCGCCTGAGTTCCTGGCTTTCAGGGCCGCACGGAGGTCTTGATGAAGCTCCTTACAAGCTTGGCTTTGGGATGCGGGCGAAGGTTTGTAGCGATTTCGGGGAGGAGGTTCAGAAGGTGGGGCGGAGAGAAATGCCCAAACTTGGTGGAAACATGTTTGAGTCTCAGGTCAACGTTCATGGGTTGTAGCCCATCCCTGGGCCCGAAATTTTTTGAATTGAATGCCCACTGCAAGTTTGCCGCAAGCACCCGATGGCCTGGTTTGCTCCCCTCAGAACTCGCGGAGCGCAGCGGTTTGCAAACAACAACGCGGGAAGCCTCTAGCCATCCCAACCCCTGTCCAACCTGGCGCCTTTTCTCATGTTCGCCGGGAGCAGCTCCCTCTCCCAGCGCTGGGAGGGGTCCGAGGGCGTGCAAGGCCGCAACTCAAGCTCGTCTTGGACCGCAGCAGCCAGGCAGCTGCCTTTCTCGGCTCGGGGTTCTGAAGTTCTGAAGCCACGAACCCAACGGTTCTGGGCTGTACTAATTGAGGCGGTTTGGCGAGCAAACTCTTCACAAACATGTCCGTCGCTATCCGCGGACAAACTGAAGTTACGCATGATAAGCTCAATGCAACCGCTGAGCGTAACCAGCACATTTCTCGGAGGCCCGGGATTCCTTTTCAGCAGGATACCTGTACTTGGCTCGAAGAGACGCCTTTAGCCTTTAGCAGTGGGTTAGCTCATGTAACTCTGCTGCGGTGTGATCATGTTGAGATTTGTGTCAACGTCCAGGAGAAATACATCATACATTCCACTGTCGGCGTTGCTTGGAAGAGAACTGCTCCTGATAACCAGTCTGTCATATGCCTCCAAACGTCCACTTCGGATTCGATTAAGACCTCTCAGGCCCGGAACTCACTCCCCAATTAAGAATCTCCATGCCTGAAGTTTTTGTCTCGGAGAGAAGTCGTCTTCCTATCAAGGCTTCCAGCTTTGAGCGTTTGCTAAAGACTGCAGGTCCCCTGAAAAACAAAAGGAGAAGCCCCCCCCCCCCCCCCCCCCCCTCAATGGACCGGAGAAGGGGGAACTCCTCCAACTCCAGAGCAGCTGGAACCCTGACCAGGCCTGCGGCACGATTCTGGAGGAGGGCGCCATCGAGCTGCTTCCAATACTGCGTCTCAGAATCTTCCCTGCCTTGGCTCTGAGAGTCGAGCCGACTCAGAAATGGATGTCCCAGGATTCAAATCTCTTGCGCTTACCATGTCGGGATGCTAAAGCAGAAGCAACAGGGCTTTCCGCGAAGGGCAACGACTCCCAGCCGAGAGGACTACGGTCCAGACAGTCACTTGCGAGAATGCGATACGAGCCCGGATCAACGTGAGCAAAAGATCATGAGTCGACCGAGTGTGGCATTTTGAAGTTCTGAAGGTATGCCCTTACCCCAGGTGCAGGCAGAGTTTCAAGTTGCAAGCTGCGGCTGCGAAGACTTGCCCAGCGTCACACACTTCCTGCCTGAAAGTTCGGGGGACCGAAAGGGCTTAGGTCTGGGATCGTGCGGGGGCGTAGGACTAAAAGGCTAGCGTTGCTGCAAATCGTCTATAGCAAGACAATCGTCTATATCAAGCCCTCAGCATCATGAGCTACAGGCTTTGAGATCCCCTTGAGCATCACGCCTGCTGAAGCACTGTCTTGAGAATCGGTCGACGAAAAAGTGGGAAGCAGAACGGCTGAATCTGAGAGCGGGTTTCTGACACTCTGGCTTGCCGGGCCGATTCCCATCCGTCACCGGCTGATGCTCATGATGTTTGAGGACTGACCGCTCGACGATGCTGCCCGGTTCCAACTGGCGAGGATGCTCGTGATGCTCGAGGGCTAAGGGCGACCAGCCCAATCTGATGCTGATAAGCATCAGCTTGCGTTGGTGACCCCAGCCCCTAGAGCATCACGAGCATCAGCTCGGCTTCGAGACTCAACCTTGGCAAAGCATCATGTGCATCAGCTTGAGTTGGTGATGCCAACCCTCGAACATCATGAGCATCGAGCTAGTGACCCTCAGCCTTGAGCATCACAGTCAGCTGGGCTTGGCGACCCCAACCCTGATTCGCAGTGAGGCGCTTCCGAGCGTGCTGCGAATCATGCCGTTGGTCGTCACCTCCCACGTCTGGTCGGTGCCCAACTCGCAAACATCAAGGCCTTGGATTCAACAAACCTGTATGCTTTCAGGTTTTAAAGACTTCTGGTTGAGGAGACAATCCATAGTAAATCCTCGAGCCTCTTGCCCTCTCATGCTAGCCCTCAACCCGACGCCCCATCAAGGGTTCCTGGTAGAACCCGTGGGATCAATTCTTTAATCCTTCTTCCTTTCGGGCACGCCAACTTGAAGGAGACTCAACAAGGTGAGAGTTCAAGAAAACCGTCCAGGGAGCACCCTATGCCAAGCCGCTGATGGCACTGGCATCATCTCCGTGAGGATGCGCACCTTGGGCTGAAATCTTCGGCATCTTCTGAGTGTACAGGAGCTTCGAGCAGATCTTCAACATTCGTCCGGCACCCTGCGTCCATCCTACTGAGCCCGACGGGCAATGAGCCAAGGGCGGATGCTGCCCGAGGCTCTACAGATCATGGTTTGCATCGTCGGCTTTCTTGCTGGTCTATGTTTTTTGTGTGTATGTATGTATGCATGCATGCATGTGTGTATTGTATTGTATTGTATTGTCTTGTCTTGTATTGTATTGTATTGTATTGTATGTATATAACATATATATATATATATATATATAATATTCAGGGCTTCAGGATTAAGATGTGGGTTTGATCAGGTGCACGGTACAACTCCTCCAGGCCAAGACGAGGCACTGATGCATTTTGAGGCTGACAGCCAGTCGCTGCCCTGGTTCACGAGGAAGCCTCGCAGAAAAGCAAAGGTGAAACTTACCAGATCCAGGAGCAAGGCCGGATCGGTAGCGCTCGTGTGGTTCGAGCAGAAAACCCTGAGAGAACGCAGCTTTATGCACCGGGTTTAGGCGCGCCGCATGCCCAATCTGTGCTGCGAGTACACTGTGCTTGAGAAGATGGCGATTTGCCGGGACTTGGGGCGAATCTGCTTCCACAGCGTAGAGAGAAGCAGCCTCGCAGGGCTTCTATGAAGTACGTAGCTAATCAAACAGGAACCCTTGGCAAGCTAGCACATGGAAGGCAATCATAACATTCCTATCCTGAGCCCAGTCAGTGTGGGACGTGATCCGGTGCCGGCCTTCGTGCGAGAACCTCCAGATTCCAGGTGTTTCCAGCTCCTGCTCATCTTGCACCACAACAGCAAATTTGGTTGGCCCAAGCACCGGGACTGCAAATAAAAAGGTGGTTGCGGGATGTGACCCGTAAGGCCCGACATTCAGGATGTTGGGATCAAGCAGTCACAGAGCACCTGATTGTCACATGGCGCAAGCTTGATCGCAGCGTATCTGTCCTCAGCTCGCCGTGTCGAGTTGAACAGCTATTGTAGGGTTCGGAATAAATACAATAACCGGAATACCGCCCCCAAAACCCTATTCTAAGTGTTAAGGCCCCTATTATAGTATTCTTTCCAGGCATCCCGCCTCTCGGCGTTCTCGCCCTCCCCCACCGCCCAAACCCTGACTGTTCGGAGCCCTCACCCCACGAAATAAGCCCTAAACCCTAACCTAAACCCACCACAAACCATCGGAAAGAGAGGAAACCCCGAAACGCTAACGCTTGACCCTAAACCCACCACGAACCCCAGGAAGAAGGGTAGCCCTAAACCCTAAAGCATCATGAACTACGGTGGACAAAGTGAAATCCCTAAACCTGCAGCCCTACAGCCTAACCCTAAACCCTAAACCCGCCATGAACCACAGACATGCAGGGGGAGGGGGGAGGAAGGCTACCCATGTGTTCAAGGCCCAGGAGAATGAAAAAACAAGAAAGCCTTGCTCTTGGCTGAGCCGCTGTGCCCGGAGAGCCAGCCACATCTGCCTCGCTGCGCAAGTTCGGAGTGCTTGCAGATGCTTGCAGGGAGCTCTGTACCCCCTCCCTCCCGAACCATCCTGCAACCATGATAGCCCTCGGACCCGCAAGCCTGCACCAACGCTAGTCCCGAGAGCCAACAGGGCAATGTTCTGCTGGCCACCAAGAATCGCACATGCCTGTGGCGGTATGCCTCAGGTAGTGACCAGGGAGGAAACGCCACGTCAGATCCTCGGCGCAAGTGCCACGCTTTGAGAAGCCACTCTAGAACTACCACCAAGTGTGGCACGACACCCTTGGAAGCTGAAGCAACGACTTGGGACGAAGCCCGAGCCCTGAACACTGAACATCTTCACAAACGCTCGTATAGAGCATCCCTCCTACCGCCGATAAAGATCATGAATACAGAACTTGCTAACAGCGATGTTTGCAATGTAAAACCTTAAGACCGTCAGCCAGCCCAAGGCTCATGAGAAACCTTCTGCGGGCAAGATTGAACCGTCAGGTCCTGATCTCCAGTCCTGGCCACTCAGTGCTCCCGACCATCAGTTTTTGAGCCCAAGGTTTGGGCATGGTTGTACACAGTATCATGGTTGCAGAAGGTTGGCATGCCACTGGTGCTCGGAAGCGGTCAAGAATCTAGTCAGCCATGTGCAGCCCCCTCCAGACTTCTCAATGCGATCCAAACCGATGGAACATGCAAGCGAGGTTCTCAGTGACCCTCACCTCAGCATGCAAGCCCAATGCACGTTCTGAAGTAAAACACTCGATACTCACTCTTTTATGGGGCCGGGGGGACGAGCCCGTCCGCGCGCCCCCACTTGTTGTGGAGACTTGAAACTCTTGCGGGGGGTTCAACCCCTCCAGTCTCTTTCTTTCTTTCTTTCTGCGCACCTAACCCCCTGTATTCAAGGGGGCCGCCCGCAGGCGTGCGTTACAGAGTGGAGGATGAACTGAAGCTGTGAAACTGCCGGGGCCACTAAGCGAGTTATGTGATTTATGTGATTGCTAGAGGAACCGGCTCCCTTTCGTTCCCTGTCCAGCTTAGTTATCCCTTCGTCCCTCCACAACATGTTGACTCCCCCGGTATGCTAGCAGGTAAGTAGGGAATCTCGTGATGTGAATGCCCCAACTAGGTTTGTAGGGAGTCAGGTTGTGGGCTGTTCAGGACGGTTGGTTATGGTGAGACTTTTTGTAGCTTGCCCGGGTTGGTGGGGTGAAGTATGCAGATTAGGGTCAGGTGCAAAGGGGGCCCATTCTCTTGAGTGCGTGGTTGCTGTGGGCAGCTGACACTGTAGCTGACACTGTAGAGCTGGGGCACAGGCCTCTGTCTTTCAGCTGCATTGGGTGGTATGTTTCAGCTCCAGTCTCTCTCCCTCTCTGTTCTTTCCCCTCTCTATTCTCCGCTCTCTCTTCCTTCCCCCCTTCCTTCCTGCACGTGCTCCGAAGGGCGCGCTGCACAGGGTTCTCTCGTCTTCTTCTTCTTCTTCGTCTTATTCTTCGTCTTCTTCTCCTTCGTCTTCTTCTTCTACGGGACTTGAAGGGCGCCCGCGCTCTAGGCGACGAGCAGTCGTTATGAAACTGAGCTCTCTCCCTCTCTCTCGCTCAATCGGAACCGGTTGCATGGTTCATGAAGGGAGACATGAACTCGCTGCGTGAATGCTTCTGGTCGCATATATCGTCACTCAGAATGGTCTGATTGCGCATGGTGGTGTACCGTGATCCTCAATCTATACAACCACAAAACCAGCAGAATCTCCGCCCAAGCCTCAAGTCAAGGCCTGCTCCAATCACACGCTTGAGACGACTTGCCGAAAACCCTCCTGACGCCCGACCACTCTACAATTTGCGACAAGCCCAAATTTGATTTAAAAAAGAAGAAAGCAGCCGTGCACTGTCAAGCTGCGCACGTCCTTCTCTAAGGCCCGGGCGCCAATACCTGCAAGGATCTGGTGAGGACGAGGCAGACATTTTCGTGTTGGCTTACCAAGGACGCTCAAGGACTCGGAGTTTGGGATTGTGTTCGGAAATTGCCATCTACGCTTGTTTAACAATTGCAAGAGCTACAGTGCCTGCCCACCAAGCAGAAGTGTAACTTGCATATGCCGAGAAGCAAAGGCTGTTGTCGGAAAGGCTCTGAAGCAAGCCAGACTGCGAGATCTCGGCTGCGCAATCACAGGCGAGAGAAAGCTTAAGCTAACCCCAACATGCGCCCTTTCGAAGGCCTGACTGGCCGAGGCACGCTCCAGCGCTGGAGCTTTGCACCATCAGGCCCCCTCGCGCAATCGTTCCTTTTCGCGTCCGGGAATGATGTCATGCTGGTCAACAAGTTTTCATCGTCTGTTGGGTGAGGTGGGTGGGGTGGGGTGGGGTGGGGGGTGGGGAGGGGGGTGGGGAGGGGTGTGGGGAGGGGGGTGGGGAGGGGGCGAGGACATTTGAACATGCAGGTCAAGAAACAAGGGCAGAACTAGGTTGCAGGATGGTCTACAACTCGTGTGGGTGGAGTTTCCGGCTTCTGAATCGAGGACTTCTGCTTTGTCCGTGTCTTCAGTTGCTTCGCTATGTTTAGTCGGAATTTGGTGTGCTTCGATTGGTCCAACCAGCTGTCTGAAAATCGGGCTGTCCATCGGCCCAAGAGCAGCGTGAACAAAAATGTCAACGGCTTGAGACCTCATGCCAAGCTTACGCAAGGGCGAATGAGCTGCAACAAGAAGGGCTACAAGCCCCCCCATCCTGAACGGAACCCTCGGCTGATGCCAGCTCCCCTGTCGTAGGCAGACTTGTGCTATCTGGGGCTCATAGTCTAGTAGGCTACAGGGTAGGCCAAAAATGTAGTTGACGGCCATGGTCGCGGCAAGCCACAAGATCTCGTGAACAAGAACTGAGCATGTTCAGACGCCGCCCGTAAACAGTCTCGCCGACAAGTGGCAAGACGAAGGTCGCCCCATCAATGGCCACTTGTCCCGAGACCTGCCAGGCCAAGTTCACCCGGCTACTGGCTGAACAAGGAACCAAACAATCGCAAACGTCCACAAAGCACAGCAGAGGCATGATTCTGATGGAACAGAGTTACCACCCCCTGGGAAGACGAAGCAAAAGGGCTTAGGGTTACGGCCTGGGATTCGCCAACAGCTTCGCAGCAGCTTCGGCTCTAAGTTGCGTCCGCTAGCTTCCGCTGTCCGATCTCTTTGGCAGAATTCCCCAATCACAACTGTACAAAGATCTACCGCAGCATGCTGGCTCCCAGGATGTGCAGGACAGCGCATGTTTGCTGCTGAATGCAATGTACCGAGGGGCATCTAGGCACCGGCCGGACAGCTGATGGACCATGTGGCCATCAGCCTAGGGATTCGGGGAGTGAACGGTGGCCGGTGCACACAGGCCGGCTGTAAAGGGATCCAACGCCTGGGGTCAAGTTACTTCAAGCTGTTTTTTGCCGCCCGCCTACTTGTAGCTGTACTCCTGGAGAGACGCACCGCAGGGCATTCTACGCGATAGTCCAAGTAAATTTCTGGGGCACCTCTCCCATGTTGCTCCTTTAGTCCCAGTTCCCCCCCTCCCTTGCATCGAAAGACAACAAACAACTTTCGAAAAGCTCCACCACAGAGATGCCAGGTCGGGTCTACGAAACAAACCCTCAAAGCGAGGGATGACGTCCACCTTGAGCAACACCGCTGTGTTGCAATGAGAGGTAAGGGCCAGACGTGTTGTATCAAGCCAAACGCATACAAGGCTTAAACAAAGGATGAAACAGAGGAGAGGCCCAGCCCCCGTTTTAGAGTGAGAATGGTGGTGCCATGTTCAAACGGCAATGTGGTGCTCGACAAACAATGGATGAGAAGATGCTTCAGCATCCTCCCTAACGACAAGCCCACATACATACCAGATCATCCCTCTACTGTACTGTCCTCCCATCGCAACGTGGTCTCCTAGCAAGAATGTCCTGCCTTGTGACTAACCAGCATGCCTAACCACCACTTCACAGCCATCCAAACAAATACTTCACAGCCATCCAAGCAATTCCAAAAAACCACAAAAAACAGACCAGTGAATCCACTGCATGTACAAACCTTGGTGCAAGAACAGTCTTGCTTCCTCTCCATAACTGACAGATCGTGACCAGACCTGGTTGCTACCTGATCCAGAAATTACATTAAAAGGCTACAAACACAAAAATATGCAAACTGGCATCGCTTCTCCAGCTTTGGTCCCCTTTACTGTACATCGACCCGCTTTAGGGTAATCAGTGAGTACCATAACTTTTGCACCAGAATGTCAGGTTCACGCTCCAGCATGTGCGACCTTCAGCCAACCACTGACAACCACTGCCCCCAACGCGAGCCATGGGTACCCCAAATACTTGGGGCCGCCTTTTCATAGTAACCCCATCAAAAGGACCCAAGTTTAGAGCATCCCGCATATAACATATATAAAATTTAACCATGAACCAGCAAGTTGCTGGATCTTCAACCGCACACACTGTGACATGACTTGCTCTCCACACCAGTTGTACATGCAACATGAGGACAGCAGTGGGTAAGAGAACCAGGTGGCAGCTTTGCGGCTGAGACGCTATGTACAAGCGTACGAGATGACGCCTTAAATCCCCGTCATGCTTGTGCAGGCTTCCCGCCCTGAAGCTATGGCTGAATCAGTGCTGGGCACACTTGGCTGCCACTGTTGGTCGGAGAAGGGACATTTCTCCAGCTGCAACTTGGCGTTCAAACACTTGTCGGCCGACCTGCCACGTGAGGCTTAACCAGGTCCAGCGGAACTTTTGTTGCCACCCGGCTAGCTGAAGACTGCATGAAACAAGGCTTGAGATGAAAACAGCAGAAAGGAAATATAGAGACCGAAACAATGTCCATGGCCTAACCCGCCGATTAAGTTCAAGGTTTATCATCAAAAGGATCTGAGTTCCCCAACTCCTTGGAACCATGAGATGCTTTTTGTTGAAGAAGCTTTGTTTGAATCCCGTTTTGGCAGTTCTTCCAACCTGCCCGGAAAACAAGATTACATCCAAACAGCTCTGGCAGAATGAGGCTACTCTGACACTTCGATGATCAAATGCGCCCGGGAACAACCTCCCTACCTTTTTCGGGTCACATAGAGGCTGTACATGCCCGAGGTGGCCTGTGATCTGCCGGTGAGAGTAGAGAGCTGTTTTGGCATGCAGATGGGCAGGCTACGGCTAACTGGCATACACCGAAACAACCAGGAAGCAATTGGAACGCGCAGCGCACCTGTGCTTCAGGAGGCCTTCTGTCGTGTGCAGCCAGGTCCTCAGAAGCTTTCAAGGATGAGGCTCGGCTGTTCGGATGGGATACAGGAAAATTACCGGCTTGAAGGCTACTTTCACAATGGCATAGAATACCCAGTGCCTCCATGTCTCTGATTCGAGGCCGCGGCGCCGTCTGCAAGATGTCGACAGCTGTGCAGCGAGATGGGCTTTGTCACATCATGGTCATCAACCTGGGCTCTGGGCTGCAGAGCGAGGGAGTTCAAGTCCAGCTTGCCACAGCAACACTGAGTCTTTGGATGTTGACAGCAAGTTGGCACAATCTCCCTGTGCACAGGCTCCCCAAGTTAGGCCTTGCTGCTGTCATGCACTTGCCGGAGGCTTCGTTCACGATGGTTCCAGCCTGAGTCTGCGCGATTTGATAAGGGCACCCTTGGTCTGCTCCATATTCCCGACGGCAGAATACTTTGCCAAAGGTGCCTCTCGCATCTGCCAGAGCTGCGAAGCTCGAGGCCCCGTAGGCTGGCAAAGCTCAGCAGCGAGCCCTCGGCCCGAGGCCTGAACAAATGCAGAAGGGTCCCGGATGCTCGGGAGGTTTACAGGTCTAAACGGGTCGGAAGAGCGGCCTTCCCCTTTGCCACTTCAGGATTCGCACAGAAAGGGCTTAGCTTAGGACATCTTAGGGCCACTGACACGCGAAAGGCTTCTCACATTCTTTTGCAGGAGGCTTGTCAACACACAGAAACTGCCTCACATCGGTCTGGAAGGGCATCATCCTTTCCACTTCCACGCATGCAAACGGGAAGCCGCACTACGAGACTCCAAGAAGACAACCAATAACCCCAACAACTTTTAGACCCTGAACCCAGCCCCCAATATCTCCAAATTCATGTATGCTAAAGCAATCAGCAATGCAACCCTCCCCCTTCCGCGGGCCGTCTCAACAGGGCCCTTCACGCCCAGGCAGCGTTTCCCATTCTGCAGGCGGAACCCAGGAACCTGCAGAAAATGGCCGCACAGGATGCCACAGGAGGGCAACCGGGGTGCAGCACATGGCGGAGCTAAATAAGACTTCTACTGTAAAGCTTCCAAAGCCACTAAGAGCAACTGAGAGAGTCACTGAGAGCAGCTTGCCTATGGTCCCTTTGCACGAGTTTCCCAAGGTCCAAAGAAGCCCTTTTGCACCCTAAACCTTCTAAAGCTCTGGTAAGAGGCCCAAAGCCATGCAGCTCAAAGATTCTAAGTATGGAGGTTTGCGAAAACAGCTGCAACTCCCATCTCAGCATCGTGTGCACCCCCTCAGTCACTCAGTGACTCTCATGAAAGCCTTCCGATTTTCACCCTGGACCGAAGGACCGCAAGCCACAAACTTGACCATCCCAAAAAACACAACAACACCAGCAAATCCCACCCCTTATCGTCCTAATATCCGGAGCTCCCTTGACACACTACATCCTGCAATTGACACAGCCTGTTCCGTCAGGAAGGGCTTCAACAGTTGTGGCCCCGTCAGCTGAAAGAACACTAACTCGTGGTCGGAGAGCGCCTCCTCTTTGCGTGGGATGGATGGGGCGGACTTAGGATTTGTGAGATGGCTTGGGATGGCAGTTGTTTGGGCGACTTAAAAGCCCAAGCCCAAGTGAGCAAAACTGAACGAGTGGGCACGTTGGCTTCGGTGGCTGAAAGCTGAAAATGGACTGCCAATAGATTGCTCGCACCAGTATTGAGGTATATGGGGTCCCATGCATGGCTTTCATGTATTGCCAAAAGCAGCGAAACCACATTCCAAGCTTCCCGCCGTCTGCCACGGCTTTGGGGTCTGTCGGTTCGCGCACGCCGTGAACAGCTCAGCCTCTTCTGCTTCAGGTTCAACAGGGATTCACACTGCACTGAAAGGAGGCGTGAGTTTTTTGAAGTTCCTAAAGGCGGGCCATTGTTGGGATGTTCACTGAAATACCCTGCTTAGCAACTGCATGCCATCATGCTTGCCAGTCTCTGGGCGGGACAAAACTTCTCTTCCAATCAAACCATCTTCCTGTTGAGATGCCGATGTGTTGGGAACATACGGATTGTACCGGCCTGCGCACCCCCCATGGAGTGCCCAGTGACGGCCACCTGGTGATGCGGAAAAGTCAGCGTCTGCAGAACGAGGACATCAGAATGTGGTTTTGGACTCGGGTCTACATCCACGCATGGCGAAAGTCCACTGTAGGCAGTACTAAGCTGAGAGTTTATTGAAAAGGCTCACCATGGCCATTGAAGCAGTTCCACTTTGCGGGAACACTGAGATGGCGACGCGAGCGCACAGCGGCAGCTTCGCACGAATAGCCTGCACAGGCTCACCATGGATACATGCTAAAACTACCTGGCAGGCCGGTACAGTAGCACTTTTCACTGAGGTCGTGATCTTCGTGCAAATAAAGATCTGCGCAGGCTGCCGCAGGCTCCATGGGAATTTGCCTAAAGACATCCAGTCAAACATCTCGGCACGACAGCTGCCACGGCACCGAGAAGCCGAGACGAGGACTCATGTACAAACTTGCCGTCACGCAAGGATTCGGGTTTGGGCCTGCCTGGTCGTACTCATCGCCTCAGCTCTCCCCTTTCGGGACTGTCGCGCCTACACTGCCCTATGCTTGCTACGGCTCAGGGTAGTTCACGAAATGAGGGCATGTGACAATGCATGATTATCAGTCGTGCCTGCAGTAAAATACATGTGAGCACATAGAACGTTTTGCTCGCATGGATGTTGCTGGGCCGCGTGTGATATTGCAAGATTTCGTTCATGGAGCATGCGCCCAAAACACTGTCCGGATTCTCATGATTCGGAGGAGATGCTTCTTATGTTTCGTGAACGTGCTTCTGCAAGTGCTTAGCACTCGTTTGTTCGACAGCTTCTTATATTGAAGCCGCGCAAGCTGGATCAAGCTGGCAACTGAGGCATGGTTGCAGATCGTACACAGGCTTACCACCTGATTGTGTGAGTGCCGCGCTTCATTTATTTTGGTGATTTTTGTTCTGAATTTTGCTTCAGTCCCCCTTATTCTTGCTGATCTGATCACCTTTGGAAAGAAAGTAGTACGTACAACTTAAAGCAATCCCACAGCAGAACAAGATTACATAGTTGTTCTCTCAAACACACATGGCTATTCTTTTTTGTGCAAGGAGTCCTGATGCGTCCTGCCAAGGCCGCGCAGACACAATAGCTTCCCGCAATTGCACCCGTATACTGCACCGTGTACATCTTACCTGACATCACGTCCCGAATCATCCAAGGCTGTTCTAGCAGGAGCCACCTGCAGGTCAAAGCTAGCGACACGCCATGTTAGATATTGCAGCTTGGCAGCTTTTGAGCATGGCCATCAGCTTGTCCCGAAATCCGCTGTGAACATCTTCGAAGCCGCAGAATTGGGTTGTCTTGATGTCAGCATCATAGACCCTGCACAGACAAAATCCAACAAGAATGTGTGGATCAGAGCCTGACATGCGTGAGACCTGCCCTTACTTCAAAACATTCTCGGCTTATCAACGTTTCTGAGGTCCGGTATCGCCCCTAAACAAGACCAAACTCCAAAATTGGATCGGTGATGATCGGTGTGTAGCCTTGCAGTGGAACTCGGCTAAATAAAGTTAAGCAGCCAGTCGCTGAGATCCTTTCGGTCACCTGTTGTGGAACAGCAAGAATGAACAAGTGTTGCCTTTAAGCACTTACTTGCACGATCACAAGCGCGGCGCTCCGCAGCGTCATCATCCTGGCTCATGCTACTGGTATCAGCCGAGCATCTGCCCTCGAAAACCAATGCGCACTCCAGGCTCTTCGGATGCTGGTACAGCGAAGCATGGTCATTGAACTGAACCAGGCTGCCCTGGCGGTGCATCGAAAGGATCGATCACTTCACAAACAGGCGCTGGCACGAGGTCGCCCGTGACATCATACCTAATGCTCCAGCAGCACCGACAGCACCAGCAGCACCAACACCACCAACAAAATCGACACCCCCACCATACCACCAACCCACAGCCACCAGCACCAGTACCAAGAACAACGACGACTGCGACCACAAGGATGACAAGAAGAAGAACACAAGAACTATCATGAGAGGCACCTCCTTCCTGAAGCTGCAAGAAGAGCAACCTTGTTAGGCAAATCCTCTCTGATCTGAATTGCGAAGTTTGTGCCGAATTGCCTTGCTGGCGTAAGGGAGCGACTCGGCGTAGCCCACCAGGTTCCATCCCCAGGTTCGCGCGTCCATGTGCAGGGTTGGCATCTCCGTCACGTAGATGACGAAGGTGAAGTGACACATTAGGTATGCCTGGCTGCCAAAGGCTACAGCAAGGAAGCTTTCAGGCTCGTTCTGCAATAGCTCAGCTCGAAGAAGACACAAACAGCTTGCCAGCTTGCCAGTGTGGCAATCACGCGTGCGGAGTGCCTTCTGCAGGTTCGTCAAGGCGCCGGTGCTATCGTAAGAGGCCTCAGGAACTTGCTTGCTTTGGGGGTGCAGGTGCCAAAGTATTTGACCAGCTTCATGCTTCTTGCTTCCGCGTTAGACAGCAAGACCCACTTCGGAATAACACTCCACCAAACTGCTACAGCAAAGCCGATTGTTCCATGCCTATACCTCCCACCCCAACCCCCCCCCCCCCCCAAACTCCACCCCCCCCCACCCACCCCCCCCCCACCCCCCGCATCCAGCGGCCCAACCCTCAACTCAAGACGAAGCGTCTGGCAGCGGATGTGCCATGTTTTCGGCCTGTCAGTTCGATGGCTCCGTTGCTTTAGTCTCCAAGGATCTAAGATTGGTTAGGATTCCAGAGCATTGATGGTCTTATGGTGTTGGGAGGCGTGTACAGGGAGGAGTGAGTTTGGTGGATGAGATGTGGCTGTATGTTGGAGACCGTTCGGGCAATTCAGGTTTGTGGGGATGTTCAGGCGTGCGCTTCGGCTTCTTCTGCACCCTTCCCAGGCGCCTCTGCCTGCAAGTGATGCTTCAGCGCAGCCTCGTAGGCGACGTGCCTTGGAGGCCCCATCCCCATCTCCACCAACAGAAGGAGAGCTATGAGAAATGAGCGATGATAAACAGAAACTGTCATGTGCAGAGCTGCGGCTCAGGAGTCTACCCAAAAGCTCCTGAAACTTGAAACCACTGACCTGCCCACGGAAACTGACAGCCTCTGGAGCCTCCCGGTTCACAGCCAAAATGGCTCATGCAATCCATGTAACACAAAGGACAACAAGATAGTGAGCTCACAGAAGGAGCAACGGTTCTGTGGTGGAGAGCTCAAATCTCAGCAGGGGCCTTTGCTTTTAGGGAGCGACATGTGCCCTCCAGTCCGGTTCGCGATAATTAGAGATTTCCGACACGACGGGTGTGTTATTTCCGGCTCTTTTGGCCCTTGCACGTGCTAACCCCCAGTGTGTAAAAAGTGGAAAGAGGAAAGCCACACCACAGCCAGTTCGTTGCAATTGGGGTTTCGTTATAATCATTGAACTGAGATTACACATGGTCCTGGTTTGTAAATTTATAAATGCTTGCACGCATTACAGGATGTTTTGTTCACCAGTTTAAACTGTTAATATTTGTAACCTCCAACTATGTTCGTCACACGAGTTGCCTTGTGCACCTTGTTGACATGGAGGGTTGTGAGTATATTCGAGAAGTTCTATGCCTCTGCATTCAATCAGTGAAGCCATCTGCTCTTAATCAACTACTAGAATTAGCTCCCCCCCCTCACCACCCTCAAGAGCGTCTGGACCGAGGCACCCGGCTATCCACCAGAAGTCATCCCCGTGAGGGTCCGAGGCTGATGCCTTTTGCAGGCTTCACTTCTTCAGAGCCGCACATTGCTGTTAAGCTCAACCCTCAGCAGGCCCTTCTTAAAGCGCTCACATGGCTGCATGAGGTGAACTACTAAGAGAGCCAGATACCCCTCAATTCAGGGCAGCTGCCCACCTTCCTAAACCCCAAGCCCTGGCTTTGCAATCAAGAGGCCAGAATAGGCCAGACTCCCACACCCTTGAAGCATGAAGCCCTGATCCCTTTTGAACATCAACAGCGGGGGTTGAAGCCAGGCTGAGAAGCCATCGGGTTGTTCAGGGGTGCAGCCTTCGGACCCGGAGTATGCCAAGATGCCCGGCATGGGCCCGGAGCTCTCTGGAGGAGGTTGTGCTCGGAAAGCTCCAAGAAGGCCATCCTACAAGTATCCAGAAAGCCCACAGCACTGACAGTACCTGAGGTCCTGACCATTCCATATTTCCTTAACACTCGAAGGCCATTGGGCTCACTGAGCGGATGTGCATGGTCAAGCCGACGGAGATTGCTGCACTTCGGCGAATGGCATCTGGTGCACTGTGTGGCATATGCACAGCTGTCGCGTTATGTCCGAAGAAGCAAAACATGTAAATGGGCCTTCTGTGCAAGCCCCGAGATTGCCGGAGTCACATTCGGGCTTCAGGTTCGAAGATTCTGGAAAAAAGTCATGCTCCTAAGAAGCCCCCATCCTCTAATGGTTCTCGCCGTGACTCTGCGGGTGCCGGAACCCGAACTGCTCCGTGATCCAGGAGACCGGGTCGAACACTGGCGTGTTCACCTTCCAGCCGGGTCGCTCACTCCTGCAGCACATTGGACTCAACAAGCGTGCTTGTGCTGTTTGCTGGGCACCCGTTGCAAAACTTCCGACAACTTGTGCAGCATGGAGCCTGTGACCACGATCTGCAAGAACGCACACATTGAAAGTCGCATGTCATGTTACTACATGAGTGGCAGGGGAAGTGTTGCTGTATCTGTGCGTTTGTAGGCATGCAAGATCTGCAGCCAGCATGCCGAATCCCAGGCCTGATGATGCAATGCTCACGGCTCAAGCTTCGTAATGAAACCATGTGTGCTGAGATGTGCTCATATCCCCACTCCTCATGTACACCCTCAGGCCGGAGATGCAGCCATCTTCCCTGGACACGTCACGAAGAGTGCTTTTCCTGGGCTCGTGCGGATCTTGGAGGTCGCTTGGAAGTAGTGTTGGGTGCTTGAGAGGCGCGGATGCAGTGACTAATGGCTACGCTCATAGCATTGCGGAGCAAGCTAGGCTACGAACATCGGTCGTCTGGGGCGAATGTGATTCGGCAAGAACGCCTAATTACATGCGAACGAACACGGAATCTCTGAATATGCATGCATTTGGCCCTATAGCAAAAGCCGATCGCCCTAGCTAGACAGCTAGGGCACGAAGCACCTGGCGTGCCGAAGGTGTAGAGTTCCTGCTTCATCAGTGTTGGGTCAGAGAGGGTTCAATCAATCACGATCGCTCCAAGCCTCCCTGTACGGCATCACTTCGATTGATGGGAAGAGGCTGGTTTGGGGCTTTCAGGGGCTTCAAGGCTGAGGTGAGGCTGCCGGCTACAGGTTTCTGAGGGGTTCCCATGGTTTGCCAGACTTCTGCGACTTCGATATCAGGTATTCGCCTTTATTGTTATGTGCTCTCTGTGTATTAATCGTTATATTGGGGTTTTCCACCCAGGCTCCGAGCCCAAACCACCGAGAACACTTCTAAGAAAATGAAGCTGAAGCGGCAGCCGCCTGCTCCCTTCTACGTCAGTGGCCTCGACGGCTCGCCCTGGAGGTCTCCAAGTTGCCGCAGCAGCATTCACTTCTTGCCTCTGTGGACATGTTCCCAGAGCAACTGCTGAAATTATGGCAATGCGTGTCTGTGCTGACTGAGCCCTCCGCGACTCAGGAATAGGGCATGTTAAAGCCCCATGCAATGGAGAAGCAAGCTGAACTATGGCGACAGCACCGACTGTTCTAATGCTCGATCCGATGTCAAGTGCTGCCCCTGCCGATGCCTGTGCAGGCTCTGAAGGATAACTGCCGCAAGACCGGCCAGCGCGGTGACCTTGGAGCTCTCTTGCCGGAAAACCCAAGCAAGCTCCGTGCTAAAGATGGCACAAGGGGAAGCCGCTGTCAGATTCAGGTCGGGCAAGTGGACATGCTCAAGGCTAGCAAGTTGTCAGGCTCTTGCATCTCCCATCAGATGAAAGAATGGTCCCCCCAGGATTCATTTTCTTCGCTTGTGCCGCCCCGCGTCGCCGATGCAGGCCAGGCAGAAGATAGTGCGCTTGGCTGGCAGCGCGCGCCTTGTGAGCGCCCGGGGGAGCAGCGTCTCATCCTCCAAGGAGGTTTTGCTGGGTACTGTAGGTGGAATCTCGGGCTTTTCATGGGAAGCCTTTCCCCACTTCATGGAGATGTTGCTTCTCCACCATGAGAAATACTGTGCATCCCTCAACTGCAGGCTCCTAAAGAACGTGCGCCATCCGGGTGAGCAATCCAGGGCACTTCTCTCGCACAAGCACCTGAAAGCGTTCAAAACAGAGTCATCGCGCTGTCATCATTGCCCCGTCCTCGCTCTCGTCCTCGTCGCCTTGTGCACGAGCAGATCTCAAACAAGGATTTGGGAAAAGGAGGATCTCGGATGGCTTATCGGGCTCGCCAAGTTCTCGGGCACTGAACGCAAGAGGATCTAGGACTTCTAGGGTTTCGGACGCATGGCGTCGGGCCGGCGATGGAGCTCTGCATTTCACACGTCCGCACTTGGAAGATCTTGTTTGGAGCTTCAAGTTCCGTCCGTCACTTGGCACTTGGTGCTCGAATATGCGTTGATTGAAGCTCTGCCTCGAGATGAGGGTGCTCGTGTCAAAGACCTCTAAGACCTCATGCCTGAGGCCTATCGGCGACATGGCCAGTAGCAATGTGGACATACGAGACCTCTCTTCAGCAAAGCAGGACAAGCACAGTCTGCAACTGCCATGCAACTCCTCAGGACATATGTCGACTACGTCAGTCCTGTGTGGGGTCCAACAAGAACACGCATATAAGATGAATTGAGGTACATGTTTCCTCTTAAGGTTGCTGCAAGTGCTGCTGCTCCGGTTCACTCACTATACAACAAGGTACTAGCAGGACCTTCTTCCGCCAAGACCCCAAAGTACGGTGACCTGCACACCTTGGACCTCAAAAGGCAATCAATGACTTAATTCAGGGATCCTCTTCTTTGCCCCAGGGCTTGAAGCCACGCGTCTGTCCGGCGACAGCGGCGAGAGCTCCCCAAAGCGCATGCTCGTGCCGCTACGTTACGCCATGCTACGCCATGGGGTCTCGGTCTTTCTGAAGAGGGCCGAGGGGGTCCAGCTCTGACCCCCACTTCACCTCTAGTTATCGCTGTGAACAAAAGAGTCAGCCCGAATCTCGGACATGTCCCGCTTTCAGTACACACACTACATAGGAAAACACGAACTAGTTGGTGTTTGCTCCCAGTTAAAAGATTTCCCGTGTCGTCCAGGCAGGGTTGGGGCTGTGGGACAATTTCTGCGACACAATCTCTCATCTTTTTGAAAGGTGCTTGCTTAGGACCACAGCGTCTCGGTGGAGGTTCCAGCTTAGGGTATAGGATGTTGTATGCTGTTGTGTGGATAGGGTTCAGAGAGGAGCCTAGTGTCCCTCACAAACTCTCAAACTTGAGCCAGCATTGGCGATTCAGCCTCGGCTAATTACTCAGCTACTCCTCCTGCAGCTGCACCCTTCTGGAACAAAAAGCGCCATCTCCATGCCAGCAGGGTAAACGCGACATGATGCGACATGCTTGATCACTCCGAGGTTCTGAAATTGCTGGCAGCGTCGTAATCTCCGCAGTCCGATCGCGGGTCGACACATTCAGAACGAGCTCGACAAAGACCTGGGCGACGGAGGCTGTTGCAATCATCATGGGCATGTCAACCATACTTTTCTCGGCAGTACACCCCTGGCCCCGCTACACCCATGCCCTCTACACCCACTCCATCGGCCTACACCCACGCCCACGCATCCTCGCGCCCTACGTTCACAGAGATTTTTCTTGACCGGCATTGAAGAATCAGCTTGCTTCGTGTGCAGAGAATGCTACGCGTCCCACAGGCAGTGCAGAAAAGCATGCATACCCTCCCCTGACCCCTACGCTACACTTTCCGACACCCTGAGCCCGCCCCACCCATACTCGCGACGCACGTTCCAAGCTTCCCCATTGCTTCCAACAAGATTCCACACTTATCATGTCGTGCAAACATGCTCAGTTGTAGCAGCTGCGACATGCACAGACGAGCTCTTGCGGGGTAAGTCGATCACTTCCGACAGAGAAACAAACGGAGTTCCCCTGTGCATTTCAAGTGTTGGAGGCCTCTGCGAACCAAGATGCGTCCACGCGACGCCGCAGCAGCAGCTCGAATAAAATCGCCTGGGTCTGGATGAGCGAAGATCTAGGGAAGTTCTGATGATGTAGGCTGTGCTCAGTCAACGGCACTCCAGGACCCTGCTCGAGTTAGGCTCCCGGCAAGAAGTATCGTAACACATATGACGAAGAGGTGCGCAAGGGCGAACCTGAGAATCTTGCGCGTGGCGTGCATTGCTTTGACTGGCTCTTTAGTTCGGCACTAGTTGACGTGTTGCCACGATTCCAAATCATCGAACGTTCCATCTCCCTCCATCCACTGCTGATTGGGATACGGGCTTAGGGCTCCTTTCTTGGGAAATGTCCACATCCAAATGTGTGAAGAACAGTTTGTCGCATCCATGTTGGAGAAATGCGGAAGATTTGAATCTGAACTTTAAAGTTTACACTCTTGGCTTGCAGCGAACAGGCTACGTCGGCTAGGTGCCACTTTCCTGTGCCCTCAGGTGTCACGCAGGAAATGGGCAAACTTTCTGGGGCTTCCAAGCGGGTCCTACAAGCAAGTAGATTTTCAGAAGGCCAAAACCAAAATAGGTTTGGTTGCAGCAAGCCTTGATGTGGATTAGGAAACACGACGTGTGAGCTCGCAAGCATCCTGCCAATTTATTTAGACTACCGGACACAATACTACGGCTGCGATTGCTACTGCTACAAGAACGTACGAACCCATCTCCGACTAGATCTTACTCCTCTCAATGTCTCAACATTGCCGTTCGACTATGGGGGGTGTGGATCGTGCCAGGCAGCATTAAGATCGTGCCGGGCTCGCAGCCGAACCCGGCAAAGCCAATTCTCACTGTGTTCGGGCACTCGAACATACTCACAGAGCCTGCAGTCAGGAGGGGCCGCCCATTGCCATCCCAGTCCCTAAACCTCACAACCACCCGAAAGTGAAAACTACAACACACACCCCGCTGCCAGCCCAGGATCTGAGCCTTCC